GATGGCGAGGATGGGCGGCCGCCGAAGCCCTCGCTTCCGGCGGACAAGATGGAAGTTGACGAGATCGAGGAAGAGCAGGACGAGGCGAAACCTTTGACCGCCGCGTCGGGAAAAGGAAAAGCGGCCGCACCTACTGGCGAGGTGTTGGCCGCGAACAGCCCTTACCATGCGCCAGTTGCTGCGGCAGCACTGCCCGAGACGACCGAGGACCCGGCCGATGTGGCAGCTGCGCTGCTTCTCCTCGCCGCACTGCCTTGCGGGCCTAGCGCGCTCGCTCCGCTTTCAACAGGGTCCACGCCACCTCAGATGGAGACCGCGTCGGATGCGAGCGCGTCGTCCAGCAATGCTGGCGCTTCGACTTCGCGAATGCGACTTGACGATCCGCCAGCGACGAAGCGGAAGAAGCGGGAGTCCGAGGAGGCGAAGCCTGCCATCCATCCCTCGCTCAACCCTCGCTCGACACGACGACACTCCAAGCTACCCGAACAGGAACCTGTTGCGCCCAGTTCGCCCCCTGCTGCCGTCCGTCGCGCGAAGCGCAGCGATGCGACCAGTCAGACGGTAGAAGGACCTTCGGCGTCGACTCCAACGTCGCGGCGGACTCGTTCGCAGCCCCTGCCAGGAAAGCTCGAGGACGTGCTGTCGGCGCCGGAAACGCTCGCTGCAACCGGTGGTTTCGACTGGGCGAAAGGCCGATGTACGTCACCCGCCGAGTGCCTCCCTAGCAAAAGCGCTGACCGTTTGCATTGCAGACATCTCGAAGCACGAAGCGCTGCGCAACCCGTCGGCCAATCCTGGACCCCCTCCTCGGTCGACTCGAACACCGTCGCCTTCTCCACCGCCGCAGCGCAAGACGTCCTCTCGTCAAGCTGCCGCACCCGCAAGACCACGGTCAGCGGCACGCTCGACACCCGCGCCCGTCGTTGGTCCGCCGCGGCTCACCTCGCCCATCGTCGCACCCGATGGTGTCCGAGCGACTCGCAAGTCCTTCCCAATGGAGGGAGTCAAGTTGGCCGAGATCGTGTACTCGCGAGAGGCTCGTTTGGCGGCTGGAGGATGGGACCCCTCGGTCGGCAAGTACGTTTCGGCGGCTGCAGGAGCGAACACGCCGGAGCCAGCCGAACCTGGATCTTCGTACAGCGCCGCTCGCGCTCGTCAGCAAACGCCCACGCTCGCTCCCGCCCTTACCTCTTCCCATGGCGAATCACGCATCCACTCGTCAGGTCGCCAGGTTGCACCACCTGATGGCAAGCGGTCGACGCGCAAGTCTTTTCCGATGGAAGGCGTCAAGCTCGCCGATCTCGTTTACTCCGAAGACGCCCTTCGAGCTGCTGGCGGCGGATGGGATCCGGTGCTTGAAAAGTACGTTCGCACGACGTCGCGGCCAGGTGTGGTCGCCCCCGAAGCTTCGACGAGTCAAGCCCGCCTCCCCTCCGTCTCGCTGCCCTCCACCACCGACGGCAAGCGCTCGACGCGCGCCTCGCTTCCCCTCGCAGACGTCAAGGTAGCCGACCTCGTCCATTCTCCTGCAGCCAGACACGCTCTCGGTGGATGGGACCCCCTCACGAAGCGCTACACTCCGGCTGGCTCGCGGAAGACGGCAGCGGCGGAATAGAGGTTGTATGAGGAGCAGTAGGATCGTCCCGTCTTTTTGCGTTCCATTCCCTGTCGTTGTTTGCTTTCCCGCAGCCAGAGTGTGAGTAGCGTGGGCGATGCGGGCAAGCGCCCAAAGAGAGGAACGAACGAAAGATGCGTAGCCGGAAGGTTCAGCACGCCCAAATGCGCTGAATGGCAGGCGACGCATGCCGCGCACTACTAAGATGCCCAAGATACTGATTGATACTGACATGTGACGGAAGGGAACGACTGATTGGGTGCAGAAGGAACAGAAGGCGAAGGCTAGTGGGAGATGGTGAACGGGTAGGAGACCCACGACTCGTATGACGAGGCAAGCTTTGGGTCCGCCGTCGTTCGCAAGGCACTGCAGAGGAGGACAGGTCAGCGCTGCTGTAATTAGCGTTTCAAGGGAATACGCACCGGACGAGCACACGGTACTCTGTACCGTCCTGGAGGCCGAAGCCAGAGTAGTCGGGCGCAAAGGGGACGGTGAAATCCGAGTACTGTTGGAAATCGGCGGGGCTGTCGACGAGATAGTCGCGCGGGAGCAGGCTAGCCGACTCAATCGTCCCGACGATGGGCGTATCGCTGTAGAGGGCTGTTGACTGTCCGCGTACCTCCAAGTCACGAGGCGAGATGGGATGAGAAGCGTGGGATGCGGCGTTTCGCTCCTCCAGGTCCGCTTTGCGAGAGCGACGAGCCATGCGATTCGGACGCGTTGATGGTATGCGTTCAGTCGGGATCGTGGTAGGCGGAGCGTCGGAGGACAGAATAACGTCCACTGAGCCGAAACGTGTGCCGGCAGCGAGGCGGAAGAGGATGCTGTAGGTCTCGGAGCCACTGAGCGAACCGGGCGCGTCGAAGACTGAGTAGCCGGAATTCGCAATGAACGGGTAGGCGACGTCGCCGTAGATCGTGGCTGTCGAGTCGAGGACTGCGAGAAGCGTTTCATCAGTCTCGTCAGCGAATAAATCGAGGTGCAGCTCAAGCGCACCGGGCATATCGCTCATCGCGGCCGCCAACCCGAAGTACGGGATGTGCAGCTCCTCCGAGTGCTTGCGGTTGACGCTCACTCCGCTGATGTCGACGTAGCCCGAGTAGAGCGGGAAGCGAGCAATCGTCATGGCATTGAACCGAGGTTGAGGGATGGTCACGGTAAACGTGTAAGTCTGGCCGGCCTGCAGCCTGAGTCGCTGCGTCGAGAAGGCCGCCACTCCCGACTGCGGGTAGACCGGCTTCGGGTTCGTCGAGATGAGGATGTCGGTCGAGGCGCCGTTGTCGTAGGTTCCGTACGCCTGAGCCGACGAGGTCGTGACGCTGTACTGCATCGGGAACGGGTTCGTGTTGCGGAGCGTGATCTTCTGGGTGTGCGCAGGGAATGCCGTGTCGTTGAGCATCAGCTCGAAGGGGGAGACGATCGTGCGAGTCGAGATGGCCTTGTCGACCTGGACGAGGCCGCCGCCTTGGAGGAGGACCGTCTCGAAGGCCGTGCCGTTGATCGTCGTCCCGCGCTTGCTAGCCGTCGAGGACAGCAAGGCGCGAACGTCCGCCGGGTTGAGGTTGTCCGCCTTGCGTTGCGAGAGGAGGAGGGCGGATGCGCCGGCTGCAGCAAGTCTCTCCGTCAGTATCGAAGAGATCATGATAAGGACGACACTCACCGACAAACGGAGTAGACATGCTCGTGCCGGAGATGACGCCGAGGCCGCCGAGAGCGAGCGGGAAGGTCGACAAGATGTTGCCGCCTGGTCCCGACAGCGTAGGCTGGCCGAACAGCTCGAACGTAGGGCCGAATTCGGAGAAGTAGCTGCAACGCGCGTTCGCGTCAGCATGGCTTACCGGGACCGTAGGGGGCGGGGCGGATGTACGACATCAATCCGCCTTGAATGTTGTCGGCGACGCTTACGAGAGGAGCGTCGCGTGGAAAGGAGATGTAAAGACCGCGAGGACGAGAGTTGTACCAGCCGAGCAGCTGAATAGGTCACCTCGTCAGCGGACTCTAAGGGGAACCCAGCGGACCGTACTTGCCTTGACCCCTTCCTCGTACCGTAGCGCGGCAACAGCAGCAAGGCTTGTGCCGGCTGCTTGATAGTACGGAACCATGGTATTTGCGTTCGGGGAGTTGTAGACGAGCGCGACTTTGCTGCGAGATGGACGAGCACCGTCAGCTGGCGCACATTTCCGAACGGGACTCGTCAAGCTCACCCGCCCTTCGCCGCAATGTTGGCCATCTGCACAAGTCGCAAATGGTCAACAAGCTGCGCTCACCGACGTTTAGCTCACTTACCTGGCTGTAGAACGAGCAAGTTCCACGGCGAACGACCGTGATCAAGTTGGAAAGGTCGGGCGTGCTGTTTGGCAGCGGGTTGCAAGCGTCGTCCGCGGCGGTCGTCGTGGTGCTCGTGAAGTAGAGCCGGTAGCCGTTACGTGAGGCGGGGAGGCTCGAGACGTCGAGAGGAAGGGACGAGAGGTAAGGAAGAGAACCGAAGGGAACGACTTGTGCCGGATAGGCGGGAAGCTGCTCGACGTCGATGCTGCCAACGCTCATACCGCCGATCAGCGCTGCGGGCGACTCGGCGAAGAAGAGACCCTCCGAGCGACTGTTGCCTGCCGAGACGGTCGCGACGATTCCTTCTTGGCTCGTCATCCGCTCGAGCACGACCTGCGACGGGTTAGCGTTGAGCCAGCCTGAGCGCCCACCGATCGAGAGCGTAACGACGTCGACGTTGTCGTTCGTGGCCGCCGTCAAGGCCGCAACGAGCTGGACGAAGCGATGGTTCAGCACGCGTTCTTACATCAAGCGAGGACAGGCCCGGACGTACGACATCTTCAGGAACGCCGCCAGAGCAACGGAAGACCTTGTAGTGACCTATCTGGACGTTCGGAGCGACACCGCTGAAGCCGAGCGGATTGGCGAGAGCGCCGACTGTTCCGGTGACGTGCGTTCCGTGGTCCGTGCAGTTGACATACGGGTCGGGACCGGGAGGGTCCACCGTGTAGTCGCCACCGAACGAGATGTGGCAGCCGGGACCGAAGCAGCCGCCGAGGATGGGGTTGAGGTAGTCGACGCCTGTGTCGAGGATGCCAACCTTGATCGTGTTCGAGCCGAGGATGCCCTGATTGTGCAGCTTGTCTACGCCGGTCATGACGTGCGGATTGAAGGTGTCGTTGAGATAGGCCGATGCGGGAGGGAAGGTCGTCCCGCTGCGCTTCGCGAGCGACGAGGCGAGGGAGGCGCCGAAGGCTGCCGATCCAGACGAGATGCCTCCGCCTTCGTCTTTGTTAATCACGGCCGAGGGGCGAGGAAGGATTCGGAGCGGCCAGGCGCGCGAGATGCCATCGACGCCCTCGAGCTCTTGCAGGATCTGCTTGACAATCGACTCGCTCCCTTCCTTGAGCTTCTGAAGGAGGGCAGGATCCGCGACTTTGACGACGGCGCCGCTGAAGAGCGAGGGACGAGCGGCGAGCGTGCGCGAGGTTGAGAAGGCTGGAAGGGAGAAGGGCTTGCCGGTTGAAGAGGGAGGCGAGGCGAGGTGCGTGAGGACTTGTGAGAGGTCCTGATCCATCAAACGATGTCAGTGAGTATTCTGATGATCGCGAAACGGGAAGGATACGCACAACAGCTCCGCTCGCCCTCTTGCTGAGCGAATTTGCGCCAACCTCGATCAAGAATGAGCCGGGAACAATCTCCTGGCCGCCATAGGTCGGAGGAGCCTGCGGCTTGTCCCTGTCCTGCCGAGCCTTGATCGAAGCGAACGACGCAGAGGCGAGTTGTGCGAAGGCGAGGAGGACGAGGAGGACGAGCGAGAGTGTAGGCGAGGCTCGGTCGCGTACAGTGCCCATCCTAGGCGGTGACGGAAGCGTGAAGGGTTGACTGAGGAGTCTGTGGTACGTCGGAGTTCCGGAGGGTGCGAGGGCGAAGTATTGGGGAGGAGAGGAAGGCAAGCGAGTAATGAAGGTGGGAGGCGATCAAAGGCCTGAACGGCACACAGGAGCAAGAACGGAAGAGACACGAAGAAGCGAGATGAGGAAGAGCAAAGCGAAAGAAGCGGGGCGAGAGAACGACAGGAAAGGTCAACATTGAACCCGTTGAGACGCGCTGCTTGCGGAACCGGACCCGACGACTTGGGTTCGAGGAATGTGGCGTGGCAGCGGGAGCAAGACGTGGAAGAGAGTTGTGCGTCTGTCGATCGTGCCAAGACTTCCCTCGTTGCGCGAGAGGAAGTGGAAATCCGATACGCAATTCGAGGAAGGCGGAAGGAGGACAAAGTCGGAAGCGATGTCGAGGAGAACGTTCGGAAGCGCAAACTCCCGCTTCTGCAAAGCTACTCCTCGGCATCCCTCGCGCAGCGCAGAGCGCCTTGCACACTTGCCATGTGTGTTGCGCGCTGTGACGTCGAGAAGACCCACAGCGAGGATCCGGTGACTCCTCTTCGTCGAGTGTACATACGCACCGAACCTGCATTACAAGCACACCTCCCTCTCCGAATCCGAGGTCACGCTGCCGCTGCGACGGGCTGCGCGCCTTGCGTCTCGACTGCTTCTGCTGCGCCGGTTGTCGCTGGAGGGGGAGGGCGTTGAGGAGGCTCGTAGGGAGTTCCGTCGAGGTTGATTTGTCGCACGCCATCTTTGTCGGCCACTGCGAGCGTGCCGCCACGCAACATCCGCAAAACGGGTCAGCGAGATTGCAGAAAGCGAGTCTTGCGCTGTTGACGCACCTCGGATCGTCCATCCTCCGAGGTTGACGATGAACCTCACTTCCAGCTCCTTGATGCACTTCCTCAGCAGCTCCAACCCAGCCTCCAGGTCGCCCTCGGGGTCATGCCACCTGTCCATCGTGGAGAGGGAGAAGTACGCTCCGTATCCGTGTGCTGCGTACGGAACGGTCGCGAGCGTGCCGAGGTAGTCGATCCAGTAGAGAGAGGGAGTGGACGAGGTCGGGTCGTAGCCGCCGAGGAGGAGGTTGACGGAGTAGGGCTTGCGGGAACGGAGGGACGAGGCGAGTTGGGTGCGGACCCACGAGGCGGCAGAGGGAGGGCGAAGCGGGATGTGGTTGCTGCGCGAAGGCGTCCCTGGTCAGCTCACAGACTGCAGAGAACGTCTCTAAGCGGCCGCAAGCGAGGAGTACGCTCGCTCACCGGATCTGGTACAGGCGGAGGTTGCGTTCGATGTACTCGGCAAACTGGATTGTGTCCCCCGGCTCGCCCGAGTCTGCAGTCATCAAGGAGAGCACAGGCAAGCCAACCGGTCAGCACCAGCCTGTCCTCGTCGCTGACAGCTCGCCCAGATGACGCGGCTGCTCCACACGACTCCACCTCGCCGCGACGAGTTCGAGCGGAGACAGTACGCACAGGCCATGACGAGGTGCTTTCCGAGGACGCGCTGCTTGTCCTCGTCGGCCTTCATGCGGACGATGGAGCGAGCAGCCGAGGTGTCTGATGCGAAGAGGACGTAGTCCTTGCCCGTGATGCCGAACGAGACTGCGCGCGGGTGGCACGGCTGGTCAGTGTGAGTCCTCTGCGTGCTGTCTAGCTGGCGTGCGCACCTTCCATGGTCGATGCGAGCGAGAGTTGCGAGTGGGAACGATGAGAGAGCGAGGAGGACACGTCCCTCGTCGTCTACTGCTTCCTTTGCAGCGAGAGTGAGCCAGTAATGGCTGTTATACACTACCAGGAATATTCAGCTGTCTCCCCAGTCAATCAGCGGGTGTCGAGGTGGACTTTCTCCTCGTCCACCCCCTCTCTTGTCCACTCGACCCGCTCACACTCGCAGACTGGCTCGCTTGCACGCTGGATAAGGCTGAATACCCGCTAGGACTGCCTACGACCCCCCATTGAAGGGCGCCCAGCCCGCCGTGCCCTCCAACCTCCCGCCTCATCGCTCTCCATTCCCACGACCTCATCTCACACCGCGACAATGGCCCCGCTCGCCCTCCAAGAGGCTCACAAGTCACTCAAGACAGCTCTCACTCGCGCACACGGTCCAGCATGCCCTTACTACCATCGCCCGCACGACATTCCCGCTCCCGCAGCGCTGCTCATCGGAGTGTCCGCCCTCGCCGCCCCTCACGTACCTTTCCGCACGGGATCGCCCGGCGTGAACCGTCTGCTCGTCGAGTTGAGGCGCAACGCACCGGCGGCGCAGGCACGTGTGCAGGCGAGGACGTTCGCGACCAGTGTCCGGACGCCGGCGAGACTCGTTGAAGGACCTCGCGAGTTTGAGGCGGATCTCACCAGTGCTCTTTCGGGCGCGAAAGAGACGAGCAGAGTCGGACGGGCGTTGCACTTCCTCGCAGGAGAGACAGGGCGCGGAATCTTGCGGCATGCCAAGGCCAGAGTCGAGTCGGCCGAAAGACTCGCTGCGAAGGAGCAGGTGCGTTATCAGCTTTCTTTACCCTTCAGCCGTCGCTGACAGACAAATAACACTCTCTGTAACCGCCAGTCTTCCCGGATACCCTGGTTTTGGCGCACGACTCTCCCTCGAACCGGCTCATTCGCCTCCCGTCGCGACCAATGGACCCACATCCTACACGCCTCAGCCTCGCTCAACTGCGACTTTACTCCATCATCTACTTCGCTTGATCCCGGCCAGTTCAACGACTCGTCCGACTCACGCTCCCGCTCCCGCTCGCACCACCACCAGCACCATCGTCAATCGCACGCCGACTCCGAATTCGACCGCGCACACCAGACATGCGACGGCCAAGGCGGTGGCCAAGCCGCCCCAGTCGGTGGGTGTCGCTCGAAAGGACCGGGCTGGGGTTGGTACCTCGCCGTGAACGAGCGACGCCGTCGGGACCCCCAGAAGCGCGCGCACTTCAGACAGATGTATCGCTCTATGCATCCGGATTTGCCGGATCCTGGGACGGGGTTCTGTGGGCACTGGGAGGCGAAGAGGGCGTGGGAGAGGAGGTTGAAGGGGAGCGACGGCGAGTGGAGGAGGAGGTGGAAGAGGGACGGGATGAGGTGGAGCGAGTGCTATGAGGTCATGATCAAGGAGCGGGATGTGAGGCTGAGGAGGTTGAGGGCGCTCATGGTGCGATTGAGGGCCGGAGCGCCGAATCACCGCTTGAGAAGGAGGATGGTCGACTCGGCGGCTGGCGCGAGGTACGGGCCTTCCGGCTCGGGACCGTTCAACTACGAAGCCTTCCGCCGCGACTACTGGAGGTCCCGTATCGCGCCTCACCGGCACAGCGGTCATGCCCGCCGAAGCGGGACGAAACAGTCTGCTCGAGCGCACGGGTGGTTCGGGCTCGAGCAGAAGCGGAAGAGGGCGAAGATGGGATTGGCGTTCTTCACGTGGAGGGCGTGCGAAGGACCGGCGGATGCGAGGAAGTGGGTCAGGCGGGACGGGCTCGTACAGAAGTCGATCTTGTGCCGGCCACACCCGCTCGGCGCGGCGCCTGTCGCTCGTCCGCCATCGACGACTCTGTTCGCATCGACTGCGCCGCGACTTTCGACGACCAGCTCGGCTGCTCGCGCTTTCTCGACGAGCGCACCTCGACAGATCCCCCTCCCGCCGCCCAACCTGCCCTTCTGCCTCCTTTTCGCTGCACCAGCCTGGCCGACCGAGTGCGCTCTCCCCCTGCTCCTCCCCCTCGTCTCCATCCTCAAGTCATCCGCCGCACTCAACGTTCTCGCCACGATCACCCGCATCTCGCTCACCCTCCTCCCGCTCTCCTTCCGCGGCAAGATCATGCACTCCCTCCGCGAGCGCTACGTCCGCGACCCGACTTCACTCGCCTCGTCTGTTCTCGGCCGGATGGTCCTCAAGTCAGGCAACGCCGCCCAACTCGCACAGCCTTCAAGCGGTTTCTGGCGCTGGAACGCCCTCGTCGGTCTTCCTCTCCTCCTCGCCACACCTCTCGTTCTACTCGCACTTGTCGCACTCGCAAGTCTCGAGCGGACGCCCATCACCGGAAGATGGAGGGTCGTCATGCTCTCGCCGGCCGAAGAAGCCGAACTCGTCGACTCGATCCTGTCGTCGGCTGACAAGTCGCCGTTCGTCGCTTCACCGCCCGAAGGCACGACGCGCGACTGGGTCACGATCTTGAGGAAGGTGCTCGAATTGCCGGACGAAGGCGTCTCCCCCGCGACTGGCAGAAGACGGCTGTTGGGCGGCGAGGTGCTCGACCAGCGAGATTGGCGGGTCAGGTGGACGCAGGCGGTTCTCGAAGCGCTCGAAAAGGGCGCGCCAGCGGCTTTGGTCGCCTCGTCCGGCTCTTCCTCGCCCTCCGTCATGCCCCCTCCGCCCACCGCCTTTCCGCTCGAACCGCGACCCGAAGCTCTCGGTCAAGGTGCCGCAGGCTGGGCCGACGAGCTTGTCCTCTCGAAGCCTCTTGAGGCGCGCCATGCTCGGACCGAACACGACGAGGCAGGTGTGCTGCTTCGACTCGAGTACGACTTGCTCGTCATCGACCGGAAGGACGCGAATGCGTTCTCCTTCGGGTTCGGGCCGGACGAGGTACCCAGCGGACAGGCGGCGAAACCGAGGCGAGGCGTGATCGTCGTCTACACCGGCTTCATCGACGAGATCCTCGGTCGAAACGGTACCGACGTTCCCATCCTCTCGCAACCAACTCCCACGCCGGCCAAGCGGTCGCTCCTCGGCCTCTCGCGCTCGACTCCTGCAGCGACACAACCCGTACCGCACGACCCTATCGCTGCCAACCTCGTCCCGCCAATCCTGCCCACCGATGCGCAGACCAAGGCGCTGGCCGTCTTGCTCAGCCACGAGCTCGCGCATCTTGCGCTCTCGCATACGCTCGAGAGCTACGCCAGCACGAGCTTGCTCGTCCCGCATCTTGCTCGACTGACCACGGACGGTGTGTTCTGCTCGCTCTTCCTCCCTCCCTTTCGCTGTAGCTGACTTTGACACTTCTACAGTCCTCCGAACGATTCTTTACCCCGTCACCGCTATCCTCGGACCCTTCATCAACGATGCGCTCGGCGGCGCGCTGAACGAGGGCGCAAGAGAAGGACTCGGCGTGCTCGGTCAGGCCGTCAACAGCTGCGAGAGTCGCAAGCTGGAGAGTGAGGCGGATGTCGTTGCGCTCCGGTTAGTTATCAGCCTTCCCGTTGCTCGTAGACGCGGCCCTGATGCTTTCGGTCATCAGCATGCTCGCCACGTCAGGCATCGACCCTCACTGCGCACTCTCCTTCTGGGAGGACCGTCTTTCGTCCCCCGCCCATTCTCCCGACTCGCCAACCAGCAGCACCCACAACCCGTCTCTCTCGCAGCCAAACCCGCTTCGCCCGCACTCGACGCACGAGCAGGACAGCAAGTCGCTCGATTCGCTTCTCCGCAGTCATCCGATCGACGAGGAGCGAGTCGAGCGGATCCGCCACGAGTTGCGGGACTGGGAGAAGTGGTGGGCGGAGGTGAAGGGGCATCAGGGGATCGCGGCATGAGGATTAGGCTGGACCTCGCTAACTCACGAACACAGACACTCGCTCTCTTAGTTGTATAGTCGTTCATCAGTCGGCAGTTCTTCGTTTCGTCTTTCATTTCTTGTTGTCTGTCTGCTCTCATCGCTGCCATATCATGCGCTTCTCACCCGGATTGCCCTTCGGAAGACATCACTTGCAGAAGCTGATCTACGCAGAAGTCGCATCCTCCTGCACCGCTGGCAAGGCCGGTCCGTTCTCGCCGGCGCGCTTCTTGACCTTGTGCAAGTCGTCCGCTAGTGTGGGCGCCTTTGCGCTTCCTTTGCCCGGTGCGAGAGCCGAAAGCGGCGTGACAATCGCCATCGCGATCTGTACGACCGACTCAACCCGGCGCTGCAGTGGCGTGTAGTCGGAGACGACCGTCTGGCGGGAAGAAAAGACCTCTCAGCAGTCCGCCAGGCTTCGACGATCAAGCGAACGCACCAAATCCTCGACCTTGACATCGGCCCAGTGCTCGTCCAGCTTGACCCGGATAACCGGCGCCCTAGGCCGCTGCCGCTCCTCCTCAAGCCGCTCCCGCTCCTTCGCGGCTTCTCGCTCCGCCTCTGCCTCTGCCTTGTCCTCGACTTTCTCCGCCGGCTCGCTCTCATCCGCCTCGATCTTCACCGCCGTCTCCCCGGCAACGTCTTTGACGTCAGCGTCCGCTTCTTGCGCCGCGTCGCCGTTCGTAGGCGATGTAGATAACTCCTCAGGCCGGACGAGCTCGACCTGCCCAAAATACGAGTCGAGGAAGGCGATCAGGCGGTCCAGTCGTGTAGGAAGGACGGCGGTCTCCTCATCCTCGATTTTCGCGGCTTCAGGCTCGTCGGAAGTTGCGGGAGGCGTCGGCGCTTCAGCGTAGGGGTGCGGGTGCGGGTGGTGATGAGGGTGGTCGTCGATCGTTTCTGCGAAGCGGAACAGTCAGCCGAGCTCGAAGCGAGAGTTGCGAGCGCTTCACTCACTCTTCACGCTCGCCGGACTCCCCTCGATGCCCAGCACGACCGCCAGCACCGAATCTGCAATCATGTCGTTCGTGACGCCGCCGACCCACTCGATCGCGAGCTCGTGCTTGTCCGTCATCTTGACATCAACGGTCTCCATCACACGCATCGTCGGCGTACCCTCCGCATCCCGACCCTCCTTGATCTTCCCGTACATGCCCTGTAAGTGCCAACGCACGAGATCCCACGAGACGGAGAGCGCAAGGCGCTGTCGTTGGAGGATGAGCGAGGTCGAGAGACCGGTGAACTCGCGCAGGTCGGCAGGCGAGAGGAGCGTGTAGGAGAAGTCTTTCGAGACGAGAAGGCCGGAAAGGGGAGTAGCGGGAGTCGGCGCGGTCTGCGCGAGCGAGCCGAGGGCCTGCAGACGAGGGTATCAGTTAGCCCGCTCAAATGTCCGTGAGAAGCGGAGCGCACCTTTGCCATGCGCTCGCCGCGGAACTTGAGCTTGACGGTCTCAACGTTTCGAGGTGTATAGATCTGAACGTCATTCTTGCGTTCGGCAAAGCGGGTTTTGAGGGCAGCGCGCAGGCGAGACATGTTGTTGACCTCGCCGTGAACGAGGATGAGGTGCGAAGGCATGACCTGCGAGAGCGAGCCTGTCAGTCCAGTGAGCAGAGGCGAAGTCGCCGCGTCGACTGACCTCGTCGATGAACTTCGAGTTCTGCGTGTAGTCGACGTGCGCGGAGAACGAGATGTAGTCGACAGATCTGCACGAGAGCGAGGTGAGTTACTGGCTCAGCGGAGAGACGAAGAAGTGAACGCACAATCGCCTCGCAATCTTGGCGCCTCCGTTCAGCGCAGCAATCTCCGTCGGCTCGTTCATGATGGTCTGCCCGATGAGAACGTCAGCGAGCCTGGATGACGCGTGGAAGGGGAAGAGGACTGACCCTCGCCATCACACCCTCGACGCTATATCCCGTGATGATCAGCCCGTTCCTCGGATCCGGCGCCCACTTCTCCAACAGCTCGCGACTGACTCCGCTGGTCAAGAAACCGGGTGAGGCCATGACGACGCAGGGGTTGCGGTCATTCAGCTTCGAGATGCCACGGTCAAGCGGGCGGATGAAGGAGTCTTTGCGCTTGAAGTCGAAGGGGTTGATGCCGCGAGCGAACTTCGAGCGGACGTTAGGCGACATCGTGTGAATGTACCTGCGCAGGCGAAGGCAAACTCAGCGGGCTGCGTTTCGGTGCGTAACGAAGCGACACTCACTGCCGGTAAACGTCCATACACTTGATCGCCAGGCTCGAGACGTAATAGATGGGGATGTGCTGGAGTTCTGGGTGTTCCGCCCAGTACTCGTCAAGGATGAGGAGCAGTTCTTGCGCTCGGCCGAGGGCGAAGACCGGGAGGAGAACGCGTCCACCTCGCTTCAAGATCGATCTTACGAGGTCTGTGAGAAACGAAGCGTAAGCCGGGAAGGTGAGAGATGGACATGGAGATGCTTACTGGTGAACTGCGCCTCCTTCTCCAGCCGGGGCTCGTGCGATTGGACACTGTGAGGAGACAGTCAGCGGACGGGTCGAGCACGGGTCATGAACCCGCAACGCACCCATAGGTCGACTCGCAGATCATGACATCCGGCGGTCGCTCCCAATTCGGCACCTTCGCCGGCACAAGATGGCGGTCCTCCTCTGTCGAGTAGTCTCCCGTATATAGCACCCTTGCGCCGGCAACCTCAATCAGAAACATGCATGCACCAAGGACGTGGCCGGCGGCGAAGGAGGTGAAGCGGACGGAGGCGGATGAGGAGGATGAAGGCGGGAGGAGGATTTCCTGCTCGAAGTCGAAGGATTGGATCTGGTCGAAGGAGGCGAGCATCTCGGATTCGGTGAAGAGGTTGTCGTCGCTGCCAGCGGTCCTGCAAGGCGAGCGGAATGTCAGCATCTTCTGCGAAAGGAGGACGATTCGCTTGGAACGCACGAGACGCGGACAAAATCGCTCATGAGGTAGCGGTAGACGGCCTTCGTCGGATGCGACATGTACACGACGCCGTTGCCTTCCTTGAAGTTGGTCTGCGATGGAAAGGCGGCGAGGCTCAATGATCAGCGAAAGTACCGAGGCGAACCAAAATGCGGTCTGGGGCGTACCTTCTCCATCACGTAGGTCAGACAAGCGGCGTGGTCGAGGTGGAAGTGCGTGATGAGGATGGCATCGACCGTTGACCAGTCGAGTTCGTCGAGGAAGGGGAGGGCCGCCATGCCGGAGAAAGCGGGGTGGACGCCCGCATCGCACACGATCGTCCTTCCTTTGTACCGAATGACGCAACAAGACCTCCCAACCTGCAAGAATAGGCCGCCTTCGAGTCAGCGGGGAGGGGAGAGGAGCAAGCGAAAGTTCAGGCGGGCTCACCTCTTGTCCCGCGCCAAGCAGCTGCACCTCCATCTCATCGTCGAGCCCCGTGATGCCTTCTGGGTTGATCTGAGCCACTCCCACCGTGTCCCCAGGTCCCTTGCGCTTCGTCGGCGCCATCGGTCGCGAGGAGAACGAGTGCGGCGAAGACGGGACGAGCGGGCGTACGAGCTTGACTGGCGGGTCGAGAGCACTGCACTAGCAGTCTGCGAGCTAAAGCAAGTCCAACGAGCGTGTGTAGTGTCAAGTCCTGGTCGAAGGTGCGGTTGTGACTTCTTGCACGGCGACTGTTCGCTCGCTCTCGCTTGTACCCGCGCTTGACTGGTCAGATGGGCAGTGCAGATGGCTCACACGGGCAGAGTGCCCGCGACTCGCCCGTCCCGTCGACGTCGAAGCTCCCCTCAACTCCCTCCTCTCCCAGGCCAGACGAAGACGTCAAGGTGCGTTGGCTCGCTTGGAGCGGTTGAGGCGCTTCCCTGACGACAGAATCTTCCTCTACAGCCGAAGTTGAAGCGCTCGAGCAGCCCGAACACGAAGGGCAAGGGTCGCGCTCTTCCTGGCGCAGACGGTGGTGCGGGCGATGTCAACGGGGTCAAAAGGGAAAATGGGGAGGCTGGCGATGTCAAGCTCAACCCTGAGGAAGAGATTCTTTTGGGCGCGGTCCCGAAAGCAAAGATCGTGGGCTTGAAGTACGCTCGAGGAATCGCTACACGTGAGTCGCTTCTCTTACTGCCGAGTTCGAGCGTTGCTGACGGTCCTGAATCGCTCTGGTCGACGCAGTGAAGAAGGGCATGCAGGTCGAGCTTCGCAGAGTACGCTTTCGCACTGGCTCGCACTGCGTTCCGTGCTAATACTTTCGCAGGACCCGTACAACGTCACCGACAAGAACGCCATCGAAGTACGACATACCAAGGGCGGTCAGCGTATCGGCTACCTCAAGAAAGAGCTTGCGGCGAGGCTGTCGAACCTGGTCAAGGAGCGCAAGATCCGCCTCGAAGCTGTTGCTGGTGACTGTAAGCCCGCAGTCGCTCTCCACGTCGGGAGTCTCGCTGAACATATCTTTCTTCTAGTGCCCTTTAACACTGTCGGACTGTTCGAAGTGCCCATGCGCCTCGAGATTTGGGGCAAGCGCAAGTTCGCCTCCGACTCGCGCCTCGACTGGCTGTCGGCGGAGAAGAACGCCCAGCGCAAAGCGGAGAAGCTCAAGAGTGAGGCTTTGAAGGCGGCGATGGAGGAAGTCGAAGCGGACAGAGACAGGACGAACGGCGCAGGTGGGAAAGGCGGGACAAGCGCGGGAGGCAGTCCCGCAAATGGCGTGGCAAACCACAAGTCGAAGCAGGAGGTCCGTAGCCCGATTTTAGACACGGTGTAGGCGTACTGACTGGCTTTGGCGCAGATTGAGCGCGAGATCGCCATGCGTCAGTCCATCCTCCTCGCGCGGCAGAACAAGGGCGACATGCTCGGGGATATGTTCAAGGAAGGCGCAATGGATCCGGCCACTCTTCCCGTTCATCCTTGTCCGCCGGGTCGCAAGGACGGCACGATGCGGACGGACTTGCTGCCTTTCCAGGTCAGTCGCGAGCCGATTGACCTTCTTAGGCTGAAGTCACCCTTGCTGACGTTCTTTACCGTTCACAGAGGCAGGGTCTGTCGTGGATGATCAAGATGGAGCACCCCGAGCTGCCGAAGACGCCGGGCGATGCGCCTGTTCAGATGTGGACGATGAAGGAGGACTCGCAGGCGCGCTCCACTCGCCGTGCTAGCTTTCCGAGACGTCCGCTAACCCGCCGTCGTGCAGGGCGAGAAGTTCTACCACCACATTGGCACGGACACGACTCGCCGTAAAAGGTGGACGCTGAATCGAGGCGGCATTCTCGCGGACGAGATGGGTGCGTTGTGATACCAGAGTCTCACAAGTCGGGAAGCTGATCCTTCTCGTGCAGGCCTCGGCAAGACGATGCAGACGATCGCGCTGATCTGCACCGACGACACAGGCGAAGGCGTGCTGCCGGAACCCGAGGATCCGGACGAGGAGTACGACGATATGACGCTCATCGGTTCGTCCGCACTCCTCTTGTGCTGTTGAGCCTCTCTGACGCTCACACCGCTTTTTAGTCTGCCCGCTCTCGGTCGCCTCGAACTGGACGGACCAGTTCAGCCAGCACGTCGGCAAGAAGCGACTCAAGTGGCACTTCTTCCACGGCGAGGGTCGCGAACTGAGCAAGAAGGAGTTGCGGAAGTACGACGTCATCATTACGACCTAGTGCGTCTCTCTCTCTCTTGATAGACTTGCACTCCGACTCGGGCTGACAATCCCGCTTCGCAGCCAAACGCTCGCAGGCACAATTGAGGGCGACTCGCGCAAGTCGTCTCGAGCAACGTCTCACGCGGGAACGGAGAACGACGACGAGGACGAGGAAGACGATCGGCCGGCAAAGAAGCGCAAGATCTCGCAGAAGGACTTGGCGCTGCTCGAGATCAAGTGGCGGCGGGTCGTGCTCGACGAAGGCCACCTCATCAAGAACCCGAAGGCGAAGATGTCGAGGGCGTGTATCAAGCTGCAGGCTGAGTGAGCGTGTCCGTCGCTTGTCCTGCGAGAGTCCTGCTCATCAGCTTTACTCGCAGGCGTCGCTGGATCCTTACCGGTACCCCTATCGTCAACGCTGTCGGCGACCGTACGTTGCGCTCCTTCACGAAACCTGGACCGAAGCTGACGAGGCGTGAGCAGTCGGAGCGATGATACAGTTCCTCCGCGTCTGCCAACCTCTCGACGAGCCGAATGTCTGGCGGGAGTATGTCGCGAAGGGTGACGACCAGGAGCGCGCGAAGCTGCTCAGGGTGCGTCGTGACCTGCTAGTCTCACGAGTGGAGCTAATGTCAAGTGCTTGCAGGCCGTCGTCCTTTCGACAACCTTGCGTCGGTACGATAGTTCCCCTTCTATGCCGCGCCTGTTGCTCACGCTCCTTTCCGTCGCAGCACAAAGAACATGCTTGATTCGACCGGAAAGCCACTCATCTCGCTGCCGGAGGTCCTGTACTACAAGCACGAGGTGGAGCTCAAGCAGGAGATCCGCGACCTGTACAAGGAGGTTGAGGACGAGGTCGGCAAGAACGTCAAGAAGACTTTCGAGGAGGGCTCTTCGAAGGCGAGCTACACGCACATCCGTGCGTCGCGCCTCGCTCTCGCTGCACGGCCCATGCTCACTTCGTTCGGCCTGCAGTCTGCCTCCTTCTCCGCCTCCGCCAGCTCGCATGCGACCCCACGCTTTGCCCTCCCGAGTTTATCGAAGAGTGAGCCAGTCGCTTCGGACTGCGAGAGGATGCCACTGACCTCGCTCGCTTCCGCAGCATTCGCGACCGCAAGCTCGCTGCTCGCATCCAGCGCGATCACGAGTCGGCGACGGGCGTCTCGCAAGGTTCCCTCGACGCTCAACAGCTCTCGTACCTGCGAACGCTGCTGAAGGAGATGGCGGAGGCCGCTGCGGACTGCCTGGCTTGCGGACAGTGGGCAACCGAGCCGAGGATCACGATCTGTCAGCACTACTTCTGCCAGAGCTGGTGCGTAGCGCTCTCCAGTCTCAAGAACGACCGACCGTCCTGACGATCGGCGCGCAGCATCGAGTCCGCCGTCGATGCGAAGGGTGCATGCCCGTATTGCGGCCTTGCGCTGTCCCGCGACCACATCATTGCGCCGCCGGTTGACCGCAGCGTCTCGCCTTCGACTTCTCGCGCTGCCAGCGTCAGTAGCCGGCACGACAGCGTCTCGCCAGTCGAGAGGACGGCCAAGACGGAGGCCCTTATCACGCTTCTCAAGAGTACTCCGCCTGGCGTGAAGAGTCTCGTATTCTCGCAGGTAGGTCCGCACAATTGACATTGTACAGCGTCTGGTGCTGACAATCTTGGCTTGTAGTGGACGTCGCATCTCGACCGAATCGAGGCTGCTCTTGCCGCCGAAGGAATCACGTCTTGCCGGTTCGTCCTCCGCGGGTTCAGGGGTCGCTCACGTTGCTAACGACATCTCTGCAGCTTCGACGGCTCGATGCGCCAGGACAAGCGCGAGGAGGTCATCAAGTCCTTCACGGTGCCAAACAAGACCGCAACTGCCGGCAGCAAGGAAGACAGGAAGAACCCGATGGTCATGCTCCTCTCGCTGAAGGTGCGTCCGATCGGCTCTTCAGTCGGTTTGCTGGCCTTTGCTGACGTCGACTTCGTCAGGCCGGCGCTCTCGGTCTCAACTTGACCGTCGCAAGCCAGGTCTTCCTGATGGACCCGTCAGTCTTTCACGCTCCCGCTTCCGCTCGAATACTCAGCGCTGACGACGCAACGTGCGCAGCTGGTGGCAACCCGCGATTGAGCAACAGGCTATCGACCGAGTCAACCGTATCGGTCAGACGAAGCCGTGCGTCTCGCCGCCCTTCCCGTACTGCCCCCAGAATGACGCTGACGCTCGTCACATACAGTGTTCGCATCTTCCAGCTCGTCGCGAAGGACACCGTCGAGGACCGCGTCCTCGAGATTCAAGCGAAGAAGGAAGCCCTCATTGCGCAGGTACGCTCGATGCACGCTCACTCATGACTCGTCTTCTGACGTCCGTTCGCCTCCATAGGCCTTCTCCGGGCACAAGAACACTGGGAAGAGCAAGTCGAAGATCGGTAAGCCCGTCGCAAGCTGTTGTGGGCGCCGCTCGCCCGCTAACTTTCGCTTCTCCCGCAGAGGTCAACGACTTGGCCGCCATCTTCAACATCAAGGCTTGAAGCCTGCCGCCTCTCCACCGCCATCTGTAGCTGGCGCATCTGCTGTCATCTAACATCTCGCAACTCTCGCTGCGCTGTGCTCTGCGAAATGCTCGATTCCGAAAGCAGCCCCGAGCAGCTGCGGAAACAGAAGTATGACAGATGTATAGGCGTCTCTGGAAGATCTATAGGGCGACGAGGGCGCATGCACAGAGGGGAGGAAGGAGACGAAGCGGGATCACTTCTTGGGCGTCGGAAGGAGGATGCAGAAGAGGTTGACGCCGACGGCGACCGCTCCGCAGATGATCCAGGCTGTACGTACGACGGCATGAGTCAGTACCGGACGAGTTTGTGGCTGAAGAGCAAGAACGAACCGTTCGAGTAGCCCTTCGCGACCTGGTAGCGGAAGACCAGCGCGAACCAGATACCGCCGCTGCAGAAGGACACGGTCAGCGATACTCGATGCGAGGAAGAGCGATGCTTGACGTGACGGCGAAACGTCGCGAGGGGATGGAGGACTGAGACTCACAGGTTGCCGAACGCGCCGACGAGACCCGTCGTGAAGCCGTTCGAGAAGGGGTTGCAGTCTGGTCAGGCATGGAAGAAGGTCAGCCATCTTTCTCTATGAACGGGGAAGATGAGGCGAAACGCACGAGGAGCGAGTGAGAAGTTCGTTCCGTTGGCGACCTCGGAGAAGATGGCCATCAACGTAACGACGCCCATCTGGACGCTGATGCTTGGTGCGACACCAGCGTTGTGCTTGGTGAGAGTGTACTGCGCGACCGACTTGTGAGCTTCCGCCTACGGAGGATGAGGGAGGAACGCAGACTCACGGCGCCGAAAGCAATCGACATCGCGCCCTCGAGGACGCCGAGCACGATCGTCACGTACTTCTTCGCCTTGAGACCGTAGCGAGCGTAGAGGCGGTCGGCGAGGTAGCCGCCGAACGGTCGAGTAACCAAGTTGAGGAAGCCGAAGGTCGAGCCGTAGTAGCCAGCTTCGAGCTGCGTCAGCTTGTTGTTGGCGACAAGTACGGAAGCGATGTTGGCGTCGACGGCGAGCTCAAAGCCGAAAGTCGTCATGTCTGTTGGCGAAAATTGCGGAAGAGGTCAGGCGTCGGGAGATAAGGGAATGCAGCGCGAGCGGGACCCGAGTGGACTCACACATCAAGGTCGGCAGCCAGGTGTAGGGTTGCGAGATCATCCTGAGGAAAGTCTTGAACGTCAAGGGCTCGTTGACGGCGACATCGAGCGGGATCTCGGCGAGCGCGTCTTCCTCGTCGTCGGCCGGCTGGACGTGCGCCGATCCTTGCGCCTTCTCGCGAGCCTTGCGCTCAACGACGGCACGCTCGGAGGCGTCGAGATGGGCGAGGTGACCTTGGCGGGCGGCAACTGCCGTCGCAGGAAGCGTGTGCCGGGCGGACCACTTGCCTGTGGGTTGGGAAGGTCAGCGTCAACATCCTGCCTTGGAGCGCGCTCGACGCCACTGCCGGCACGCGGAATAGCCGTCCAAAGGCTGAAGCTCACCCGCGGGGCAGTCTGTGCCGAGGACGAGAGTCGCGGTAGCGACGAAGAGGAGGATGGGGACGGGAACGACGGCGAAGCAGACGCGCCAGGCCTTGTGCGAAGTGAGACCGCGGTTCATGAGCGACTGGAAGGTCGCGACTTGTACAACGAAGGTGACCTGCAGCGACGATGATCAAGTGAGAAGAGGTAGGCGAAGGACATGGGCATAGAGGGGATGGCGTGGAAGTCAATGTCAGCGTCCGTCCTGAGCAGCACAATCTGCGATGCGGTATTCACAGCCGACAAGAGAACGTGGGAGAAGGAGACGAGCAGGAAGGCTCACGCCTCCGCCAAGGTTTCCCCAGCCGCCAACGAAACTGTTCGCAGTCCCAACGATTGATTTGTCGAAGAACGCGGTCGTCCAGGCGAGGCAGGGGACGAATGTTGCGCCGAGGATGCCGATGAAGAATCGTACGGCGTACAAACCGCCGGCCGAGGAGATAGTACCGGCCAAGCCAGACGGGATGGCGCCGGCGACGAGGAGAGCGGCCATGCTGTGAGAAGGCGCAGGTCAGCGTAAAACTCGTAACGGAGCCGAAAACGACGAACCAATACCGCGGGCCGAAGCGATCCACCAGCGGACCCGTCGCGAAGCGGCAGACGAGCGTCGCCAGCAGCGCGATGATGTTCGAGTTACCGACTTGCGCCGTCGTGAGTTTCAGGTCTTTCTTGATGGCCTCCGGAATGAGTGGTGGGAAGGCAAACCTGAGGGGAGGGAAGGAAAGGCGGAAGGAGGGGTGGAAGGAAAGGGAGTGCAACGAGGTCAGCTGGGATGCTGGGGAGCCGGCAACCTTGTCACGCACCATGAGAGGAATGCGACGAAGAAGCCGAGCCACTGAGGGGAAAGAGGCAGGGAAGGGAAAGTCAGCGGAAGTCCGGAACGAAGTGGCGTCTAACGCACTGCGAGGTGGAAGTTGATGGAGTATTGATCGGTCAGGCGTAGGATGGGCAGTGTATAGCTCTTGCCATTGAGCGGGTTGATCTGGGCGGGTTCCCAGAGGGACGCCCAGCGGAAAGGCGGAGGACCATGGTGAAGTCCCAGCGCGTGTCGCTCTTCGATGTCGCTCGAAGACGCAGCGACGATCTCGTTGGAGGCACGCTTTTCGAGAACCGACATGGCGAAGTCGGGGAGGTCGGGAGGACTGAAGCGAAAGTTGAGTGTCGGAAGGGCGGATGTCCTTCGATGAGGCTGAAGATCCGGTAGAGAAGGAGGAGCGAAGGAAAGGGCGGAGAGGAGAGGTAGGGAGATGCAGCGTCCAATGCGATACGAGAGATAGCGCGAGGAACGTTGAAGGGACCGTCTATCGAGGAGAAGGCGTTAGGGCCGGTCCCTCGATCAGGAGCGCCCAGGCTAGCCAATGTCCGACGCGGACAGCGCAGAAGGAGCAGGGCACCGTCGAAGGGGAAGCGGTGCGGGGAGGGGAAAATGAAAGAGCGCCGCGCGACGAAATGGCGGGGCGAAACGGCTGCCGCCTTCGCTGGTGACGAGGGGGCGTTAGAGCAGCGCTGGCACACCAAAAAGTCATATCGTGACTACTGACAGACCCGCAAGCACCTGGCGAAGGCGCAGGGCGACCGAATCAAGCCAGGAGGACAGGACCCGACGCTCGTTGCGATACCAACCGCGAGATTAGCCTCCACTGCTCAATCGGGGCCCCGATAAGAACGTCCTGCAGCGGACGCAGGAGATTGTGCGGCGTAATCGTGCGCCAATCCGAAGCCGCCCCTTCGCACCGCGCCCATCCTTGACGCAGGTTGACGAGAACAGGTCCTTCAGAGCCTGCGCTGCCTCGCTGCTACTCCACCTCGACAAGAGCACTTCTTCAAGACCCTGCGCATCTGTACAAGGCCTCTCCACCGTCTACGACACCCGCAAACGCCCTTCTGTCGACATGGTCCCTGTCGCCTCGACGTCGATGTCGCAGGCCAGCCCGGAAGGCTCACGGGAGACGATTTTCGTAGTGGTGAGTCTCGAGCATCAGCACGCGCATGGACGAGCGCTGTGAGGGCGTGTTCGTAGTCGCGGTGGAGGAAGAGACGTCGCGGGGAGATGCTCTGCCCGCAACACCTCACTGACATCGACGGTTCCGGCTTGCTGTGATGCTGTGCACACTACCAGGGCCTCGGTGAGTTTACACTAGCTTGCGCGCGCGCTCCCACGGGCGAGTTGACTGATACCTCGCCTTCCCCTCCTCCTCATCTCGCCTCGGTCAAACTCCCAGGCATGGTCGGCATGGCGTTCATCGAAAAGATGCTCGACCTCGATAAGGACGTCGGACGGTACTTCTTGCGGACTTGCGGCGAGGAGGACCACCTGGGTACGCCGCCTGAACCGCCTCTTCTCCTCCGCGCGGCTGATTGACGATCTCTGCTTCTCCCATGCAGCCTACAACCGCGTTGGCCTTACAGAGTATTTCCAACACCGTAACGTCAGCGACCTCTACCTCAACTCGCCTAGTTGGTACGCTTCGCAGCTTCCCGACCGCTTCGCGTTCTCGACGGGCGAAAAGGTCATCGAGATCGACCCGCTCAACAAGAACGTCTTCACCTCGAAGGGCAACGTCTATCAGTGTGTTCCCGCCTTCGCTTGCCTTTACGGCGCCGACTGACGTTCTCTTCTTTGCAGATACGACATCCTCGTCCTCGCAACGGGCTCGAACGGCGCGCTTCCGCCCTACATCTCGCCAGCTCAAGCCGCCGAGACCAAAGGTGTCTTCGTCTACCGCAACGTCTCCGACCTCGAGGCTATCATGGACTACGCCGACAAGCCTGAGATTACTCGCGCTTCTGTTGTTGGAGGTGGAGTGCGTCCTGTTGCTCTCCTCCCGCTTCTTCACCGCTGATAAATGCATCTCGCAGCTGCTCGGCCTCGAAGCCGCAAAGGCAGTCTACGATCTTCCGACCATTCCCGACGTCAACATCCTGATCCGCCAGAACTACCCTCTCAACCGCCAACTTGACGCCAGCGCTGGCGAGATGGTGCTGCACGAGATTGAGAAACTGGGAGTCAAGGTGCTCACGGGATGCGAGCCGAAGGCGATCACGACCGAGACGAACGAGGCGGGCGACAAGGTCTTCACTGGCTTCCAGCTGGCCAACGACGAGACGCTCGAAAGCGACTTGGTGCGCGCTCTCTCCTTCACCCGACTCTCTTGGTATTGACTCTCTCTCATCCCAGGTCATCTACGGTATCGGCATCTCGCCCCGCGACGAACTCGCTGCGGCTGCCGGCATCAAAGTCGCGTCTCGCGGCGGCATCGAGGTCGGCGATGACTTGATGACCTCGGCTCGCGACGTCTACGCGATCGGCGAGTGCGCGAGTTGGCAGGGAAATGTGCGTGTCTCGCCTGCGAAGTGCCTCGGATCCCGCTGAACTTCACCTCGCCAGACCTATGGCTTGATTGGCCCGGGCGTCGAGATGGCCGACATCCTCGCCTTCAACTTGACGCAGACGGTCGGACACGCCCCTCGCAAGATGAATGCGCCCGACCTCTCAACGAAGCTCAAGCTCATGGGCGTCGACGTCGCTTCCTTCGGCGACTACTTTGCGGACGAGCGACTGGCGAAAGAGGCGGCTGCGGCTGAGGCTGCTGCACAACAGGCTGCCCCGAAGGAAGAGCACGGCGTCGCCATCTCGACGGTCAAGCCGAGCCGGAAACGGCCTCGCAACACCCGCAACGACCCGATCAAGTGCCTCACCTATTCCGACCCCATCTCGGCAACCTACCGCAAGTACATCTTCACAGCGGACGGCTCGCATCTTCTCGGCGGCATCGTGAGTCTTCCGCTCTTCCACCTGGGCAGTACGGCGCTGACCCGCTTCTTTCGCAGATGATCGGCGACACCGGCGCTTTCACCAAGCTCGTCTCGATCGTCAAGAAGAAGAAGAAGCTCGATGTACCGCCTTCGCAGTTCATCCTCGGCGCGAAGAAGGAGGAAGACGATGGGGCGGACCTCGACGACGATGTTGTCGTCTGCTCTTGCCATGCGACGACGAAGGGCGCCATCAGCCAATGCGTCAAGAATGGAATGACGGAGCTGGCGGACATCAAGTGCAAGACCAAGGCCGGTACAGGATGCGGTGGCTGTCTCCCGCTCGTCACCAACATCTTCAAGAGCGAGATGAAGAAGGCTGGTAACGCTGTCTCGAACAAGTGCGTCTCCTCGTTCAATCTCGCCTGCTCACATCGCTCACCTCCACGCGCCGCTCCAGCCTTTGCGTCCACTTCAAGATGTCGCGAGTCGACCTTTTCCAGGTGGTCAAGGTCAAGCGGCTGCACGACTTCCGCTCGATTATGCGCGCCGCCGGCTCGAATCCCGACTCTATCGGATGCGAGCTGTGCAAGCCGGCCGTCGCCAGCATCCTCGCCTCGCTCTACAACGATTTCGTCATGAAGCCTCGCCACCACGGCTTGCAGGACACGAACGACCGCTTCCTCGCCAACATTCAGCGCAACGGCACTTTCTCCGTCGTCCCTCGCATTGCAGGCGGCGAGGTCACGCCCGAAGGCTTGATTGTGATCGGTCAAGGTGCGTCGAATGGCTCTGTCCGAGCTCTCGCGCTGACCCCGTTTTCGCACAGTCGCCAAGAAGTACGGCCTATACACGAAGATTACAGGCGGACAGCGTATCGACATGTTCGGCGCGCAGAAGGCGGATCTTCCGGCTATCTGGGAGGAACTCGGCGCCGTGCGTTGCTTCCTGATTCCGGCCGGGGCGCAGCTGACCTTCCTACTCGCAGGCTGGCTTCGAGTCTGGCCACGCCTACGGCAAGAGTCTCCGTACCGTCAAGTCTTGCGTCGGCTCGACTTGGTGCCGCTACGGCATCGGCGACTCGGTCGGCCTCGCCATCGACCTCGAGAACCGCTACCGAGGCGTCCGCTCGCCGCACAAATTCAAGGGTGGCGTGTCTGGCTGCGTGCGCGAGTGCGCTGAGGCGCAGAGCAAAGACTTCGGTGCGTTGGACTGGCCAGTTCGCCTGGAAGTGCGCTTCGCTGATTCGCATTTCTCGCAGGGCTCATCGCGACTGGTGCGTCGCAGGACGGGTCCGAATGCTTCTGTCGATCTAGCAACTGACGGGCACCATCGCTCTGGCAGATAAAGGCTGGAACCTCTTCATCGGCGGAAACGGCGGCGCGAACCCTCGTCACGCCGTCCTCTTCGCCAAGGATGTCCCGCCTTCGAAGGTTGTCAGGCTCGTCGACCGCTACGTGCGTTTCTGAGGCTTTTTTGCATGCGCTCAGCAAGCTCACCATGGCCCTCGCTCACAGCTCATGTTCTACATTCGCACTGCCGACAAGCTGCAACGGACGGCGCCTTGGGTCGAGGGCTTCGAGGGCGGCATCGACAAGCTGCGCAAGATCCTCATCGACGACGAGCTCGGCATCTGCGCCGACCTCGAGGCGGAGATGGACAACCTGATCGGAACGTACCAAGACGAGTGGGCAACGGCCGTTCGCGACCCAGAGGTTCGCAAGTCGTTCAAGCAATTCGCCAACACGGAAGAGCGGCGGCTCAACTCGGAACTCATCACCGAGCGAGGGCAGCAACGACCTGCCGACTGGCCGAAGAACTTCCCCGGCCAGCGATTCGAGGTTAAGGACATTCGGACGCCTCGCTCGCAGTGGCGGTACGTCAAGCTGGCGAGCACGGGTGATCTCTCGCCGACGGAGGAGAACACAACGTCGTGCGCTGTCCGATATGGCGAGGACTCGCAGCTCGCTATCTTCCATGTCCCCGGCAAGGGGTACTTCTGCACGCAGCAGATGTGTCCTCGTGCGTCACCCTTGCCCTTTGCTCGCCGATTCGTGCTGACGCGCTCGAATCGTTAGACAAGCGCGCCTTCATCCTCGAGCACGGCATCGTTTCGGACGACGGCAGCGGCCACCTCTACGTCTCCTGCCCTCTGCACAAGCGCAACTTCCGCCTCGACAATGGCGACTGTCTCAACGACGAGGAGTACAAGATCCTTGCGTTCGATGTGAAGGAGGAGAATAGCGACTTGCTCGTCCAGGTTCCTCCGCCTGACGAGCTGGACGCTCTGATTGGGTGCGTCTCGCTCAGCTGCTCCGTCGGAGTTTGGTGCTGACGCTTTTGGCTGTCCGCAGGTCGTCGAAATGGATGGTGCGGAAGGCGACTGCCGAAGCGTTCGGTCGCAACGCAGCGACGGCCATCGAGTGCGTCCTCCTCAGACCTCTCCCTTCCTCCCGCTCACTCTGCTGACATCTTGTCTCCGCAGAATCGTCGGACCGTCAGGCGAGGTCGACGAGGACAAGAAGGCGGCAGGAACGGAGTGCGGCGAGGCGGACAAGTCTTGCGGGACGCACAAGCTCGAGTGGTAATCCTTGCGCGTCTCTCACGGCCATTGTATCTATCTCTAGACGTCGTTACTCCGTATTTCGGTTGTTCGTGCATCGTAGACGTCGTACAGCAGCTCTCGTCTTGTCGCTTGGGAAGGCTCGCCTCCTCAACCGCAAAGGCAGCTTTATCTCCTTTGCCTCGTCGCCTCAGTGCACTCAAGGGACTCTGCTACGCCCTCTACGTCGCAAGACCGGCCGGCGAGGCGTCCTGGCTGGCTTATCGTTGACGTCCGCCTTTTATGCTCAAGCAAGTCCACCTGCGAGTGATTCAACGTCGGCCCGCCTTGTCCCAGGTCGCCGACTGTCCTATCGCAACACTGCAACTGTAGCGCTGTCCGAACCGGAGACCTTGCGGCGCGATCCGAGGGCAAAGTCGTGCATTTGCGAAACGGTATCCGCTCGAAGGGCTCACGCGCTCACGATAGACCTCGACCGGCCTCGGACTTGGCGCCAGGGTCGCTTCCGATGACGGACAGCAACTCTGGCTCTGGGCGTCGTCGCTGCTGCGATCCACTTTGCGGGTCCCCTTATCGCGACTGCCGGATCCGAGATTGGCGGTATCTTTCGCTCGCTGGTCTTGTTGGACAGCTGGACAGTCTCTGCAGCGTCGAAGCGACGTCGATAAACTCCAGCGACACGCTCACAATCCCAGAAGAACGACCCACGAACATGAGCACACCGTCGTCGCCGTCCTCCTCCTCTTCCTCCTCCGCTTTCTCGTCAAGCGACTCGTCCCCGCTCTCGACTGCGCCAACTACTGCTCCGTCCTCGCCAAAACTATCTGCTAGCGGCCTCGCAGGACTCCCCTCGCCGTTCTACCCGCCTACTCTCGCTGCCAGGGAGGGTTTCGCCTCCTCGCACCAACCCGACCCGCTTCCTTCGCATTTTCCGCCCCTTCCTTCGACCAGCCAGCGACCTATCGAAGCGGATGCGGTCACAAAGGGCACGCCAGACGAGTGGATCCCGCGGGACGAGCGCTTGGTGCGGTTGACAGGTGCGTCCACTCCCTCGAACCTGATGAGGCGAGTGCGAGAGGAGCTGACCGTGCGGGCTTTTGCGACCGCCTCTCACGCATCCCACAGGTAAATGGCCGTTCAACACTGAGGCGCCGCTGCCGGATCTGTGGAAGGAGGGCTTCCTCACGCCAACCCAGTACGTCCTCCCCTCTCCGTGAGGCCGCCAGACGCGCTGACGGTTCGCGCGCAGACTCTTCTACGTCCGAAACCACGGTGGCGTGCCGCAGGTCACTCGAGAAGAAGCGGCGAACTGGACCGTGGAGATTAGCGGCCTCATCAACCGACCTTGCGCCCTCACCCTCGCCGACCTCATCGACCCTCGCAAATTCCAGACTGTCACTCTTCCCGTCACGCTCGTCTGTGCCGGAAACCGTCGCAAAGAGCAGAACGTCGTCAAGAAGTCGCTTGGCTTCTCCTGGGGTCCGGCAGGCCTTTCGACAGCGCTCTTCACGGGCGTCTACCTCGCCGACGTCCTCGAGTACGTCCAGCCCCGCGCAGAAGGCGTCTTCGGCGAGCCTGGCTACCGTCGACCCGAGCACGTCATCTTCGAAGGCGCGGAGGATCTGCCCAACGGCAAGTACGGGACGAGCCAGCGCTACCGGTGGGCGCGAAACAAGGAGAAGGGCATGCTCCTCGCCTGGGCGATGAACGGCGAGGCTCTCGAGCCAGACCACGGCTTTCCCCTCCGACTCGTTGTGCCCGGCCAGATCGGCGGACGGTCCGTCAAGTGGCTCAAGAAGATCGAGGTCAGCGACCGGGAGAGCGATCATCACCTCCACTACTGGGACAACAAAGTGCTCCCCGCGACGCTCTCGGCCGAACAAGCACGCAACGAGCGCGACTGGTGGTACGATCCGAAGTACATCATCAACGACTTGAACGTCAACCTCGCAGCCGCACGACCCGCCCACGACGAGAAGCTCGTCTGTTTGCCCGAAACCGAGCCGACCTACACGGCCGAAGGGTACGTCTACGCCGGCAGTGGACGACGAGTGACTCGCGTCGAAGTCTCGCTCGACGACGGCGCGACCTGGTCTCTCGCCGACATCTCGTACCCGGAGGACCTCTACCGCTCGACGCCGTTCCAAGGCCGTGTTTGGGGCACGCTCGACGTGACAGATCGCGACGAGTGCTTTTGCTGGGCGTTCTGGAAGATCAAGATCCCGCTCGACAAGCTGCAAGACTCGGGCTGCATCTCGATCCGCGCGATGGACGAGAGTCTACACCAGATGCCCTCGACCATGTACTGGAACCCGACGGGCATGATGAAGTGCGTCGCCTCTTGTCTGGCCTGTTCGCTTCGAGTCAGGCTGACGACGTTCGCTCGCAGCAACTGGTGGTTCCGGGTCGCCATCCACCGCTCGACAGACACCGCCGGAAGTACCGTCTTGACGTTCGAGCACCCGACGATGCCTGGTTTGCAGCCTGGAGGATGGATGGAGCGGCTCAAGGAGAGTGGGTGCGTCCGGTTCCTCTCTCGCACGCCAAAGTCGTAACTGAGCTCGTTGCTTTCGCAGCCAAGATCCGGCGAACCCTTCCTTCGTCAAGGTCACGACCGAAGACGAGACGATTCTCGCGCAGGCGAAGGAGGCGGCCGCAGCGAAGAAGCCCAAGCTGATCATGACCAAGCCGGACGTCGACCGCAAGATCACCCGCGCCGAGCTCGTCGCGCACAACAAGGAGGACGAGCCGTGGTTCGTCGTCAACGGCGAAGTGTACGACGGGACGGGCTTCTTGAAGGACCACCCGGGCGGGTCCGAGTCGATCACGCTCGTTGCGGGCGAAGATGCGAGCGAGGACTTTATGGCCATCCACTCGATTGACGCCAAGCTCCGCCTCGCCGACTTCCACATCGGCACCCTCGTCGGCGGCGAAGACGCACCCGTCGTCACCGGCGAACCCGTCGCTCCCGCCACACCCGACCCCATCTTCCTCAGCAAGACCAAGTGGAAACCTGCGACGCTCGTCTCGATCGAACGAGTCAACCACGACTCGCGCGTTTACCGCTTTGCGCTCGAGCACGAGGACCAGCCGCTTGGGCTGCCGGTCGGCCAGCACGTCTATGCGCGGCTGAGGAGGAAGGTCTGTCCTGCGGATGCCGAGGCGGGAGGTGCGGACGTCAAGGTCGTCGAGGGCGAGCTGGTACAGCGTGCGTACACGCCTGTGTCGCGGCAGGGCGCGAAGGGCTATCTCGACTTGCTCATCAAGGTGCGTCTCGGGTGATCCGCTTTCTCTACGGCCACTCCGCTGACACAACGCTCTCAGGTCTACTTCCGCACGTCTGCGTTCCCCGAAGGCGGCAAGATGACGCTCGGCTTCGAGGAGCTCCAGGTCGGCGACGTTGTCGAGTTCAAGGGCCCGCTCGGATCGTTCGAGTGGCTCGGGAAGGGCAGTTGTCGCTGGCGAGGAGTTGAGCGCAAGGTCAAGAACATTGGCATGATCTGCGGCGGTTCAGGTGCGCCGCGTCCGCTTGTCAGCTCTCGCTGCGATGCTGACCTCTCCCGTACAGGCATCACGCCCATCCTCCAAGTCCTCCGCGGCGTCGTCTACGATGAGCAGGACAAGGACACCAAGCTCTACGTCCTGAATGCGAACAAGACCGAAGCCGACATCCTCATGCGTGCCGAATTGGACGAGTTGTCGCGGCTAGCTGGACCCGAGCGCCTGCGGCAACACCTCGTCCTTTCGAAGGGACCGGACGACTGGGCGGGCTCGCTCGGCAGGATCGGCAAGGACCACCTCGTCAAGTACATGCCGCCCGCCAGCTCCGACGCGCTCGTCCTCATGTGCGCGCCGCCGCCCATGCAGGACATGGTCGTCGCGCACCTCGCAGAGATGGGTTGGGACGTCGCGACGCAGGTCGTCATCTTCTAGAGTATCTCTGCTCGTCGTACATAGACTGTTTATCCGTGTTGCATCGGTCGTCGTTCGCATCGCCAGCCTGTTCAGCGCACGTCTGCCTGGTCTCGCTTTCTCGCCTCGCCTCGATAATTTCGCTCGCTCCGCCAGCTATCATTCGAGTGCATCATTAAGCTGCTCTTGCACGCAGAAAGGCTAATGAACGACTTTGCGAGGCTGACGACGCTCGCCTTGCGAGAGGCGGTGCTCCTCCTCGTCTCGCCGTTCACTTCCTCGCTCTCATACAGCGTTTGGCTGGGCGTTGAGCTGCTTGAGCTGTCCAGAGTGCTTGCTTGACCTGCCTGGCCAATCCTCGCCTCGCCTCGCCCCGCACCATTCTCGTCACGCTTACGCCGCCTCCATCCTCATCAAACTCGAAGGTCACTCTGCGCATCCACGGCCTTTCGCACAGTGAGTACGCCTGAGCAGGCTCCAGAAGAGGTGCATGGGTCGGTCACAGGCGCGGGGCGGGTCAAGGGACGAGAAGTGATCGTTGACATCGCTTGTCGGACGACTGGGTCGAAGCAGTGACAAGTTCAGAGTGGCGGAACGGCCAGACGCGAGGACAAAGAAGACTACGAGCGAAAGAAGGGGAATGCTGACGGCTCCGCTCCCTCGACAGAACTTTCAGCATGACGGATCTCGTCCCGCACATCTACCATGAGACGGTGCGTCGTGCGGTTTACGCTCGAATGAATGCCGACACTGACCTCTCCATTCGTCCCACAGCAAGAGCGTGCGTCGGAGTCCGACTCTTCGAGCGTCGACGATTGACTGACCCCTCGCTTCCAACAGCCGGCTCGATGCTCTGCGGCCAACACGCGCTCAACAACCTCCTCCAGTCTGCGATGTACACCGTCGTGGATCTTGCCGGCATTGCGCGAGAACTCGATGCGCTCGAGGCGTCGCAGCTGGACCCGGGAACGCGGTTGAGGGGAGACGACCCGAGAGAAGGGAGCCAGAACTACGACGACAGCGGGTTCTTCAGTGTACAGGGTGCGTATCGACTTGCCCTCCATTTGCAGCTGTAGACGAGCTGACGGGTTTCGCTCGCACGCAGTCATGGAGGAGGCGATCAAGGTCTTCGGGTTGCGTCTGGTGCGATGGGGCAGTGAGGAGATGGCACACGTGCACGACAAGCCCGAGTGCGGCTTGCTCACGCTCTTCTAGCCAGTCCGAGACTGACGGCCATCTTCGCAGGCTCATCGAAGGCTTCCTGCTCAATCACCAGCTTCACTGGTTCTCCATTCGCCGCTTTGGTACACAAGACCGCTTCTACAACCTCGACTCGTGCATTCCGCAGCCGCAGTGGATCTCGGCGATGTACCTCGGTTTGACGCTGCGCGAGGCCGAGCGACAAGGTGCGTCCTCCCGTCCTTTCGAAGGGAGTCGGTTCGCTGATGCCTGAGCCGTCGGCCGGCAGGCTACTCGATCTTCGCTGTCGTCCCCGCACCCGAACTCGGCCAAATCACCGGCCTTCCCTCCTGTTCTGCCGCCGACCTCGCCCTCTCCCTTCCCCCTCCTCGCGGGGGGAACTCCTACTCGAACGGCTCGACTTCGGCCTCTTTCGCGGGCAACGGCCACACTCTCGCCGGTCCCTCAACCTCCCGTCAAGCATTCGGCTCCACCTCCTCCTCCGCCTACAAGCCGCCTCTCGCGTCTACCGCCTCCGGCTCCTCCAGTCGCAAGGGCAAGCGCCCAGCCTCGGACGATGACGACGACGATGACGACATCATCATCGAGGAACCTTCTGCGAGCGGGAGCGGCAGTGGGCGATCGTCAGTCGAGCAGGAGAGCGAGAAGAGGCGGAGGAGGAGGAAGATCGACGGACAGAATGGTGGAGCGAGCGGGAACGGGGATGCGATGGGCGCGATGAGCGAGGAGGAGATGATGGCTGCCGCGATACGCGAGAGTCTGAGGGTCAGCGGGCAGGGAGGGGGAGGTGGGACTGGAGAGGCGAGTCAGGTGCGTCTCGATTGATCTCTGCGCGGACCTCCCCTACGGAGGCATTGCGCTCCCTCATAAGCAGTCGACGCGCTCATACTCGCTCACGACCGCAGCCACGCAAGGGTCGCGGCGACGTCGACGAGGAAGAAGAGTTCCAGCGCGCCCTGCAGGCCAGTCTCGCCGAGAACGGCGGTGGCGGCGCCAACAGCGACGCAGGCAACGCGACCGAGTCGGAAGCGTCGGGCGACGAGGGCGCGGAAGACAGCCCGTCGATTGACGAGTTGCGAAGGTTGAGGCTGGCGAGGTTTGGGATGTGAGGAGGACGAACGAGGGCTCGCCGCATCTGTTGTGACTTGTGTTCTTCTGCTTTGCATTCGCATGCATACTTTCGCCAGCTCCTTGCGCCCGCACCGCGAGTCCAGCCATCTTCACCGCTGACAGCCCGCCATCTGGCGACGCGACCTGCTGTTTGCCCCGTTCACTCATCTTGCTGGCCATCCACACGCTCGCTGGGTCGATGCTCACGCTCGAGCTCGAGGACTTTGCTTCTACGAGCGACTGCACGCTCGAAGCGCTCGCCCATGTCGCCGTGTCGCTGGCAGACTCATCGGCGCAGGTCGTCGCGGCGGTGGGCGCTGGCATCTCGACGAGCGCAGGCATCCCGGTGCGTCTCACGGCTTGCTGGTAGTCTAATGGGGACGCACGACTGACGCAGAACCCGATCGACAGGACTTTCGCGGTTCTTGCGGGATCTACTCCTCCTCGTCCCCCACTTCGTCTCTCTCGTCGCCGCATCCTCCTCCTTCCACTCCGCGCTCGTCGCAGGCGACCAAACACCTCTTCTCCTACTCGTCGCTTGTTCATCCCGAATCTCGCAGCGAGCATTTTCGGTTCATGGGGGACTTGCGAAAGGCGGCGCGGAAGGCTGGCAAGGGGAAGGAACGCGCCGACGAGCCGCCGACGGCCTTTCACGGACTGATGAAGCGTCTGGAGCGGTCGGACAAGCTCATGCGCGTATGGAGCCAAAACGTTGATGGGCTGGAAAGACAAGCGGGACTCGATTTCGTCGACTTTGACGACCCGTCTTTGCTTGATGCACGGCAAGGCGACAATTCTTACGACTCGCCGGACGAGGAGAGTTCGTCAGATTACGAGCGACCAGACTGGACGCCCATTCGCCGCGGCAGGAAACGCCGACGACTCTCGCCTCTTCCCCTTTCCCTACACCCGCCTCTCTCGTCTGCGACGTCTGAGCGAGGCAAGGTCGTCGCACTGCATGGCTCGTTGGACGAGGTTGTGTGTGGCGTCTGTCGCTGGAGGGAGAAGTGGCGGAAACGGCATTCGAAGGCTTTCAGGAAGGGCAAGGCGCTCCCTTGTCCGCAATGTCGAGGTCGAGGTGCGCCGCAGCGTCATAACCTTCGTTTGCTCAAGCTAACATCGCTTCCGACAGCCCACTCCCGCCTACAACGCTCGAAGCGCCTCGTCACGCCCTCCCCTCTCTCCTCCCTCCGCCCTTCGATTCTCCTCTACGACGACTCCACCACCTCCGTCTCCTCCCTCTCCTCCCTGATCTCCTCCCTCGCCGCCTCAGACCTTTCAGCCGGACCGGACTGCCTCATCGTCGCTGGAACATCCCTGCGCATCCCGGGGTTTCGGAGGATCGTGAAGGATGTTGCGAGGGCTGTGAGGAAGCGTAAGGGGGTTTGCGTGTTTGTGAATGGGGAGAAGGTGGGGAAGGAGTGGGATGAGGTGTTTGATTATCACTGTGCGCTTTCGCTTCGCTTCTCTTCTCCTTAAGGGAGGTGAGCTGACGTGCTGGCGCGGAGCAGTCCTCGGCTCTACCGACACTTTCGCGACCGCCATCTCCTCGTTTCTCGACACCTTCTCTCCCCTCCCCTCGCAAGACTCCCTCTCTGCTACTCTCTCCTCCCCAGCCCCCTCGCCGCGTCCCGTTCTCCCCCCGCTCCCTTCCCCTCCGCCACTTCCCGCCTCGTCCGCTGCTTCAGAAGCTGGATGGTCCATCCCCCATACGCCACCTTCCAGCGTCGTGGAATTGTCGTCGCCTTGTGCGCGGCACGAGCAGAAGGAGAAGAAGAAGAAGGAGCGCGGGAGGAAGCGGAGGAGGGAGATTGAGCGCGCAGGTCCGGACAGCGGCGAGACGAAGAAGAAGCGGAGGAGTAAAGAGAGCGAAGGAGGAGAAAGGGGGCGTGAGGGGTCTGCCCCTCCTGCCTCTCCCTCAATCACGCCTCTTCTCCCAACTTCCGCGCCCGCACTCTCCTCACTCCCAACCGCCTCTCCCGACTTGACGAGCGATATGAGCATCGCCGAGCTTCTGTGCCTCGTCGAGCGCCACACGCGTCGAGAAGCGCGCGCGCGACGCAGACTGTCGAAGGCTGCGAAGATGAGCGAGGGGCTGTAGACGTAACCCTTTATGCGCACTGCGGGCTGAATATCTGGCCTTATCCCCCTGCTCGGTGTTCGGGGAGAGTTTGGCGAGAAAAGCGAGTTGCTCAGGGAGATGAGGGCGCGCTACCGCCCAATCCTCTCCTCCTCCCTCTGCTCCCTCTTCCCCTTCTCCTCCTCGTTAGACACACTAGCCTCCGCCACCCTCCCAACCCACTCCCTCGCAAACTCCGCCACGCTCTGTCCCTCACTCAACTCGACCACATCCCTCGGATACCTATTGTGCGCATACCTCGGCATCCCACCTCCTTTCTCGCTTTCCACGACCCTCAAGTCTGGTGAGGAGGAAGGGGAGAGATGGAGGGAGAGAAGGTGGGAGGGGGGGAAAAGGAGGGTGTCGGTCCGGGGAGAGAAGGGGTTTAGGTCGATTAGGAAGAGGCGGGAGGAGTCCCGTGTTAGGTAGATGTCGAAGATGTCTGCGGGCGAGATGGAAGATGCGGTTTGTCAGATGAAGGGAAGGAAGAAGCGAGGAGGAGAGAAGAGCAGGGACGAACAGGAGGAGAGAGGCGCCTTGTCGCGGATCTCGCGCGCCCAGAAGTCGCTGATCTGGGTCGTCAAGTTCGCTTTGACTTGCTCGCCTTGCAAGAAGTCGTAGAAGGTCGTGTCGCGTTGGGAGATGGCTGTCTCGCGCCTCCCCGTTAGTTCCAGCAGGGAAGGGGCGGAAGGAGGTGGAAGAACGCACCGAGTAACCGGTTCTCGCGGACGAAGCACCTCCATTCCTGCGACCTCGGCATATCAAACCACTTCTTCAACACCAGCTCGAAGCTCCAGCGTCTCCTCCTCCTCCGTTCTCCCTCTTCCTCATCCAAACTCAGGCCAGCGAGGGAAGGGGAAGTTGGTTCGTAGTCGATGCAGTCGTCGAATGCCCGGTCGAGGTCGTGCGAGATAAAGTCGCTGGATTTGAGGAGGAGGTAGACGTCGGCGGGCGTTTGGCACTTGAGGTTCTGGCCGGGCAACATCCATGCTGCGTCCTGCGGCGACGACCAGTTCAACTTGGGGAAGACGGCGCCGTCGTATCTCGCCAAAGCGGAACGGATCTCGGCGTCGAGGTGCGGGAAGGAGAATTGGCGGCGTTGGCGCGGGGAAGGGGTTGGTCGGCCGTCTGCGCCGTCTGTCGAGGATGCGGTCGAGGAGGAAGGGGAGTCCGAGTCCGAGTCCGAGTCGCTCAGCTCGCTGAGCCTGTGCGCGAAAACAACCGCATGAATCAGCAGAGCCCTTACACCGCAAGGACCCTGAATCGAGAGGACAACTTGGCCTGTACGCACCCCATGGGCCCGCTTCCCTCTGGCAAGAACAGCCCATCGCTCTCGAGGTACTCTACAAAGTCGTCCTCTTGCGGTATGGGTCGTATGACGGTGGCCTTAGGGCTGATGCGCCTGAAGAGCGGGTACCAGTGTGAGAACTGGCAGGCGAGGATGTCGGCTGTGTGGAGCGGCGGGAACAGCGGTGGGTCGGGTGAGGAGGGTGCTGGTGCTGGTGGTGGAGTGAGTGGGACGGCCATGGTCAGCGTAAGTGCTTTGGTGCTAAGGTCAACTTGTGTCTGGTCTGGCTGATGAAGTCAAAAGCTCGTCTCGCTCAAAGACGCCAGCGCGGAGTGGTCCCATCTCGTTCACGGCGCCAACACTTCGTGAGGGACTCGCTCAACTCCAGCGAGGGACATACACTCGATTGTTGCATTACACTCAAGCCACACAGTCCAACTGCGGCGGTGTGTGGAGCGGTAGGGCCGCGCAGTGTCATTCGCGGACTCGCCGTCTTCTCTCCGCGCCGATTTTCATCAGCGGCCACCCTTCAACTTTCTCTCTACGCTGCTACACTCGCTAGACTGCTTGCACGGCTAGACCAGATGGATTCAGAACTCCACAACAGACCCACAGCAGGGCCGCGCACACTCACAGACCAGTCGCTCCTCACCAAACCCTCCCCTTCCTCTGACTCGTTCGAACCCGCAAAACCGGTCCCACAACTCGCATTAGACGACGCAGACTACGCCAAGCCATCGAGGGAGGATGGATCGGGATCCTGGGTTGGAAGGACATGGACATGGTTGATTCGGAGCGAGAACGTCGAGGCGCATGGCGTTGGCCCTCTCAAGGAGGAACACCGCACCGACGCGCGGTTCCTCAGCAACTTTACGCTGTGGTTGACCATGAATGCAACCATCGCTTGCTTCTCGACCGGCACTCTGGGTGCGCTTGCGCTCACTTTCACCGTTCGATATTGCCTCTCTGACTCTCTCTCGCCCGACAGGCCCGCTCTACTACTCCCTCTCGATGCGCGACTCGTTCCTCGTCATCGCCTTCTGCAACATCTTCTCCTGCGGCATCCCCGCCTACATCTCGACCTTCGGTCCACGCCTCGGCATGCGCACGATGGGCATCGCGCGCTACTCGTACGGCTACTACCCCGCCATCCTCCCCGCCCTTCTGAACTTGATCTCCTTCATCGGATTCTGCGCGGTGAACTCGATAGTCGCCGGACAGGTCCTGGCGGCGGTCAACCCGGGACACCTCTCGACGACGGCGGGAATCGTCATCGTCGCGGTCGTCAGCATGTTCATCTCGTTCTGCGGGTACAGGGTGCTGCACGCGGTCGAGCGGTGGGCCTGTGGGTCACCCTCCCATCCTCCGAACCGAGCGTCGACTGATCCGTCTCCGTTTGCAGGGCTGCCGGTCATCCTCGCCTTCATCCTCCTCACCGGCTTTGGCGGCCGCCATCTCGGTTCCGCGACCTCGTTCGCAAAGGACGTCCCCGCAACAGCCGCCAACGTCCTCTCCTTCATCTCCATCGTCGTCGGTTTCACCAGTTCGTCCCGTTCCCTTTCCCTCCCTTCGCACATTTACTAACGCCCTTGCCCGCAGTCTCCTGGGGCGGCTGCTCCGCCGATTTCAACACCTACATGCACCCGACCGTCCCCTCCTACCTCGTCTTCGTCTACACCTTCCTCGGCCTCTACCTCCCTTGCGCTCTGATCCAAATCCTCGGCGCTGCGTTCGCTGCCGCTGCACTCAGTGGAGAGGTACCCACTTGGGAAGCGGCGTTCGGAGATGGAAGTGTCGGCGGACTGGTGGGTGTCGCGATGGAGCCGATGAAAGGGTTCGGCAAGTTCTTGCTCGTGATCTTCTCGCTCGGGATGATCTGTTCGTCCCTCGTCCCTCTCTTTCCCCCTCGTCTCTCTCGCTAACTCCGCGCGCAGCCAACAACGCCCCAACGCAATACGCCTTCTCCCTCTCGCTCCAAATCGTCTTCCCCTTTCTCACTCGCCTCCCGCGATTCCTCCTCCCGATCGCGGGGACGGCTATCTACCTCCCTATCGCGATTGCGGCTGCGGCGCACTTTGCGGCGGCGTTGAGCAACTTCTTAGGATTGCTTGGGTATTGTGAGCCGGGCTTTCGTTCGCCCTGCAGACCAGAGCGGGTGCTAATGGTTCCGTGCGCGCGCGCAGGGAGCTCCATCTTTGTCGCCATCCTCCTCATCGAGGTTCGTCCCTCCCTACTCCCGCTCCCTCTCCTCCTCCTCCCGCTAACCCTTGCTTTCACGCACAGCACCTCCTCTTCCGCCGCGGCCACTTCTCCTCCTACGACCTCTCGCTCTGGGACCGCTCCTCAAAACTCCCGCCGGGTATCGCAGCGTTATTCGCAAGTTTCTGCGGCGCGGCGTTTTGTGTAGTAGGAATGGACCAAGTGGTGCGTCCTCCCTTCTCTCCTCCTTCCTCTCTACTCGAGCTGACACCTCTGACGGGGGCGTGCAGTGGTACCGCGGCCCTCTAGCCGTCTCTATCGCCGGCCCCTCGGTCGAAGCAGGCGGCGACATCGGGTTCGAGACGGGGATGGCTGTTGCGGGGGCGGTGTTTGTGCCGTGTCGGTGGATTGAGAGGAGGGTGTTTGGCCGGTAGATTGCTAGAGGTAAAGGAGGGGGCAGGTCAGAGGGAGAGGGGCGATAGACATGCGTTTCTTGGGTTCTTATTTGGTTCGATTGTGGTGCTTAATCAATGATTCAGCGATACTTGGTATGAACGGTTTGTGTCGTTGACGCGTGGTGAGCTGTGTAGTAGCGAGCATCGGGTCGCGAGCGAGTACGGACAGCGACCAAGGAGAAGGGGTGGAAAGCGAAGCGAGGGGCGAGTAGAGCAAGACGGTTTTCGTGCAGCCTGAAGAGGCTGCAAGACAACTCGAGCCGAGAGAGCGATCATCTGAGCGTCCTGACAGCAGCGCTGGAGCGCAAGCAGCGCGAAGCGGCCAGAAGCGTTCCGGAGGAGATACAGAGAGGCTCGTCCGACAACGCAGAAGTGCGATGGCCGCTGCGAGGGACGATTAGGCGCGAAGGATCGACACAGCGAACACAGCGCAGGAGATCCGCAAGGCTTAGCTCGTCGAGCGGCAGGACAAGGTGGTCGACGCCCGTCCGACGGAGGAAGGCGGATCTGTCGCTCCTCGGACTGCGCGACGGATCTGCATGGGCGAGGTCTCTTCGTGAGCGACGCGCTGTCGATCCTGCGCTGCCTGTGGACGGATGAATCGGCGCGGAGATGTCTCGACCCTAGGATGTGGGTGGAGGGGTGCGCGAACGGCGTCGGGGTGGACGAAGCAGGGTGGCCCAGCAATTAATATAGCGCCCGATAGTCCTTCGCAGCTAGTCGCAGTCCGCCCGCGAGCCAGCAACCCGCCAAACCGCGACCTCATCAGCGCAATCTGGAGGAGAAGCGCAGTCGGCAGTGTACGGCGCTTGGCTGGAGGCAGTAGTTAGAGGACTGGAGGGTTGGACTGTCCGTTGCTTGATCTGCTTACGAACAGCGTAAACGGTCAACGTCGTCGAGGCTGGCCAGCGCAAGCCACTCTTCGCCCGCTCTCGGAAAGTCCCTCGACCTCACCCGCTTGTCTCGATGCGATTCACCCTGGTCGAACACCGCTACCGGCCTGCGACACGCTTGCCCACCATTACCCGCTGGCTCGCCCAGCCCGGCCACGCCCTCGAGCCTGCCAGCCCACCTCGACCCCCTTGTTCTGGAGCTCGCCCGTCGATGAGTGCAAGCTTTCTGACAGGGCTGGTCGAACGGAGCGTCGGTCATCGTGCCTGAGGACCTCGAAGCCAGTCCGCCCGTGACGAAGGCTGGCCGCTCACTCGCTGCTTGCTCTTGTCCCCTTCTTCCCCTTGCCCCTAGCTCCGTCACCGCCGCTTCGTCGCTTGTTCTGCCTGCATCGGTCCCTTGCATTCCTTCGCTCCACTCAGCCCGAGGCTGCCTCCTCATATACATCTCCTCCCCGCCAGGCCGGACCTGCCACCCTCCCCTCGCCGCTTCGTTCGCCGCGCAACGACCTCGTCCGCCTCGAATCGCCTGCATCGACACACTACGATGCCTATCTCGTACATCACTACTGAAGTCACGCCCGTCGGCTCACGGTCAATCACCCCTCATCTCCGTCGACGCAGCTCCGTCTCGGCATCGACCACTCCCTCGTCCTACAGTTCGCCGAGCCTGAGCAGTCGCGCGAGCTACAACGAGCGGACGGGCGAGATCGCGCTGCCGCCTTCGCCACCACTGCGGGCGTGGGACGACAAGAGCGAAAAGAACGCCCTCGGGCTTTACGACAGCGGGTTCGGCGGCAAGGGTGCGCCGCTCGCTTGGCGGACAGCGCCGAAGGGACGGGCGTTTGCGCTGCCTAGACCGTACTACACGGCGCTGGCGTTGACCGCGATCACCTTGACCTTTGTCTTCCTGATTTCCTACCTCGTCCCTCCTGCGTGCGTCTGCCCTTGTCACGTACTCGCCCGACTTGTGCTGACAAGGTGTTAAATACGCAGTTCCACGTACCAGCCCACGTCCTTCATCTCCCGCATCCGCACCTCCCCAAAACTCGCCTGCGACCCCTACTCCTCCTTCGGCACCCTTCAAGTCGACCTGACCGACGCCGACCGGAATCAATGGATGCCCACCGACCCGAAATGCCAGCCGCCGCACTTCCTCGCCAAGCTCCGCGAAATCGCCTCGCACCAACGGCATCACACCGCCTACTCTCGCACCTCCGTCTCGCCCGCCGACTTTGACTGGCTGCAGAACAAGACGGTCCTCCTCATCGGTGATTCGATCTCACGCGAGCACGTCGAGAACTTTTGCCAACTCATGGGCGAGGAGTCGGAGATCATTCGCCCTTCGCACCCTTGGGCGGCGACGAGCGCTCCTGTTCGCGGGGCGACAAAGGCGCAGCACTACCTCGAGCGGCCGAAGCGGTTGAACCAGCGCGGGTTCAGGGTGGTTCGCGACGCCAGCCGTCCTCGAGTCTGCTTCATCCCCCGGTTCAACTTCCTCGTGCGCTTGTCCCCTCGCTCAACTAGCGAAAGAACATCTCACTGACTCTCTCATTCGCGCAGCTCGTCTCCGCCTTCCACTACGGCCTCGACCAGGAGGACTACTGGCGCGAGTCCCGCATGCCGCAGTACTCGTCGCCCGGCCTGTTCGAGCACCGCCTGATGGACCAGATCCAGCCTCTCATCGCCAACATCCGCGCCGAGGGTCGCCCAACCGCGCCAGACTACGTCGAAGTGACGAGCGGGATGTGGGATCTCGCGCGCTGGGCGGAGCAGGATATTGTCGCGGGCAAGAGTACCGAGGAGCTGCTCTCGCAGGATCGCCTCACCTGGTACCGCTTCCGTGTCGGTCAGATGATGGACAAGGTCCGCGCCGCGTTCCCGAACGCCAAGGCGAAAGTCTGGCGCACGCCGCACTACCCGCTCGACCAGGTCGCCGAGTTCGACTACTTCCTCGACAAGATCAGCAGTCGTGCCGCAAACGCCTCTCGCGTCTCCGACCCGCCATACTTTGCCCATTCGCGCGTTCAGCAGATCGACCGCGCAGTCCGCTCGCTCGTCCTCCCACACTCCTCCGTCGACTCGTCCTCGCCCGCCTCATCCCGCGCCTCTCCTTCCGCGTCAGTCGACGATTTCGATGTCCCGCACCCCGAGTTCCGCCTCAACGAATGGGGAACGCTTCTCAAAGGCCACCAGGCCCACCAGCTTGACCGCCTGCACGGCGACCCCCTTCCTGGCGGATACGTCTGGGCAGACATCATGCTCTACGAGTTGTGGCGGAGCCAGCAGGGCCAGGTTGCGCGATAGAAGGACGTTGGCTAGCTCGTCTTGTATCTTCCTCCCTCTCCGAAGGCTCGTTCGCCGGTACGAACGCAGCTTGTGTGTCTCTTCCCGCTCTAAGTCTTCGCATTGTTCTCCTCATACGACTGTACCCATCCTCTCGGTGTAGCAGCTCCTGCATTGAACTCCTCAGACCGCATCTCTCGTTTCTTGCTCGCCGAGAGTTCGCAGTCGCGTCAAACCGTTACTTGCAGGAGGTCGTGGGGCGCGGGTGCGCTGCGGCGAGGCCAATACATAGACAAAGAAGAGCTGTGGGAAAAGCCGAGAAAGACGAAGGCTAAGAACAGAAGAGGATAAGGGTATGAAGGAGGACGGCACTTTCTAAGCGGTGAAGGTGAACGAGGGGCTGAGCCACGACTCGTACGACGACGTGTACGTCGGGTCGGCCGTGATCTTCAGCGCGCGGAGCAGGACCTTGTAGCTCCTGCCAAGCTCTGCCATGCCCTTCGTGCCGTTGGGGAAGGTGAACGACCCGTCCAGCTGGATCTCGTAATCCGAGTAGGTGCCACCGTTGTTGAAGAGGTAGTCGCGAGGCGGCCAGTAGGAAGGGGCGAACAGCGAGCCGACCGTGCGGACCTGGCTGTAGAGGGTAGGGAAGGCTGCACGCGGCGTGAGCTCCGTGTTCGAGCGCTTGACGAGTCGGCTAGCCGGGTTCGTCACGGCGGGAACGGTAGCGTTGTAGGAGGTGCTCGCGTCGACGAGGTCGACCCTGAGTCGGCGGGTCCCGGCTGGAGGAGAAGTCACAGGTCAGCTTGGCTCGCTGCCGACCGAGCACGTCGCTCAACGCACCTGCGAGGCGGAAGTAGACGACCGCAGGGTTCGATTCGGAGAACGTCGTCGGACCCGTCTGGATGTTCTGCCCAACAGCGATGAACGGCAGGTTCGGGCCGAGCGCGACGTTCGTCGTGTCAAGCACTGTGAGGATCGCGTCAGCACGCGCAAGAGAGACGCTCTGAATAGCCACGAAGTACCGGGCATGTCGACCATGCGAGCGCCAAGGCCGAAGAAGGGGACTGCGAGCGAGATTCGTCAGCTCCGACCGCAAACCGCTCGGAAACTTCACGCACGGTTGTACTTCTCCATCTGCTCAGCCCCAGCACCTTGTCCTTGGCCCGTGATAGTGACGAATCCGGAGTAAATAGGGAACTGGTTGCGCTGCTGAGCTGTCAAGTTCGGCGGGATGAACTGCGCCGTGACCTTGACGGTCTGTCCGCCGGGAACGGTGACGGTGCGCTGGGAGAAGGCGACGCGAAGGACAGAAGTCGAGACGTAGTTGGGGGTCGTCGAAGGGATGATGTCGGTCGTCGCGCCCTGCGAGCGAAGGCCTCGTCAGCAGTTTCCTCCGCCGAGTCTCGCTCGCCGTACGCACGTCGTTGTATGTGACGATTCCTGTCGAGTCGACCCAAGAGAGCTGGTACGAGACGGGGAAGCGATTGTTGTTGCGAAGCGTCAGGGTCTGCGTGTTATTCGAGTACTGCGTGTCGTTCAGGTTGAATTGCGCAGGGCTGATAACGGTGTGCGCGGCAATGGCGGCCGTCATGTTGATCACGCCTGCGAGGTCCGGGTCAACATGTGCAATGATGGCAAGAAGGGAGCGGAAGCGAGCGCACCTGCGCCCTGCGAAACGACCGTGTCAAGCGTTTCCGAGCCGTAGGCGACGGGAGAGGGCTGACTCGTGCTCATGAGGATCGTCCTGGCTTCTTCGGGTGAGAGTTTCAGGTTGTTACCGACGCTCAAGAGCAGTGCGTACGCCCCGGCTGAGCGCGAGCGAAGTCAGCTTGAGCAGTTTGAGCGATTGCCAGTGACGGGACGCACCGACGAGAGGAGCCGCCATACTCGTGCCGCGCATCAAGGCAACGCCGCCAGTAACGGTCGACAAGATGTCGGTACCGGGCGCGGCGAGAGTCGGGTAGATGAAGAGCTCGTTCGTCGGGCCGAAGTTCGAGTAGGAGCTGTATTGCATATGAACTGGTCAGCATAAGGCGAGGTAGAGCAGTTGAGCAGGCGTACGCGACGACTCCACCGCTGACGGTGTTCGAGACGTAAGGAGCGAGCGGGCCGTTCGGGAAGGAGATGCTCTGGCCGCGCGGCGAGGACTGGTAGTACGACAGTAACTATAGCGCAGGTGGTCAGCTTCTGCTCGTTGAGAAGGCGGAGGAGGTCAACGCACCTTCAAGCCGTCTTCGTAGCGCAGACTTCCGACAGCCGTCAAGCCGGTCGAGCCAACGTCGAGCTGGGGGATCAATCCCGAACCCTTGCTATTGTAGATGAGGACGATCTTGCTGCAAGCGGCCAACCACGACGTCAGCACCGGTGCTCTGAGCGGAGGAGAGGACGGACGCACCCGCCTGCGGCCGCAACGTTCTGCTGCTTCACCGTAAAGCCGCAGGTTCCCCTCTGTACGACAACAACGCGGTTCGCGAGGTTCGGCGTGGTCGAGGGAAGCGGGTTGCAGGCGTCATTCGTGACACTCGTGTTGGTCGAGGTGAAGTAGAGCAGGTAGTTGTTCGGGAGGTTGAAGGGCGTCGGGGAGATGTAAGGGACGGGGTCACGCTTGATGAGGTATGCGTAGTAGGCGGCGAGGTATGTCGGGTCGCTGCACAGTGGATTCTGTCAGCGCGACTTCCACAAGGCTACGAAAGATCAGAACGTACACGCCGCCGACTCCCGTGCCGATTCTGCTTGCGGCCGGCTGGTCCGCAGCGAACAAGCCCTCGTTGCGCTCGTTCCCGACCGAAGCGACGACATGAATGCCCTTGCTACCGAGGTAGCTGGCCATGATCTGCACGGGCGAGTCGTCGAGCCAGCCGACGGAACTACCGAGCGACATCGAGACGATGTTAACGTTGTCCTGCAGGGCACGTGTGAGAGCGGCGACGAGCTGCGAGAAGCAGTTTCAGCGCGTGCGGACAAGACGTCAAGGCCGAAACTTACGATTTCGTCGGTCGTGGCGCCCGAGCAGCTGATGACCTGGAGAGTAACAGGTTGTCAGGCTCCGCTGTTTCTCCGCTGATAACGAGCTGAAAGGCTACGCACTCGGTAGTGACCGATGGTCGCCATCGGTGCGGCGCCCGAGAAGCCATACTCATTCGCAAGCGCTCCGACCGTACCGGTCGTGTGCGTTCCATGGTTCGAGCAGGACGAGAACGGGTCCGAGTCGGGCACAGGCGCGTTCGTGCCGGTGTAGTTGTCGCCCACAAAGTCGTAGCCGAAAGAGATTTGGCAACCTGGGCCGAAGCAGCCGCCGAGGATGGGGTTGGTGTAGTCGACTCCTTCGTCCACGACGACGATCTGCGTGCGCAGGCTCGTCAGCGCATTCTCATCGCTTGTTTTCACAGGGAGACCCACCTTGACTCCCTGGCCGAGGATGCCCTTGTTGTGCAAGACGTCGATGCCCGTCTGAACATGAGGGTAGAAAGTGTCGTTCAGGTAGGCAGATGCAGGAGGGAAGTTCGTGCCGCGCTTTTCGAGTGTGTGGGTGTCTCGCTTCGACTTGGTCGAAGAGGAGGAGGAAGAGACGGGTGTGAAGTCGGAGACGGTCGGTTCGACAGGTCTTGGGATCAACGAGACGGGCCAGACGCGCTGCGAGAAGGATCGTGGTTTCGTGAGCTCACTCGTGTCGACAGGATGAAGAGGCGAAGTCACCTGAACCCCGGGAATCTGCGCCAGCTCTGCCATCGAGGCGCCGTCCTCAACCTGAATGCTGACGGCTTGGAAAGCCTCAGGAATCGCATCGAAGCGCTGTCGCACGGTGTACTTGACGCCATTCTGCTTCACAGCGGCGAGCGTGTGGTCAAGCGCCTGGAAGGGGCGCAATGTATTGTCAAAGGGGTCCGTGTTGAGCGAGGAGGAGGGGAGGAGACGGACCTCGAAGACGGAGACGCCGCGCTTGGTGAGAGCTGGTGCAGACGCGTTGACCTGCAGGATGTAGCTGTTGGGCACGACGCTCCGTCCGCCCGTCGCGCTCTTGCCACCGAATGCCGCTGCACCCTGCGCCGAAGCCGCGAGGAGGAGAAGGAGCGACGCGAGGCTCCCGTGAGCCATCGTGAGGGTTCAGAAGGGTCTAGCGTAGATTAAGCGAGTGTACGGAGCCCAGTCCAGCGCATCCACAGTTCAGAGAAGTGACAGTCGACGAGCAAGAGAGCGAGTGCATGCCGGAGCGGAGTGCTCGGCAAACATCGAGCGCGTGGTGCGATTTGCAGCACGCGAGGCGTCTAAAAGTGCTCGTGCGATCGAACGCGATCACCGCGACGCCGGACAATCTGACAAGAACTGCGCACGCAGAACGACTCCTTTCCAGCGAGCCAACTCCTTCTACGACTGCTTCCTCCGCGTCGTGATGTACCCTGCCCACGCCTGAGAGAACCTGGGCAATTACCGATTGTCAGTCGGAACGAGGGACAAGCAGACCGACGACTGAACGCACTCGATGACCGAAGAGACCAGTCCCGACCAGCTCTTGACCGACTCGGACGCCGTCTCAAGGTCCAGCGCATCATACACTACAACAGCGACAGTCAGCGTGAGAAGCCTGCCTGGAGGGACCAGCTGAAGCCGCAGACTCACGCGCAAATATCGCCTCAGCGGTCAATCGCAACCTGTCCCATCTCAGCTGGCCCATCTCGCCGCGCAGGACCCGCATCTTCCTCCGTTCCGCCCTTACACGCTCCCTCAGCCGCCGCTCCTCCCTCACTCGCTCTTCTCGCGCGGCGACCATATCCTTCACGCTCGCACTCGCCTCGCCGCCGATACCTCCGCCTTCCCAGAACTCCAGCTCTTCCAGCTTTTTCTCCGACTCGACGGCTTTCCGACGCGCTGTACGTCCGCGAGCCATCAAAGCGTTATTTTTGCGCGCGACAACCGCAAGACCGATTCCTGCGCTCGCAAGCGCCGCAAAGTCCGAGATCTTGTCGACCTGCTGTGTTCGGCGTGGCGAGAGAGGGAGAAGGCCGAAGCGGGAGAAGAGGTAGAGGTTGTCGGTTACGACGGCGAGGAGATCGAGTGAGGCTTGGGCAACGGAGGCGAGGGATTCGAGGTAAGGTCGGCGGTCTCCCGCCAGGGTTGCCTCAGATCCTGGCGAGGGTGAGGAGAGGATATCTCGAGGAGCGAGTTTGGGCAGGGTTTGGCGGACGCTCGTGATGAGGTCTTGCAAAGCGAGGAGTCGCCGGATCGCCGCGAGGGTCGAGACGAGGGCTAGGAGGCGGACATGGGCGGAGGCCGTGAAAGCATTCTTGCGCAGGTACAGAGCCAGACGCAGAGAGTACTGTAGCAGTCGCTGCGAGGCGTGAGAGGCCGTCAGCAGCGTGTTTGTCTGGTCGAAGGGGAGTGCCATGTGGGGAGCTGAGCGTACCAGTCCCGCGTCGCGTCCTTCGGTCGTCCGCAAGAAGTAGGCAGTCTGTCGTCGAGCTGAAGGCCGCCTTACGTGTACAAACTGCGCACAGGAAGTTGTTATGAGTGCGTCCTCGTCCACTCGGTCAGGTCGCGGCGATGAAGTCGAGAGGCGAGACGGCGCACCTTTGTGACGGCGGGAAGCGGTTCAGGCAGACCAGAAGGACCATTCAGAGGCTTGACGGTCACATCAGGTCCAGCAGGAGCAGCCATTGCGAGCAGGGTGAGCCGTTCTGGCCAAACCACTCCTTCGCCTTGTACGAAGCACTCCTCGCATGCTCAACCTCTCTGGGTGGCTAGACGCTCTCGCTCAGACCGACAGGAAGCCTTGCCCGAGGCGTCGACCGCTCCCGACAGCGCCCGTGCGTTCGCCTCGCGCTTCTTCACCTCGAGTCCGCTGACCCCCACCTGGCAGTGTCTGGGGCGTCCTCTGCCGTCCAGCGACCAGATAGATCGACACGCAGAACGACGAGCGAACCAAGCTCGCAAGCCGCACATCCTCGACTCATCTCTTGCCAGCGCCGTCGACACTCCGCTCGCCGAAGACCCTCCTCCTCCCGCCGAACCAACCTCTCCACCCGTCGGTTCCTCTGCTTCTGACAGCAAAAGCTTCTTCGGGTCGCTTGGAAGACGGAGCTCTGTCGGGCTGAACAAGAAGGGGCGGTATGAGCCGTTCGAGGTCCTGCGGGCCATCGAGAAGAAGGACATCATGCTCCTACACGAGGTCAAGATGTCGCAGTTCGACTTGCTCATCACGGGGACGCCGTTGCCGCTGGTCTATGCGATGCGGCTAGGCAAGAGCCACCACGACGTCGCGATCATCCTTGTCGGGGCCATGTCTCGCAAGGTCAACGACACCTCGGATGACGAGCTTGCGCTGATGCAGCCGTCTACCAAGGCGACGCTGTGAGTGGAGTTTACAGCGCTGGTCATCAGCGGGGACTGACCCGCCCTCGTGCCGCAGCCGAGCACTTCGAGCGAACCTCAAAATCGCCATTACCGCCTCGCTCTCCCTCCCGCACGACCTGGGCGACACCTCCCTCCTCTCTTCCTTCCTCCAAGTCATTGTCATGCTCGAAGGCTCGCGCTTCCTCCTCTCGTCAACCCAAACCCTCTCGCTCGCACTCCGCTCACCACGCGAATCGAAGCCAGTCGAGACGGCGCAGAAACTGATGCACAAGTGGGTCAGCCGCGAGCTGAAGGAGCGACAGGTGGCAAGTGTCGAGGAGTACATCGCGAACGGGGTCGGGGATCTTGTGCTCCTGGGACTGTGGAGTGTCGTGCAGGACCAGGTGAAGCAGGCGGAAACGATCCCGCTGTGGTTCTTTGCGCGGGACGACCGGATACAGAAGTGCGTCTCCTTCCTTGTCGGAATCTCGCTTGAAGTCTGACGAGTTGACGCCGCTCTCACCCGTTTGCAGAGCCGTCGAAGAGCGACTATCAGACCTACGACGCACCTCCCCCGCCGCCCTCTCGCGCCTCTCGCGCACCGTAAAAGCGCAACTCGACACGGCGCTCGAGATTCTCGGCCGACGCAGCTTGAACGGGCGAGAGAGGGTCGAGAAGCTGAGAAGGGCGCTCGACGGGGGCAAGAAGGTGTGAGGGCAGCCGTCGGAGCGGTTGGGTTGGAGTTGTGTGGATCGTGCCTTTCGTTGTTGTGTCTTTTACGCTGCATTGCATTCCTTTTCACCATGCAGCCTGGGCAGGGAGTGTGTCTGGAGGAGGAGCAGGACTACCTCGACAGCGGTGGGAGGAATTGGCGCTTGCTCGCGTAACCTTACAAGGACTCGTACGAAGCCGTTTCGCTGTAGCTGGACCCGCCTGGCGCGACCTTGCTGGACGACTTCTTCGAACCCTTGCTCCCCAGCGACCTCGCCAGCGACTTCTCGCACCACTCGCGCTTGACAGGCTAGGCTCGCTCTCAGGCTTTCCAGAAACACAGCAGGGCGGACAAGATGGCAGCACGCAAGCTGCAGAGTAAGTCTCGCTCTCCACCGCCTTACACACTGCGACCGCCATCCCCGCCCGACTTTCTACCTCAGCAATGGCCTGTACGGATTCAAGGACACGCACAAGGGATATGAAGAAGGTGGACAAGAGCTCACGGCGGGAAACGGACGCAGTCTGAGAGGTGGACGGCGCCTCAACAGCCACTGCTCCCCGAAATGATGATGAGGATGGCGCTGACCTCGCTCGCATTGTGGCGATTCGCTGAACAGCCGAGATTGACAAGACGCTGAAGAAGGTCTCTGAAGGCGTGCGTCCATTCCTCGAGCAATCTGGCGTGGTTAGGCAGGCTGGCTGACAAGGGGTCTCCCTCCACTTCGCTTTCGTCTTCGCATGACACAGGTCGAGGTCTTTGAAGGTGTACGCAACCTTCGCTTCGATTGAGACTGGTGGGACTGGACTGACAGCGCCGCTCGTCGTCCCGCAGATCTTCGACAAGATCCAGGCGTCCTCGAACCAGACGCAGAAGGAGAAGCTCGAGCAGGACCTGAAGACGCAGATCAAGAAGCTCCAGCGTCTGCGAGACCAGATCAAGACATGGATGACGAGCAACGACATCAAAGACAAGCAGCCGTTGATTGACAACCGGAAACTGATCGAGACGGTGCGTTTGCGCTTAGTGGCTCGTTCAGCTTTCTTGGCGAGTGAAAGAGTGCTGATACAGGCACTTCTTGTGCTTCGTAGCAAATGGAGAAGTTCAAGGCGTGCGAGAAGGAGATGAAGACCAAGGCGTTCTCGAAGGAGGGTCTTTCGGCGGCGACGAAGCTCGACCCGAAGGAGCAGCAAAAGGTCGACATGTGCCAGTGGATCCAGAACATGGTCGAGGAGCTGTCGCGGCAGGTCGAGCAGTCGGAGGCCGAGGTCGAGCAGATCCAGGGTACGAAGCAGAAGAAGAAGGACTCGGAGCGGGAACAGCGGTTGGAGGAGCTTGAAAGGCTCAATGAGCGGAGGGACTGGCACATCAACCGCCTCGAGCTGATCCTGCGGCTGCTCGAGAACGGCAACTTGTCGGTGGACGCGGTCACGAATGTGAAGGAGGACATCGCTTACTTTGTCGAGACCAACACGGTGGGTCCCTTTTGCCTCGCTCACTGCTCTGTGACGCTCGCTGACACTCGCACCCGCAGGAGGAGGACTTTGAGGAGGACGAGGGCATCTACGACGAGCTGAATCTCGAGGACGAGGAAGACCTGTTCCACATCGGCCAGGACGACCACCAATCCTCGCACGACTCGCAATCTGTCGCCGACGAGCCCGCGCCAACGGTCCCTCCAATGCCGAAGACGCCGGCGAAGGCGGAGAAGAAGCAGGAAGAGCCGGTGCAGGAGAAGACGCCTGCAAAGGCAAAGGCGGCTGTCGCGACACCGCAGAAGAAGACGAGCCTCGACGCGACCACCTCTCGACCTTCAGTCGCCCCGACACAGACTCCCTCTCGCTCCGTTTCCGGCCCGGCGGCTTCTACCCCCCAACCTCGCTCGACTCCCGCCCCGCCTCTGCCTCCAATCCGCTACGCCGCCGCCGCCGCCGCAGCGAACGCTTCCTCTCAGCCTTCAGCTGCGTCGACAGCGACCGCTTCCGCTCCTTCTCCCGCCCTCGCCGCCCCTTCGCCTCCCGCCGCCACCACCGCCTCATCTCCCGGCGCGCCAGCCGGTCCTCCGCCTGGACTGTCGGCCCCTGCGTCTTCTGCCGCGCCGGCGAGTCCAGCGGCGAAGGAGGAGCCTGCGAAGGAGCTTGCGTCGGCTTCGTCGGCGGCGCCCAGTCCCGGGTTGGCCGCGCCTGCAGCGCCCAGTCCGGCACCCAGCGGTGGATCAGCAGCCGTGGGTCACGCGACTACCACGCAGCGTAGACGCGTGCTCTTTCGGACGCGGTTTGCTGACTCGCCTCGTCTCGCGCAGCCCGCCTCGCAGCCCCCTCAGACCGCCGACTCCGCCTCTCCCGCTCCTTCCTCCTCCGATGCCCAACAACAGCCTCAGCAGTCGAAGCAGGACGCGCGGTTGCCGAGCAGTCTGGCGGATTTGGTCACGAGTTTCGAGAGTGCGAAGCAGAAGTGTGCGTTTCGAGGCGGTCCTTTCTGCGTAAGCGTGACTGTGCTGACACGACATGTTGCATACTGCGTCTTATGACTCCCGAACGACAGCCCTGCGGCGAGAACAGGACCTCGACGCGATCAACCAGGTCCTCGAGGCCGGCTTCTCCAACGTTCCTCAACCGCTCGATGCCGAGAAGTGCGTGCCACGCCAGTGTTTCCGCCGCACTGTTGACGGTTGTGTGCCCCACAGGCCCAAGTACTACGTCCCGCGCACGCCCTACGCGACTCCGACCTATTACCCTCAAGAACCCTCGTCGCAATTCGCCTCCCCCGCGTTCTTCTCGAAGCTCGATGTCGACACCCTCTTCTACATCTTCTACTTCGCCAGTGGAACGTACATGCAGTACGTTCCCCTTCGAAGTCTTCGCCACCGACCACGACTCTTGACTTGCCTTGACTTTGGGTTTGCGGCGCTCCCCGACCTCGACGCTGACTCACTCTTCACTCGCAGGTACCTCGCCGCCAAGGAGCTCGAAAAGTCGTCGTGGCGATACCACCGCCAGTACCTCACTTGGTTCCAGCGTTGCTCGGCTCCGACAACCATCACCGATACCTACGAAATAGGGGTTTACCTCTATTTCGACTATGAAGGAACGTTCCTTCATGGTCGAAAGGTATTTATGAGTCATTTCGAGCGTTTCGCTGACCTTTTCCTCCCTCTCTTCTCCTCCTCCTCCTTCCCGCCTTCCCTCTTCCCTTACACAGGCTCCTGGTGCCAGCGCAGAAAAACCAACTTTAGGTTCGATTACAAGTTTCTCGAAGTGGAGTAGGGAGAAGTCGGGAGGAGATTAGGGAAGAAGGGAAAGAGATAGGAAGGGGAATGAGGAGGAAGGGGAGGATGTAGCGCTTGTTCTGTTCTCTTCACGATGTACAGCCTCTGTTTGCACGCTTTTGAAAGACTGTTTGCTATGGCAGAGAGCACACGAGCGTGCCGGAGTCGTCGTTGACGAGGAAAGCCGGGAGGAGGAAGGGGGGGGAAGGGGAGGACGAGGTAGGGAAGGTCTTCGCACTCTATCCCGCCGCGGTCTCCGACGCTCACTAGAGAACAAGTGTAGCATTGCGCGAGCGCTTCTCTCGGCCAGCTCGCATCTTTCTCACCTCTCCGCTGCCTGAAGCGAACGAAGGAAAGGAGAGCGAGCGAAAGTACAGACTACTGTCCAAAGAAGCGCACGTAACCCTGACTAAGAGAGCCTATTCTACAGCTACAGAGGTGACCTTCATCCCAGCGTGTGCCGCCGATGCCCTTCAAGCGAGGGCGAGCTCCGAGACGGCGAGAGCAAAGGCAGTTGTGCCGAGAGCGATGCGAACGGCGTGAAGGCGGACCCACTGACCAATGAGCGAATCGGCCTGTGCGGTAGAGGCAACTGGGTGACGAACCTGGTCAGCGCCGTTAAGCAAAGAGCCGTACGAAAGCAGGACGAACCGCTCGCCTCGCGCTCCATCTTCTGCATGCGCCTGTTGAGCGGCATGATCGCGACGCCCGTGAATCCGACGATGCCGATCGTAAGGGCGGAAGCGACGCCGAGAATGGGCTGCGGGAGGAGACCGTGGAGAAACGAAGGGAAAGCAGAATCAGTCGCTCTTCTCTCGCACATCGCAGCCTCATCACAGCGCACCTTGCGGTACCTCGCCACCGTGTTGGCGGGCAGGTAGTCGACGGGGCGAGCGGCGGCGTACGAGGCGTAGGCGAGGAGGAGCGTGATAGTGGGCTGGAGCTTCGTCATGACCGCTTTGCCTTGCTCGTACAGGTTCGACCATGCGGTCTGCGTTACAAGCGAAGGTGGTCAGACTTGGGGTCTGATACCGCGTAAAGCAGGACTTGCCAGACGCTGCTGGGCGGAGAGCGAGGTCGTCGCCTTGAGAGCGGGAATGCTCAAGGCGGGCTGTTCGGTGAGACGGGTCAGCGGGTGCCCTCTTTTGACCGATACCCTCGAACGCACAATGGACAGCAAGAGTCCCGCGTTGAGGCCCAACCCGACGACCGCGATGGAACGGGCGGCGAGGAGGACTTGCGAGTCTGAGGCGGACTGCGGGCAAAGCGACGGGATCAGATAACGTCTCAAAAGCTGTGCAAGCAGTGACTAAGCTCACCATGGCGTTGTTGCGGCTGTTCGTGCCGGGTTTGATGAAGTTCGGGAGCAGAGGTGGGGAGAAGGCAGAGGGCGAGAGGAAGGCGGCGGTGGGTCAAGCGGGTCACGAGACGAGTTGAACAAGCACTAGGCAGCCTGTCGAGCTGAAAGAGCGGAGCGCGACGATGCGAGACGGAGGAGAAGAAGGGAAAGCGGGAAGCGCACGCTTCCGGCACAGGCAAGACTGGCCGGGCAGCGTCGCAAGTCGCCTGAGGACAAGATTAAAGTATTGCGCAGTGCAGTAAGCACCCTTCTAAGCCCCGCGGATCCCGCAGCCAACGCCTCACCCCGAATCTCGCCTCAGCTTCCAGCCCGTCTCGCCAGCGTCGCGCCAGCCAATTAAGTTTACCATCGCATGCATCATGACGAGCTCGGTGCGATCTTGCGCTCGAGCAGCCAGGCGTCTCGTGGTTCGATCTTGCGGTAGTAATCCTTGACCGTCTCCTGCTCGAGGTGATGCGGGCGATTCGAGACGACGAGGCGATGAGCAGTGGCAGTGGAGGGAGCAGATGAAATAGAGAGGGAAAGTGTAGTGGGGCAGAGCGAGGAATGGGCGTGTCAGCCGCAACACCACAATCAACAAGTCTAGCGAAACGCACCTTGACCTCGAAACCCCACTTCTCCCAGAACTGGCGCCCCTCCTCGTTTGCAACGTGCACATGCAGATACACGCTCGACACCCTGGGCTTGGGCGGCTCCTTCTCCTCCGCCTTCTCGTCCTTCTTGTCCGCCTCCTTCTTGCCGTTTGCCTGCGGGGGTGGGGGCGCGGCCTTTTTACCCTTTGCTGCGGGTGCCGCTGGTGCGCTGGGCTTCGAGGGAGGCGTGACGGAAGAAGGGGACGGGTGAGGCTGGGCGAGGGATTCGGCGGCAGTCGTGAGGACGTGGTGGATGAGCTTCGAGCCGAGGCCTTGGTTGCGGTAGGGTCTGAGAGAGCGCATAGGATGTCAGTGCGAGCTGACATCGTGACAAACCGTCTTCACTCCATGTCCTGCGAGAGAAGACGAGGTCGAGCGACAGGACGACCGGGAGAAACTCACGCAAGAACCCCGAGCGTCATCACGTAAAGCCTGTACGTCTTCTCCTCGTCCGCCTTGGCCTCCTTCTGCCCCTCGACAGCCTTCCCCTTGCCCGCCGCCTCGCTGAGCGTCTTCGGGACCTCCCCACCCTCCTCCTCCAAGCGACACACGATCACGCCCACGGGCAAGTCCTGGTAGAAGACAAGCTTGTTGTAGTCCTCTGGGTGTTGCGATTGGTCCAGCAGGTCGTCGTAGAATTGCGACGAGAACGAGATGGGGAACAGGACGTTGTGAAGTTTCTTCACCGTGCCGAGGTTGTTGGGCGTGCTGTGTGCGGCGATGCGCTTGGTTAGCTTTGCGTCAAGCTCTAAACGGCTGCGCAACGCTTTGCAAGGCCGTGAATACTCACATGTACCCGAGGTTGACGCGAGGCGCGACACGCAGGCGCTTGCCGTTGACGGTGATGGGCTCGACGAGCTTTGGCAGATCAGGCAGAGCAGAAAGGACAGCGGACATGGTCAGGCGAGCGAGGTCGTCGGAGGAGACGGATGTCAAGGAGGGAGCGAGGAGGAGGGCAAGGTGAGGGATGAGCGAGGAAGGCTTTCGCTGGGCTCTCGTGTGAGTTGTACAGGCTAGCGCTCGTCATACAAGCTCAAAAGCCAGTTTGCAGGAGGACGAAGGGAAGGGAGAGGAACAACGAGTGCGCCCGAACAAGGACCTCGCCTCGTGTGAGTGGGTGTGGAAACAGGGCGACGAGGATGAACCCAAGTCGACTGTTGCACGACCGGAGAAGAATCAGCACCCGCTCCGCTCAAGGGAAAGCCACTCCTCGCGCGAACTCACCGCGCACTTCTCCTCTCCACCATCCACAAGTCCTCCGCCACGCTCGCCCAGCAAGCTAGCCCTCTCCTAGACCGTTTACTCCTCCGACGTGGTGCGCGTGTAGACGAGCTGGGCGCGGTGGCGGATCACGGGCTTGATGAGGCCCTCCTTCTCGAGGTGTGCGATCGCGACGCGGGCGGGCGGGGCGGTCTCATGCAGCGGGTGACAGACAGATGAACACTGAGATGCGGCCGGAAGCGAAGTAAGCGCGGGCACAATGCTAGCACGAGACGCGGGAGAAAGAGGACGGAAGGATACAAGCGAGCAGGTTCGTAGTCGGCGCCAGAAAAGTCCGTGAATGTCGATGCAGCACAAGCAAGTGACCTGCTTGTGCTCGAGCACTTTTCTGAACCCATACGCGGCGTCTGAGAGACCAGCAAGGCGAGGCGAGCCGACACCCAGCTGAACCCTTTTCCTCCAGTCGCCTGATCTCGCGAGCCCCTCTGTCCCCCGCTGTGTCCCTCTCCTGAGCGACTTCGTCCTGACAGCTTGACATTCGGTCAGGCGTTGCGGTCGCCGTTCAAGTAGGTCGCCCGAATCGTCTCCTCATCCCGCGACGGCTGTCCTGCAAGCCCAAGAGACCTGCCTCGCAGTTGCGTCATGGCCCCGGAAGCCTCGACGCCGCCTGAGCTCCATCCCAAAGGCCCAGTCCTGCGATGTCGCAAGTCGAGGAAAGCGAAGAGTCCCGGCGTACGGCGCAAGACGCAAGGACGCTGGGATGACTAGTCCAGCGCGTGCACCACGTCTGCAACCCACGTCAGGACCCTCGAAGCTCTGCTGAACTAGCACCGCTGAGCGGAAACGGCGGGCGAGCGTGTCGAGGAGACGGGCGGGTCGGTAAGAAGAGACAAGCTGTGCGAGCGTGCGCGGGTGTGCTAGCCACGCACTCAGCTTGCAGCACGTGCGAGAGAGAAGCCAGGCGGAGTTTAAGCGATGCGAGCGGACGCGCAGGGAAGAGGCGGAGGACAAGGAGCGAAGGAGGGTCTTGGGCTCTGATCGACAGCAGCAGGGAAGCAGTCTCTCCGCTGATCGCGTCCGAGTGCATTGGGAAAGCTCAAAAGCCAGTTTGCAGGACGAACGAAGGGAAGGGAGAGAAAGGGGAGAGGAACAACGAGTGCGTCCGAACAGAGGACCTCGCCTCGTGTGAGTGCAAGTGGAAACAGGGCGACGAGGATGACCCCATGCCGACTGTCGCACAACCCGAGAAGAGTCAGCACCCGCTCCGCTCGAGGGGAAACGACTCCTCGCGCGAACTCACCGCGCACTTCTCCTCTCCACCATCCACAAGTCCCCCGCTCCAATCGGCCCGGCAAGCTAGCCTTCTCCTAGACCGTTTACTCCTCCGACGTGGTGCGCGTGTAGACAAGCTGCGCGCGGTGGCGGATCACGGGCTTGATGAGGCCCTCCTTCTCGAGGTGTGCGATCGCGACGCGGGCGAGCGAGCCGTTAATCTTCATGCGCTCGATGAGGACGGACTGCGTGGTGGGAAGGGAAGGGCGGTAGACTGGTCAGCGTCCGTAAGGCAGGCGGGAGGGAGTTGCTGCGGGGAGAAAGCCCTGGAGTCCACCACGACCACCGCTCCGATTCCCGCTTCGCTCGCCGTTGTCCTCCGCGGCCGGATCTCGTAGTGGGTGCTTGTGCTGGGGTAACCCACCTGCGAGATCATCTTGAAGGTGGGGACCTCCTTCATGATGCGGTCAAAGGTGGGCTTGTCGCAGATGACGGCGTTCTGCGCCTTGTCCTTGACCTTGCCCTTGCTCCACTTCTTCTTCTTCGCCGCAGACTTGGACTGAGCTTGAGCTCCCGCGGCCGCTTTCGCCCTGTTTTCACGAGACGAGACGAAGTCGGGAAGGAGAGCAGGGACGACGGGGCAAACGAGTCAGCGGGTTTGTCCTGCCGTTGGACGGGGTACAGACATTGCTGTCGAATCGAGTGGCGAGGAGAGCGAGGCTGTTGGAGGCGGTGCGAGAGTGTCGATGCCGGGTCGAGGGTGGTGAAGGCGAGTCGGGACCCATCAAATTCGCTCCCATGCCACCCTGCTGCCTCGCTGACGGTTCCAGCGTGTGCACAGCCTTCCAATGACCCGCACTAGACCACCACTGCGCCGCCCACAGCCGCTGCCGCCGTGTCCCGCTGCGCTCCTCCAAGTTTGCTCGTCGGTGGCCGCTCGAACTTCCAGACGCGCTGGCTCGTCGGGTGGTGTGTCGGGTAGTGTGGCGTGGTCGAGTAGAGCGTGTAGAGCAGTCTAGCGAGCAGGGCAGACTTGCATTGTGATCTGGTGGAAGGGACAGAGAGCAAAGAGAGCGAGCTCGCCTGGCTCTGGTGCACCCGCTGTCGACGCTCACAACAGCTCTTTCGCGGCTTACTCGGGTGTCTAAAGTGTACTGTAGTGCAATACAACCCCATCTGAACAGCTACGAACCAGTCCCATGGCGTTTGAGCGGGTGCAGAAGGAGTTGGCAAGGGGGCCACCTCGTCCTCGCGCTCCTCGCTCGCTGGGAGGATCGTTCCAAGACGTGAATGGACTCGTAGCGTTGCATAGTAGAATGAGAATGCACTGCAGTCCATCACAGAGGCTGCTGTCCGGATGAGGGAAGGACCCGCCATCTCGCGAGAGGCCTCTCTCCTCGACACCGCTCACTCGCAGCTTGAAAGCGAGTCTGCTAGGTTACAAGGACTGCCAGGCTACTCTTGAACGACGCCCTAGCTTCCAGCTCGACTGCGACTGCGCCCACCGCCGTCGACTCGTCCCCGCCAGCCTCCTCATCGCGACCCTCTCGTCATCTCACCCGCGACAGAGCATACGGGCCTTGTGACTGCACCAGCGTGTACTGAGACTGTCTGAAGGGACCTCCAGAGGTGCGCACGCTCGTCTCGCTGTCTCTGCGCGCCGCCATCTCGACGGGACTCACGCTTCCCCCACTTGGCGACCTGCCTCTCGTCTCGCGCTCGCAGACCCCAGAGGACTGTCTCCTGACTCCTAGTACGCTCAACGACCCGTTCTGACTGTACAGACGCCGCTGACTTGCTCTGTACGTTCCCCGCAGAACCCGCACGCTCCCCCGTTCCCTGCCTCCTTCCCATCCTCCCTTCAGCTCTCGCAACCATGTCCCTCCCCTCCAGCTACTCCGCCATCCTCTCCGACCTGAACCGCGAAGTCCTCCGCGCGCAACCCTCCGACCCCCTCCAATTCTGCGCAAACTGGTTCGCCTCGCGCCTCGAACAAGAGCGCATCTCTGCGCGCGCGACGGGCACGGGGCAGCGATCGGTCGATGAGAGTATGAGGGAGGCGACGCCCCCTCTCAACGCTGCGGGACGCGGGACGCAGGAATCGCCTGCTTCCAAGGCCGGCGGGCCGTCCAACAAGCCCAAGCCTTCGGGTCTCCCGTTCAACCAGGGCTACGCGTTCGGTACGGCCGGCAACAACAACAACAACAACGGACCTCGCGGCTCGGCTTCGGCAGGCGAACAGTCGCCCTTCTCCGAGTACCCTCCCGAAGGCGGACCCCTCGTTCGTGGAGGCGCAGGGAACGCCCCTCCCGCTGGCTCTCGCCTCTCGCAGCAGTCGAACGCGCCTCGAAACGCGGGCAAGGCTCCTGGCTCGACTACCCCTCCCGACGCCGACTCGTCCCCGTCCAACACGCAGCGCTTCAGCCGCGGCGGCGCACCTCCCGTCGGCGCTGCACTCCCTCAGCAGCAGCAGCAGTCGCAGCACCAGCGCTCGGCGAGCACGGCGCACACGGAGAGCGACGAAGAGGTCGAGGACCCGCGCGATGACCCCAACTATCACCCTGGTCGTGCGCCGGGTGGACCGTTCGGCTCGTTCGGTCAGGGTGCGGGCGCTGGGAACGGACCGTCTAGCGTGGGAAATGGCGCGGGCTCGAGTATCCCCGTCACGTACAACCTCGGCCGCCGCACGTCCGTCTCTGCCGAGTCGCTCGACCCGAACGCGGCGACCCAGTCGCTGCCGAAGACGGTCATTCCCAAGACTCCCTCGCAGCGCCAGCGCATCGAGAAGGCCATTGCCAACAACCTCTTGTTCCGCAACCTCGACGAAGACCAGTACAATGACGTCCTCAACGCCATGAAGGAAGTGACGGTCCAAGCCGGCACCGAAGTCATCGTCCAGGGCGCCGTCGGCGACTTTTTCTACGTCGTCGAGGAAGGATCGTTCGAAGTCTGGGTTCGCGCGCCTCCGACGCACTCGTACGCCGGTCCGGGCCAGTCGCTCGTCACCCAGCAAGGCGAGGAGAAGAAAGTCGCGACGTACGGACCGGGCGGGTCGTTCGGCGAACTCGCGCTCATGTACAACGCTCCGCGCGCCGCGACCGTCGTCGCCACTTCTCGCGCGACGATGTGGGCTTTGGACCGCGTCACGTTCCGCTCGATCTTGGTCGAGCACACCTCGCGCAAGCGCAAGATGTACGAGGCATTCTTGGGTGAAGTCTCGATCCTCCAGGAGTTGAACGCCAAGGAGCGCGCCAAGATTGCCGACGCCCTCGAGGAGAAGGTCTACGATGAGGGCGAGGCGGTCGTCGTCGAGGGCGAGGTCGGCAAGAACTTTTACATCATCGAGAGCGGGAAGGCCGAGGTCACCAAGCGCAAGCGCAATGCGCATGGCGGTGTCGACGAGGACGTCATCGGTGTTCTCGGAAAGGGCGACTACTTTGGCGGTGCGGTCGCGCTTTCTCCTCCTTACTCTGCCTTCACTCGCTGACCTGCTCTCGCGCGCAGAACTCGCACTCATCAACTCCGCCCCTCGCGCCGCCACCGTCCGCGCCAAGCCGGGCGAAGGCCGCCTTCGCGTCGCCACTCTCGGCGAGAAAGCCTTCACGCGCCTCCTCGGCCCGATCATCGACATCCTCGCCCGCAAGGCCGAGAGGTCGTACGGACCTGGTGCGGCTGTCAACGCGACGGGCGCGGGTGGGGTGGGACAGGACAAGAGGGAGAGCTTTGGGCAGGGATTTGAGGGGTCGAGGAGGGGGATCTCGGTTGGCGGTGGAGACGCCTGAACAGCCCGCTTCTGATTCTCTAGCATCCTGGTTCTCAACACTCCGTTATACCTCACTCATCCAGTCTCTTTGCCTCGAAACCTTTCTGCATCTCTTGCACTCCCCTCCGCCCTCGTACGCTCACTCCTCATTTCTTGTGTCTCCTTCTCGTCTCTTCCGCAATCCAAACAACTTGTATCAGTCCTCCTTCATCCCTCTCTTGAAGCCTAAGCCTCTCGGAACGAAACGATGCTTGCAAACCCCAAATGCGCTCCTCTCACGCGAGTTCTACCACTCCTTGGCCAACTTGAACGTCCACTCGAAATCGACATACACGTTCTTGTCGTCGTCGATCACGCGCGACCGGACTGTGTACGAGCCGGAACGAGCGAGCATCCCTGAGGGCGCTTCTTCGGTTACGAAGCGCTTGGTAACGGGCTCGGGCGAGGGGCCGTACGAGCCGATCATCGACTCGAGCTTGTCGACTGTGCGCGTACAATTTCGACATGTATGACCGTCTTGCGTTTGGGGCGCAGAGAGCTGAACATGGAGGACTCGAAACGCACCCGTCATGCCTGCTCGCTTCGCCGCTTGGATGTACTTCAGGCCCGAGACGAGGTTGTTGACTCGGAACTTGATCTCGACGCTGTACTCGGCGCCTTCCTGGGAGCCGCAAAGGCGTGTCAGCTGAAGAAAGGAGGAGGGAAGGAGGGAAAGAAGGCGAACCTTGATCGTCACGGCTGCGAACGAGGCGAAGTCTTCTCAGCTTGGGCTCCACGGCCAGAGCAAATGGTGAAGGTGGACTCACGCTCCTTCTTGAGCGACTTGAGCTTGTCAGCCTGCGTCAAGTCAAGTTCGATAGGCGTAGGTCGAGAAGGCGAGTGGAGCGAGAGGCTGAGGACTTGGACGCTTGGTCCCGCTAGCTCGTGAGGTCAGCAGGGTCGCTCTCATCGAGAGGGAGGAAGGGACGCACCGGAAGGAGCTGCTGATGCGCCGCCTGCACCGATTCCCAGCGAGGCCTTCCACCGCGCAAGACTCTCGTCCTCGGCGTCCAGCTGCAAGACCACGATTGTCAGCTCATCTGCGCGTTCGTTCGCGCCAGACAACGAGGCCAGGGGCGCATATCGCCGTCAGCGGGCTCGAGCACCGCCCCGCCACGACTTTACTCGAGAGCGAACGAACAACGCACGGTCGCATACTCCTCGAGCGTCTTTGCCTGTCCGACCTTGTACCCGGCAGTCTCAGTCGGCAAGAGGTCGCTGTTCACGCAGGCAAGAGGGTGTGAGTGAGCGGTGAGGCCCGTGTGAAGCGATGAGGATGTGGGGGTTGGAGAAGCGTACTCGTCGTTGACGGAGGAAGGCTCGGGGGCGTGGCCGCTGCGTGTGGAGTGTTAGCTCGAGTGGAAGTTGCTGAGCCGGATGGAGCTGCTCACGACATTGCGCGAGGAGTGTGAGGAGGAGAAGGTTGGCCGACGACAACGGCGTGGCTGGCAAGGCGCTGAAGTGTAGTCCAGCCACTGCAGGGCTCATTGTCAGTGCTTACAGTGAATTATCAGACTGCCCGCTTTGCTTCGAGGTGAGCGGGCGATTTTCTCGAGTCGACTTCCTCAACTTGCTCAGACTGCTCGCTTGACTGGCCAGTAAATCTCGATACACATTCATACTGCACCTCAGCCACTCAGGCAGGCAGCCACGCGGTTGTTCGGTGTCGACCAGGCTCCTTGTTCCTCCTCGGCAACTCTTTCGCTCTCCCACTTCACTCGCACGACGCTGAGCACGATGCGGGTGCACACAGCGATCCTGGCAGCCTGCTGGGCAGTCGCAGCAGTCGCACAGTCCAGTGCGTCCACCTTCCTGCAGTCTCCCGTTCTCACCCCCGCAATACCCGCTGTCGGACGACTCGCAACGACTCGCTCGCAGCGGTGGAACGATGCGAGAGGCGGGAACAGAGCGAGATGAGGACTGACAGCATTTTCCGCGCGCTCGCTCCCCCCGCAGACGACGGCAGCAACCTCGAAACCTTCCCCTCCATCATCACGCCCTCGTCCACCTCGCTCCCTAACACCCCCTTCAACCCCTCTACATTCCTGAGCGCCCCCGGTCCCGCCATCCCTCCCTCCCTCTCCTCCTCACCCACGAATGCCTCCGCTTCCTCCTCCTTGCCAGCCCGGACAACCCTCATCTCGGCTCAACCACGCCCTTCGAACGCTTCCTCTTCGTCGCAGATGACTGCTGCACCGAACGCATCGGTCAGTGAGAGCGTAGTCACGAGCACGGTGGACGGGAGCGTCGCGACTGTTACCATCACGAGTTCGGCGAAGCCTTCGTCCGGAGCGAGCAGGCGGATAGCGCGAGTCGGCGTGGTGGAAGGAGCGCTGGGGGCGGGAGTGGCTGTGGCATTGGGTGTTGTAGGCGGGGTGCTGCTTGTCTGAGGCGGACGAACGAAAGGAGGACTTGTCTATCTGTGCGTTCCGCTTTCTGAGAACGCTTCTCCTCGTACCATGAAAGGCTGACGGTCTCGCTTGCAGTATCTATCTGTGTATCCCTCTCATCTTTGATCTCTTCTCGTCACGCCATCTTACGTCCCGTCTCGTCGATACCCGTCGCGCTGCAACCTCGACACGCTCGTCTAACCTTCGCATCTTTTCCATCGCCTCGCCCGCTTCCCAAGGGAGAGTCTCAACTCTGTCAGACCTGCTCCGCTCTCCTTTCGATGCGCCGAGGGGAACGACAAACCCTATGCAGATTGCGGTAAACCCTTCGAAATGAAAAAGACAACCGTCGGACGGAAAAACAGGTACAGCTACAGCGAAGAAGGGACAAGCGACTCCCCTACACGCAAACGAGTTCGAGAACGCTGAGGGCGAATGCAGAGCCGGCTAGGAAGGCGGTGCCGAGTTGCAGGCGGGAGGTTTGCAGGATGAGCGAGTCGGCTGCGCGACTTGCGAGTCAGCGCGTTTGTCGGGGGTGAAGGACAATCAGTGCACGTACTGTCGACCGCTTCCTTCCTCAACAACTCCCTCTCGTCCCCTCCAATCTCCTCCTCAAGCGCATTATCCTCCTCATCGCTCTCCTCCCCATCCCTCTCCCCCGCGCCCAACCGAACCTTCTCCTCCCATTCCCTCGTTGGACTCGCACCCCTCCATCCCCTCCTTCCCAACGCCCTCTCCTCCGACCCGTTCACACCCAGCAAGATCAGCCGCCTCTCCTCGGCTTTGAGCGACTCGATGCGAGGGGTTAGGAGGCCGAATGTGTAGGGGCGGATGGCGAGAGTTAGGATGGTGCAGAGGGCGTAGAGGGTCTGTCGTTCACGAGATCTCGTTAGCTTGTGACGAGGGGAGGGAGCAGGAAGGGCGACGGGACGTACTCGACGGTTCTGGCTTACGAGACTCGGGATCAAATCCAACCATTCGACAATGTTGCCGCTCAAGTTCGGCGTGTCATCACCAGGCGGCAGAGACTGGGCGAGTAAAGCGCAAAGGGCGAGCGAGCCTGTCAAGATGGGCAGGAGGGAAGAGGCGAGCGAGGTCGTGTCGGCGTGAAGGCGGGACCAAACGTGCTGCGAGTCCGAGTGTTTCAGCAGAAGCTCTGCCGGTCCGCCAGAACGGAAAAGACGAGGAGCGAGCGAAGGTGCAAACTCACCAAACGAGAGCGGGGAGTGAGCGAAGGAGTCGAAAACAGTGCAGGGACAGCCAGGATGGGCTGCGAGACGCTCGGGATTCGTCAGTGCAGCCCTCAGGAGTATACGAGCGAGCCCACGCACCCCGCTGAGCAGCACACCGGTCACTACGCCCCCGAGAACAGCTGAGATGAACCTGAGGAGCGAGAGGAGCGAGTCGTCGTCTTGGGACTGCTGGGAGGCCGGCCGTTAGCATTAAGTGGTGCAGCGCAAGGTAGAGTATGCGCACCATGCTGCCCAGCTCGCTTCGAGTGATGGTGGACGAGGAAGAGGGAACGAAAGGAGTTGCGCGTGAAGGTACTGAGGGTCGAGGTTGAGCCGCTTTGCTGGGTTGTAGGGCTCGCTGATACTCTCGTACAGACAGCAAACAGAATGTGTTCGAACAAGCTCGACGCAATCCAAGTTGCAAGAACAGGCGACCCATCGAAAGCGGAGCAAGTTTACGAACGGGGCGGAGGGGGTGGACAAGGTGTGTGTAGAACGGTGAGGCGTTGTGGGTTTTGTAGAGGGGAGAGCATAGACCGACAGATGGGAAGGAAGGCCATTAGCGAGGGTGGAGAGAGAGGAGGAAGGGGCGTTCTGGAATGGTTTTCTCTATGGGTTGAGTAGGGGGGCGTTGTGAGGAAAGAACCGTGTAAAGAGGAAAGCGAAAACGAAGAACCGTCTTGAGTTTTTTTGTCGTGGGTTTTCGAGGTTTGGAAGAGAGCCTTGAGGGCACAGACTTGAAGAGGAGGAAGGCGAAAACTGAACGGGGGTGGAGAGGGGTGAGAGGGGGGTAGCCAGGCCGAGCGTGTCGAGGCGGAGTCGCAAAGGACGTTATGAGCGGGCGAAGGCGAAGAAGAGAGACGGAAGTCGAAGGCCGACCGAACACGAACCGAATCGCTGGTCGTCCCCGCTCTCCACGCCTCCCGCACCTCCCCACGCACCGCTGGTAACGCCGAAAAAGGGGATAACGACTACTGCTCTGTGCTCTGGACGCTGACTGGGGATGGGATGTTGTCGAGGGAGAGCCGAGGGCAGACTCAGCAAATGGCACGCTGCCAAGTCTCCTGCCCGAACGACCTCGACCTGGCCGCCGCGAGATCAACAGGCGGGAAGAGCGAGTAGCCGCTCAACTCTGCCGTGCCGCGACAGGCGCGCGCGCGGTGTTGCTGCGCTGCGTGCGTCAAGAGCGACGGCGAGTCCGGCGCGGGAGGGGCAGCGACGGACGAAGCGAGGCTCGAGACGGCGCGCGTGAAGGCGGCGCGACGACGACCGTCTTGGCGGTGGCGGTGGGCGTCAAAGTGGAGCGGCGACTCGAGCGGGCCGCTCGCGTCGAGGTTGACGTCGACGAGGCACGACGCGCCAGAGTTGACGGGCGTCTGGGGCATCGCGAGCTCGGCCGAGGCGACGGTCGCGAGGGACGAGAGCGACGAGGTCGACGATCCGCTGGCGGTGAGCGCGGGCGAGGGCGGCATCGAGACGGGCATGGACTTGGCGTTCTCGAGCTGGGCGGCGCGGACGAGGCGTTCGAGCGCGTCCTGGACGACGAGCCGGTCACCGAGGTCGCCCTTGCCGAAGCGGAAGCGGTCGACGACGACGGCGAGCCAGGCGAGCCACTTGTCCTCGCGGATCGAGACGTCAAAGCCGAGGGCGGCGAGGATGTGAGCCTCGAGGGCGTTGACGTCGGCGATCGGGATGGCCGAGGCGGCGGCCCACGAGCCGGCGCGGTACGAGTTGTCCTGGAGGACCTTGTTGGCGAGCATGAGCGTGCCGAGGACGATCTTGAACGGCGCGGCCTTGAATGAGGTCGTCTGCGCGTCCTGGCCCGGCTCGGCAGGCGTCGGCGGGATGATCTTGCCGACGGGGATCTGCGAGACGAGGTAGAGCGCGAGGACAATGTCTTCGGGCGTGACGAGCGTCGCCGCGAGGATCTGCTTGACGAATTGGCGGAACGGCGCAGACGGCTCGGCAGGGAAAGCCTGCACCGCTGCGCGCGAGGGGCGCGGCGCGGCAGCACCAAAGCCGAGGTCGGCGAGGCGCTGCTGGCGGGCCGCAAGCTCGGCGGGCGTCTCGAAGCCAGACGGCGTGCCGGGCATCGAGCCTTCGCCCGAGACCCTGCGCGCACGGCGGTGCTCGCCAATGACGCCGAACTGCTCGGCGCCGGCACTGCGACGGGGAGCGTTGCGGGCGGCCTGGCCAATGACGCCGGCGTCGACGGCGGCTCCCGACGTCTCGAGGGCGTAGAGGTAGCCTTGACGGACGGCTTCCCAGACCATCTCGGTCGCGAGGTCGGCGAGAGGGACGGCCGAGCGCTCGACGGGAGGCGGAGGCGGGACGATCGACGTGTTCGAGATCAAGTCGTAGGTGACCGGCTGGGCGGGCTGCTCGTCCATGACGACATCGACGTTGCGGTTGTGCTCGTACTCGTCTGCGCGGGTGATCGCGCGGTTGTCAGCGCTCTGGGCGAGCCTGTCAAGGAGGTACCCGAGGTGCTGCTCACTCTCGAGCTGCTGCTGCTGCTGCGGTGCCGTCGCGCGCTGGGCCTGGGCCGCCTCGTACTGGACCGGAGGCGGGAGGGTAAAGTGCTGCGACGGGGCGTGCGTCGGGGTTGCGAACGCAAAGCGGCTGCGGGTCGCCTGCTGAGCCTGCGGGACGTAGTACGCCTGCTGCTGCTGCTGCTGCTGCGGGGCGGGGACGGCGTAGCCTGCAGTGGCGTAGCGAGCGGCGGCGTACGCGTGCTGGTGGTGCTGTTGCTGCTGGGCGACTTGCGACAACATGGCCGGGTGGTGCTGGAGATGGTGGTGAGGCGCGAGACTCGGGTGGACGTAGCCTGCGCCAACACTGGTGCCGTAGTAGTAGCCTTGCGGTTGCTGCTGCTGCTGCTGGGCGGCCATCGTCCAGGAGGTGGCGGAGTGAGGGTGGATGGACCCGTCGAAGGACGACGGGTAGGCGAAGGGGACGCTCATGCGGTTTGGTACGGGCGGCTGAGAAACGTTCGCTTCTCGGCAACCCAGGAGTGTGCTCGTGGTACTGAGCACTTTTGTCGAATCGGGGATCGTGCGGTTCGAGAGGGTCTGGCGGCGACGAGGTGGAGAAGCCGGCAGGAGGGGGGAGGGTGTTCTGGCGGGTATGGGAGAACTTGGGGGAAACGGTGCCGAGAACGGGGTGTGTACGGAGAGACGTCTACTGCTGCTTGACCGGGAACGGAGACGGGGATGGGGATGCTGTGGGCGAGGACGAGCGTGAGTTCGGACTGGACTCGCTCGCGGCGGGGCGACGGCGTGACTCACTGTGCGATGAACAGGCCGAGGACAGCTAAGCCCTGTCTGAACTGACGCGAAGGAGGAGGAGGAGGGGAGTTGGCGATGAACCGGGTCTCGTTCTGCTTCGAGGCGGAGTCAGTGCATGCGCCTCGGCTGGACTGCGACGTCGGGGACTCGCCTGCTTGAACTCGTTTTCCCTGTAGAAACACGCTATAGACTGTCACGGAAGCCGATCTGCACTCAAGCTGGGCGTGCGAGCGAGCCGAGTCAGCACTTCACACGTTCGAGCTTGCGGGTGAGCAACGCACCGATCTGGCGTGGTGTCGAGTCTGTAGGCGCCGCCTGTGCCTGCGTACCGACTGCTAACCTTGCCTGGGATAACCTCTGCTGCTGCTGCTGTCCTGCCTGCGCGGTGGCGGGCGAGTTGACGACGAGGGGGTCTGTGTGGACCGGGTGCGGGCGAAGGAGAGCGTGTCGAAGCGCGGGCGCTGGACGGGAGGGGAGACGGAGGGCGTCTGGTCCTAGTGAAAGGACAGAGCAAGAGAACGGGCGCGTGGGAGGGACAGATAAACTGAGCCGCTGAGGAACAACCCTCGACGAGCGAAGTCCGGCGAGTCAATCCGCACTTTGTAATCAGCTCATTACAAGCTATTACAACTCGCCCGGCTATTCCGTTCATGCTCGAGAGTGTTCATGCGAATGCAAAACAGACTGCAAAATGTACAGCAAACGTAACGAGAATCTCACTGGGCGTCCTTCTCCTCGACAGCCGGCTGCGACGTCGACGCCTTGACCGACGACGCAGACGACGACGCAACCTGACTCTGCGCAGCGACGCGTCCTTCCTGCGGCAACGGCCTTCCAACCGCGACGCTCTTGAACGCCGCACCCTTCGCACGCGGCTGTCCGCCCCCGCTCGGCGTCCTCGTCGCCAAACCCGCCCCTCCTCCTCCTGCCCCTCCTCCCGCCGCGCTCGTCCCAACCGCCTCACTCATCGACCCGACTCTCCCTGCTCCACTCGGCGTCGCAGCCCGACTACCAGGCTGCGACCCGACCGTCCCAGCCGCAGCGATACACTCGGCAGCCGACAAACTCGACGGGTTCGCGCCCTGCGCGACGAGCTTGCGACGTCCGCGCTCGACGAGGACTGCGTCCGAGAGGCGGGGGAAGGCGCTGGTAGCTGAAGTGGGCGTCGGTGCGTGAAGGGCGGTTTCGGTAGGCGGAAGAGGCGAGGAGGGGACGGTCGAGACGGGCGTCGTCGAGCCTGATGCGGCGGGCGACTGGCGGCGGAGGATCGAGATAGGTGCTGGAGGAGTCTGCGCGGTCGAGGCGGCTGCGCTGTGGTCGAGAGAGGCAGGTTCTTGGACGATCGGCTTGCCCGTGAAGGACGAGTTGGGGCCCGGCGTCGCAGGCGACGTATAAACCGTCGGGTTCGCCGCGAACCTCGTCGTCTGGCCCGCCGCAGCCTTCGTACCGCACCAGGCGACGCGCTCCTCCTCCTTCCTCCCCCGAACGCACCCCCACCAAACCCAAGTGCGCCCGCGACGCTGCCTCCTCCGCTTCCCGTGATGGGCGTCCCATCGCCCATTAAGCTCTGCCCCGCTCCCACCCCGGCTTCCGCACGGTTCTTCCCCGGCGCGCTCCTCGACCGCGGCACCATTCCCTTCCCGATCCTCCCAACCGTGTTCGCGATCCCACCCGCGAGCGTAGGCTTCGTCTGGGGCGGCTGGCGGCCCAACCCTGTTGAAGGCGCGGGAGGAGGACCGGGTAAGTCGGTCAGACGCGACGAGGCTTCTTCGGGGATGTAGTAGCGCATCGACGGTTGGTGGGTCTCGTCGGCGTCGGTTTCGTCGAGGATCTCTTCGCCGATCAGCTCTTCGAGGACTGTTGCGTGTACGAACGAGTCAGTTGAACCGCCTTGAGACGCGAGAAGGGAGAAGAGAGAGAGGAGGCGGACTCACCGTCCTCGAGCGTGATGATTCCCACCGGATGCGCCTCGTCCAAATCCTGCTTGTTCAAGCTCACATGACTCGTCGCCGCCGCCGCATCACCGAGCAAGCTGTGACGCCTATGACGCTCGTCGTCCTTGCCCTTTCCCTCCTTCTTCCCCTCGTCCGACTTGGTCGAACTCGACGACCCGCTCCTCTTCCTGAACAGCTTGTGGAAGAAGCCGTCGCCATGACCATTCTCTCCATCGCTCCCCCCTCCGCTCGTCGAACGCGACCGACTCCTCTTCCTCAACCCCTCTCCTCCCTCGGCCCTCTCCAAATCCACGTCCGTCGCCGTGTCGAGCGAAGGGATCGGCGACAGGGTCGTCGGAGGCGGGAACGCAGGTTTCGCGCGACAAACGACGGCCATGTGTGACCGGCCTTCTTGGAACGCGTTGAGGATTTGGAGGAGCGGGAGGTGTTCCGAGACGGTGGGGAGGGGACTGATGGGGATGTCGCGGAGGGGGATGCCATCTGCGAGCGGAGAGGGCGTCAGTACGGGCTGAGTAGATCGTGTTCGAGCAACGGAACGCACCTTCGGGGTCGAGGAGAATCAGCTGCTTCGTGAGCAAGACGCCGATGATCTTGCGCTGCGTCTTCTTCTCGCCAGCGAGAGGACCATCGACTAGCACCTCTTCGTAGACAGGAATGCGCGAGTGACCCGACTTGAGGATCTTGCCGAGCGTCTCGTAGTCGAGTTTCGCCGTGATCGGGAGCGAGTAGACGTTCGACAAGTCCGTCATGGCATCTCGCACGACCTTGGCCTGTATGTCGAGCGTCGCGCCGACGATTGTCACAGTGTCGGTCTGCAAGTCGCCGTGTCCAGCCGAGGCAGCGTGCATGGCGACGAGCTCTTTGAGCTCGGCGCGGCGGTAGACGATCCCTTCGTGTTTGCCGAGGAGGAACTGGAGGAGTCGGCTGACGGGCCAGGCAATGACGAAGAAGATGTAGATCAAGACGCGGGTAGGCCAGACCATGGCGGCGCCGATCTGCAAGCCGAAGCGAGAGCAGACGGATTGAGGGCTGCGAAAGCAAGGGAGGGTCAGCGAGGAAGACGGTTTGGACGGAACTGAACGTACACAATCTCGGCAAAGATGATGACGAGGACGATCGAGACGATGGTCGCCTGCAACCCTCCGCCGAGGGGTTCTTCGGCGACGATGGGGAGCTGCGTGTGGAGCCTGGGTGAGCGCAGCGCCTGTGAAACGGTAGAATGCGACTAACCGTCTCGTTGAAGATCATATTGGCGACGAGGAGGGTGCTGCACAGCAAGCCAGGTGTCAGCTTGAATCACAGCCAGGACCGGGCGAGGCCTGGTCGAAGAAACGGCGCAACACGCACACGAGGAGCAAGTGTCCATTCGCACGCAACGGCAGAACCTTCCGCGCAGCCTTCTGCTGCTTGTCCGTACCGGTCTTGGCAAGGACGTTGAGCTGGGTTGTGTCGAGGGACATGTAGCCGAGGGTCAAGCCGGCCGTGATGCCCTGCGAGACGAGCGGTCAGCGTTCGAAATCTCCGACATGGCTTGACAAACAGCACGCACACTGAGCACGACGAGGATCGGGATGAAAGCGGCTGCGGGTATCGAGATCGAGCGGGTTATAAGATTGATTAGAGTTCGCGTGCGTGCAAAGCCGAGTGGCCACCAACTCACCCTTGACGGCGAACGCCGCCCCGCGCTTCTCAGGGGCCTTGCAGGCGCATGTCGATGCTACCGCCTCGGCTTGGCGCTTTGTGAGCGATGCGAGCGAGTGGATGACGGAGGAAGGCGTCGAGGTCGAAGAGGCGTCTACACGGTCTGTCGACGCGGCGGAGGCGGTGGGTACGATGTAGAGGATTGTGAAGAAGCATAGCGCGAGTGCGAGTGTCCTCAGGAGGCGCGAGTGACGGTGCGGGGGGCGATTAGACGAGGAGGGCGGCGGATGGTCTGCCTCGTCGACGGGGTCGTCGAGCGCCGCGGGAGTTGCGAGGGTGGCATGGCGTGTGTTGTTCGACTGTATCATGCAGCAGCGAGAGTCGTTGCAAGCGGGTGCGAGTGCAGCAGAGTGAGGCAGATGGCAGACGACTTCACGCCAAGCCAAGCAACGGCTATTCTCGTCAACATCGCCATCGACTGCCGAGTATTCGTAACAACATGCATGTACCGATGACTACACCCGCTAGTCACCCAGGGAAGCGCGAAAAGTCGAGCGGAGAAGGCATCCCAGGCGCAGCTCCTCCTCCTGCTCCTCCGCTCGCACCACCGCCGAGGACATCAAACCCTGCGAACGAGGGAGAGTCAGCTTCAGCACCGTAGAGGGACGAAGCGAAACGTCACGCACAAGGCCACGACTCTGCCGGCGCACCGCCTGCCGCACCCGCCGCTGTCGCTCCCTCTCCTCCCGCTCCCGCCTGCACCTCGCCATACGCCGGCCAAGGCGTGATCAGCCCACCAAAGCCGTACCCTGGCGACAGACCCGCAAAGGGTGAAAAGCCTGGCACGCCTGACGATCCTCCTGGCGCAGAGGACGAAGGTGGCGGAGCGTGTGCGGCGAGGAGGGCGGTTTGGCGCAGCATGCCGAGGGGGTCTTGCTGCACCGACGCAGGGTCGACGGGCTGCGCTTGAGGCGGCAGAGGCGGGACTTGCGGACGGATATCGCTCGAGCTAGGCGCGCCAACACTCAGGGAGTAAGCGGATGACGAGGCTGCGGCAGCCGCTGCATACGCCATCGCCGTCTTGCTCGGTCCGTGCGCCTCCGCAAGCTCGTACGACTCGCGAAGAGGGTGCGGGAGAGGTTGGTGAGGGAGGAACGCGACGGGCATGAACTGCGCGGCGGGGTTGTTCGGCGGAGGCTGCTGGGCGGCCGTGAGGTACGCGAGCGTTGCAGCGTCGTAAGGTGCCGGAGCGACGGGCGGCGACTTGGTTCCTCCGACGAAACCGGGCATGGCGATGCGCGAGTCGAACGGGTTGTATGGCTCGGCTTCAACGGGACTTGAAGGCCATGCCGGCGTGACCGGCGGCGCCTGCTCCGACAACGCCGGTGTCGCGCCGAGCATCTGCGCGAGGACCGTGTTGGGCGAGTCGCCTGCGGGCGAGGCCGAGCCTGTGGCCTTCCCCGCCGAGGAGGAGCGGACGACCGACTTCTTCCGCTGCTTGCGCTCGAGACGAGTCGGCGGGCAGAGGATCGACAAACTGACGTCCGTCCCTTCCGCGAGCGAGTCACCCACGTCGGTACTGGAATGCGGGTCCATCAAGCCGAGCGGGACCGAGATGGCGTTCTGGAGGCTGAGGAAGGCCTTCTCTCGCAGGACTCGGAGGCGCGGAACGAACGCCGCGACGGGCGCTCCACCTGATCCGGCTGCTTCAAAGAGCGCGACGGCCTCGTTCAGCTGCGACCAGGCGTGCGGGGCGAGCATCGAACGGGGCGACTTGATGACGAGCGAGCTTTGCGCGACGGAGCCGGCAAAGGCGTGGAACCAGATGCTGTGCGCGCGAGCCGTCAGTACAAATCTCAGAAGTAGGGCTCAGTGTGCAACTCACTGCCACCAACGCGGACTCAGGACTGGATGGAGCTGGAAGAACGACTTGGCGACCGCAAGCAGGTAGACAGCCGTCTCGAGCGACACAGCCGCGACGCTCGCAGCCCAGGGCGACTTGAGCGGTTCATCCGAGTACTTGAGGAGCGCCTGAGCGAACGCCGGCTTGTGCAGGTAGAAGAGGACTTGGCCGAACATCTGGTCGAGGGTGTGTGCGCGCATGCGGGTGATCAGGTCGTAGGAGGCGGCTTCGGGCGGAGGGGCGGGAGGGAGTTGCGGGATACCTTGCGGCTTGACAAGGAACGAGTCTGCAGGCAAGGCGCACGAGCGGTAGTCGGGCGGAGTGTCGCGCACAAGGTCCCGCATGTCCTGGTCAAGCGAGAGGATGGTCGAGTAGGAGGGCGTTGCGACGGAGAAGGCCTGGTCGATGACCTTGGCAATGAGGATGCCAATCTGCCACTTGGCGCGGTCGAAGACGCTGGCGTTTTCGGGCATCTGCGTGTCGAAGTGCGTGTCGCGGAACATGTGCGGCCGGCCCGAGATGAACGCCTGCATCCGCTCGAGCGTGATGAGCTCGTAGAACACCCGACGGCGACGGTTCAGCTCGGCGCCGGTGAGGCCAAAGTTGGATCCGTCGCGGTGCAGGCCTTGCGTCGCGAGCATGCGGACGGCCATGCCGAGGATCGGGAAGAACGTCTCGCCGCCTTCGCGCAGGTCGTGGTAGTTGAGATGGAAGTTTGCCGAAAGCTGCAGAGTCTGGACTGCGGCGAGAGTCGAGTTGGCGAGGAAGCGAGAGGCGGCGAGTGCAGCGTGCGAGAGGATGAAGAAATGCTGTGCGTCCGCGTTCGGCGTGGAGGGCGCATCGGGGTCGAAGAGGTGACCGAGGGAAAGGATCATGAGGACACATGCGAGCTTGGTGCCGTGCGGGTCGTGCGGCGTGTAGGCGGAGGGCCAGTAGTCCTCCCAGAAGACCGCCTCTTCGAGCGGCGTGAACTGGAAAGCGAGATACCGCCAGTAATTCTCGGACACTCGCCGTCCCTCCGCTTGATCCGGCAAGAACGCCCTGAGCCGCTCGAGCTCCGCCGATTTCGAGTACGCCGTCCCGAGCTGGATGTACGGGTACCGGATCACCTGGTCGACCGCCGGCACTCCCTGCTCAGCCTCACTGGCGAGGCTCGAAGCGTCCGCGTCTTCCTCGTCGTTCGGGTCGGGGTAGAAGTAGGCTGACCCGGCCGCCGCCCCCAAGAAGCGGGTCCGGCCGCTGTCGGCGATGCTGAGCGATCCGACGCCGACCATGACCGACTCGATGCCTTCGTCGGCCGACCCAGCGCCCAGTTCGTCGCCCTCCTCGTCCCGCGCCCCGCTGCTGCCGCCTAACCTCCCGCCCGAATCGCTCCTCTCGCTCGTCCTCCCACGACTTGTGTCCCTCCGCCCTTCCCGAATCTCCTGCTCGAGCTCCTTCGTGATCGTTGTGCTCCGTTTCGTCGCCTCCTCCAGATGCAGAGGCGGCGGAATACGGTCGCCTGCACCGAGTTGGCTAACGATCGCTTCGAGGTCGTCGACCCGTTTCAAGAGGGCGGCAAATTCGGCGGCGATACGGACGGCTCGTCCTGGCGGTTTGCTAGTCCCGCTCGGACAGATGTCGGCGCAGTTGCGCTTGCGGCAGTTTGCGCAGGCTGCGAGACGAAGGGAACGGTGTTCGGCTCAGCGCCAGCCCTCCAGCGACGCTGCCTCCCTTCGAGCTGTAAGCAAAGAGATCGAAACGCACGGAACTCGCGGTCGCACTTGAGTTTGAGCCTGTGGAAGGTGGATGGAGGTCAATTTCAAGTCTCTGGGAGGAGCAAAGGAGAACGCCACGGCAATGCATCCACGCACCTCCTGCATTCCTGACAGCTCAATGGCTGCCTCGGCTTGAGTCGCTTCGCCGCTGCGCTGCTGCTGCCCTGCGCCTGGGTCACCGAAACGGGGCGGGTGGGGGAAGAGGAAAGCCGGGAGTAGTTACTGTCAGCTCGCCACGCTCGTAGAGGAAGTGCCAGGCTGGCAGCACCTTGTGCACGACCTCGTCGTCCGCCCTGCCCGCCCCACGCTTGTGCCCTGCGCCTGGCGAGCCGTTCATCGTCGCGGAAGCTGATGAAGTCGAGGGGACCCCGTAGCCCTCCATGTGGATCACTGTGGTGTGCAGGCCACTCGACAGAGTGCAGCAGAGCAGTCTGAGTACCAGCCCAAGAGCGAGGGTGACGTCGGCGAGAGAGCCGTTTCCCTCTTCTCTCGCCTCGCTTCGTCCTGTCGGAAAGGTTGACCGCACAGCGAGATGAGATCACGCTATTCCGAACGCGCAACTGCAATCGGATCGACTCGTCGACGAGAGCGAACTGTCTCGAGAACCGCGCGTGTCCCAATTCATTCGGCGTCTGCGTGCCTTCCCTCCTCGCTTCACACCGACGCTTCCGCCGACCGAGCCTCGTTTGTACCCGCTTCCGCCTCGTCCAGCTCCTGCAGCGTCGAGTTCTGCTGGTCCCACATCGACCGGTACAGCCCGCCCCGGCTCATCAGCTCGCCGTGCGTTCCCTGCTCTGCCACCCGTCCGTCGCGGAGCACAATGATGAGGTCGGCGTCGGCGACCGTCTTGAGCCTGTCATTGCCTCAAAGCATGTCAGTCGAGTGCTGCGAGAGATTTGCAATGGGGACGCACCGGTGGGCGATGAAGATGCTTGTTCGGGCCTTCGACAGAAGCGTCTGGTTGATATTTCGCATCAGGTCGACTTCGGTGGTCGAGTCCAACGCCGAGGTCTGTTTCGTGGGCGAGCGAAGATCAGTACCTCCGTCGCAGTCGCGCTCGGTAGCGAGCAAAGGCGAGGGAACTCACCGCCTCGTCGAAGAAGAGGATCTTAGGGTCCTTGAGCAAGACCCGCGCGACCGCCATCCGCTGCTTCTCACCACCCGAGATCATCATCCCGCGCTCGCCAACCTTGGTCTGCCACTTGTCGGGCAGACTCTCGATCGTCCGGTCGACGTTCGCCAGCCGCGCCGCCTCCTTGACCTCGTCGTCTGTCGCATCCAGCCGGCCGTAGCGGATGTTGTGCATGATGTCGCTGTGGAAGAGAGGCGTCTCCTGCGGTACAACGCCAATCTCCTTGCGGAGCGACTCGAGCTCGATGTCGTGCAGCTCCTGGCCGTCGATCAAGATCTTGCCCTTCGACGGCTCATAGAACCGGAACAGCAGGCGGAACACCGTCGACTTGCCGCAGCCTGAGGGGCCGACGATGCCGACCTTCTTTCCCGCCGGGATGGTGAACGAGACGTCGCGGAAGATGGGCCGGTCCTTGTGGTAGCCGAAGGCCACGTTCTCGAAGCGAATCTCGCCACCCTTGGTCAGCGCGAGCGGCTTAGCATTGGGGTTGTCCTGTCGGCAAAGGTCGGTCAGCTGAAAGTCTGCCGAACGTGCGAGCTGGCGGGAACTCGCCTTGATGGTCGTCCCGACAGACTGCAAGTTGAAAAGCGTGTCCATATCGATCAGGCTTTGTCGCAGCTCGCGATAGACGGTTCCTAGAGTCAAGAAGCGTTAGTACTTGAATCGGAGATCTACACCGAACGAACACACCGAGGAAGTTGAGAGGCAGCGAAAGTTGGAAGACGAGCTGGTTAACCATGACGAGGTCGCCGACGGTCATTGAGCCTGCGCAGCGACTGGTCAGAAACCGGATCTATGGTGCGTGAGGGGGGACACACCGTCGACGATGCCCTTCGAGGCGAGGTACATCATGCCCGTCAGCGCGGACGAGAAGATCACGTTCTGGCCGATGTTGAGCGCGGCGAGCGAGGTCGAGATCTTGACAGACGCCTTGGTGTAGTCCTTCATAGCGCGGTCGTACTGGGCGACCTCGAAAGCCTCGTTGTTGAAGTACTGGGGAAAATGACAGGTCAGCCGAGTCCGAAGGCAAGCCTGCGAGCACGCGTACCTTGACAGCCTCATAGTTGATGAGCGAGTCGACGGACATGGTCGCAGCACGATTGTCGGCGGCGTTAGCCTGCTTACGGAACTTGGTGCTGAGCGAAAAAAGGTCAGACAGAGTTGACATCGGCGAGAGAGGCGGGACATACCGCCACGCCGTCGTCTTGATCGTGAACCACGAGTAAGCGGCCATCGTAGCGAGCGTGACAGCCGCAAAGTCCCAGCCAAACTTGTAGCTCTGCGTACGCGTCCTTTGTCAGATTAAATGCTTGAGAAGGTCGACCTGCGAACGCACCAAGATGCCGCAGACCATCGTAATCTCGAGAGCAGTCGGCACGACGTGGAAAACGACTGACGAGAGGAGGAACGAGATGCCCCTGCGTGCCACAAGGTCAGCAGCTTGGCGGCGCACAACGTTCCGTCGACGACACTCACTTCGTTCCCCTATCAATCGCCCGCGTCAAACCGCCCGTCTGCCTCGTCAAGTGGAAGCCGATGTCGAGGCTGAGTAGGTGGGTGAAGACGGAACGAGCGACTCTTCGTATCGCTCCTTGCGCAACGTTGGCGAAGACGGCGTTTCGCAGCTCGGAAAAGAGGGATGCGCCGATTCGAGCGAGGCCATCTGCAAGAGTCGACGTGAGCAGCAGTCTTTGGGCAAGGTGAGGCGCAGAAACTACAGCCCAAAATGACGGTTCCAGCGATTGCAAAGACGCCTTGACCGGTCGTCGGGTTGATCTCAACGTTGAGGGTGTCGATAATGTTCTTGAAGAAGAACGGCACTTGTACGTTGAGAAGCTAAGGGGGCGAGGAGTTAGGCTCGCCGTGAGTAACATGAGACGATGACGAACCTTTCCGCCGATGAGCAGTCCAACCGCGAGCAAGACCCGAGTCTTCGTTCCCCAATCGTTCTTCGGCCATACGTTCGGCAGCAGCTTCTTGATGATATCCCAATCTCGCCGCGTTTGCTCCTTGTCGCTGACCGTCTCCTCTTTGCCAACGTCTGTCACTCCACTCTCCTCTTTCCGGACCGCCTGTTCCTTCTGATGCCCCTCGGGTCCCGAATGCGCCTGCGTCGCCTTCACCGCAGCTTCAGATAGCTCGTGTTCTCGTTCTCGCTGCGAAGTTGGTGCAGTTTCGGGTTGTCGAGAGGTAGGTGGAGGCGCAGGACGGTCGCGGGCGTAGTGAGCGTGAGTTCGGAGGAGAGTGAGGATTGGCGAGGTGGTCGCCGCAGGTCGTCGCTTTGTTGCTGACGAGTCTAGCGTGCGGAAAGTCCGTCTAGGATGACATGCTGGGCAAGACGGTCGTATCCGAGGGGCCGGCTGTGGGAGGAGCGAGTTGTCGTCAGTTACATCCGCGAACGGCGCGTTCAGGCCAACAGAGCGATATCCCAGCACTGCTGCCTCCTCGCCGTCGTCTAGCCAGCCCCCCAGAAGGTGAACTCACACGAACCCACCCCGCTCCTGATGAAGCCGAATGCGCCGTCCCCGCTGTCCACACGCGCAAGCCAGAAACGGCGCCTGTCCGACTAGCCATCCTAGCGACCAAAGCAAGCCTAGCCGTGCAGATCGAGCGCGATAAAGTGGAAGGAGAGCGAGATGACAGTGGGGGAGTCGCGCGATGAGGTCCACCTTGCGCCATTTCTGCTGGCTCGGCCGAGGATGATTGGAGCGCGGCGTGTCGCTTACGTGCACTCTGACGAGCTTATCAGAGCGGCAGACTGCTTGCCCGCGAACGAGGGGAGGGCGTCGCTCGTTCACTCTCTTGTCGACGCTTTCTCCCTCCTTGACGACGGCGACGGCTCGCGGGAAGGTCCGGCTCAAGCGAGGGTCGTTGAGCCAGAACGTGCAAGTAGGACCGAGTTGCTGAGGTTCCACGACGAGCGGTACATCGGTGAGTAGGCGCTCCAAACGCTGTCTGACCCTCCTCAGAACGCTGATTCGGCCTTTGTCGTGAAAGATAGACGCTATTCTTGGCCGCGACCATAGCGAAGGAGTTTCAAGGGACTTCAGCGAGGATGAGGAGCCTTTGGGAGAGGAGGACACGCCTTCGCCCCGCTCTTTCGGGCTCGCTGGCGACGCCCTTCCGTCGGAACCGCCTCGAAAACGCCGAAAGACGGATGGCGTCGGCCTGCAGGACGACTGTCCAGTCTTTTTCGAGCTACCAGACTATGTTCAGTTCGTCGCGGGAGCTTCGATAACGGCTGCGAGAATGCTGAAGGACGGACAAGCGGACGTTGCGATCAATTGGACAGGCGGAAGGTGCGCTGCCTTGGCTTCCGCAGGCAAAAGCCTACTGACAGGTGTCTCGTAGACACCACGCCAAAAGGGGAGAAGCGTCGGGCTTCTGCTACGTTAACGACATCGTCCTCGCCGTCATGGAGCTACGCAGTCCGCCTCACCCGCCTCCTCCGTCTTCCTCTCCGTCCTCATCAACTCGACCATCCCTTCCATCCCGCATCTCGCGCGTCTTGTATCTCGACATCGACCTGCACCACGGCGACGGCGTCGAGTCCGCCTTCTTCACCTCACCCTACGTCCTGACCCTCTCGGTCCACCTCCACGCCCCTCTCTTCTTCCCTTCTTCCGGTGCACTCGACTCGACTGGTCCCACCAATCCGAAAGCGCCAGGTCGATGTCACGCTCTCAACGTCGCGCTGGAACCAGGGCTGGGAGAGGCGAACTTCAGGCGTGTCTGGGAGAACTGCGTGGAGAAGGTTGCGAAAGGGTACGATGCGGACGCGATTGTTGTGCAGATGGGCGTGGATGGGATGGTCGGCGACCCTTGCAAGGCGAGTCTTCGGTTCCTCCCTCTGCAACTTGCGACACAAGATAACGCTTCTTCTTCGGCCGGCAGGAATGGAACCTCCCTCTCTCCGCCTACGGCTATGCACTCGAGCAAGTTCTGAGCTGGAACAAGCGGACACTCGTGCTGGGCGGCGGAGGCTACAACAGCGCGAACGCAGCTCGCGCTTGGGCGTACTTGGCGTCTGTCGCGGTGCGTCAAGCCGTGAATTCGTATGTCTCGTGTCAGACTCGGCCGACGATCCTCGCGCCGAACAGCTCGGACGTCCGCTCCCGCTTGACTCGCCCATCCCGTCCGACCTCGACCCCGAACAATACGCTCACTTCGCGCCCGACTTTGCGCTCGACGTGCCCGAGGGCAACATGCGCGATCAGAACACGGAGGAGACGCTTGCGAAGGTGGAGAAGGCGTTCGAGGAGTATGCGGGAGTGCTGCACGAGCGCTGGGCTAAGAAGCGGGAGATCAAGCAGGGCGTGCCATCTTAGCCTCGTCAAGTGCAGACGATCACGATGGACAGCATGCAAATGCAAGGAACAAAGATGCGCGAATCTAGTCAACAACAAGGACTTCAACGTTCTCCTTCTCCAGCCGCTCCAGCTCTTCGGCCATGACGCCCAGCGCCAGCCAAGCCCACGAACTCAGCCCCAACAGGCGACCCGAGTCTGTCGCTCCACCGACGCGCCTGCCGGAGGCGGCTCGCTTCTTCTCCGCCGTCGCAAGCTTCGACCGGTCCTCGCTCTCCTCCACTGCGGCCAACCACGCCGCCCAGGCGTTCTGCACCGCTCTGGACGTCTTCACCGGTCGCCCGCTCGAATACATGCCCTCCCTGATGACCTTTCTGACGACGGCGAACAACATCCCGCTTTGTTCGCGCCGCTTGCCCGCGTCGAGCTTGTCGCTCTTCTGCAGACGCTTCGTGCCGAGGACGACGCTGAGGAAGAGCGACTCTTCCGCCAAATGGAGATTGCCGGCGCGAAGAGGCGTTGGCGAAAGCGAGAGAAGCTTCGACAGCTCGGAGGAGAAGGAGGGGAGGTAGGCGCGATAGTGCGCGATGAGGGGACGGGAAGGTGGTTTGAGACGCTTTGAGAGAAGGAATGGCAGCGAGACCGATTCCAGCGCCTTCGTGAGTCGCCGCTGCGGGTCAATGTCGAGGAGGAAGGCCGGATTCGACGAAGACTTCGGCTTGGCAACCGCAAAGTCCTTCTCGTCGATGGCGCGGTACAGCTGACCGAGCGCCTTTGACGAGCGGTAACTGTCCGGCGCGTCGTTCGTCAGGAAGTCGGGCCATCCTCGCTGCGTGACTCGCGGGACGGCGTGTTGCGGGACGAAAGTGCCGCTCTTGGCGGCGTCGACGCAGTCGGCTGCAGGAAAGTGATTCAGCTCGAGATCGAGAGGAAAGAAGCGAAGTGACTCACAGTGAAGCTGCGCAAGCTTGAGGCAATCCGGGTGAAAGAGGCCCTCGGCGTACGAGTCCGCGAGGAGCAGCTGTCGGGTCGCGACGAGTCCTGTAAGGTCTCGCGTAATGTCTGTTGCGTAAACGTTCGGTGGTCAAGAGCGGGCCAGAAGGGAATGCAGGCTGGATGGACTTACACTTGAAGAAGAACTCGCCGCCATCCTCGACGCTGACTTCCCGGTCCAGCTTGACGGTCGGAGCCGCATCGTACGCCGCAGGCTCAGCGATGCGATCGGGTGAGGGCACCAGGCCGCTCGCCTCGGTTAGAAGAAGGTAGACGTCGCCGTCGAGATCGCCTCCGGCCAGCATCGACGGCAGCGAGCGGGACCCTGAAGCATCGAGGGAAGTAAGCATCATGGCGGAGAACGTAGAAAGGGAAGGACTGACCGTGTACGGGAAAGACGACGCAGTTTGTTAAGCCGCGAATCCTCTCTCCCGCACCTTTCGGCAGCTTGCCGACCGCGCGAACGATCCGACAATCGCCAGGATGGTTCGTCGGGCTCCGACTGATGGCGATCGTGCCGTGCAGGTACTCGGTCGAGCCGTCTGAGCGGGAGATGCGGGCGTATATCTCGTCTTCCGCAAGACAGCCGTCGACGTCGACGACGCCGACGAGATTGTAGCATCCGGGAAGCGGGATGCGTGCAGAGTATTTGATGTCTCGTAGCGCGTGGACGACCGAGGCGTCGAGGCATCGGGCGACGAATGGGTTGGCGAATGCGGCGTCTCGCGTGGCGGGGTCTTTCGCCAGGAATCCGAGGGCACTGACGAAGCGAGTGCCGGAAGCGAGACTCCAGTCGCGAAGGAGCTTGACGGCGGACGGCAGACTCGCGCGACTCTTGCGAATCTTGGCGGTCGCCTTGGCCTGCAACTTGAGGAAGATGTCGGCGGGTATGCCGAGGTTCTCGAGAAGGGTGATCAGCGGTCGATTGAGGTATCCCGGACCGGCTTCGAAGGTGCCGGCGATTTCGAGCGAGGTGAGGGTGGAGCGGAACTTGACTTGCGAAGGTCGGAGGGCGACGACCTTGCCTTCGAGCGTCGGATCAACCTGCAGCATCCCTGCGACAGAAAGGTCAGCTCCAGCTGTATGTGAAGTGCTTACGAGCGCGCACCTTTCGCTCCGCCTAGCCGGAACTGAAAGCAGGTTGGCGGCTTCTCCTCCTTGCCCAGCTTGATGCCGAGCTTCTCGACGACATCGCTCGCGAGCGACGGCGAAATCAAACCGACACCGTCCGAGAAGCAGGAGCCGTCGGGTGCCGTGATATCCTCGATCGAGAGGATCTGGTCCGGTTTCAGCGTGAGGCTTGGCTTGGACGACGAGAACGCCTGGGCGATGCGAGCCATGTATTTGGCGGGGATCAAGGCGGTCTCCGAGCCGGTAAAGTCGCCAATCGATCGGTGAATCAAGGTGGGCGTAACGAGCGTTTCGTCGGCAAGGCGGAAGGGAGAGACGAAGAAGCAGGACGAGCTCTTCAAGCCGGAGGACGACCATGCGAGGAATCTCCACGAGCGGCCGCCGAGCTCGAAGCCGTCGCGGAAGAGAGGGGACAAGCGAGAGACGATGAGGCTGTCGTCCCGTTCGCGAAGGCTCGACCCGTCCTCATGACGCACGGCGACTGAGACGAAAAGTTCGGGTCGGTCGTACGCGCGCACGATCGAGTTGGTGTCGCCCAAGTAAGGACCGAAGAGGAGAACTCGAGTGGCCGTGAAGGTGACCTGCCGGATGAGCTGGGTTTCCTCCGCCTCCGCGAGGAATTGCCCGAGCTTCTCGAACTCGTCAACGGCCCGGTCGAGCAGAGTCGAGAGCTCCTGAGTCGAGAGATGGGTGGGATGGCGAGGCTGCATGTCTTGAAAGTAGGGCAGGCTCGAACCGAGGATTAGGAGATCGTCTTCGTCCTCAGAGGAAGACTCGTCGCTCGAGCCGAGAGTGAGGATGGACGAGTCGGTTTTCCGACGCTGTCGTCTAGTTGGACGAGGAGGCGGGTCAAGGATGACCAGGTCGTCGTCCGGCTCTTCTGCATGCGGGTCGAGCGATGATAGGCGGTCGGCGAAGAACGCCAAAGTTCGCTCAGCGAGAGAGACGCTCTTCTTGGCGATGAGGCCTTCGATTTGGTCTCGCAGCTCGAGTGCTTTGACTGGATCGACGAGTCCGTTGCGCACGAGCTTCTCGACCTGGAAGGCGATCCGGAAGTCGAGCGTGAGCAGCCAGCTCTGCAGCATGGCAAGGGACGTTTCGCTGAAGCGGGCGACTGTGTCGAGGGTGACGATAGTGGAGGAGATGCGAGGGAAATTGGCGTCGGCGGCATGCTTGAGGAAGCCCGCCAGTTCGGGCTCAGTCCGGAACTTCAGACGCAAAGCTCGGCCGGCAAACTCTGCCACGCGCCCGTGGGCGTCGTCGAAGGAATGGATTTGTCGTCCTCGAGGCCTGCTGGAGCCAGAAGGTGCAGGCAAGCGTCCCAGAGTGGCCGCTCGGGAGAGTTGGAGGAAGAGCGATGAACTGCCGGGCGAATTGTAGGCGGTTTCGACTGAGCCGATCTACGAGTCAACGGGTCAGCTCAGGCGCGTCTGACGTGCCAAGAACGGCCACACTTCGACCGTAATGCGGATGCTCGCAGCATTTGTCGGCACCGTCGAGAAAGGGCTTCCCTCCTCCCACATCCGCACGACCATCGACGTCTTCTTCTCCTTCGCGCTCGTTTCCAGCCAGACCTTGTCGACGCCCTTTCCCTCGCGCTCCCACTCGGCTGAGAAGCTACTCGGGCTCGTAAAGACGCCGAAAGCAAGGGACCGCACGCCAAAGGAGGCGTCGTCCAACGTCGGGGACGGGCTGGCGGGAAGCGGGGAGCTCTGGTAGGATGTGCTGGCACGGTGCAGGGATGGCCGGCGCCCCATATTGTCCGGCTCGTTCGCTGAATGGGCGGCCAAGGGTTGGAACGCTGTTATCGAGACAGGGAGGTCAGCGATGGTCTCCAAGCGATCGCAGACGCTGTCAGACCTTTTCCCTCGTCCCCAGAGTCCACCAAGTCGAGCCGTCCCGGCGGCGAGAGCGTGAGGTCGAGCGCATCTTGCGGGAGGACAGCGGGGAGGTGAAGCTCGAGCGGAGGGGTTCGAGCGGGGCTGCGCTCGGGAAACAGCAAGTCGAGGACCTCTGGCAAGTCGAGCATCCCATCCGTGCAGCCAGCGAGACGAGCGAAGCGTGTGAGCGGACGACAAAGGTCGAAGTTCGACCTGCTCTTCCTCGCGGACTCGATGTATGCGCATTCAGGCAAGGCGGCAGGCTAGGAATGCGTCTGTACGAGCGCGATTGCAAGAAAGGAGAGCGACTACGAGTTGTTATACCGCTGAAGAGCCTTCTCCCGCAGTCGGTCGGCATAGGTCTTCGACGCCCCGTCCTCGGATCCGACAGCGACGCCTGCGGACGAAACGGAATCAGCAACGCGCAGAGACGACGAGTGAAGCGAACGCACCCTTCGTCGAGCCGAGACCGGCACCCTGCGCGAACTGAGCCGCCTGAACGGGATCGACCCTGCCTGAACCCGACGCACCAAGCCCGGCGCCCGTCGTCCAACCCTGCGAGCAGCTGCCGAGTCAGCATGTGAGCAAGCGTAGTAGCGTGACGGACACACCATTTTCTCGAGCATTTTCCGCCCGGCATTGCTCTCTTCGAGCCCGTCCTTGTTCGGCCCCGGCGGCAACGGCTTCGGCGGTTCCGGCCCATCAAACTTCCGCTTCTTCCCTTGCCCGTGTTCAGGACCGTCTGAGGCGCCGAGCGCTTCTCGTCGAGCGGCGGCGCGGTCGACGTACTTCGGCTTGGAGGACGAGTCGGACGACGAGGTCGAGGCTGCTGAGGAGGCGGCGGCGGCGGTGTGCTTCTTGACTGAGGCGGCCTTGCGAGTCGCGCATGCTGCGAGAGCGTCGGCATTGCCGAGGTTCGTCTGCGAGAGAGGCGAAGCAAGAACCGCGAAAAGACGGAGCGAGCGTTAGTCGTGCAGAACGATCAATGCGTGCGAGTGCTGCGAATCGTGCCTTGTGCAGCTGCGAGAGCTTGTTGTGCTTCCTCAGCTCGTCGATGCCCTTGAACTGTCGTTGACACAGCAAGCACTGGAACGAGACCGGATCGCCGTGCTCGAACTCGGGATCGTCGAAAGCGACGGAGGCGGCAGTTGCGCCGGGAGCTGGCGATGCCGATTTCGGGCTGGTCGTCGCGGATTGCTGTTGTTCGGCGCACGCGAGCGCGGGCGAAGCGAATGCAACGAGGTCAATACGAGTTCGACAGCGGGAGATGAGCGTGTTTGAGCAAGTACTGGTTGTTTCGCCTTCTCGGCAGCAGCGGGTGCGCCGCTCGACGCCTTGGCGGCGGCAGCCGCACCCGTCGAAGCATCGGAGCGGAGCTCCTTCGACTTCTGGTTCCACTTGGCCAAGTTCGGCGCAGCTTTGCGGCTGATGATGAGGTCGCCCTTCTTCTCCTTGCCTGCGAGCACAAAGCGATGTCAACGGGTCGCGCACTGCAGACATAATCAAAGGGGGCTCACCACCAAGAACAGCCGCTGCAACAGGCGCAGGCGGAACAGCTGCAGCAGACGCAGACACGGCTGGAGATGCAGAAGACGTCGCAACGGAAGGCCCAGCAATGGCAGCAGAAGTAGCAGAGATAGGCTTGATGGAGATGGGTGCGGTGGAGGCGGGAGCGGATGCTGTTGATGTCAGTGCGGCTGGAGTAGTCGTAGTGGTGGAGGTTGCGGTCGACGGCGGAGGGGCAAACTCCTCGCCCGCCATCAAAGGCATGTCGGCTTCGATGCTTTCGAAAAAGGCGGCCATGTCGGCGTCAACCTTCGCCTCCTCGACGGCTCGCGGAGCTTTCGGCACGCCTCGCATGACCTCGTCCGTCTTGGGCGGTGAGGGCGGCGTCCACGGCTGGACGAAGCCCTTGTCGTCCCAGTAGGCGAGCTGCGCGCCGCCTTCGCCTCGGAAGGACCAGGCCGAAGTCGAGTAGATCGGGACGAACGAGTTTTCGTGCGAGAAGGAGGCCGCGACGACGTTGTTGCGGATGCGGAAGCCGGTTGGGTGAAACTGGGCGTTGAAGGCGGCCGCCAAGACGTCCTTCGCGAGGCGGACGTCGGCGAACTGGGCGAACGCGAAACCCCAGCTGCTCCTCGATGCGCGGTCCTTGACAATCATGATCCGCTTGATGCCGCCTTTGGCGATCTCCTGACTGGCACGGCCGCCTACGCGCGACAGGGTGTACGAGATCTCCTCTTCGTTCGTGAGCGGGTCCAGCCCGCGCAGGAGAATGACGTTGCTCGGCGTGGAACCGATGTCGCGCGTGCCGTCGTTGACGTAGAAGCCTGGTGCGGCGACACCTTCCGCCTTGCGTTGATCTTCCGTTAGACGAGCCGATGCGCCCTGGTCATCCCGCCATCCTCCAGTCTTCTGGCTATAGTTGATCTTGATCCGCATGCCGTCGTCGGGACCAGGACCACCTCGCTCGCGCCAAGGGATGCTGGGAAAGTTGGGGTCGACGAAAGCGCGGGCGTGCTCGACCGAGCTGAACTTGGCGAACCCGAAGCGCTTCGAGAGGCCGGTCGCGCGGTCGATGATGACAGTGGTCGAGTCGATCGATGCGCCCATGTCCTCGAGGAAGTTGCGAAGGTGTGTGTCGGTAACGTGCGCTGGCAGGCCAAGGAGGATGACAGAGGCTGAGGGCGGTTCGAGTTCGGGAGCTTTGCCGCGAGGAGCAGGGGCGCCGGGGCTGGGTCTCGTCGCCTCGTGGGGAGCTTGCTGAGGGTACGCTGACGGACCAGGGTATGGCTGGCCGTGCGGCGGAGGAGGCGGAGTGGGATAGCCTGGCTGGCGGTAGTCGTCTCGGGGAAGGGGGGAGCGAGTGTCGCCTCGCGGTCGGTCGTAGTCCTGCAGTGCGAGCGTCAGCAGCGAGTTAGAGTAATGGCGCTAGTCTCGCGCACACTCACCTCGTAGCGCCCTCGCTTCCAGTCCCTCGAATCGTCCTCGTCCCATCCACGCCCTTTCCCGTCGCGAGGTCCGCCAAAGTCCCGGTCGTCGCGGTATCCCCTGTGCTCATAGTCGTCCCGGCGAAAGCCTCCTCGTCCCCTGCGGTCGTCTCGCCTGTCCCCGTGGAAGCGACTTTCATCGCGGCGGTCGGGTCGCGGGTGGCGATACGGGTCGCTGCAGCGGGTGCAAAGGGTCAGCAAGGCGTCAGAGAGACTTGCGCAGACAGGTCAACTCACTCGTAGCCCGACATGAGATGCTGTGGGTCGTGGTCGAAGGCAAGTCGCTCCTTCGCCTCCTGCGCTCACCTTGTCGCCCGCTGACACCGCTGCAACGGCTTCTAGCGCCGCTCCGCTGCGTCTGGACTTTCAAGAAATGGCCTGAACGCATGCTACGCCGCTCCCACCGCTCGCGCGGCCTTGCTCGCGATGCCCGAGCCTCTGCTCGACCCTCCCTTGTTCTCTCGCCTTGTCTCCGCAAGATCGCAGGCACCTGCTCGTGCGCAGCGTCGACGCTTGGGCTCCTCTACGAGCCGTCGTCACCCGCGCTTGCTGGCCTTGTCTATCCGGCACAAGGTAGGCCGCCCTTGTCGCCGTCCATTCGCTTTGCCTGCCTCCCCTCCTCGCTGGTCGAGCTTCTGCGTTCTCTTGCTTGCATCGTTCCAGCTGTGCTGTCCCGCTCCTCTCTCTCCCAGCCCCGCCATCTTCGCGGTCGCCATGTCTCCTCGCCGCCCTCCTCCTCAACCTATCCGCATCCCTCGTCGTCAAGGCCGGACCAACGTGTCGACGAATCACGCCGCAATCCCTACATTCACGCGCCGACTGCCGAAACAAATCCCGCAAGCCCCTGGCGAGTCTTCCGCTTCGGCGCCGCCAGACTCGCCCGTCGACCTTCGTGTCGTTCCTGCCCAGTACGAGTCGCGGCCAGCTTCGACCAACCGCCTCGCTGAGATTGCAGTCGACATTCAGCCGCCAACGCCCGAAGCTGTCGAGCGTCCCAGTCAACGACGCAGCGCCGAAGCCGCCGCCGCGGTTCGAGCACTCAAGCAGTCCCACCGCACTGCGTCCGTCTACTCCTCTTCCTCGTCGAACGGCACACTGGAGATTGCGACTACGCAAGTTGGGCGGCAGGGCGGGGTCTACCTTCGACCGGACTTGAGCGGGAAGAGCAACCTCACCCTCGACCAATTGCCTCGAACCGTCAGCCTCGAGGATCTGGTCATCCACGAGGTCGGCAAATCCGACAACGAGGAGGAGACGCTGGCGTCTTCGACGGTCGCAGCGGAAGACGTCAACCATCGCCCGATATCCCTCACCCACGCCGCTCCTTCCACCGACCTGCCAACCCGCACTTCTTCCCTCTCTCGCTCCTCTTCCCTCGTACCTCTCGCCGGCCAAAACATCCCTCCGCCTCGCTACCAGTCCCGCCCAACTCCGCCTTCTTCCCTCCCGCCTCGCCCTTCCCACCCTTCTCCTCCAAGCTCTCGCCCTCCTCGCAGCGAGACAGAAGCCGAGCGTTTCAAGCGTCTCTACCTCTGTCCTTGGGAAGGGTCGTCGCCCAAGGCGTTGTTGCGCCGAAGCGGGCGTGAAGATGCCCCAGGGTCAATGCAGGAGAAGGAAGTCGCGAACGAGAAAGGCCTTCCTTTCCACGTTGGCTGCGATATCCAGCATCAGGGGACAAGGCGGACGAAGCAAGAGCGGAAGAGGTTGGCGTTGAAGATTGGCCTTGGACTGCTCGTCCTCGCTCTCTTCGTCGATTTGATTGCCCTTAACGTTCGCGTCTGGTCCTTGCGCGATGCGTACTACGACGAGTGACTTACCCAGCTGTAGCTAGACTTTTTTCCTGGACGCAACTGAACTCTCGAGGCAATTCTGCTGCAGAACACGACGCGAGTTGCAACCTGAAGCTGGGAGAGGGGAGACAACAACAGCAGAACATCGACCGAAGCTCATGCGTAAAGATACATCCGACGAGAGAAAGCGGAGCCGTTAATCCGAGTCATTCGAGACGGTCCGCTTCCCTCCTCGTCCTCGCCCACGAGCCTTGCCGCCGCCTCGAGAACCACGACCTCGTCCTCGTCCTCGACTTGCAGATGTGCCGGTCGAGTCGGCATTCGGACAAGCATTCGAGAAGTGGCCTTCTGCAGATTGGAGGCTGGGTCAGCGTCGCTCGTATCTGGGAAGGTCAGGCAGTAGTGGGCCTGAAACGCGAGAGCGTACGCTCGCCGCACTGCGATCGCAAGGGACAGTCAGTGACCTGGGTGCGACTGCTTCGAGGAAGATGCGCACCTTGTAACAGCTGTAGTTCGAGCCGCCACCGCCTCCTGACGCGCCACTGCTTCCGCCTTGACCTCGTTGCGGACACGCGCTCGCCCAATGACCCTCTGCATGACTTGTCGTCAGCAAGCAAGGAGGTGCACAACGGCAGAAGTCGGCACACCCTCATGGCAGATGTAGCATTCTCCGCTCGCTCCGCCCGAAGCAGAACCGCCAGACTTGCGAGTCGTCTTCGCGGCCTTGCCAGCTTGAGGACAGTCGCTCGCCCAGTGTCCCGCTGTGAACGCACGAGAGAAAGTAAGCTACGAAAGGGTGGCGTGGTCAGCGAAGAGACGCTTGCTCACCTTCCCCGCACTGGAAGCAAGTGCCGCTCGCTCCTCCCACACCTCCTCCGCTACCTTGCATGCTGTTCGAGCGTCCTCGCATCGGCGCCGGACCAGCGTCGCCGTCAAGAGAATCGACCCAAGTGAAGAACTTGCACTGCGCGTTCTTCGAGACGTTCGGGCACTTGAGGAACTCGCGACCTTGATTTGGACCTGCGGGTCGATCTCGTCAGTGCCTAAACAGGTGAAAGAGAGAGGGTGAGTAAGAGCTTACCTTCCGCCTTGACGGTCAAGCGTTGAGGCGTTAAGTCGCAATCGCAGCGCAGCTCGTCGGAAGCGGCCGATTTACGAGTCGGCTGGCGCTGCGAGCAAGCATGAGCGGGTGTAACAGGTTACAGAGGGTGCGCGACTCACGTTGGAACCGTTCGCCAGCGGCCGTTTCTGCGGGACGACCGCTCCACCTCCGCTCTTCCGCCCGCTTGATCCGCCCGAACCCTCCTCATCTGCCCACGCAAAGAAGCCGCAACCATCGCTCATGCCTTTAGAGCAGCCGAAGAACTTGCGCCCCTTGTTCGGACCCTCCTTCGTGACCGTGCGCTCGACAGCCGGGATCGAGCAGCCGCAAGACGGGATGTCCTGATCCGCCGCATCGTCGAAGGCGAAGTCTGCAAGCAATCGACGTGAGCACCAGCGTCAGATGCGGCGAGAATGGGAATTCACCTTCGTCCTCCTCCTCCTTCTTCTTCCGCTTTGCCGCCGTGCTCTTCGCACCCGTCTTGCCGGCTGCGGCCGCCTTCCCGCGAGGTCCAGCTGCAGTCTTGGCGGCCGTCTTCTTCGCAGCCGGCTTCTTTTGCGTCGTCCGCTTCCGTGCTCCGCCGCCCCTGCCACCTCCGTCAAAGTCGTCCCCGTCGCTGTCGTTCCCGCCCCATCCTCCTCCGCCGCCGCCACCGTGACCTCCTCCGCCTCCTCCACCACCGTTTCCACCTCCTTGAACCTGGCCGAGATTGCCTTCGACGTACTGGCGAACGGTCTGCGGAGCGCAAGGTCAACCCCCGCTCTAGGAGGGAGACGATGAGCAACTCACAGCGACGAAAGCGGCCATCTGCTGCTGCGTACGGAAGAGGACCTCGCGGTACTCATTGAGCGACTGCGTGATCACGTCCGCCTTGTTCTTCTTGCCCTCGCAAATCTGGACGAGCCGTTCTTCGGTCTGTGAGGCGTTTGTCAGCTTCGTTCGTCAACAGCCTGACGAGCGAACGTACCAATCGACGAAGGTGAGGCTTGCTGAGCGAGTTCTCCAGGCCGAGAGCGTCGTAGGCCTTGACGAGACCGATCCCGAGAGTCGACGGGACGAGGTACTCGACGCTGCCCTCCTTCTGCTTGATCACGTACTCGCGGTCAATGATTTTGGAGATGTGCTCAGCGATGGTCGCGTCGGTGCCTACGTGACAAGGATCAGTGGGAAGCTGAGGAAGACTCGACGGGCTTACGCACCGATGCCGTTCTTGTCCATCAGCGAGACGAGGTCCGCTTCGGTCAGCAACGACGGCTGCGTCGTCATGCCCTCCTTGAGCGAAAGCTCGTCCGGCTCGAAGCGCTCGCCAACCTGGAACTCGGGCAGGTGGTTGCCCGTCCATTTGTCGTAGATATAGACGTCGAGGTAGTTACGCTCGCGGATGACGAGGCCTGCGGATGCCGCGCCCGTCAGTATCGTCACGAGGGGATGGTCGGGACACGCACCTTTGGCCGAGAACGCCTCGCCAGCAATTTCAATCTCGCAAGTTGTCTCGAGTCCCTTTGCGTTCTTCGAGCAACAGCCCAAGAACCGCCGCACGACGAGGTCGTATACCCGCTTGTCGTCGCCCGTGAGGTTGTTGACGTGCTGAGTTGGGTGGATCGGAGGATGCGCCTTGTCGTTCTTCTTGCCGTTCCGCGGTCGCTCGAAGCCGCCGTTGTCGAGAAGGCTGCGGAATGCGTTGTCAGCCGGCTTCGTCACCCTGTGTCGCACAACGGCATGACGCACTTGGTCGCGAACGTCCCCCAAGCGTTGTCGCCCTTGTGCTGCGTGATCAGCTCATGAAAGTTGAAGTCGCGGTCGAACTGGTCGGTCTCGGTGCGGGGATAGCTGAGGATACCCTTGTGGTACAGGCTTTCGGCAATCTAGTGAAATAAGCCTCAGTGGCGCTCAAAGTAAGCGGGGCGCTCACCGAAAACGCACCTCGAGAACCCGCTTCGGCGGCATGCGGAGGAGGCGAGATCCGCTCTTCTGCAGCTCGACTGTCGTCAAAGGCAGAGGTTTCCTGCGCGGCGGACTGCTCGGCGCTCGTTCACAGATAGAGAATATGAGACCGGACGTACCACTTCTGCGTCGGCTTCGTCTCCCACTTCGTCACACGCGCCTCTCCCGCATCCTCGACTATGTCAAGCAGCGCCTGCGCGACGTCCCGGTCATACAGCCTTCCTCGTCGCCACACAAAAGTCGTCTTCGAGTCTTCGCGGGCCAGAGCGACGTGGATGTACCAGAATGGCTCGGGAACAAAGGACGAGACCCGCTCGTATTGGTCGACGACGAAGCCGAGAGTCGGGAACTGGCATGGTCCTGTCGCGGAGAGGCTCAGCAACGTGGCAGTATCAAGAGACGAAGGGACGCACCATAGCTGATCAAGCTGTCCTCAAGGGCGCCGATTTGCCGCTGCAGCTCGAGCGTCTGGACTCGCGTGAAGATCGACCCGACTCGCAGATCCAGCTCCATTCTTGCTCCGACAGCAGCCGCCTGAAGCAGGTCGAGATCGACCGGATTCCGCGCCGCCTGGTTGATCTGCCTGCGAGACGGTCAAACCGATCAGGACGAGGCTGTCGCATGGAGTTGACCGAAACTCACGCTGGGATGATGGCGCTGAATCGCGCGCGCTTGACGACGATGTTGGGCTTGGCCTTGCGGCAAACCTCGGCGACGACAGACCCGATGTACTCGCCTTCACGGTCGCAATCCGTCCAGATCATCAAGTGCGTAGCGTTCCGTGCTTCGGCGAGAAGGTTCGACTCGATGCCCTTGTGGTCTGCATCCTGTGCGCCGGATCATGGAGGGAAGCATAAGCTCACGCTCAGCGTGACTTTGACGCAAGAATCACCCCTGCCGCGCACCTGAGTAACGAACGTCCGGATACCCGCATCGAACAAGTCCCGCGGGTCGCAGCTATGCCACTTGCGATACTGGTCGTCAAAGTCGGAGCTGGTCAAATGGCCGGCGACGGAGGTGACGGTGAAGTCGGAATGTGCTCCTTGATGGCCTTGTCGGTACGAGAACGAGTAGTTCTTTATCCATTGCGGCTTGCGGGCTGTTCGCTGCGGCGGTGGTAAGTAGTCTGTCAGCGAGAAAGGGAGGGGGAAAGAATGGGTCGAGAGCGTGCGAACCGTCGTGAACTGCCCTCCTGACAGGATCTGCGCGATGGACTTGGCGACTGAGGGCTTCTCGGCGACGCAGAGCCACTTTGCGGGCATGTCTGATCGAGCTGGTCTGCGAGTAATAGCTGTTAGCTGGCGTTCTTGTAGCATCCGACAAGGGAGGACCTGGGCGAAGACGCTGAACTCGACCCCCTAACCTCTTGCCAGCCTCGCTCGAACGCCAAAGTAGACGGCTAAAGCTCACCTAGTTGTGTAGTACCGTGCGCGAGCTGCCCCTACGCGCCAAAGACCTCCCACACCGCCGAACAACACCCTTCGGAGAGCAACGAGCGCCAGCCGGACAGGACGAGCGATGGCCGGATCCGCTTAGCTGAGGACGTGTACTGAGCTCTCCCCGAGTATAGCAGAGGCCGAGCGAGCTCCAGCAGAGCGAGCAGCGTGCGGACGAGGCGAAACCAACCTCGTCGGCGCGTCTTCACGCGAAGTTGGTTTCTCGAAAATTGTATGGCGCTCGCAGGGCAGTCAGGGCAGTCTAGATCCGTGCAACGGGCTGTCGAGACTGTCTCATGAGCGCACAGCAGCTGCGCGAGGCACTTTAGCAGGTCCGACACCCTCTACTTGGGAAAAGTCGAGATCTCGCTCGACTGCCTCGGTTGCAGGCCAGTAAATCGTGCTACAGCGTTACTGAGCGTACCAGAGTCTCACACGAGCAGTAGAAGCGGTGCGATAGACTGCCTGCCCCGCTCGCGCCTGAGCTTCATCTCTCCCAAGTCCTCCTGGACTCGCGCTCGCTCAGGCTACCCAGCCTACTCCGCTACTTCATCCAAACAGCTTGGTCAGTCTATCTCGCTGGTCGACGACTCGCTCATGACGACGTGGCGACGACGAGATGGAGGAGAAGGAATGGCGGCGGCTGGAGGGAACGGACGGAGGTCGACGGATCAGCGGGGAAGACAGATCGAAGGCGGCGTCCAAGCTGGAGGACTGTTCTGAGGAGTACGAGCACAGCAGCACGCAGGCTGAGCGGAGTGGCAGGGAGGATGCGCCGCCTTTGCCTCGAGGAGGAGGAGCAAGGAGATGAGGCGAGATGACGGCTCGCGCAACGTTCTTACTGGTTCGTGGACAGTTTGAGGCTGACCAGCGACTCTCTGTGCACCTGCAGACTGCTGCGCGAACTCGCTCGAGTCGCAAAGGACCCTCTTACACTCCCTGACTCTTCCCTGAGGGATCCCCAAGGTGCGTCTATGCTGTGCTTGGCGGGGGACTACGCGCTGACAGCCGTTCCACAGGTCGCCTAGCGCAGCCAACATCCCCACAGATCCACCAGGAACCCGCCTGAACCCTCTCTCCCTGTCGCCATGCTCGTCCTCCCCGGCGCCTCCGTCTTCCACCCTCCTCAGCGAGCGGCCCTCCTCGCGCGCGTCAATGCCAGCGCACCGCAGGTCACCTCCGTCGACGCCGTCTACGTTCACTACGTCGAGCCCGTCTCGCTCGCGGCAGGCAAGACTCTCGCCGACCCAAACTCGAAGGAGCGCAAGGTCCTCGATGCGCTTCTCAAGTACGGCGACGACTATGCGCTTGCCGAGACTCGGCCGGCTGTTGATCTCGCCGTCGAGGTCGGCAATGCGCCCGGCGTGATCTGGGTCGTCCCGCGTGCCGGAACCATCTCGCCTTGGTCGTCGAAGGCGACCGACATCGCTCGTATGTGCACGCTCGACGGCACCGTCCAGCGCATCGAGCGCGGCATTGCATTCGTCGTCAAGGCCAAGGAAGGCGCTCAGCGTGTCGCACACCTGGAGAACGTCGCGCACTTCCTCCACGACCGCATGACCCAGCTCCTCCTCGACCAAAAGCCTGAAGCCAAGGCCCTCTTCGAGCGTGGATCGCCTGCGCCACTCAAGACGATCGACTTGAGGGACAAGAGCGTCACCGAGGCAAAGGAGAAGCTCGTCAAGGCGAACGAAGATTTAGGGCTCGCGCTTGCTGGCGACGAGCTCGACTACCTCGTGGAGTCGTTCCTCGCGTCGGCTGCGAGCGGACGCGACCCGACCGACGTCGAGCTGTTCATGTTCGCCCAGGTCAACTCGGAGCACTGCCGGCACAAGATCTTCAACGCTGCATGGGTTGTCGACGGCCGGGAGAAGGACAACTCGCTCTTCGCCATGATCCGCAACACCCACAAGCTCACTCCCGAGCACACCATCTCCGCCTACTCGGACAACGCCGCCGTCATCGATGGCTCGGTCGTTCCCCGCTTTGCCGCCGCGCCCTCGACTGCCGCCAACGTCCCCGTCTACCAGGCAAACGAGGAGCACATGCCGATCCTCATCAAGGTCGAGACGCACAACCACCCTACCGCTGTCTCGCCCTTCCCTGGTGCCGCTACCGGTTCTGGCGGCGAGATCCGTGACGAGGGCGCGGTTGGTCGCGGTTCGCGCCCAAAGGCTGGTCTTGCCGGCTTCACCGTCTCGAACCTCCTCATTCCCGACTTCGTTCAGCCCTGGGAGACCGACTTTGGCAAGCCCGCACACATCGCCTCGCCGCTCGACATCATGATCGAGGGTCCGCTCGGCTCGAGCGCCTTCAACAACGAATTCGGGCGACCAGGATTGACGGGCTACTTCCGCACGTTCGCCGAGGAGATCCCTTCACTCGACAAGGACGGCAAACCCTCGACCGAGATCCGTGGGTACCACAAACCAATCATGATCGCCGGAGGCTACGGCAACGTTCGCCCCGAGTTTGCGCTCAAGGACAAGATCGAGCCTGGCGCGCGTCTCATCGTCCTCGGCGGTCCCGGCATGCTCATCGGTCTCGGTGGAGGTGCCGCGTCGTCGATGGCGTCTGGCTCGTCCTCCGCCGACCTCGACTTTGCCTCGGTCCAGCGCGAGAACCCCGAGATGCAGCGGCGGTGCCAGCAGGTCCTCGACACCTGCGTCTCGCTTGGCAAGGAGAACCCGATTCAGTCCGTTCACGACGTCGGCGCAGGCGGTCTCTCGAACGCTCTTCCCGAACTCGTCCACGACGCCGACCTCGGCGGTGTCTTCGAGATCCGCGATGTCCTCGTCGACGACCCCGGCATGTCGCCCATGGAGATCTGGTGCAACGAGAGTCAGGAGCGCTACGTCCTGGCTGTCGGGCCGGAAAACCTCGAGCGCTTCGAGGCGATCGCCAAGCGCGAGCGCTGCCCGTACGCAGTTGTCGGAACCGCCACGACCGAGCAGAAGCTCGTCGTCACCGACCGCCTCCTCGGCCAGGATGCTATCAACCTGCCGATGTCGCTCCTCTTCGGCAAGCCTCCTCGCATGAACCGCAAGGCTGTCACCCTCCAGCCGCCTCGCAACGCCTTCGACTCGTCGCTTACGACCTACCTTCCGCTCGCCGAGTCGACTCGCGATCTCGTCGACCTCGCCGTCGAGCGCGTCCTTCACCTTCCTTCGGTCGGCTCGAAGTCGTTTCTCATTACGATTGGCGACCGCTCCATCTCGGGTCTCGTCGCTCGCGACCAGATGGTCGGCCCGTGGCAGGTTCCCGTCGCCGACGTTGCCGTCACGTCCGCTTCGTACGGCTTTGACGTCCTCGCCGGTGAGGCCATGGCGATGGGCGAGCGTACGCCTCTCGCGCTCCTTTCGCCTGCAGCATCCGCTCGCATGGCCGTTGCTGAGTCGCTCCTCAATCTCGCCGCCGCCAACACCCCTTCGCTCGCGCACGTCAAGCTGTCGGCGAACTGGATGACCGCGGCTTCATACAACGATGGCAACGAAGGTGCGGCTCTGTACGAGGCGGTCCAGGCGATCGGCATGGACCTCTGCCCGGCACTCGGTGTCAGGTGCGCTCCTTTCCTCTCCGATTGAGCGGAACTCCGATGCTCACTACATCGCCCAACTCGCAGCATCCCGGTCGGCAAGGATTCGATGTCGATGTCGATGGGATGGAACGACGAGGCCGGCCAGCGCAAGACCGTCACTGCGCCCAACTCGCTCGTCGTCACCGCCTTCTCGCCCGTCACCAACGTTGATCAGACCTGGACGCCTGAACTCCAGGTCTTACCCGAGCCGACCGTGCTCGTCTTCTTCGACTTCGCGAACGGCAAGCAGCGTCTCGGCGGTTCGGCTCTCGCGCAGGTCTTCAAGCAGATCGGCTCGGAGGCGCCGGATGTCGAGGACGCGAAGGTCCTCAAGGCCTTCCTCGAGGGCTGCAACCGGATTCGTGCCGAGCACCCCGAGGTCGTCCTCGCATACCACGACCGATCAGACGGCGGTCTCTTCACGACCGTCGTCGAGATGTGCTTCGCGGGTCGTATCGGCGCGGAGATCATGGTCGACGCGTTCAAGAAGGACGACGACGCAATCGCTGCCCTCTTCAACGAGGAGCTCGGCGCCGTCTTCCAGGTTCGCCAGTCGGACGTTCCTGCGTTCTCGCAGGCCTTCATCCGCGCCGGCGTGCCCTCGACCGCGATCCACCCTATCGGTCGCGTCGCTTCGAGCCGCGAGGACCAGGCCGTCAGCATCGCTTCGGGTGGCGCCTTGCTCTGGTCCTCTACCCGCGCAGCGCTGCAGCAGCAGTGGGCCGAGACGTCGTACCGGATGCAGGCTCTCCGCGATAGCCCTCAGGGTGCCCTGGAAGAGTTCGAGAACATCGCTCGTGACGACAACACCGGCCTCTTCTATCGCCTCTCGTTCGACCCGGCGCAGAACGTCGCCGACCCCTTCCTCGAGAAGCTGACCTCGCTCAACGACCGACCAAAGGTCGCCATCCTCCGCGAGCAGGGTGTCAACGGCCACATCGAGATGGCCTGGTCCTTCTCGCAGGCTGGCTTCGCCGCCGTCGACGTCCACATGTCGGACCTGATCACCGGCAAGGTCTCGCTCGCCGACTTCAAGGGTGTCGCCGCATGCGGTGGCTTCTCCTACGGTGACGTTCTCGGTGCCGGCAACGGATGGGCGAAGTCGATTCTCCTCCACGACCGCGCACGAAAAGAGTTCTCCGCCTTCTTCAACGACCGCACCGACACCTTCGCCCTTGCCGTCTGCAACGGTTGCCAGCTCTTCTCGCAGCTTCGGGAACTCATCCCCGGCGCCGAGAACTGGCCGTTCTTCAAGCAGAACCTGTCGGGCCGCTTCGAGGGTCGCGTCTCTCTCGTCGAGGTTGTTGACTCGCCTGCGACGAAGGACTCGGTCTTCCTCCGCGACATGGCCGGCTCCATTCTCCCTATCGCCGTCGCACACGGTGAAGGTCGCGCGACCTTCATTGCTCCCGCGTCGCAGGAGAAGAACGCCGCAAACGTCGTCGTTCGTTACGTCGACCCGTCCGGCCAGCCGACCGAGCGCTACCCGTACAACCCGAACGGCTCGCCCGGCGGAATCACCGGTGTCCAGGCGCTCAACGGCCGCGTCCTCGCGATGATGCCGCACAAGGAGCGTGTCCAGGTCCTCGCGGCCAACTCGTGGTACCCGAAGGAGGCGGGCAAGAAGTGGAACCGGCGCGGACCTTGGACTCGCGTCTTCGAGAGCGCTCGTGTCTGGGTCGGTTAGGGTAGACGTCGCATTTATAGATTCTTTCTCCCGGCTGTGCTGCTTTCTGTTCTACCGTCGTTTGCAAGGAGCCAAGTCGTCCAAGTCCTGTCCGTACGACGAGAAGAGAGGCGCAAACTGTGATGGACTGCAGATGCTGCCGACGAGGAGAGAACTACATAGGATAGCGAGCTAGAACGACTGGATGCGAGCGGGCGGCGAGCGATGAAAGGAAGAGTTGACGGCTTAGGCGAGCTGAATGCCGTTTTGCTGGAGGTACTGAGCGAAGGGCGTCGCGTACTCGGGGTTGACGCCTTGCAAGAGCGCCGGGATCTTGCCGGGCTGCGCCTTGCTCGCCTCCGCCAGGCCCTTCGCAAGGTGGTCCTTCGGGTCCTGGACGTAGGCGACCGGGTCCTCTCGGGGCTTCTCGCTTGCGCCGAGCTTCGAGAACGACGCCTGGTAGCCGACGTCCTCGGGATCGACGATGTTGACCTCGTCGCCATCCGCGGCCGACGTCGTCTTGCTGATTGGGAGCGGGAGGGCGAAAAGCTTGAGAAGCGCCTCCATGGTGGGAGTCCTGCGCGAAAGAGCTTGTCAGTCGGCGTTTGAGGGGAGCGAGCAAGAACAGCCTACCAAGCGCGGACGTGCGGCTCGTTGAGCATCTTCGGGCTCTTCGTAAGCAAGTTGGCGAGACCGACGGCGACGAGCTTGCGGTCCTTGGTCGGGGCCTTCTGGACCTCAGGCAGGAGGACGGGAAGAACCTGAGCGAAAAGACTGTGACGAGCGATAGGCGTGAGCGGCATGCAAGCTGAACCTATCGAATCGACGCACCCAGGCTGAGGCTGGACGCCATCGAGGAAGCCGACGACCATGTCGGGGTTGAGATCGCTCTTCTGAACCGCGGCGGCGAAGCAGATGAACTTGAGGAGGCCTTGCGAGAACTTGTCGGTCTTCGAGGCTTGCAGGCGAGTCAGGAGCAGGACGAAGATCGGGGTAGACATGTACTGCTGGATGCTGGAGCTGCGGGAGCGCTTCGTCAGCGATGGTTGGGGAGCGGGAAGAGTGAGGGGAAGGCTTACATCGGGAGGTACTCGATCAACGCCTCAAGGAGCTCGAAGCCGTGCTGGTCGTTCGCCTTGCTCTGGATGAGGTGCTGGAAGATGCCGAGCATTGGCGTGACCTGGCCGGCAGCGACAATCTGCTGTGCGCCTCGGCCAAGGAACGCTCGCAAGAGCCGAACGAGAGCAGGAATGTTTCCTCGGCTCTCCCAGAGCGTCGGCGTAAGGAGGGGAGGGAGGAGGACCTTGTACGAGTCGGGGAGATCGGACGATGTAGGGTGGAGTTCGAGGAGTTGCGAAAGGATTTGGAAGACGAAGGGCGTGAACTCCGAAACGTCCTGCTGAAGAATGATGTGGAAAGGCGGGAAGAGGGCAGACTCGAACGTCGAAAGAGACGAAGGGTTGGCGGCTGTGACGAAGCTGCGGCAGATCGCGCATGTCAGCTCCGTGTTGAGCAAAGGCGAGCTCGCCGCGACGTACCGAATGAGGGCCGAGATGCTCTCGAACGTGAAGTGGTTGAACTTGGGGTTCGAGGGGTTCTTGCTGATCTCGCCGAGGATGGCGACAAGGTGCTGCAAGACCGTGGAGTAGTAGGGTCCGACAGACTGCCGTGCCGTGATAATGACGCGCATAGCGGCTGCGAGGTAGTGAGCTGGATCAGCGCGCGCTTGAAGCAAGGCAGAGCAGCGGACCTACACTTCATCAAGTGCTCGTTCGCCGCAACCTGCTGAGGCGTCGTGCCGCTCTCGATGATCTTAAAGAGCGCCAGCAAGATGCCCTCGGCGTGGTCGCGGATGTCGCCCTGCGCAAAGCTGCGAGTCGATACTGGTCAGTCGGATCAGTCACTCTTCTGCGAGCGAGAGAACATACAGGAACGTGTTGTTCTGCTTGATGAAGAGGATACGCTCAATCGTGATGGCGGCGTAGGTGTGGATCACGAAGGAAGGGTTCTGGAGGTGAGGAATGAGGAGGGGGAGGACGGAGAGGAGCTGCTCCTTCGTGAGCTGGGATGCGTAGCGAGGTCAGCATGGTCACGTCCAGTCGAAGCGGCAGTAGCGAGGCGCACCTGCATCCGGAAGGTGTAGAGGAACTTGATGGCGTCGGCCTGCACAATGGGGTGAACGGCGCCAGGCGCAGCCTGCAAGTCTGCGAGAACGTGGTCCGAGAAGAACTTGATGACATCGACGAGGGCGTTCGTCGAAGTGACGCCTTGTTGCTGCGTCGAGCCACGGGTTGCGATGGAGGTGAGGAGGAAGATGGCCGTGTCCTTCGACTTCCAGTGACCCTGCGGCGATGAGGCGTATTGCTGGAAGGAGAGCAGTGTTAGCTGAAGCGAGAGATCGGAATGAGTGGTTGAACTCACCTGGAGATACGCGCCGATGTACTGCGTGACAATCTGCGTAACCTGCGCCTCGAACTGCTCCATGAGCGCCCTGGTGAAGTCGCTCGCCGCCTGACGCCTCGTCTCACTGCCTGTTATCGCGGAAGTCGTGAGATCCCGGGCCTAACAAGATGCGCTGCGGTCACGTACTCGCACTCTCCAAGTCTCGCCGCACGTACTCCGCCGGGTCGTCCTCGAACAGCTCCTCCTCGAACGTCCGCAGAGTCATGTTCGGCAAGACGATTTTCTCGCAGAACGCCTCGAGCGTCTGCTGGTTGTCGAAGAGCGTGCGCTGGGAGGGCATCTTGACGACCGTACCGAGGAAGCCGGTAGCTTTGGCGACGAGCTGCGGGAACGAAGGGTGAGAGGCGGCCAAGCACGCAGGCGAGGAAGCGAAGTGAGACGCACCGTGTCGTACTTGATCGCCGGGCTCAGCTTCGTCAACAGACCCCAAGTCTTCTCGACAAACGGTCCGAGGTATCCACCCTCGCCAAACGCATCGAGGTACCGCAAGCTGTACAGCTGCGCGATCTCGCAGATCTCCGCCTTCGCGCTCTCCAAGTCCCCGGCCTCCTCATCCTCGTCCTCGTCGGCCGGTGCGGCACCGGCTGGCGAGTACTCGAGGTACTTGAGGAGGAGGGGCATGAATTGGCCGAGTCGGTCCTCGAAGAATTCGGGGAGGTCCTGGGCGTTCAGGTCGTGGTAGAGTTGGAGAAGGAGAAGGAGCGTGCGGAGGAGGAGGGTGAGCTGGTCTGCGGGGAGGGCGGTGCCGGAAGAAAGGATAGAGTCGGTTTGCTGCGGGAGGAGAGTGGTAAGCGAGAGGGAATGGGGCGGGTAACCGTGAGGCCGACCTGGAAGAGCTTCAAGTAGGGCTCGCAGAAGCGGTCGAGCACAAACTTGATCTCGAGGAAAAGGGTGTCGCTGCGGAACTCGGAGCGCCATCTGCCAGCGAACAACAGGATTAGCTCGCTTCGAAGAGACGGAGGGAAGTCTGCGGACCGCCTGAAGATCGAATGAGCGGTTTGCAGGACGGCGTTGTTTACAACGAAGTTGTCCGTCGTGAGTTGCGACGTCAGTTGCTGTGAAGGAGGAGAGTGAGCGAAGCACAGCTGGACACGGCGGAAGAGAAGGCGGAAGAGAAGTCGCGCACGTCAACCAGGTTCTGCCACTGGTCCGGGAAGTCCGCCTCTGCCATGATCGCGATCGCCTCTCCTACTTGCACCTGCAGCGCAGGCTCGCCAGACAGGGCGATCATGATGGAAACGACGGACTGCTTGAGGGACTCGGCGGTCGCGGTCGTGAGCGGGGTGGGCGCGTCCTCCACCTGCGGACAGAGTGTGAAAGCAGTCAGTCAAGGTCCCAGACGCCTCACTTGGGCCTTCAGACAGTCGGAACGGCTTCATCGCCGTCCTCCTGGGGAACTATGAGTGAACAGGTGAGGAATCGTACTCACCGCCCAGTTCGCCTTGATCCAGTTCTTGAAGTTGAGTGCAGCTGCCTGTCTGACCGCCTTCTGCTGCGTTCCATCCTGGGCGAGCTGGAGAATGAGCTGGCCAAAGGACGGGTGAGCCTGCGCCTGGAGGAGCTCGCGCTCTGCCTGGCGGCGGGTTGCGGCGTCGGGCGAGAGCGTCGAGACGAGCACGTTGGCCAAGGCAGCCAATTCAGCCATCGCAGCGAGCTTCAGACGAGAGCGAGGGGTGAAGCGGAGGTTGACCTTCGCCTCGAAAGTTGGATGAGGAGTCGGTCGGCGTCGAGCTCTTCTTGTGCTTCCTGCTGCGTTGTGCAGTGTAGGAAAGCACTTGAAAAGCTGTAGCAGAGCCGAAGGTAGCGAACCAGAATCTCTTTCTCAACTCCATGGTCGAAGATCCGCGCGACTTGGTGAACCCGCTTGAATACAGAACGACATGACCGATAGAGAACGACACGGACCGATACATACGACACGTCTCATCGCCTCGAGGCCCTCCGCTCGCCGCTGACCCGCCTGTCGAGCGCCCTCGTCCCCGTCGGAATCATCGTCCGCTGCAGCTCCTTGTCAATCTCGACAAACTTCCGCCATTCCCACTCCTTCGCCTTGCCCTTGCCCTTAGGGTCGTCGCCTTCCTGCTGGCGCAAGTCCCCGCCCGCTGCGCGACGTTTGGCGCCGCCTCCGCTCGTCTGGAGGAGCTCGATGATCCGGGACTCTTCCTCCTCGCGCGACGACTCGGCTTCCTCGATAGCGTTGACGACGTCCCAGACACGACTGCGTTCGCCGTTGCCCGACGAGCGACGCCGACGGGTAGGCTGACTGCCGAGCGCGAGCGTCGAGGCGTCCGCTTCTTCATCGAGCGTAACCCGCGAAGTCGTCGCAACGGGAGAGAACATGTCGTCAGAGGCGTCCGCATCTCGAGCGAAGTGCGAAGGCGGAAGAGGGAGGATCTTGCGGTCCTTGAGGTGAGGGAGCGGCTTGCCCGAGATGGCGGACGGGATGGGCGGGTACGGCTTCGACGTCTCCGCAAACTGCGGGGTGACGAGAGTGGATGACAGCTTGACCTGCTGCATCTCTGGCTCGGGCGATGCAGAGGCAGAAGTGGCAGCCGTGGCGCGTGTCGAGGAGGGCGATGGAGCGGGAGAGCGGCGAACGAAAGAGCCGAGGTAGGAGAACAGGCGCGACGCAGAGCCGGGCGATTTGCTCGGCGGAGCGTCGGGCTGAGCCGAGGTCGACTCGCGCAATCCCGCCGAACCAGACGCATCCGCATCAGATCCTGGAGAAGGCGATCCGTCGCGCGTCGTGTCCTGAACAGGTACTTTGGGCTTCTCCGGCGGCGTGTCGTCGTAGAGGTGGCGCAAGGCGGGATTGGCGAGAGCCGTGGGAAGGTAGACAGCCTCGATGGACTCGCGGCGGGTACGGCGTTCCCGGCGGGACGATGACGAAGCGAAGAAGGTCTCGTCGTGTTCGTCTGCCGAACTCGACTCTCCTTCCTCGTCTCTCGACGATACGGACTGGCGCTCGTCGTCGCTCGTCGGTTCCGCCTTTACGCTGTCGAGCGACTCGGGCGTGTCCTCCTGGTTGTCTTCCTGCTCGACCGGCGATGAGGCACGGCGAAGCTCAGCTTCGAGCGGCTCGTTGCGAGGTTGCTCGACGGCGGGGAGGGGTCGGGCACTAGATGCAGAGGATGCGCCTCGGCGGGAACGAGCATCCTTGGCACGACGAGCCTTGAGCGCATCAACGCGTACGACAAGCTTGTCCCTGCGGTAGATTGCGTCGTCAGGTCGAGCAGCAGATCTTGGAGAAGAGGCAAGCGCACCAAGCCCACTCGCCGACGCACTCATCGCGCGAGACTCCCCACTTCCGCAAGAAAGCCTCCACGACGTCTTCCGTCTCGACATCCTCGCCGACAACGGATGCTGCAGCGATCGACTCGCTCGTCATGGAGACGGAGGCGACACTGGTGCCCCTGCGCTGACGGCGGCCGAGTTCGACGAGTGTCTGTTCGAGGCGCCGCCACTCCTGCGAGGTCCAGCGTTCGCCGACAACGCTCGAGAGACCCGCCGTCGAGTCGCGCTCGCTGCGTGCGGGCGTTGCGATATCCTTGACGGGCTGAGCATCCGTAGAAGTGGCGACGGCGGGCGACTTGCCGCGGGGGTTCTGGTCGCGAACTTCGTCCTCGGCGTCGAGCAGCAGCGTGCGCAGCTCCTCCTCCTCTTCCTCGTCTTCCTCCTCAGCGCGCTGCTCCTCGCTTGCGTCACCCTTCTCCGTTGGAACCGACTCGATGCCCTGCTCGACATACTTGTGGTGGACCTTGAGGATGGCAGCCGCACGAGCTGCAGCACGGGCGTCGGTCGAGGAGACTTCTATGACCGGCAGACTCGGGTGCGATGGCCTGCGACGACGTTGCGAACGAGTGGAGGTGTTCGAAGCGAGGGAGGCGTTCGAGCGAGAGTGTGAGAGGGTCGGGAAGGTTGAATCGGGCGCGAGTGTTCGCGTTTGCGGGTGGAGATAGGGTCGCGAGAATGGCTCGTCCTCCTCGTGTTCGGTAGACTGAGCCTTCTCGCCTTGTGCAGGGTCGGCAGATGGCGAGGCGGCCTGCTCGTCTGCAGCCGTAGACTCGTCTTCCGCTCGCAGCGTCGAAGCGCGAGGTCCAAACAGCAAACCCTGCAGCTTTGTCCGACTGCCCTCGACAAACTCGCCTATCCGCGCCTTGAGAGGGCTGCCGCCGACACTCCGCAACGGCGAAAGGGACGCTCGTTCCTTGCCCTTCCTCGACGCCGGTGTCGACTCCTGCTGCCTGCGGTCCTGCAGAGGCGACGCCATGACGACCGAGCGGATTGAAGCGGCGGGCGAAGACATCAGGACGTCGCCGTTCGCGGAGCGAGCAGGCGAGGCGAACGAGCGCATCGAGGCGGCGGGCGAAGCCATCCGCTCGTCGTTGTCGACGGCGTCCAGCTCCTGAGTCTCCTCGACTGGCGAAGGTGACTCAGCTGGTCTGGCGTCGAGGGCGGGAGGAGAAGGCGAAGCGTCCGGCATGGCGCTCTGCGACCTGCTGCGCTCAAGCGTCTGCGACTCCTGGCCAACGAGCACGACTTCCTCGTCATCCTCGTCCTCCTCGCTGCCGTCGCCGCTTCCTCCAACATCCTCCTCGACAGCCTTGACCGACTCAACCATCGGACTCGACGCATCCAACCCCGCAAACTGGTGATACTCCCTACTCTGCTCCACGTCTCCGCCTCTCAGCCTCGGATTCCGCTCATACAGCGTCGCAGTGCGCGCCAGCCCCGCATGAGGGGGAGGCGAGAACGAGCTGGAGCGGAAGAAAGCGGGTCCGCGAGTCCAGGCTTTTGCGGAGGAGGGAGGGAGGGGAGCGGGTGAGGCGGCGTGTGAGGAGGGAGCGAGGGAGGGGAAGCGTTCGCGAGGGAGCTTCGGGGAGGCGAAATTTGGTTGGTGGCGGGAGGCGAAGGAGGGCGCGGGCGAGGGCGAACGGAAGGGAGAGAAGAGCGTGGCGGGACGGAGGAGGGCGGGCAGGACGGGGACGTAGGCTTGTGTCGACGCAGACGATGCAGCCGGTCCTGTGGACACCTGGCGTCTAGACTCGACCGCAGCCGGCACCTCCTGCGAAAGCTCCTCGAGCTTGACCTCCTCTTCTTCGACTTCCGCCTCGACAGCCTGCCCCGTCTCGACAGGCGCAGCACCAAAGACATCTCCCTCTTCCTGCTCCACACTGTCTCTTCTCCAGTCACGAGCCGGTCGACCCCGCTTCTCCTCTGCAACGAGCTCTTCCTTCTCCTGAGTCTCCGCCTCGCGAGCAACAGAAGCGCCACGGACAGGCGAACTGTCGAGTCGAACGGGGACGATCAAGTCGTACTGGCCAGTACGATTGGGCGGAAGTGGCGGGTACGAAGGGCGAGCGCGGCGCACCGACGCGGAAGGATGGAAGAAGGACGAGGTGGGCGCGTCGACCTCCTCCGCCTCGGCTTCGTCATCGGTCGAGACGTCCGAGTTTGCGGCGTCGGCCATGATTGTCGAACGAGCGGGCGAGAGTTGCATCTCCTCCGCAGGCTCTGCGCCGCCTTCGCCGTCCGAGCCCGAGGATTGCTCCTGCAAGTCGAGGAACTGGTCCTGCTGAACGTGCTCGACATTCTGCGGTTCGACGTTCTCGCCGTCCACTGCTGCGTCCTCGGCAGGCTGCTCGACGGCTGTCTCGCCGAACTGGATCGGGTTTGCGTCGAAGTCGAAGTTGTGACCGTCGAAGCCGCCCAGGTCTGCGCCGTAGCCGTCAACCTGCTCCGTTTCCGCTGGTGCGGACTGGTCGAAGCTCGGCGCGGCAGAGTTGTCGTCGAAAGCGAGAGGCTGGAATGCCGGGACGGGTTCTGAGTCCCAAGCAAGCGAAGCGGGAGACGGCTGACTCGTCGTCGCCTGTCCCTCAAGCTCCCGCTCCACACTCATCTCCTTCTTCACGCCCTTCCTCGACCCCCTCAACGCCTCAACCGGCCTCGCACTCATCTCGCGCGCATGAGCCCTCCAAACCCTCTGTTTCCCCTCCCCTCTACCCCTCAACTTGTCAGCGGGGAGAAGGAGGAGCTCGTCCGGCTCTGATTCGTCGTCGGAGGAGATGACGATTGCGACGGGGAGGGTTTCGGAGGGTCGAGGACGGGCGCGGGTGTGGCGGGAGGATTGGGAGGGCTGCGAGGCAGAGGGGCCGGGTGCAGCGATCGATGCGGTGACGGTAGGAGGGAGAGGGGAGACGGAAGAGCGACGACGGGCTGCGAGAACTTGAGGGGCATGAGAGGGACCGGGAGGAATGGGCGAGCGAGATGTGCGGCGTGAGGCGGCGGTAGTCGATTTGCCTGACGAGTGAGGTTGGGACAGCTGGCTTAAAGTGGGTGCCAGAAGCTGCGAAACGAAGCAGGTAAGCGCCACGGCGAAGAGCAGACGAGGACCGCAAGAACGTACCTCCGCCTTGCCCTTTCCCTTTCCTGCGGCAGTCGTCTTCTCCCTCGGCGGGCTCTGCGAGTTGGGCGGCGTGGGCATCTGCTCCTGGTCGTCCTCAGCCTCATCGAAGCGGACTTTCAATCCGGACGTCTGCTCGTCTCGACCGGCACTCGGCGCGTCCTGCTCGTCTCCCGAAGGCGAGTCGCGTCGGATCACGATCGTCGCCTGAGAAACAGTCTTCCTGAGAGTGCGTCCACCGCCGTTCGCCGTATTTGACGCGATGGAGGGGACAAGGGGGATCTTCGAGATCTTGAGCGATCCTCCCTTCGCACCCGCAAGGCTGGCCGACTTGCCCGCGAGACTCGGCACCGGTGGGACGTTCTCGTTCGCGCCTGTCGCGCCTGTCGAGCGGGGGATGCGCGAGCGAGTCGAGGATGACGAGGGCATGCCCTCGGGAGCGAGCGAGAGGAGGGGACAGGAGGTCTGGGCGCAGTGTGGACGCGTCGAGGCGGGTCAGTCGGTCGCTGTGGGTCTGCGGCAGCTGCTATCAGCCTTGCGCACGTCCTGCGGCATTGCAGGAGGGCGCACCTGGGTCGACGAAACTCGAGGACGATGGGCGCGTCAACACGGGTCGTTCGAAACGGCGAGCGGGTCGGGCGGTCGAGCTGGAGTCACTTGCGCAATGTCCACCTCGAGAGAGCCGTCACAGCCGGGCAGAGTGTGCGTTCTTGAGCGAGGCAGGGTCCAAGGTGAACTTGGCCAGACGCGTCCACTCGCGAGGGTGCACGTGACTTGAATCTGGCGAAGTTGCGCTTCTTATGAGTGCAGTAGAATACTCGATGTCTGCAAGCCTCCTGACAAGACCATTAGCAGCTTCTCCTGGCCACGCGACTTGTTGCGGTCTTCGAGCGAGATGTCAAAGCGGGTTGTCCTCCTCCCATTCGCTCGCATCGCTGGACACGCTAGAACTTGCGTATAGTGACTCGCTTGAGACACTGACAGTCGACTTGGACCACTCCAGCAGCGCCGCGACCGCTCGACGACGACTCTGCGACCTCCTGGATTGACATCTTCCTCATCTCGACACACACCTCCAGTGGTCCACACGCGCCCAGAGCCTCGTCTGACACTGCCACACGCCTGCTCGCAATGGGCAGTCCACCCATCCCCGACCGCTCGCCGACCAAGCGCGCAGTCTCTCCCTCTTCCCGCCCGCCAGCGTACCGAGATCGCAGTCCACCGCGTCCACACCCCGGCACCCGTCCGCCCGTCGCACCCGCCAGCGTTCCATTCAGCCCACCGAAGCGCAAGACGGGCGGGAGCATCAAGGGGAAGGAGCGGGCCACGAGCGAGGGAGTCGAGGGACCCGGTGGAGATGGAGAGTTCCCGCCCGCGCCTGTGCCGACGTATAGGCACTTGCTGGGATCCAACAACGGTGGAGCAGCGTGCGTGCTGTCCGTACTGCCTTCGAGGCGCGTTCTGAGGGCAAATGACGCGCTCGCAGGAATCCTCTCCGAGTAATCGCGCACATCGAGTGCGTTCCGCTCTAATCATCCTTCTAGACGAAGCTGACAAGTGCGATGTGACGCAGTATCGACGCCGCGTACGCTGCGATGGAGATGAGCCGGTTGGGCATCCCCGACGATCAGCCCATGGCAGTCCAGCAATGGAACGGCTTGGTCAGTCGAGCTCTGCCATTTCCTGCTTCGCAAATGTCCAACAGAAACTGGGATCTTCAGTTTGGAGCTTGACTGATACCCCTTTAACCCCGTCGCAGATCGCAGTCAACTATCCCGCGCGAGCATACGGGATCACCCGCCACGAGACGCCCGCCGAAGCGCTCAAGAAATGTCCCGACCTCAAACTCGTGCATGTCCAGACGTACAAGAATGGCGAGAAGGAGCCGGGGTACTGGGACGGGGCGAAGCCCGAGACGCATAAGGTGAGTTGGCTTTGGAACGTCTGGCAGGGCTTCCGCGACGTTCGCGTCTTTATTCGACCACACGCCGTGGTACTGACCTGCAAGGACCGTCCGCAGGTCTCGCTCGACATGTACCGCAAAGAATCGCGCAAGATTCTCGCCGTCTTCAGCGAGTTCTGCCCTATTGTCGGTGCGTCCGAGACTCGGCATTATGGGTCCGAGGAATGCTAGTCTGACTCTGAACCTCCTCGCCGCTTGTTGTCTCGCAGAAAAAGCCTCGATCGACGAATCCTTCCTCGACCTGACCCTTCCCGTCCGCCAACTCCTCCTCGACCGCTACCCCGCCCTCTCTTCCGCTCCCTCCGGCAGTCTCGACGAACCTCTCCCCTCGCCATCCGCGCTTGGCGTGCAAGACGGCGACATCAAGTGGGACGGATTGTGCAACTTGATCCCTTTCTCGGGGCAGAAGAAGGAGAAAGTGCGCCGGCTCAATCCGGATGGAACTGCCGCGCCGCCTTCTTCGTCACCTACAAAGGCTGTCGCTCCTTCCGACGGAGCTACAGCGCCCGCACCACTCGCAGCAGCAGCGGACGACAGCTCACCCACGCCCGACCCGCCCGAACCGCCTCTCACCTGGTCCGATCTCTGTCTCTCGCTCGGCGCGTCGATCGTTCGCGACGTTCGTGTGGCGGTGAAGGAGCGACTGGGGTATACGTGCTCGGCGGGGATCGCAACGAACAAGATGTTGGCGAAATTGACGAGTGCTTGGAAGAAGCCGAATGCACAGGTGCGTTGCGGACGTCTTTGTCCTTCATCTTCGTTGCTCGCTTCAGCGGGCTATGCGGCTGAGCATCGAGAGTGGCCGCGTACAGACCGTCCTCCGACACTGCGCCGTCCCAGCTTTCCTCCGCCCAATGCCGTTCCAGAAGATCCGCAACCTCGGCGGCAAACTCGGCACTGCTGTACAGGAGACGTATCAGGCTAACACGGTGGGAGACTTGCTGTATGTGGCGTTCTGCTCGATGTTGGCGCTTTCAGCCGGTCGTTCCGGCGCGAATTGCCTTTCAACTTTCGAGTCACGCTGACTCACTGTACGCAGTACTTTCTCGCTCGCGGAACTGAAGGCGAAGCTCGGCGACTCGAGCGGGATGTGGCTGTGGGAGATCGTGCGCGGCTTGGACTACACCGAAGGTGCGTCGGCCTTCCTCCCGAGCATGCTGTCGTAGCGCTTTCATCTGCGCTCGACCCGCTGTCAATTCGGGCATGAGCTGACGGCTAGCTTGCCCCGCAGTTGACACGAAGACGCAGGTCAAGAGCATGCTGTCGAGCAAGAACTTCCGTCCGTCGATCAAGACGTACGGCGAGACGGTGCGTCGCGTCTCTTCCCTCTAGCACTCGCTTCTCCGTCTTACATGATGCCCGCCGGCTCGCAGATGCACTGGCTCAACATCCTCGCGACCGAGATGCACCTGCGCTTGACGGAAGCTAGGGAGGATTCGCCTGGGCTCTGGGTGCGCAACTATCGCTTCCTATCTACTAGTCTGCCGCTAACATCGCCCGCATCGCAGCCCAAGACGATCACTTTCACGCACCGCTCGCCGACCTTCGTCATCCACTCGCACCAGATCCCCTTCCCCTTCACCTCGACCCTCACGATCAACTACATCCTCCGCCATGCCGAAAAGCTCTTCCGAACCGCTATCGGCGCGCAGACCTCGACTGGTCCTCCGCCGACGGCCGAGACGCCCATCGGACCTTACTCGAATGTCCAGCTCAGCTTTTCTGGACTTGAGAGGCTCGAGGAGGGACAGCGTGGGATTGAGGGGTTCTTTGCGGCGAAGATGGCGAAGGGTGCGAGTGCGCAGGGATCGGGCGAGAAGGAGAAGAAGCGCAAGGAGAAGGAAGCAGTCAACGGGTCGGCGGACGAGGTTAAGCCGGCGAAGAAGCGCAAGGTCGACAAAGCGGCCACGAAGAGCGCGAAGGCGGGCGACACGAAGGTCAAGTCGCGCTCGCCGAGCGTCACCGTCCAGCCCGACGGGACCGAGCAGCTCACCCTCTCGTCCGACTCTGAGGAAGATGCCGGTCCGCCTTCGCCTCGCCGGCTTCCGACAGCCAAGTGCGACGAGTGTGGCAAGAAGCTCTTCATCTCTGTCGAGGCCCGAACGGCGCTCGCGAAAGGCAGTTGGAAGGAGGACGAGGTCAAGGCTGCGCTGGAGAAGGAGAAGGCCGAGCATGCCGACTTTCACGTCGCCAAGGCCATCCTCGGTGCGTCTTCGTTCTCTTCGACGCGTTCTGTCACGGCCTCGCACTGACGTTCGTCCCCGTTCTGTCTCTCGCAGAGAAGGAGCGAAAAGCAAACGGCTGGGGCTCGGGCGGGTCGACAAGCGGCGGCGCCAAGACGACCTCGTCGGCAGGCTCGAATGGCAATAGCAAGAAGGGGAGTAGGAAGCAGTTGAAGCCGTCGAAGAAGGAGAAGGAGCGGGAGAAGGGCAAGTTGACTGGCTTTTTCGGTCGCAAGGGGTGATTTTCCGCGGTCGTTCGCAGTCTGTCCTGTCGTTGTACTATCGCTACTTATCACACGCAATCCAGCTCGCCTGTCTTTGCCGTCGTTCGTGGTAGACGCGTCCTCATCGCCCCCACCGCTCTCTTGTTTTGACAAGTCACTCTTGCACTCGCTCACTTCTCGCTATGCCTACCCTCCGCTCTGAATCTGCTCCTCGACGCTCCTCGCGCGTCGTCCAGGCCGACAAGGCCGCCGCGAAGGCCAAGGAGGCTGCCTCTGCCGTCGGGGACAAGGCAGCGAAGAAGGCGCGACCTGCGGCGAAGAAGGCGGGCAAGGTCGTGAAGAAGGCGGCGGCCAAGGCAAAGACTGCTGTGAGGAAGAACGTCGTCAAGCCTGCGGCCAAGAAAGTCGCGAAGGCGGCCGGTGTCGACGTGAAGGAGGACGAGGAGGACAAGCCCAAGTCCACCTCGCGGAAGCGCAAGGCAGACGAGGCAGAGGACGACAAGGACGAGAAGGAGGACAGCAAGAAGCAGAAGAAGGACGAGGGCGCGTCCGGGAAGTACACGATTGGCGACGTCGTCGAGGATGTTGTCCTTCACAACGGTGCGTCCCTCTCGTCGATTCGGCACTCTTATGCGCATCTGACACCTTCTCATGATATCCACAGAGGACGACAAGGAGGTCTCGCTCAAGTCGCTCTACGACGAGAAGCCGCTCGTGATTTTCTCGTACCCCAAGGTTCGTCGCGTCCATCGTTCCCCCCCTCGCTCAGCGATCTACTCGCTTGCGCGACTGACATGCCACCCACTCGCGCAGGCCGACACTCCCGGCTGCACGAACCAAGCGTGCGGCTACCGCGACATCCACAGCGAGTTCTCCGACCTCGGCTACGGAGTCTACGGTCTCTCGAAGGACAAGCCGACCGCGCAACTCAAGTGGAAGACCAAGCACACGCTCGGATACTCGCTCCTCTGCGACCCGGAGGACAAGCTCCTCAAGAAGCTCGGCGCGACAACTGCGAACAAGTGCGTTTCCTCTGCAATCCGCTGAGCAATCCGTCACGTTTTTCGCGTCAACCCTGCTGTCGTGAGCTGACACAGCCATGCACAGGCGCTGCCACTGGGTTATCGCCAAGGGCGGCAAGCTCCTCGAGGCCGCGATCGGCGTCAAGCCTGCCAACGACCCGAAGAACGCGGTGCGTATCGCTCACGAATCGCTCACAAATCTGCTTCGCTGACAACGCTGACGCTGCACACGAGTGTAGCTCGACTTCGTCAAGTCCATCAAGGACGGCGCCGCCGAGGAGAAGAAGGACGAGTAAACCGCCTCGCCCCTCCCGCGTACACCCTCAAAGTCGTCCATTCACCCTCCCAGCTTCTCTCGATACCCGTTCAGTGTCTCGCTAGTCCTTCCTTCGTCTTTCTCGCGCGTACTCGTCTCGTGAGAGACGAGTTGCGATCTAGTTCTGTGCGCTTTTGACGTTTGACCTCTGTTGCTCGCTTTCCTCTGTGCCATCCAAGCGTCTCTGCTCAGGCGCTCCTCGAATACAACCGCGTGCGAGAGTCTCTAGAATCTGCCCGAGCAACAAAAGCGTGTGTCAAACAACGATTTTTCTTGCTCGATACAGTCTCGCCTCGGCGCTACACGATTCAGACGCTAGCTCACTTCGCCTTGCCGCCGAGGAGGGTCTTGAGCTCGCCCGAGCGCTGCTTCGCCTCGAGGTCGGAGCAGCCTGTGCGCGTCACTTGGGGGGTCAGTCCGGCGAAAGAAGGCAGAGATAGGGAACGGGACGAACCGCCAATGAATTTCCCGCCGATCCAGATCGAGGGGACCGTACGCTGGCCGGTCTTGTTGGCGAGGGCGTTCTGTTCGTATTGAACGACTACAATCAGCACCTCTTCCTCGAATCGAGGGGGAGAAGCGGCGAGGGAGTCGCAGCCGAACGTACCTGCCAGTCCGAGCCCTCCTCCATCTGGTCGAGCTCGTAGACGTCAAAGTCCTCGCCGGCGTCCTTGAGGATTTGCTTGGCACGGCGGCCTGTAGTGAAGGAGCGGAGGGGCGAGAGGACGGAGTTCGAGGTCAGAGAGAGTGAGAATCCGGTGGAGAGAGAGCGGACGTACAGTAGGGGCAGTACGACTGTGCAGAAGGACGAAAAGCAGGTCAGTCTCCGTCGAGAAGAGAAGAAGGCTGGATCGGCAGGAGACGAGGAGGACGAAGTAGGCCAACGCCGCGCAGTCCAGTTCGCCAGTATGCCGAGCGTGGCATAGTGTCACGAAGGTGCACTCCAATTGCTTCTCCCTCCCGCCCTCGCGATGTTCGCCTCCTTACAAAACCGACCGAGCCACCCCTCCGCCTCCCTCGCGAGTCGCTGGCGGGAGTGGAGACGTCCAGACAGCCTTTTCCCAGGCTTCTCGGATGCACGAAGCCTTCCAACGTTTCTTCGTCCAGCGAGCGCCGCGAACAGGCTGATGAGGTAATGGCCGGTCGACGAACCTTTGAGAAGACGACGGTGCGCTTGCCCTGCGCGATCTTTTGCTCGACGGCTTCTTTGGCGGACATCGTGACTGTTTGTGGTGGTTGGGCGGCTTCGGCGGGTGGCGGAGTGATGTGCGAGAGGGAAAGGGACGAGTCGGCGAGTGAGAGGGAGGTCGAGGAGCGGTAAGCGAGGTGACGGTAGGTTTGGATGAGAGCGACAATTGGCAGCAACGACACGACTGCCAGGACAGTCAGCAGCCTCGCTCGCCGCGTCAGCATGCCGCGGAGCGAGGGAGAGGAGGAAGAGGTCGCCTCGACGCTCTCTCGCCGCGCAAGTTGGGTATGACGGGGATGCTGTAGCTCTAGAACAATCTCGCCGTCGTCTCTGACCAGTCAACCAGCGGAAGAAGGTGTAGCGGCCGTGACAAAGGCCACCCCCACCTCCTCGCTTGGGTCTCCCTCTCACCGCTCACACCGTTCGAGCTGCTGCCTTGTGACCGTCTTGCTAGCGAGCTACCCGCCCAGACACTGCTCAGGACTGTACAGCGCTCGCCGCCACGCTTGCTTGACTCGTCACCACCTCCCCACTCTCGCGACATCCTCCCGATCGAAGACGTCCTCACGCTTCAGCAACAGCTCAGGCAGACGAGAAGATTACTCCAGTCAATCCAGGTCTATCGCAACACCCCGAGCCGATCCTGACCGCATCACCGGAAGGCGCCACCGTGGAACAACGGCGGACATCGCTCGACAGCGATAGGGGAGGGAGCGGGACTCCTGGGCTCGCGGGAGGAGCGGGGGGCGCAGGAGCGGGTATGACGAAGAAGACGGAGCAGGCGAAGGCGGATCAGCTCGTACAGGTGCGTTGCGAGTGCCAAGTCTTCCGTTCACACGCGGGTCATCTGCCACGAGATGCCGTCTCTGAACCTGGATTCCAGCGCTTCGACTGACCCTTGTACATGCCTGGCGACAGCAATTCTACGCCAAGACATGCGCGATCGTCTCGCAGGCGCGCTTGACCCACGTCGTCGACGATCCAGCATACTCGCCTACAAGCCTCGCCTCGCCTGTCCCGGGAGACTCGACGCCGTCTATAGGGCCTAGTGCAGCGAGCGGGACGCGGAAGCCGAGTGGGAAAGAGCGCGGTAGGAAGACGAACAAATGGGTGGGTCGGAGCTTCGATTGATAGCTTCTGTTGTGCTGAAAATGGCTGACGCTTATCACTGTCGCTCGGTTTGCAGTTCAACCTCGAGCTACCGGACAATGACCTGTTTCGGGCGGAGCTTCGGACCTGGCGGAACGTATCGCATCTCCTCTCCGCGACACTTTCGCCCTCTTCCTCTGCGCCTTACTCCGCTGCACCGTCGTCCATCTCCTCGTCTCAGCCTCACATACCGCCGATGGTTCTCGAAGTCGTGCTAGACGTTTCCGACTTGACGCCCAACCAGGTACTTGTCCTCTCCGATCAGAAAGGCCGTCGGATACGAGTCGATGGCGGTCGGTCAACGAGCGGTGCAGGCGCACACGCACGATCAGGTGCTACTTCTCCGCTCCCGATCTCGCCGGGTGTACGAAGTCCCCGCTCCGCAGGTGGACCGAACGTCCCAGCCCCTCCCGTCGTCCTCGAACGATGGGTCCTCTCCCTCCATCCTCCTTCTCACCCGTCACCTTCCTCCTCCTACTCTTCACCTTCACCATCCGCCTCCACAGCCGCGACCCAAATCGAGCTCCCGACAGTCTACAAGCACTCAATCCTGCACTTCCGAACACTCTTCTCCCTCGTCCGCGCTCTACCAGCCTACTCGCTCCAGCGTAAACTTGCGAAGCGGCGAGCGGGGGTCGGAGGAGCGGGACTGAAGATCGCGGTGAGGACGAGGGCGGGGTTGGAGGACGAGGCGAGGGAAGGGGAGGTCGGGATTGAGGTGCCGATTGAGGGGAGTGGGAGAGACGGGGACACGAGGGAGAGAGGGACGGAAAAGATCGTGTTCCCTGGGGTGGCGACACCGTTTGGGTGAGTGGCGGTCTGAGATCGTGACGAGCTGTCACTCTCGGACGCTCCGGTCTTCAGTTTCTTGAGTTACTCACTCACGTTCTCCTTCGCAGGACTCTCTCGCTCGACTTGACCTACCGCACCAACACCGACTTCTGCGTCGAAGAGATCGAGACGCTCCTCTCGTCCCGCTTCATCGACGAAGACTTTTTCCGCCCAACCGTCGCCCGCTACTCGTCCGCACGTGAAGATGTCCGACCAGGCTCCTTACCGATCTCGGCCTCTCGAGCAGGCGGAGGCTTCCCCTCGACGAGTCCTGCGCACGCAAGTCCGCCAGCCGGTCCTGGCAAGGGCATGACAGGTCTCGGACCGCTTCCCTCGTACGGCTCGCTCTCGTCGCGACATCAGTATGCTCCAGTGCTTCCTTCGACATCGCCTCATCAGCCTCATACGTCTTCTCCTCTCGCCCCTTCTCCTCGTCCGCCTAATGCCCTTCCCTCGCCTCTACACGCGCCAGTACCCGTTCGAGCGACGACTTCGCCCGTTCCCCTACCTGCATCCGGCTCGTCACCTCGCCCAGAGTCCGCCCAATCCGCCACCTCGAGCCGCTACTCGTACCCGCACTCCGTCGCAGCTGTGGCCGGTACATCCGCCCCTACCGGCGCGGCAGCGGGAGCGGTCGAGCCTGCGTTCATCTCGCTTTCTCGCGCTCGTGCGCCGAGCTTCTCCGGCGCCGGCGGAGCAGGAGGAATCGAGCGCGCGAGTCCCTCGAGTGTACCCAGGCGCCCAAGTATGGGTTCAAGTGGCGCAAGCGGATCGCCCATCTTCCGACCCGGCAGCTACTTCACCTCCGCAGCAGCAGCAGGCGGTCTGTCTTCGTCGCCGTCGTACAGCTATGGCCCGATCACGCGCCAGCAACCGCTCGCCTCGACTAGCGGCGCCAGCCCGTCCTCGCAACTCTCGTCGGGCATTTCGCCTCGCTCGCCGGTCGTACCGCAGGGCGCCGCAGCACCTTCTCCTCGACCGATTCCCGCGCCCTCGTCCTCTCCCTACGCCGGCACTCGAGCGTACAGCTACTCTTCGCAACCCGCCGGGATCTTTGGCAGCCAAGGCTCGTACACTGCGTCTCGCTCCTACGGCCGCGGCGGATCATCAGGCGGATCAGGCGAGTGGGGAGGGCCAGAGTCGCTTGGCGCAGGCGCTTCGGGTATCGCTCGACCGCGAGCATCGAGTCGGCTGTCGTTTGGCGCGGCCGGGAGTCCGGGCGTCGCGGGTGTGAGGGGGACGTCGAGGCTCGGGACGATGATGCGGCAGCATGACGAGGCGCGAGCGAGGCTGGGAGTCGTTGGAGGCGCGGCAGAGGAGAAGAAGCGGTTCATCAACGAAGGAGGGACGCCGGACGACGCGGACGACATCAACACCTTCCTGAGCATGCTTGACTCGAAGCCGGACCTGCGAGGGCTCGAAGCGAGTCGGTCGATCACTTCGGGCGAAGGAGCTTTCGCCGCCAGCGGAGTGGGTAAGAGCGGCGTGCTGAGCAAGAAGGATGTCGACGAGCAGCTTCGGCAGCTCAAGACGAGCGTGTACGGCGCCATGGGCGAGGGAGGCGAGTCGCCGAGTCCACCGCCTTTCGGGCTCGGCTTGAGCGGAGGGCCCAGTCCAGGCCAGCGAGCGAGCAGCGCATTGAGTGGGATCTCGAACTTGCGGAGGCAGACGAGCCGTTTGTCAATCGAGGAGGACCCGGTCGCTGAGCAAGCTGCACTCGTGGCCGCCCAGCGCGACCGCACGACGAGCGGGGAGCGTTCATCGCCGGCTGAGGCAGGATTGGCGGCGGTACTGGAGAAGACGCCTCGCGCCGGACACCGTGCACTCAAGCGAGACGCCCTCGTCAGCCCGGCTCTCTCCGCCACGTCCAGTTCGACCGCTCAGCCCCCGCCTCTCGCCATCGAGCCGGCGCTTGCGCAGCTTGACCCGCGTTTCCTGCCCCTGCCGACCTCGTCCGCAACTTCGCCCCTCGCCTCGCCCGGCACGCATCCTCACCCGCCTTTCCCCTCCATCGGCCCGCTCGGCGCTCAGCCTTATCCTCCTCTCCCGTATCCGCCCGCTGGTACACCCACTTCCGCTCTCGGCCGCACCGAGCCCATCACCTTCGCACCGTACATCTCGCGCGCCTCGCGTCAACCGCTCAACCCGCCTGCAGGCGATGGCGGGAGCGGCTTCGCCTCCACCATTGTGTCGGAGCATAACTCGGGCGCTGCGTCGATCTCGAGCTTCTACACGCAGGAAGGCGATGGAGACGAAGGGGTCGCGAGCTCCGACCGAGGTGAGGAGGAGGCGGTCGGTCGGCTTGAACTCGACGACTCGCCTGTGCCGGAGGACATGCAACGCCGAGGACGCGCTTGGGGACTCGCACTCGGGTCAGGCGAGGTGGACGAGGAGGAGATCTCGCTCGCGTCAGCTGGTGCGCAGCACAGTCGCGACCCTACGCCGGCAGCGGGTCGCCTTGGCAATTCAGGCGGTGGAGCAAGACCATCCGTCGGCGCAGGCTACTTTGCCAGCAGGAGTCACAGTCGAGGAGGAGGGAGTCCGCCTTGGATGTAAAGCGGTTTCGAGGGTTGCCTAGACTTGCTTCGTATTGTTGGCTTTCTTGTGTATGCTTCCCTGTCTGCATCTCGCATCGTTCTCTGCGTGCCCTTCAAGCTCGTTGTGAAGGACGAGCGAGTCGGGCGCGCTGGGCCTTCTCAAGCTCGCTCGAACAGTCCGTAGCACAAACAGGAAAATAAAGGATTGCACAGAGAGTCCGTTGTCACAGATAGTGAGGGTCGCAAAAGGCTAGATTACAGGAGAGGACAAGGGAACGAGGGTACAAAGGAGGAGAAGAAGACAGGAGTTCCGAAAGTGTTTTCTTCGGATGCGTCCGGCTGGGATGGGTACAGAGGGGGTGCTACTATACAGGTGGAGTGGGCCGGGGCTATTAGAGAGGGTACAGATCATCAGGTGGGAGGACGACTATCCAAAGGGGGAGGAGAACCTATTTTTTCCGCCACTGTTTTCCGTTTGAGGGTAAAGAGAGGAGGGTTGAGAGGATGTCCGTGGGAGTCTGAACATCTGAAGTGATGCTCAGAGGTGGGAAGGGATGGGTTGAGGGGCTGCACGGCTTGCAAGGCATCGAATGGCGACAGCCTCGAGGACCTTTTGCTGCCTGGAGAAGGACACCTCAATGAGGTGCTTCCTGGCAATGCTGTAGTTGTGCTCCGCCTTGACAAGGCCTCGATGGATGTGCTTGGCAGCCTCGACAAGGATGGCCTTATTCTTGACCTCAGTCTCGAGGTTGGCTGCGGCCTGCTTGAGGGTTTGGGTGGCTTGCTCAAGGGCTTGAGCAGACCTAAAAAGGTCCTGTTTCACCCTGGCAAGGCGGGCAATGAACTCGGCCTGGAGGAAGCGTTCTCTGGCCTGGGTAAGGCTTGAGAGGGTTCATCTTGGCTCCATTCACTGTGAGAGGGGTGTGGTTAGTGTGCTTATTCTGTGTGAGAAGAGAGTGGAAGGACAAACCTGCATGGTGACGAGCGAGGATGTCCTGGATGACATTGACCTCGTGGAGGTGACGCTTCCTCTGCTCGTGGAGGACTTCCACCCCCTTCTGCATTTTGCTAACGTCACTCTCGCTCTTGTTGAGTTCGCCATCGACGACCCTGAGGAGGCATTCGAGGGCAAACTTGTGCAACCTCTCCTCATTGACTTTGGTTGCGGTCTTCTCGACAACGCTCTTCCAGTGTCCAAGGGCTGTGTTGGCCTTCTTAACGTCCTTCATGACCTGCTCAAGTTGCTGCTCAAGGCTTTGTCCCGTGCGGCCAACCTCACTGTCCACTTTTTCCTCCTCCTCCTCCTGCTTGACGACGTGCACAGGCTTGCCTTGGTTTGACTTGGCTTTCTTCCCTCCCGGAGCGTGCTCCTCGTCGTCGCTGGCCCGCTTGTTGGCTCCTCTAGGCTCAGGAGAAGGCGCCATCTCGCGAACTGCTCGACGAGCGAAGTCCGCGACGACTTTGTGGGTGGCGGCAAGGGTGGCTTCGAGGGGTTCCTGCTTGATGTTTGCGTGCTGGAGGAGTCCGGCCATGGGTGCTTGTGGTCTCTTGGAGGAGGGGTGAACCTGTTGGAGAAGGTTGTGCGATGAGGAGGGGATGATGGTTCTTGTTGCTCTCGCTGCGGCCGTGCGCTCGCTGTTGGACGCTTACAGACACGCTCTGTGTGTAAAGACGTACCCTGCAACGAACCTAGCAGAGCTACCAAGCTTCCTAGGTGAGGAGAGGAGATGAGGAGTGAAAAGTGAAGTGAAGGAGGTTAAGAGGTGTCGAGCGAAAGCGAGCGCTTTTATACATGCGCGCGGAGTCACGTCGAACGGAGTCACGCACGCGGAGTCACGGTGGTCGAAGTCATACCTGAGTGCGAGTCGTGACTTCGCACTTGAGTGCGACATTGTGACTTCAGACCTGAGTGCGAGATTCGGAAGTTGCACGCCAGTGCGTCGTTTGCAAGAATGCTGAATTCGAGAGAGCACAGGATGTCGTGCACCGTCTTGATAGCAGCCAGATTTGGGAGTGCAGACTTGCGCCCGCGACACCCGACTGTCTGGCTGGCGTAATACTGCAACACCGCGGTGTGACAGCATGCAATGCACACTCCACCGTATCTACACCCGAAAGAGAGGAGAGGAAAGGTGCCCAGCACACTTTCCCCTCGTCCGCCTCGTCCTCACTTCTTCTTCTTTGCCGGCACGCAGTCAATCTTGTGTTCCGGCCAGTGTTCCCGCTGACACTGTGGCCCACAATAGAAGATCATCTTGCATCCCGAGCCTGCCCGCCGCAAGAACAGCCCGTCAGCGTTGCGAGAGGAGAAGGAGGAGAAAGAAAGCGCAAACGCACACCTCGACCGCTTCGTGATCAGATCCATCGTCCTGCACGTCATGCACATCCTCAAAATTGGCTGATCGTGCGCTCCAAGGAACGGGTTTCGCGTCTTCCACCTCGTCATTCCCTCGTCCCCCTCCTCAACCCTCACCAACCTCTTCCGCTCCTCCCCCGGCGCCGGTTTGTTCTCATTCCGCAAAGTCGTGTCAAACGCCACGAGATCGGCGGCTGTGAATATTGGTTCGAGGTCCGAGGGCGTGAGGTGGATGATTTGCGGTTTTGGGAGGCGCGCGGAGGGGTTGGGAGAGGGGAGGGAGGAGGTGGAGAAGTCGAAGAAGGAGGGGGGGAGGAGGGGGTGTTCTTTGCAGGTCCAGGTTGCGCGGACTCTGCGTGCAAGGGCGTCAGCGAGGGAGCAGGGAGGGAGGAATGGGAAGCGCACCATTTGGGCTTGTTTGGAAGAGGGAGATAGGTGATTACGTTTAGCCAGCGCTGCGCGGCGAGCTCGAGCCACTCGTCGAAGAAGCTGTGGCGGGCCCAACGGCGTTGGCGATCAGCTCAAAGAGGAAGCGAGCGGCGCGAGGCGGGCCAGTCGAAGCGAAGGCAAGGAAACGGGAGACTTACTCGGTCTCGAGGCTCGTGCAGCAAGCTATACCGCCACAACGCCATCAGCGACTTGTTGAATTCGAGTTCAGGAGGAAAAGTGGGAGAAAGGACGCACGGCACTCCAGCGAGTCGCGCAACTCGACAAGGAGGAAGCGGTCGAGTCCTCCGTCACCGAAGACGAGGTGGGAGAAGTCGGACTCGTGGGATGCCCAGCCTGTGACGGGCTGCGATACGGCGGAGAGGACGGAGTGAGTGGAGAGGCAGGAGAAGCGACATAGTGGATGGGCGGAGGGCGGCAAAAGCGGTGCGAAAGAACGAACGAGTCAGCTTCCCTTCGTCCACAAGACAACCACACCTCACAACGTACCTCCCAATTGTACAGCAACGCAGTCCAAGCCCTATCCGCCTCCGCCGTCTTCGCCTTCATCGTCGCATAAACCTGCTGGATGACCTTCCAAGCCCGCGAATGCGTCTCGTCCGAAAAGCCCGTCGGGTTCCCGCGACTCCCGTCAAACTGCATGTCGACGTTGCACATCGAGACCCCAACCCTGTCGAAGCGTGGTCAGCTCAAACCGAGAGGAGGAGGAAGGAAGAGGGGTACGCACAGGGTACAGTTGATGAGCTTGATCGCGGCCAAGAACTCGTTTCTGAACAGGATGGGAATGCCGAGCATGCGCTCTTGCGACTGGTCTCTGATGAGGAGTTCGGGTCGTCGCTCTCCATCTCGAGGAGGAGTGAGATGGTCGATGGAGAGGGTTGCGCGCCGCATGTCGGTCTTGGAGTGTCGAATGGGGTACTGTGAGCGTGCGTGTGAAGTGCACGAGCGTCTCCAGCTGGTGGAGTGAGCAGTTGAAGGCGACGAGATCAGGACGCGCTCGTGCGCGAAGTCCTCGACCCGGCTTACGCTGCACGCAACGAGAGCGGGTCGGAGTAAGCTGGTGGTACTCGTGAAGTACTGCTTGATTTACCCAGGTAGTCGCTCGAATTTCTCAAGTGCAAGCGAAACTTGGTCCAGAGCTGCTCCGCGATGGACCTGGCTCTTCCCTCTCCAGCTCGCCACATCAGCCATCGCAGGACTCGCTGGAGCTATCAGAACACCCACAAGCACCGCGCACATCGGACCAACCCGCTCACACGACCCGCGACGGCCTCACCCCACCCCCCACCACCAGCTCTCTATCGCCTCGTCCTCATCATGCTCGACCTCCGTCCCGCTTTCCTGCCCTTGCAGCCACTTTCACAAGCGCAGATGAAGCTCGGGAGCTCACCAGTCTCACCGGGCGGGCCGATCAGCCCCCTCAGCCTCGACAACGACACCATTTCCGACATTCGGCACTCGCTCCGCCCCTTCCCGCTCCTCGCACTACAGCAAAGGAAGCTCGAATTCGTCTCGCTCGGGAACAAGGAGGACGGGGATGACGAGCCGCAGGAGCGGTTGGCGAGAGAACTCGTCGTCAGGCCGATGAAGCGCGCGGATGTTGAGCGGGTGAGGGAGTTGCAGGTGCGCCTCGCTCTCGCTTGTTTCGCTCGAGAACACACGGCTGACTCTGTATTCGCGTGACAGGACGCCTCGCTCCCCGTCTCGTACCCCCCGTCCTTCTACACCGTCCTCCTCACGAACCCTTCCTCGCTCTCCCTCGTTGCCTACCACCCGTCCGACCCCTCTACTCTTCTCGGCACAATCGCCGGGCAACTGATCTACCCTGCTCCCTCGCTCTCCTCCGCCCCGCAAACACCAACAATCTACATCCTCTCGCTTTCCGTCTCCCCCTCTTTCCGTCGTCACGGTCTCGCCTCGCACCTCCTCCGCTCCATGACCCGCTCGCTTCTTCCCCCTCCGCTCTTCAACGCACAGAAGCAAGAAGCCCGTCTCTCGCTGCATGTCGAAGCGCGCAACGATGGCGCGAGGAAGATGTATGAGAGGAACGGGTTGAGAATCGTTGCGCGCCAGAGGGGGTTCTATTCGAGGTTGAGGGGCGGGGGCAACGGTGAGGCGGTAGAGATGGAGGGGGTGGTGCGCGTGTGAAGAGGCGGACATAGAAGTAGTCTCAGCAAGTAGATAGCGCCTCTCTCGTTGTTGTTGTCCATACGACTCGATACTCGCCCGTCTTCAGCGACATAGTGCTGTTGCAAATACTAGTGATAACACATCATCTGGCCTACGTCCCAACCCAGCTATTCTCCGACTCCGCTCCCTCCGGATCCTTCCCCTTCGTATTCTCGTTCCTCTCCTCCGCCTGACCCCTCACGTCCTTCTCCTTCCCGCTCTTCCCGCCCTCTGCCGACCCCGACTCGTTCTGCACCTCCTCACCGCGCTTCTCCTGGTCTGCGCCTGACCCGCTCGGCTTCGATTCCTGCGCATCTTGAGAGGATCCGACGGCGCGTTGCGCGAGGCGTTCGAGTTCGGCGAGCTTGGCTTGCAGGCTGCGGAGGTCTGCGCGCGGAGAAGCGTCAGTAGGAGAGGGGAGAGAAGGGGGCGAGCGACATACAGAGGAACTCCTTGAAGTCTTGGTTCTTCTCGACGTGCTCCCAGTTCGAGCGAGAAAAGTTCTCTTTTTCTGCGCGTGCGACGTCTCGTCAGTCACGCTGGTAAAGAAAGCGAGAGGGAGCGGGAACGCACGCATCAACGACCGCACCACCCGGTTGACCTGCTTGTCCTTCGCGTCCGAGTCCGAGATGATCAAGTGGTCGAGATGGCGCTTCGTATCGCCCAGCAAATCGAGCAACTTGATGCCTAGCTCGCGCTCCTTCTTCGCCGCTCCGTCCTTGTCCTCCACCTCGCTTCCGCAGTCCTCGTCCCCCTCCTTCCGACCCTTCCGCTCCTCCACACCCGCACCTTTCTTCTCCTCTCCCTCCCGGCTCATCCTCACATCCTCCTCCGATGCACTCGGCGGCAATACACACACCTCGTCCTTCGAGCCATCCTTCGACGAAGGCGGCAACGGCAAGCCCGACATCTTTGGATGCGAATGCGACTCGGCGTCTCCGTCTTTAAAATCTGAGTCGGGGTCGTGCGAAGGTGGGTGGCCGAAGATCGCGAAGAAGGCCGTGCTGATGATGTTGTGCCGGAAGATCTTCTCTGCAGGGCGAAGGAGCGGAGTTCGTTAGCATGAGATGTGGAGGAGCCGTCAGAGTCTGCGGAGGAAGCGCACTGAAGCGCTGCGAGTAGGCGTCGGCGAGGACTGCGCAAGGAGAGAGCGTGAGTGCGGTCGAAGAGTCCTGAGCCCGCGACGAGGACGTACTACTGAAGAGAACGGTCAAGACGCCTGCGCCGCCGATCGCCCATACGCAGAAGAAGGCGCGGCCTCCCTGGGTCTGCGGGGAGTAGTCGCCGTATCTGCGGGAGATAGTCGTTAATTGCGGAAGGCGGGGGAGGAGGTCAAGATGTCGCACGCACCCGATACTCGTTGCCATGACATACACAAAATAAAACCCGATCCAGTAGCTCCATCCTTCGAGCTTGGCGAACGCCGCAGCGCCGACGAGCCAAAAGATGAGGAAGAGCGAGAAGGCGACAACGACTTGCGACCTGAACTCGCGGTCGCGCTCCTTCCGCAGCTCGATGATGGCGTCCTCGTAGCGCCGCTGATCGCCCTGCTCGTCCTTCTTCCCATCGTCCGAGCCGTGCTCTTCCTCTTCGTGTCGCTCGTCCTCCGCGTCCTGCTCCTCCTCTTGCTGCTCCCGCGAGTGAACAAGGCCGCAGGTGATGAAGGAGAGAACGTCGGCAAAGAGCCTCGATCCTGCTCCGCGGTTGCGCAAGCGAGAAGCGATGATGCGCTCCTGCGTCTTGTACTGCTCCTCCATTGCCTCCAACGCAGTTGCGCGAGTGAAGGTGACGAGGAGGGCGAAATTGAGTATGCCGACGGTGTTGAGGAAGAGAGAGAAGATTTGGCTGCCAGTCGTGTTGAGCGTGACGTCGCCGAATCCGACCGTGAGGAACGACTGAATGCAGAAGTAGATCGTGTCGAGGTACGTGGCCCCGGTGATGAGGTACCGGTAGCACACCGAGCCGATGAGGAGCAGAAAGACGAAAGTGTCGAAGCAAACGATGAGCGATCGCTGCTTGTTTGTGACGCCGATTCCGCCCTCGTGATACCACTTTGTCAGGGCGCCATCGATGATGAGGGCGACGATGCTGACGAGCGCGACGCAGCCGCTCGCCGCGGACAGCCAGAACGCCGTGGAGAGGTAGTATCCATCCGGCTTTGCGTGCTCCGCGCCAAACACGGAGAGGGCGACGAGGTTGACGACGCAGTGGACGGAGAGGAGAAAGATGGTTGAGAACGTGAAGAATCGTGGTTGAGTGTCGACGAGGCGGCTGAGGATGGAGAGATTGGCGAGGATGGCGACGGTCAGGGTGACGGCGCCGGCGGCGATGATGAGGGGCGGGTCGGGTTTCGACTCCGTGATGAAGCCGGACGCATCTCGCCTAACGTACCAATGCTCGGTAAGGCCAGGCAGGGAGAAGAGGGGCGTCAAGGGAGCGAGGAGCTGTCGGCCGCACCCGTCAGTCGCCGGCGGTCGCCTTCAGGAGAACGCACGCACGCACCTGAGCAACCAGACTTGAGATCCTCTGCGCAACCTGCTTCTGTCGTTCTGCCTCCGCTTGTTTGCGCTCCTCCTCCGTCCTATACTTGCGGTGCCGCGGATGCGCCCGCTCGTGCACGATCTCTAGCGAAGCGTGCATGCTTGAGTCGTAGCGCCGTAGCTCAGCTCATGACCAGCAGGGGGAGCAGAGGAGAAGCAGCGAAGGAGATTGTCCGCTGACGGTCGGCGTCATCGAGTGAGCTGCGGGGACGAAGGCGCTCAGGGCCGTGCGTAGATTCCTGCGACAGCGTAAGCGTAAATGCAGTACAGCAGCGCTCGCGCGGAGACGGAGCGGCAGGCGAGTGAGCGACGGAGGAAGAGAGAGTCGAGGACTTCGCCAACATTTGCATCCGAGCCAAAGGGCAAACTCAGCGCTCAAAGACAGTGAGATGCCTCAAAGGACTGTCGCCAGATACTGTAATTGAGGGATAAAGTGTAGGGAATGCTGCGACGCGAGAGAGGACGCCGACCGCTCACTGCTGACAGCGAAAACTACGACTCTCCGTCCTTCCTCCAGCTCTCCGTATACTTTGCGCCGTCTGCAAGGAGAGAGCGTAAGCCTGAGGATGCGGGGAGGACACGAGCGAGGCTGGATGAGAGGGTCGTCGACTCACAATCCATGAAGAGCTCGTCGCCCGGCTTGAGCGTGTTGGTGGCGTCTGTCGACAGTCGCTTGCGTTAGTGCATGATAGACAAGCGCTGAGACAATACGGGCAGCCAGGTAAAGGGAAGAAAGGCGAGAAGGTGGAGAAGGAGAGGAAAGGACTCACACAGCGCGACCTGGTGCGTACCGGCGATGTTCCAGACTACCAAGCGCATATGTAGGTCAGCGTGGGTCTGGGGAAACGAGGAGGCCAGTGTGACTGACCTTGCGGCACGACATTTGCCCGCTTCGGGTCGTGGTTGATGAACCGCATCCCGCTGCCAAGCACGGCGCTGTCGATCGCGTCCGACTTGTCGACGTCGAACCAGTAGCTCTGTATGTACAGAATAGAAGCGTCAAGGACGGAACATCTAGAGAGGCGAACTGTGATGGGAACGAACGACTGGATGCAGATCGGCGAAAGCGCTGTCGAGAGTGGTCCACCGTCAGCGGGATCTTCTGGACAGGCCGAGTTGGTCACGCACCCTTTCCAAGTACCCCAGCGGCTCTCGATCGACTGCGGCTCAACCTCGTCGGTCATCCCCTGCGGGAAGAGCTCGCCGCCGTACAAACCGATGAAGTCGCCCTGCGAGGCCGGCTCAAGGAGGACGAGACTGTAGGCACCGCGTCAGTCTTCAGTAGGAGAGGGGAAGCAAGCAAACGCACCCGTAACCGCCCCTCTCGATCTGCGAGCGAGCGACCGTCGTAGCTTTTTGATGATGAAGGCGGATCTTGCTATTGCTGCACGAGGCTGCATGCGCCACCATCAGCACGGGAGAGAGAGGATCATGACGGGATACGCACACGGACAGCCGCAAACCTCGGGATGACACTCGCGGCTAAGGTCGCGGCACCAGCATTTCTCCGCCTTCGAGCACAAGTGGTCGCGGCAACCACCGTACCTTCGTGGGCCTGCCAATCAAAGCGTTAATCGCGCGTCCGCCAGCATGACGTGCGACAAAACTGGACGAACAGCTGGGCGGGCAGTTGCAGAAGCGGTCGCAGAAAGTCGCCTGGCCGGCGCATCCGCAGTTGTCGCCGCACTTGTCTCGACAATCGCATGGTACGTAGCCTTCCGAGTCGATGGGAATGAGCTTCATGTGCTCCCATGGTCGGCCGCGAGGTTTCGGAATTGGCGCTGGTGGAGGAGGGCGGAAGAGCACGGGCTGCACAGACACTCGTCAGCCGGGAACTGCGAGAAAAGCGGCGAAAGAGCGTACATCTGAGACCGGTCTTTCGAGGATGAGGGCGGCCGTGCAGGCGTCGATCGGAGGCAGGTCGAACAGCTTCTGCTCCTTTTCGAGGTCTTCTTCGGTTGGCATCGTCTGCTCCTGATTGAGCAACGGCGTCAGCTCGTATGCCGCATTGGACGGGCCAGGAATAAGCGCACCGCCTTGTCGTGCGCCTTGCATCTTCGGTAGCCACAATCTCGACATCCTCCCTTCTGCTGGACATGCACGTCCTTCGCAGGCTTGGTCGGCCGGTTGTACGCGATGAGATTAGCGTGGAGGATGCAGCCGAACGCGCCGCAGAGGTAGCAGATGTCGAGTGGATCCGGCTGCGGGACAAGCTCTTCGTCACTGATTAGGCGGTGGTCGCGCTGGACGGTGCAGGCCGTTCGACCGGTCCGCCGCTGGTATACGTCGAGAGCCTTAATCAGGACGTGGTCGGGTGAGAGCGAGCGTTCGAAGGCGAAGTGATGCGGGTCTGCCGCACCGTCTCGGACAGCCTCCGCCTCGAGTTCGGCGACTTCCTCAAGATCGACCTGGAGGAAGTGCAGCAGTCGCCGCAGGACTTCGAAGTCACGGGAGGTGCCTGCGAGCGAACATCAACAAAGGACCCGACAAGCAAAGAATGAGGACTCACGGCCGACGTCAGGAGCGTCGAACGAGCCATAGTCGATCATGGTCGCTATCCGGTACTCGTACAGCTTCCTCCTCTGCTCCTCTTCCTCCCGCCGTTGGTGCTCGCTCTGCGTCTCGTGCCGCTCCGCGTTTCCCTGCTTCTCGCTGCCATTCTCGCGCTCCTTCATCTCCTCCTCCACCTCAGATGGCGGATTAAGCACGTTCTGCACCTTCTCGACCACGTCCGCGTTCGTCGTCTTCGAGTCTTCCCACGACGGGAGGAACGGGAACGTCTCGAGCAAGTTGCCGACGAGCGGGACGCCGTGAGTTGCGAAGGCGGTGTAGAAGTAGCGAGGGACTGGCGCGAAAGACGGTGATGAATTTTGGAGACGAGGCGAAGGATCGGCGAGACCGGGAATCAGGGAGGAAGGAGACGGAGCGGTTGGGTCGAGCACGAGGTTGGCCGGCGGACCGTATGCGGGCGGATCTTGTGCTTCGAGAGCGGCAGAAGCCTATCGCGAGGTGATCAGACATCGTCGCAGCAGGAGAGAATTGAATGAAACGCACCAACGCTCGCTCAGCCACCTCCCTCCGCCACTCCTGCTCGACAACCTTCATCTCCCTCTCCACAAACACTTCGATCTCCTCCTCCGTCGGCTCCGCATACCCATACCCTTCCCGCTCGAGTTCCGCCTTCCAGCTCACTGTCACCTGCGTCCCGTCTGCCGCTCGCTTCGTCGTCCGTTCACCCGAAAGCTGGAAGCGGCGGTCTTTGCTGATCGGCAGCGTCACGGTGTAGTATGGCTCGCCGGTGGACGGCAAGGCTGCGTCACGGATCGAGAGAAGCAGGAGGACTTCGGCGAGTTCGCCGAGGTTGTCGGGCGGGCGGTAGTCGAGCGAGGCTGGGTCTGGCGTTTTGATCGGGATGGCAGGGTTGCGGACGACGCGGAGAGACAGAGGGGAAGGTATCGCGGTGCTCGTCATGCTGGTACCGGACGAAGGCGGGCGAAGAGGAATGGAAACTGTTGCGGACGGGCCGCGCAGAGCAGTCTTGGCGGACTGGGTGACATGGCGGAAGGCAAGCGCTGTTCTGATGACAGGCCGTGCAGGGGCGTTCTGCAGGTTTAGACGAATCTCCTCCAGTCGGAGCGAAAGGGAGAAGGGCAAGGAGCTGCCGAAAAAGCAGATCAGCGACACACGCAAGGACGAAAGCCGTCCGACGCACATCTCCTCCAGCAACGGATCCCTATACTTGCCCGTTAACCTCCTTCTCGGCAACCTCTGCCCTCCCAGTCCATCCTCCTCCGCGTCCTCCCTCTTAACCTTGACAATCCTTCGACTCGTAACCACCCTCTCCTGCTTCGGCGAAACCGGTACCTGACTCTTCAGTAGCTTGCGCTTCTTCTTCTGCGGATGAGGGTGGGTGGACGCGCCAAAGGCGATTTTGCGGGAGGCGAGGCGAGGGAAGGGAGGTGGAGCTGGGTTGGCGAGAGGGGGCGAGGGCGCGTCTTCCTCAGAGGTGTCGGAGACGATGATGGGTTCGCCCCTGCTCGACTCGTCGCTCGAAGAGAGAAAGATCTCGACTGGCATGGCGAGTGAGGGCGGATGTCAACTGGACGAGGAGAGATGGGGTCAGCGACAACAGCGTCTTCGGGGCTGCCCAGCTTCAAACGCTCTTCTTGGCACTGGGACGAAACGTTTGAGCGCACCCGATCACGCCCGCGAGCCTGCCACCCTCCTGTATCTCCCCCACCGTCTCCTCGACTCCAGGTCGCGCGATGAAGCGTTTCCTCCGCCCGTGAAGAGCGACGAGCCAGCCCAATAGCTTCGACAGAAAGCCAGCGTGGCTGACGAGTAGCAAATGATGCTAGCGGAGCGCGAGGGGCAGCGAGTAGAAGAGGGAACAGGCGCGGACGGTCCAATGCGGGGCGTCTGCCTGCTGTCCCTCCTCCTGGCGACTGGACGGATAGTGGTGGCAATCTTGAGGGTTGTCCAAGACTACGAAGCGCATGCAAGTCGAGAAGGAATCCTTTAGGACCAACCACTCTCCTCGAAGCCCTGTCCTTGTCCTGTTTGGAGAACGGCATCTATTCCTTGCAACACAACAGATCGAAACTCCGACAACAACGAGAGAAGAAGAAGAGGAAGCGACAACAAGCCGAGTTCCGTAGGTAGCGTACATCCCAGTCGAGGCGCAGAAAGGGGAGAGGGAGGACAACAACCGAGAGGGCGCGATTTGGACGTGATGGGCATGTAGGCGGGCACAAGGAAGTGCGTGAGAAGGCGGGAGGCCCTGCGGGTTGGGCATCTAGCCGAAGAGGGAGGCGTAGCCGGTCCAGGGTTGCTGAGCCGGAGTAGGGCGTTTGTCTGCACCGACCTAGCTCGTCAGCATTCTCCGATGGGCAGAATGAACACGGGTAACGCACCATCCACAACGAGCCACCTCACGAACCGCTTGACCATCGAGCGCTTCTGTCCCTCCTCCGCCGTCGAGCCCGACGAGCCAGATCCACGGCGCCCTTGTCCTGTCCTTGAACGTTCGCGACCCGCTCCAGCCTGTACAGCCGCAGTGTAGCTCGGCGGACCAGGCGGGGGGACGGGCGAAGCAGAGCGGGGCGAGTCGGCGGGAGTTGGGACAAAGAGCTCGTCGTAGTCCGGCGGAGGGGGTTCGAGAGTCGCGAGGACTTGGTCGGCGTGTGCAGAGGGCATCCAAGACGCGGGAGACGGGTCGGTGTGCCTGCGCTGGCGATTGGCTTGGAGGGCTGGGCGGGACGACGAGGGCGAAGGGGAGAGAGCGAAGAGCGTGCCGGGACTCTCGACGACGACGGGGAGGGTGTCTGTGAAGCGGTCGCGGTACTCGAGGACGGGGACGAGGAGGCGGACCGCGTTCGAGTCGCGGGAACGCCTCGATGAACGGCGGTCGTTCGACGACCCCTCCGAGTGCGGGAGCGGAGCCGACGACTGTCCCATGGCGAGCTGTTCGGCCCAGAGCACGAATAGACGAGTGTCAGCACATGCTTGTTCTGCTCTGCTGAAAAGTCGAACGGATCAAGCGAAGCGTTGCTCGACGCACCTCGGTCACGGGCGACAGAGACGAGGGGAGGACAGGAGCAGAGGATGCTCGGATGGCGCGGGTGCGCATCGTCCTTCGCGGGTCTGCAGACATGCTTGGCAGAGTGGGCAGACCGACAGCGCGAGAGAGAAGGCAAAGGGAAGAGCGACGGCAAACGCCAAACCGGTGACCTTCGTAAGTTGACTGGGTTCCGCCCGCGAGATTACGCAACCGAAAGAACCCTCGCCTCGGCGAACTGCTCTGTACGGCATTTCCAGCGTGAAAGCGCCAGCGTTCCCGCGCTTCATTCGTCCCAGCTCGTACGCCCGGGTAACTACGCACAGGGAATCGTGCGCCCTGCACTGCGTGGTGCGAGATTGCATCCGTCCGTCGCCTGCGAGTCTGCACCGTCTGTTTCACCACGACCTGCGCGGGGGCCTGCGAAGCGCGACCACCCTCGAACGGCCGAACAGCGGACGGGAGCGAGTCCTCGGGATCCTCGAGCATGCGAAAGTGCGCCTGCCGAAGCGGCGTCTCGGCAGGAGCATGATGGACTGCAAGCCTGAGCAATGCGAGGCAGCAGGACCGGGTACGCTGAAGAAGAGCGAGGGGCAGCGAGGTCTCGAGGAAGAGCAGCAAGTTTCGAGGCTGCGCGGAAACGTGCAGATGCTCGAGTGCGAGCGTAGCTGTGCTCAGCAGGCGACGTGCTGGTACGCACGAAGCGCTAGGCGGTCCCTGGCAAGCGGAATGAGGTCCACAAAGACGCGAGAGAAGCCGGCAGACGTCCGGGGGATACGGGCGGCGACGCTGCAAGCTCTGGCGGGGTTCAACGCTCCTGCTGTCTTCCAGACACCGTCACTCAATCGCTCAGCGTCCTCCTAGTTCCATCCTGCCGCCTTGTCGAGCCGTGGAAGGCGGGTGGAGGCGATAACCGATGAAGTCCAAACGGCGGACGACGGCGGCACCGGGCGAAGCAAGACCCAGCGAGTAGCAAGCGTGAGCGCCTCTGATACTCGTACGGTTATCGACAGCTGTCTAGCGCGAGGTGAGCTGAGCGATTCGTGTCCGACCCTCCGCTGGTTGAGGACGCCAACCCCTCACTCCGCCACGCGCTCTCCTTGCTCGTTTGACTCGCCCTAATGGTCTGTCACAGATCTACAATGCTTATCTATGCTACGCTGACCCGCCCGCTTCTCACTACCCAGGCTCACCCCGTCTCTGCACCGCCCGAAGTTGAGGCAACTCTCGCCCGCCTGACGAGCTACAAGGGTGCGTCCGGTCTCTTGCAAGCTCCCTGAGACTCGGTTGACGATGGTCCGATGCCACCCAGACGTTCAGGGAGTCCTCATCCTCGCCCGACCAAACGGGATCATTCTCCGTTCCTCTGGGTCGCTCTTCGCTCTTCCTCCATCCAGCGCGGCAGTATCCTCCCCGCCACCTCGAGCAGAAGGAGACGAGGAGGGCGAGGAGAAGGAGGAAGAGAGCGGGCCGAAGACGAGCGAGGTGGCCAGGAAGTATGCGAGGGCGGCGACGAGGATGGTCGAGGCTATTGGGATCGAGGTTAGGGACTGCGACGAGGACAAGGCGGTGCGTGCGAGGTTGCTTGTTTGCTGGTGGAGTAGGAGCTGACGGGATTGCGACGGACAGGACGACTTGCGGTTCCTTCGAATCCGGACAAAGCGACACGAGCTGATCATCACGCCTGGTGGGCTCCTCCCTGGCTTCGACCGGCTGAAGACGTTGCTGACACTAGTCTTTATCTCGCAGACGAGCAGTACATCCTGGCGAGTGTCCCTTCGCCAGCCAGCGACTGATTCCTCGAACTGACCTCGACTTTCGCTCTTCCAGGTCGTCGTGCAAGACCCCGCGCACTAGACTGTTGCGCACACGATACCCCCCTCTTATCCGCAAGCCATACCCTCGTTCGCAATGCATCTCTGCCCGTTTTCTTCGAGACAAGCTTCGGCCAGCGCTGCGCCCGACACCGGCTTGCGAGGTGGGGCGGAGCGAGGCAGTGACCTCTTCCGCTCTCGCCAGTCTCGCTGAAGCTACAGACGCTACAAACAATGCTCAATCTCACCGCCGCAAGCACAACGCGGCCGCGCTATCTCCGCGACCCGCACCCGCCCCCAGCCATCCTTCGCTCTCCCTCGTCCTGCGTGTTCGACGCCGACATCTCGCCAGACTGGTGTGTCGGCTCGGTCGGACACGGCGGATACCTCCTCTGTGTCCTGACCGACGCTGTCATTCGCCACCAGCGCATCCATCACTCGAAGCACACCGACCCCGCCCATCTCTCAAGCCAGTTCTTCGCGGCGACCGTGCCGGGACGGGCGCAGGTCGAGGTCAAGATCATCAGTGCGTCGAAGAGGTGGACCAGGCTCGATGTCGAGTTGTGGCAGTGGACGCCCGACCCCAACACCGACGACTTTGTCGACCCCGCGAACGAGCGAGTCTTGCGCATCCAGGCGCACTACCTCGTTTCTGAGTTGCCTGAACACCCTGAGCCTGCGAAAGGCGCGGAGAGCGCACCCATCGGCGGCCTCAACTTCCTCTCTCGACCATGTCCGCTCCTCCAGCACCCGGGCAAGGTCGACATGCGCGACGGGGGATCGCACGTCCCTGAAAAGCTGCGATTCAGTAAGGGCATGCGGTGGAAAGAGGTCGAGGTGACGCAGCCGAATGACGGGAGTCTCGCTTGGGGCGCGTGGATTGAGTTGACGGGCGGAGAGGAAGTTGCGGAACTTGCGAGTGAGTACGGCGCGCTCCTTCTCTCGAGCCGGTACTGACGCACTCAAGTACAGCCCTTGTACCCTTTTTCGCCGACGTCGCCAAGAACGGCCCCGAGATGCTCCCTGAAGGCAAGAAGCCCGGTCCTTCGTTCGTCCCTCGCCTCTTCTCCCCTCCTCTTCTGCTGACGTTCCGTGACACACAGCTGGTACCCAACAATGACCTTCTCCCTCGACTTCAAATCCCGTTTCCCGCTCCCCGCCTCCTTCGGCCGTCGCACGATCGGTCTCTACTCGACGACCAAAACGATCCATGAGGGACGGCACGATCTGACTGTCGAGTGCTGGGCGGCGCCGGCGGATCTTGGTGAGAAAGAGGGAGTGAGGGAGGAGGGGTTGCGGAAGGAGGAGGATGGGGTCGAGAGGTGGAGGAGAGAGGAGGCGAGGTTGGTCGGTGTCAGTACGCAGGTGCGCTTTCGGTTTCGCTGCATCGCGCTCCCCCAGCTTGGGACGCTCTCAGCGTCTCACGCGCGGTCGACATCGATGCTGATGAAACTGACACTGGCTGCCTTCTGCAGATGGCCCTCGCCGTCCCTCTCGAAGTCAACCACGCCCGAGGCCGCAAGACCCTTCCCGGCGAGAGCGACGAGAGCAGCAGCAGCGACTCGGAGAGCGAAGGTGGGAAGAAGCGCGCGATGCTGTAGCTCGTCTCGCACAGGGGACGGAATAGACTGGCTTTTTTGCAAGGTCAAAACGAAGAACGTCCGTGGGTTGTTTGTGCAGCGAGAGAAGGAGAGGGGGATATGTGCGACTGGCCGGCCAGTGGAGAGGGAGGGTCATGCGAGAGAAGAAGGGAGGGGAGGGGAATCACCGTCCACCGACCCCATACGCGAGTTCCCGATCCAGCTCCATACCAGGATGCTCCTCAACCGGGCCCTCCCCACCCCGCTGCACGCGCCCATACTCCTCATACCTTGCCCCGTTGTTCGTCGGCGTCGCAAGCATGTCGTCCCGCTTCGGGAGCTGCGGCATCGGATCTTGCCTCCTCTGACCGTGCTGGACGTTCTGTCCCTGCGCTTGCTGCTGCGGAGGAGGAGGCGCCTGCTGCATCCCCGGCCTGACGAGCCTCCTAAACGACTCGACCTCCTCAACGATCAACCTCCGCATCCCATCAACCGTCTCCTCCTCTTCGAACCCAAAGTCGAATTTCTCGGGACAGACAGGCTCGTCGGCCGGTTCGTGCCACACCGAGAGGTAAGGGTGCAGCAAGGCGTCTTCGCACGAGATGCGTTCGTGCGGGTCGAAAGCAAGGAGTTTCGCGAGGAGGTCGAGAGCGAGCGGGTTCGCTTGCGGGAAGAGCTGGACGAGCGGGACGCCCAGCTTGTAGGGGAGCGAACGGATGTAGTCTTGTGCGCGTGGGGAACCGACGCGGCGCAAGGTGCGGTCGGAGGGCGTGCCGAGGAAGTGCAAGACGATGTTGAGCTGGTCGATGTAGTCCTTGCCCTTGAAGATCGGTCGGCCGCCAAGGAGTTCGGCGAGGACACAGCCGACGGACCAGATGTCGACTGTGGGCGCAAGGGCTCGTCAGTTCCACCCCAGGCTCGAGAGCGCTTCGCCGCTAATGCAGCCTCAACGCCCATCGAAAAGCGACGAGGAAACCGGCACTCACTCGCCGTCGTATAGTTCGCAAAACTGAGCATGATCTCCGGCGCCCTGTACCACCTCGTCGCGACATACTCGGTCATGAAGCCCTGCTGCTGGCCGTCCGCTGCGGCAGCGTCCTGGTCGAATCCGCGCGCGAGACCAAAGTCGCAGATCTTGAGCTCACAATCGGCGTTTACCTGTGCGCGAAGAGTCAGGAGGGAAAGGGAGGAAAGGAGGGAAGGACGGACGAGGAGGTTGCCGGGCTTGAGGTCACGATGCAGGACGTGCGCCGAGTGGATGTACTGCGAGCAGACAGTCGTCAGTCCGTCCCTCTCGGAAGAGCAGAGCAACCGCTTCCCACTCATGGTGCAGCAGCTGCGCCACGAGCGAGCGCTCGACTCACCTTCAGCCCGCACAAAGTCTGGTAGATGAAGCTCTGGAAGTGCGCGTCCGACAACGGCTGTCCCGAGCGGATCTGTCGCATCATCGTCAAGCGTCAGTCCATGCTTCCCGATGATGGATCAACCCTCAGTGCGCAGAATGGGGGTCGAACAGCGCGAAGGGAGGACTGACGATCGCATGCAAGTCAGCCTCCATGCACTCTTCGTACAGGTAGATCGAGTCGAAGTTGGTTGGGTCCACGAGGTCGAGGTCGTACAGGCATGTGATCTGTGCGATGCGGGCGAGGCGTGAGCGGTGTGTCTCGCGTTGAGCGAAGGCCGCCTGACGGGGAGGCCCTCCGCAACGAGAGGAGGCGGCTCACATTTTTGTGACCGCGGAAGTGGTGCAGCAACCTGTGCGTCAGAGACGAAAAGAGACAGCGAGAGCGTCAGCGGACGAAGCGCCTCGTCTCCAGAAAGTCTCCGCTCGGGACGCACTTGATCTCCCGCAATGCTCGCTTGGTCAGGATCTTCTTCTGGAAGACCTTCGTCACCTGTGCGCGTTCCACCCCCGAGCTTGAATCAGCACGTCCCGTCGCTTGCGAAGAGGAGGAACTGAGAAGGAGAAGGGAAGAACGCACCTTCTTGATCGCGACCTGGTCGCCCGTGAGCTTGTTCCTCGCCGAACAAACAACTCCATACGCGCCTGTACTTCATACGCAGCGTCAGCCCTCTCCCGCCGTCCACTCACGCCCCACCCGCTCGCACCGCCTCAGACCTCGAGACGCTCATGCAACGCACCTTGTCCCAGCTCCTTGACGAACTCGTAGTTGTGGTCCACCAGAAAGGGCTCGGCGAGGACGGGGAAGGTCGTTCGTGCGATGTTGTGGATTGGGTCGATGGATTGCGAGGGGGAGGGAGCGTGCGAGGGGGAGGAGCGGGAGGTCTGGTGGGACATGGCTGAGCGGGTCGCAGCCGTCGTAGCTTAGCAGGACTAGCAGAGCAAACAGTCGAGCGAGAGAACGCAGTGAAGAAGAGACGGGACTGAGCGAAGCGAATGACGGAGTCTCCGGCGATATTCGGCGGGGCTTGCGCAGGTACGGAGGCTCGTTCTCTCACGTGGTAACAACATGGAAGGTGCGCATCCGAAGCCCGTCTTGCGAGGAGGAGAAGGGGGGGAGAAGTGACATTGCAAGGTCGGGCTCGCTGGTCACCGCTCGTCAACACTCCTTGATCTACCTAACCCTCCGTACGAATCGCTGCGTCTGGCGGAGTCTGGCGAGAGGCCGGGCGAGACCAACGGAGCTGTCTTGCGGCGAGTTGAGGCGTTGAGGCTCTTCGGGACGCGTCCTCGCATACTTAGGCGCCCGTGTCGCAAACGTCGTCGAAGCTGGTTTGGCGGATTGTCTGGCATGCACAGGGTCGTGTCGCGCCGACAGAGCGATGCAGGACAGCGTATCCGAGCCGATCGAAGGGAAGAAGCGGCGAGCAGGACGTCGCACAGCGCGCTACAACGCTCGACAGGCGCAGACTAGCCTTCGATACTGGGCGCGGCAGCCTCAGAGATGTGTAGCAAGGCACTCGGGAGCTCAGCGAGCCGACCCGAGCACTGCGCGGGAGGAGCGAGGGGTCGCCAACCCTCGCACAACCCCCCAACCAGCCCGTAGTCCTCCTCGCCAGCACGTACTATCGCCTGCAATCCACCCTGAGCAGTTCCACGGCCCCGCGAGTGTATGTTGAAGCCGTGCCGGGTGTCGAGGAGTCGGAGGCGAGCGGTTCGACGGAGGACCCTCGTCGCGCGGCGCGAGTTGGACGGCGGGCGCAGGCAGTCCCAGCGTAGTACACAAGTCCCAATAGACAGTCCAGTGAGCCACACAGCGAGCAGAGAGCGTGTGCGAGCGAGTCGAGGTCGAGTGCTCGTGCTCGTCGAGTTTGCCCTCGCTCGCTCTCCTTCGTGATCCCCGTCGCCAACCCCCGTCCACCCCCTCCCTCCGCCTCTACAGGTCAGCTACCACTCCACACACACTCGCCACACCCACACACGCTTCCTCCGACTCGAACGGGCGCGCGACGAGGGCTGCAGCACGAGCGGGACGAGCAAAGATGGCCAACGCACGCTGGGACGGCTATGGCGGCTCGCTGGGAGGGCTAGGGTGGTGCTGGGCGGGTGTACATGCGCATGGGAACACGCTGGACGCGGTCACGATGCGCCAGGAGCGGTGGGAAGCGAGATATGGAGGGGTCCACCAGGTGCACGCACTCTCGCTCGCTCGACGGACAAGCTGACCCTCCCCTTCGCTCTCTTTGGGCTCGCCCGGTCAAGCAGCTATGTCTGAGCAGACTTTCAAGAGGTTCGTCGAGGTCGGCCGCGTCGTCCTCGTCAACGACGGTCCCTCGGCTGGCAAGCTCGCGACCATCGTCGAGATCATCGACCACAACCGCGTGCGTAGCGCAGTGCTGTCCATTCGGTGCAGAGGACGGAAGGGCTGACCTTTTCGCAACTTCTACCGCCCCCGTTCGCCCTTTCGACCCGCCCCACCCTCCGCACCTCCGCACCCTCGAATCCGGCATCTCACCCTGTGCTCTCCCCTGCACCCGCCTACTCCTCGCACTCAACACGATCGTGACCCGGCACCCGCAGGCGCTCATCGACGGCCCGTCGACCGGTGTCCCGCGCCAGCAGTTCACCTACCGCCGCCTCGTCTTGACCCCCTACGTCCTTAAGAAGCTCCCTCGCTCGGCCGGCACCTCGACCGTCAAGAAGGTCTGGGATGCCTCCGAGGTCGAGGCCAAGTGGGAGAAGTCGGCGTGGTGCCAGAAGCGCAAGGCTCAGGAGAAGAGGCGCAACACGTCCGACTTTGAGAGGTTCGAGGTCATGCTCCTCAAGAAGCAGAGGCGCCGTCTCGTGCAGGTCAGTCGCAGCTGCTTTCCGGTGTCTCTGACCCGTCTGCCTTCGACTTGTCCGGGCTAGACGGGTTCCCAGATGCGAGCTTCGGACTGACACCTGCTCCCCTCTCACAGGCTGCTGCCGCCAAGGCCAAGAAGTCGGCATAAACACCTTCTTCTTCTGCCCGCGACCCTCCCTCCCCACTCCCTCCCTTACTCCCCTCCCTCTCCCCTTCCCTCCTCCAACCCGACGCGCGTACTCTCCCCTCCCTCCCTCTCCCGACGGCGTTTTGTAGTATCGTCTTCTCTCTCGAGTGCGCGCGGTACGATTCGGATTTGGATGTGTGACGGGTGTAGAGGGCTGGATGAGTAGGGTTTCCGGGTGGTGGATGAAGGGAACCTCTTTAAACGACTCGTGTTTCGGCTGTTGAGACAGATATGCTCTTCTAGCTGCTCTGTTGCTCTCGCTTGCAAGCCCCGACGACAACAAGAAGCCAGCATCTCTCCCTCGACGCACGCCAAACGCACGCTCTTTCACTTCGAACCGCTCATTCGCTCTCGCTCACCTCTCTGCACAGCTCGCACGCCTGCTTCGCGAGGTCTCTCGATGTCCAGCAGAGCCGACACCTCGCCATTCAAGCGCCGCCCCGCCCTCTCACGCACCTACGGCTCCTCCTCGCGGCGCTCATCCAACCCTCCGGCACGCACGGCAAAACACGGGGGAGGCGTGAAGGGCTTGCTGGATGATTTGAGTAGTGATGAGGAAGTGCAGGTTCGACTTACGGGGCGGGGGAAGGAGGAGGGAGGAGAGGAGGTGGAGGGGGAGGTGGGGAAGGAGAGGGTAGGAGGGGAGGTGGGCTCGACTGGGGGACAGCGTGGTGCGAAGGGAGTAGGAAAGAGCGGGAACGAGCAGGCCAAGCGTCCCCCGGCGGTGCGGATGACGAGGTCTTCGCTTGCCCAAACCACGGCGAACGAGGAGGAGGGCTCGTCCGCGACAGATGGGACGGTCTGGGACGAGCAGGAGGTTGCGAAGACTCGTCCGAGTGTGGGCGGGACGAAGAGGCGCTCGGGTGGCCGGGCGAACGGGGCCAGCGTCCCTCCTCCTCCCCTCGAATCTTCGACCACTCAGCCCGCGACAAGGTCGCCTTCGAAGCAGCCTGCACGGCCTCCTACGCCTTCTCGACGCTCTTCATCACGCCTCTCGACCTCGATCCCAACGACGACGGCGGCAGCGGCGGATGAGGGGACTGCTTCCCCTCCACCGCGAAAACGTCCTCGCACATCTGCTCCCGCTCTCGCGCAGCCTACGACAACATCGAGACCCAAAGAGAATGAAGAAGAAGTGGACGACATCCCCGAACCGTTCGACTATGTCCCGCTTGCGGAACGATTGAAGAAGGAGGTGGGGGAGAAGAAGGCGAGGAAGCCGGCGCTTCCTGCGACTAAGGCGGCGGCGGCGGTGCAGCGACCGCCACCGAGGACGACGAAATCTGGACGAGCAGTGAAGATGGAGGATGTCGCGACTGTTGCGGACGCGCCGGCTCCTTCTCCCGCAGCGAAAGTCTCCGTCCCCTCTCCCGCCCGTCCACCTGCTCGTCCTCGCACACCTCTCGCACCATCCATCTCCCGCTCTTCCGCTACCGCTCCCGCACCAAAACCCACTCCACCTCCTCGCCCCGCCAGTCCAGCGAAAGACCTCTCGGCGCTCTTCTCCCGCTTCGCACCGCCTACCGCTTCCAGCGCCGCTGAAAATGGGCAGAGTCCGCAGAGGATGGGGTTGAATAGGACGCAGAGCTTGGGAGGAGTTGTCGGGAGCTTGAAGGCTGGGCATGGGCAACGGAGGGTCGCGGTGGAGGATGCGCTGGAGGAGGAGGTTGCGGTTGCGGGCGGATCAGGTGCGTCTCGCGATCTTCAAGAATGTGTGAATGGTACTGACGAGCCGCATGACGCGGACAGTCCCGCCCTCACCGTCTCGAACGAAGCTCGACCGCTCGTACTCGCAGCCCAACCTCCCTTCCTCCCCGCTCGGCTCACCAACTCGCTCGCCTTCTCGCCCGCCAGTCTCGGCCTCGCAGTCCTTCCCGCACTTTGGTAGCCCCTCAGCACGCGAGGCGAGTCCCTCGCCGCTCAGCCGCCCCGCTTCGCCTGCACGCCTCAACTCCAAGTCCAACAACGTCTTTGGCGCCGGACCCGCTCTCGGTAGCGCTTATCGACCCGTCTCGTTTGCGCCTCCTTCAGCTGCTGCATTCGGCTTGCTAGGCTCGGCGCCTGGAGGAGGAGGAGCGGGTCCGACTCGCACATACGCTGGCGGTGCGCGCTCATTCCGCAAGGACACGGCGGAAGAAGATCTGCTTTCCCCGCCTTCGAAATCGACGCTCTCGCGTCTTGCAACGGGCGCGTCCGCCTCTTCCTCCTCGCCCTCGTCTTCCGCAATCGCAGGTCTCCCACCCTCCCTCTCCCGGCGCAACCCCCGCGGCCCACCACCTCAACGCGAAACCTATGCCTCTCTCCGCGTCTTGTGGGGGATCGACGCCGAAGAGACACTCGAAGACGAAGAATCGCATGACTCGCAGGACCGCGGGGCGAAGGTTGTTGGGACTGGGTTGTTGAGGAAGCAGGGGGAGGGGAAGAGGTGGATGGATGAATTGGGGTGGGTGATGGAGGGGTTGAGGGAGGGCGGAGAGGGGGATAAGGGCGCGGCGAGGGCGAGGTGAGTCTGCGCTTCTTCGGGGATCTGTTTGAGGTCTGCCGCACTCGACAGGCTTTGACATGCCAAAGCTCGAAGTTGAGTAGCCTCACTCACGACGAATGCTCACGCAGCGCGCTCGACCTCCTCCAGAAGGCCCTGGACCGCGAGTGGCTCCGCCGCCTCAAGTCCTCCGGCCAAGCCGAATCCGTCTACCTCGCATTCCGCCTCTCCTCCGCCGGCTCCTCGACAAGCGACCGCGTCCTCGACATCGCTTTCGCCGTCCTCCTCGCGCTTCTCGTCCGCGACCAACGAATGGTCGAACCGCTTTTCAGGCTCAGTCCGACTGACGTCGAGCGCGAGAAGCAGAAGCGTGGTCGGGGGTCGCACGAGTCGATGTCGCAGGGCTCGTCGCTCAAGCGAAGTGTGTCGATGTCGGCAGCGAGCGAGCAGAGGACATTGGCGGCGGAGGGATCATTCGTCTCCTCGTCGTCGTACTCGTCTTCGCCGCGGAAAGCGGAGGCCGAGACGGACGAGCGAAGCGATTTGCTCGAGGTGCTGAGGGAGTTGAGCGAGAAGGACTGGGCGCGCGAGGAGATCGGTAGCGCGCAGGATGGCGGGACGGTGGGCTTGCTCGGGAAGAAGGCGAAGGTACTCAAGGGCGATGCGCGACACGTGAGTTGAGCGATAATCTGTCAGTCCTGGAGCTCGCTGACAGGTCGTGTCACACAGCTGCAATCCCTCCGCGACGTCCTCGACTCATCCGCTATCTTCTCCGAATCCTCGCTTCCTCCGACCCTGCAAAGCCTCATCCTCCTCACCATCCGCTCAATTTCGTTTTTCTCGCCTCGCACCATCTTCCAGCCGCAACACATGATGTGCGTCTCGGGCGTATTCGAGCGAGTTGCAAGGATGTTCCTCGAGGAGTCGAAGGCGCTGTCCGCGCGGCTGAGCAAGTACGAGCAAGGATTGGTGAGCCTCTTATGCCGTTCAAGAGTGTGCCGACGGCTTATCATATCACGCGCAGGATCTCCTTCCATCGCCAGACGCAGCCGCTTCACCCATTACCTTCTCACTCCCGACTCTCGCACTCGCCTTGTCGATCTTCGAGGCAACACCTCTCGCCGCTCCACTCGCCTTCCACATCATCTCTACGGACGACTTTCTCTCGCCTCTCGCTGAAGCGTTCCGCCATCTCATCCTCGTCTCGTTCCTGCTCGCCTTCGACTCGTCGTCGGCAGCCAGCGTTCTCGGCAGCAGGAAGCTCGCTACGAACACACTGTCGGCGGTACTGGGCATTCTGTTCGGCTTGACGACCGAGCCTAGCTGGGCTTCGGCGCTCGTCGGCGAAAACAGCGAGGTTCTCGTCACCCTCGTTCGCATCGCGCTCGCCTGCCGACGTTCAGCCGCCGACTTTGCACGAGCAGATGCGTCGGCACAATCTGATGTCAAGCGCTTGCCGGCGCCGAAGCCGGAGGCGTACGAGTCGTCAGACCCGCCCAGCTCTGGCGTGAGCTCGTCAGGCGTCTCGGCGGCGGAGTCGGCGACCCGCAATCGCATTGCGACCCAACGCCAACTTGTGTGGGACATTTTTTCGCTCTCGCTGGGCGTCCTGGCGAATCTCGCCGAGTCGGCCGACGGTGTCGTGAAGGAGGCGTTGCGGACTTTGGGTGCGTGCGACACCGTTGACTTCAGTTTGCACGCTCACTGACGATAGTTGGAAGCAGTCCTCAACCCGTCCTGTCAAGGTAAGCGTAGGTGCGCACAACGCTGCCAATGCGCCGAGACGTCGCAGCAATCGCTCCTCGAGATCCTGTCGCACCTCGCGCTCGACCCGCTCGATGACGCGCCGAACACCGTGCGCATTGATCTGGCAATCCCACTCGGTGCGAAGCTGAAGTTGTGCTCGTTCGTAGGTCCACCAAACCTCGGTTACCGGTTTTCTCCGTCTCCTCCTGGGTCTCGCCATCCTCGACGATCCGCACAACGAGACGCTTCTCCTCGACACGATCGGAACCTCGAAGGCGACGCTCAACGGCATCCTCGACGCTCTCGACGAGCTCGCCAAGCTGCATGATGAACAGAACGAGGTCCGAGGTTTGCTGGAGGGCCCGGAGGAGATGCAAGAAGACGAGGCAGGCGACTCGCAGCGGACAGAGGTCGTTGAAGATACGCAGGTCGAGGAAGACGAGCAGTTGGAGGTCTTGCCGGCTCAGAGTCGAGAGGCGTCGAAACGGATGCGGGAGCTTGTCGAGCGGCTGAGGCGGCGAACGAGGTAGTTTATCGCAATCGAGAAGCTTTGTGCGCGCGTCTGGGCTGTGAACGTATGGGTATCATTCCGTCAAGCGCATGCAGAGAGTAAGCCAAAAGGAGAGGAAAGGTAAACAAGCAGGGTATCAAGCTAGTCTCGGCCGTTGTTTCGGCCCTCAACGCCACAAGTCGCTCTGCCGCGAACGACGGCTCCTGCCGTTCGCCTGCGTGCCCGGAACGGGCTGGCTCATCGAAGCCCGCGTCTTGCGAACCTGGCCCTTCCCCTTGCCAGCCCCTGCCTCCTCGTCGCTCGACGCAGCATCGTCGTCTTCGTCGTCTTCGTCGTCGCTGTCACGCGCGATGAACGACCTCTGGCTTGTGGTCGGCTGGCTCGCCGACGCAGCAAGGCTTGCCCGGGTCGAGCGCCGAGTCGGCTGTTTGACCGTGTCGAGCTGCGAGAGCGAAAGCATGCGAGATGCACGGCTGCCAGAGGCGAAAGCTGACGGCGTCGAGGCGGTGGGCTGAGAGGCTGAGACGGCAGCGCGGGGCATGCGGGCCGAGTTGGGCGCCGCAAGCGTGACCGCCTCTGGCTTCCTGCGGTCAGCGTATGTGCGGCGAGGCGAAACTGGCGTGCCGTTGACCGGCTGGGAAGCAGCGTGAGGTGGTTCGGCCGATGGCGAGCGCGAGGCGAGGCGAGCGGAAGACGCGCGGGTAATGCGGGCGGGCGTCGTGGGTACGGCGAGGCCGTGGTTCTCCTTCGCGAAAGAAGTGGCCTTGGGGGTCGGGCCGTCGTCTTCCTCGTCTTCGACTCCCTCGGCCGCTGATTGCTCGTCTTCCACCTGGTCCGGCTCGACAATGGCAGGCGGGGCAGGCGAGGTCTCCTTCGAAGCGTCGGGAGTCGGCGGCGCCTGCGCTCGGCGGATCGTCAGCTGCCAGTCGCACTGGTACTAGGGGAGAGAACAGACGACGCACGCGAGCAGATCCATTGACCTTAACAGCTGGAGCATCCTCTTCTTCCTCCTCTTCGTCGTCAGCGGGAGCCTCCGCCTCAAGTGCATCGGCAGGGTCCGCATCAGCTGCGAGCTCTTGAACTCCGTCCGCTCCGGCAGTCTCCTGCGAGAAGCTCTGAGTCTGCGTCTCGAGGAACAGAGGCTTGTCCTTCTGCAGAGGGACGAACTGGCTCTCCGCCGGCGCTTGCTGCGCGTCCTCCTCCTCTTCGTCGTCGTCGTCTTCATCGCCAACGACAGGACGGTCCTCCCCACTGAACACCTGGGAGGGATCGTCAACCTCGATCGGCGGCGAGCCAGCCTGGCTGCTGGTCGGCAAGTTGCCGATGGACGACAAGTCGGGATAGATGCGGTCGGGCGGGCGCTGCGAGGCCTGCGTCGGCGAGAGGAAGGACGTGGAAGCGACGGCGGTGACATTGGGAAGAGGCTGGGGGTCCGGCGAGATGCGACGGCGGGGCGGGGAAAGGGCTGCGTCGGGTTCGACGGCAGTCGTGATGGGCGGAGCGCCCGCAGTGTTGGCGGATGGGCGAGGGGCCCGGCCGGAAGCGTTCGCAAAGACCGGTTCGCCAGTCGCGGGGGCACCATTGACGGCGGCGGCTGTCTCCGCAGCGTCGGCCTCCGCGGGCTCGGCGACGTCAGCAGGAGTCTGGCCGGTTGAAGCGATGGGAGCCGTATCGGCGTCGACTTCCATCCTGTCCTCGACATCGTCGTCCGACGTCTCGTCCTGCTTGCCCTTCCCCTTGCGCTTCTTCTTCTCCTCTTCTTCGCGCTCGAGCTGTGCCCAGTACGCATCGCTGGTGCGCTTCGGGCGCTGACTCGGCTGAGTCTGACTCAGGAGCTGGTCAATCTCCTCCTCGTCCTCCTGCGCTTCGCCATTGGCGTCGGTGCGAGCCGGTGACGACGAAGCGGCGTTGAGAGGCGAGTGCTTGAGCGGACTGCCCGCATACCCGAGAGTGGACGAAGCGAGGACCTTGTTGATGCCGTTCGCTCCGCCGAGCAGCGAGCCGCGCTTCTTCGGCTTGCTGAACGCCTCCTTCGCAAGCAGGCTCAGGGAAGGGCGACCGCCTCCGCCGTTCCGCAAGTGAGCGGCGTTGCGCGTGAGGAGCGAAGACGACCCGCCAGCCTCGTCATCAGACGATTCATCCGACTCTTCCTCGGAGGACGACGACGACGACTCGTCCGAGTCCTTGTCGTTGCGCTTGCCACCAATCGTGGGGAGTGCTGGCTCGGGCGATGACGAGGGGAGGCGGGTGTTGGCGGCGTGGGACAGCTTTTGCTCGTCCTCCTTCTCCTCCTGAGCATTGCGCGAAGGAGTCTGCGCAGCTGGTGGAAGAGGCGCCTCCTCGGGTTCAACCGGCAGGTCTTCGGCCTTCTTCTTCGCTGAGGCAGGCGAGGCATGCGCCTTGAGGCTGAGCTGAACCTCCTCGTCATCATCCTCCGAAGTCGAGGGCGTGACCGCACGGCTATCGCTTTCGACGACGCGGGAGACGGCAGGGTTTGAGCGCTGCTGCTGCTGATGCGTCACCGACTGAGCTGGCGTCGAATCGAGCTCGTCGAGTTCTTCGTCAGACTCGACTTGCTCTTCCGCCTCGACCTGCTTAGGCTCCGCATGCGCCTGCTTTTGCACAGGCGTGGGCTCGACCTCCTGGACGTCGATATCCATGACGTCCTCCTCCTTTTGCGCAGCCGGGCGAGGCGTGGCGTCGAGCTGGTCCTCCTCGTCCGGCTGCGTCGACGGCTCGCGGCTCTCGACGTCCATCGTCTCCGGCACGACTTGCGTGTCCTCCGCTGCCGACGCGATGATCGGCTCAGCCCGCTTGACCGCCTCGACAGCAGCCTTGACAGCCGCCGCCTGCCTGACGCTGCTGCCTTCCTCGACGTCCGTGTTCGGTTGGCTTTGCGAGGCCTGGCTCATCACCTTGCGAGCAGCCTTACTCGGCCTGACGCGACGCTTCTTGCTGCCATCCGAGCCGTTGCTGTTACCATTCAGCGAGAGACCGAGTGTCGACGGAGCGGGAGAGGACGAGCGGGTTGAGGCGGGCGTTTCAACGCGCTGCTGCTTAGGCGTGGGCTGAGGGGCTGACGAGGGAGGCGGCTTGACGGTACGGATAGGCGACGAGACCGGCGCGGAGGGCGGAGTGTCCTTCGCAGCGGGTTGAGCGGGCGTGCGAGCCGATGTGGAGGTGCCAGAAGGTCCGGCGACAGCGTTTGCGTCCGTTATCGGTGCGACGCGCGCCTGCCTTTCCTCTCCCGTGTGCGTCCGCTTGACACCCCGCATCGCCTTGTCGACCTGCTCGCCGTAGCCAGCGTTGACAAAGTTCTGCACGATCTGCTCGACGAGCGCCTTGTTCTGCTGCTCGTCGTAGGCGTGGGGCATCATGAAGGGCGCGAGAGCCATCGGAAGGATTGGTCCGAGTGGAGAAGCCGTCTTGGCGGCAGCGAGAGCGGCGGGCGAAGTCGCGTGGAGGATAACCTCAGTCGTCGTCTGCGTGGCGACTGCTGCAGCCGCGTCGACCTTGCGCTTCTTGTGCTTGCGGTCGCTGGTCGCGTTTTGCGTCTTCGCGCGGTTCGCCGCAGGGGCGGCGCGCGAAGGACCGGCCTCGCTCGGAGCAGGTGACTCGGCACGCTTGCGCTTCTTCGATGCGGCGGAGGCAGCGGGCGTAGCAGCCTTCTTGACAGGTGAAGCAGGAGGCGGCTGCGAAGACGAGTCAGTCGAGTCGCCATTGTGAAGAAACCGGGCAGACGAACCGCCGCGACTGCTTTTCCCTTGCCCTTGTCCTTCTTCTTCACCGGTGGCTCCGCCTGCTCGGCCTGCTGGCTCTCCTCCGCCTCCTTGCTCTTCTTCTCCTCCGCCTTCTTCGCCTTCTTCTTCTCCTTGCGCTCCTTCCTCTTGCGCTCCTTCTCGGCGGGGTCGACTTCGCTAGCCGCCTGCGACGCCGCCGGTTCAGGCTGCGCGGGCTCGGGCGCAGGAGCGGCCTTTTCAGCCTTCTCCGCCTTCTTCTGCTTGCGACGAGCCTTCTTCGACTCGATCTCGATTGCGGGAGAGGAAATGTGGGCGGGGACAGGATCGCGGGCGGGAGTGGCTGGCGGCGCCTTCGTGGTTGACTTGGCGGGAATGACGACGGCGACAGAGGACGGCGCCTTCTTGGACGGCTTGGCGGCAGGCTAGGGGGGCATGCGAGTGTCAGTAAGCTTGCTCAGGGTCGATAGACTGGCAGGTTCGACGCACCGTTTCGGGCGCGACGGCCTTCTCCTTCTCCTTGCCCTTGCTTTTCGCCTTCTTCTTCGGCGGCTCGTCGTCGTCGGATAGCTCTGCGTCGACGTCGACCGTACGCGGCGCGACTAGCTTCTTCTTCTTGCTCTTCTCCTTCTTGCCCTCCTTCTCCTCCTCCTTGCCCTCGTCTTTCGGCTTCTTGCCAGCCTTCTCCATGCTCGTGCTTGCGTCCGCTTTGAGTGGCTTAGGAGCAGCTGCCGGGGCGGGCGCAGGTGCGGGTGCCGCCGCCCCTCCCGTGAATGCCGCCATCTTCTTTCTCAGCATTTCCCTCGCCCAGTCCTGCTCGTCCTGCGCGAGCGGCTTCGCAACAGTCTTCTTCTTCGGACTCTTGGGCGGCTTCGGCTTCGGCTTCGGCTGGGACGATGCGGCGAGGTCTTGCAGGGCGGCTGCCGCGGCGGTCGATGCGGCGCGAGTCGAGCTTGGCCGGGTGGATTTGCCGGCAGGTGCGCGTGCCATGGCTGGTCGACTTCGCCGAGTAGAGTGTAGTGCGGGCAAAGTCAGTCGATGTCAAGCTCTGTGAGACGCGCACAATCGAGACAGGAGCGGAATAGCGCATATCAGTCCCAAGAACATCGCGCACAGCTCGGACGGATTCATGCGCACCTGGAAAGATCCCGCGATAGTCCTACCGTACTTTGTACGCGCGTAACGCTCCCACCCAAGCGATCTGCGAGCCTTGCGAAGCGAGTTGAGGCAAAGAGGGAGACGTCGCGAGATGCAAGCGGCAGAAGCGCAGGCGGGTTCGTCGAGTCGATAAGCCTGTCGAGACAGTGCAGTAGATGCACTGGCGAGTCTTGAAGCGCGCTCACACGCTGTGAGCCAGGGTCGTCGTCGCTCAAGATGCGGAGTTGCTCGAACTCGCCCATCAACTGTTCTCGCGCCCGCTCAGAATGGCGCCGCCACGCTCTACAGCTGCTCAGAAGCTCAAGAAGCAGCAGGAGGACGCGGACTTGCTCCCGTCAGACGAGGAGGACTCGGACTTTCGCCTCACGGATGGCGCAGACGATGGCGGCTCTGGCTCGGACAGTGACAGCGACGACGAGGGTGCGAAGCGGGGCAGGAAACGGACGAAGCAGGAGCAGGGCCAGCCCGAACAGAATCAGCCTGTGTGCGTCTCGCTCTTCTCGACCTTTCGCCTGGAGTTGTTCGGAGGCGATTCTCACGCTGACACTTGCTCTTGAGCATGTCAGGATCGATAAGGTAGCCGTTGACGACCTTTGGGCCCAGTTCAACGACCCGTCCTACGTGGACCCCTACGCTGCGCCCGCCGCCTCGACTTCTTCCGCCCCTCCTCCCTCTGCTACCGCTGCGTCTAAAGCTTCTCCGGCTGTGTCGAAGGCGGCGAACGGCAAAGGAAAGGGCAAGCAAGAGGAAGAACTCGTCAAGATCGTCGTCGAGTACGAGTTTGCAGGAGAAAAGGTCGCGTGAGTTGGTTGCTTTCGCTTGCTGCTCGGATCGAGTCTATCCAAGGGGAGAGCCGTGACTAACAAGAAGTTGCCTTGTCACATAGCCAGGAGAAGATGGTCCCTCGCTCGTCTGCCGAAGCGCAGGCCTACTTCGCACGCAATCCTTCCGCCTCCTCCTCGACCTCTACCTCGCAGCCCTCTGCATCCGCCTCGGCTCCTTCAGATCCGACGTCCTCTTCCCTCGACGCTCTCTTCGGACCCGACACGTCTACCTCCGCCACGCCTGACGCCCCTTCTGCCTCGGCATCTCCAGCACCCCCAGCTCCGTCGAAAACTACGCCTCCCACAGGCGGCGCGCCGAAACGAAAGAAGGCGGGTGGACTCGCAGGCGTTGCGGCGTCGCTTGGAGTGGGGAAACCGGCCAAGCTGAACACGCTCGAGAAGAGCAAGCTGGATTGGAACTCGTGAGTCCGGCTCGCGTTCGTCCTCTTTTTGCGAAAAACTCCGCATAGGCTTGCCCTGTACCTTGAGCGTCGTCGCTCGCAGCACTCGCTGCACTTCCTCTGCTAGGACGCAGATAGCGGAGGGACCGGCTGACTTTCGATTACGCTCTCGCAGCTTCGTCTCCACCCAAACCGGCCTCGAAGACACGCTCGCGCACGCCCGCAAGGACGGCTACCTCGAGAAGCGCGACTTCCTCGACCGCGTTGATGCCAGGAAGGAGGAAGGCTGGGAGAAGGCGAGGGGTGAGGCCCGGAGGAGGGGAGGAGGCGCAGGCGGAAGCGGGCTTTGAGCTGATGCGCTTAGGAGGTAGTTACACTTGCATTTCAGCATACTTTGCATCTCTGCCTGCCGGGTGAGCCTGTACCATCCGCGAGAGAACGAGAGACCGCTGCTTCCTCATCCGTTTCCACACGCTCGCACGCCGGTTCTGCTGCTTTGAAACGCTTCCACAGCTACCATGGCACTCCGTCGTCCGCCCACAGCCGTCTCCCTCCAGCCTTCAGACGTAGCCGACCTCCGCGCCTTCATCAGCCAGCGGGACGCGTCCACCACCAAGGGGAAGGGTGGGGACGAGGTCGTCGAGCGGGAAAAGCGGGAACGGGAGGAGAGGGAGAAGAAGGGTACCAAGGCGCGCGTTGTTGGCGGTGGGCAGGCGTGAGGATCGCTCGTTGCGAGGAGGGGGCGGAAGGAAGCTGGCATGCTGTGGAAGGCGGTTCTTTGGTTTTGACGGAGCTGCCAGGTGCGCCACGAGTGCCTCCTAATCGGTTAGACCCTTCAGAGCTGCGTGCTGACTTCCTCCACCTCGTCCTCCCGCAGTCCACCTCCTCGAGCAATCATGGCTCCTCTTGCACGAGGCTGCCTATCTGAGCGCGGCAGACACTATCAAGTGTGAGAGTCGACCTACGAGCGACCGTCCTACCTGCCCAAGACCAGTGGGGACCCTCCCCGTACCGCCTCCCCTCCCCTCGCCTCGCTCATACGCGCCAGACTCGCTCGCCAGGATCAGCATTCGTACGAGCGGTCGAACGGAGGACGGGAGAGGCTCGCAGAAAGCAGCAGGAGCAGGCATGCAACCATCTATGGGTGCGTGCCCCTGGGTCTCGCTCGCATTCCTCCCGGACAAAGCTTACTCTTCCCTGCAGGCACAGCGCTCAGAGGTACGCCGACTACAGCACTAGCCCGCAAGCCGCCGGCTACGCCTCTCGACGTCTCGACGAGCAGAAGCCAGCTAGCACGACTCGGATCCTCGCAACAACGGTCTCGTCTTGCCTCCCTCCCTCTCAAGCTGTAGGGCATGGACTGTACGAAGTGCATTGCATGCCAGCCCTCATATCACCCTGCTCGCCAACCTGGACGTCCTGAAGACCAGCAGTTGCCTCCCAACAACACTTCTCGCTGTCCTCTCCCGCGCGCGGTCGCTGGAGGTGGGGCGGCGGTGAGGGTCGATTGGGCGGGGTCCTGTGCCCCGATTGGGAAAGCCATACGGTACCGTTCGAGCAGGACAGGGTCGCGCACGGTCAGGGTAGCGTACGTGAGGTAGGTATGCTGCCAGAACGGGAGCGTCTCGTAACTACCTCTCAAATAATGGGACTGAGTCACATGACTTAGTGCATATATAGCCGGAATTCTGGCCATCCTCTCTTGACTTCCTTTCCATCACTTCTCCCCCTCACCTCATCCCTCCATCCCTTAGCACCTCTAAGGTCTACCTGAGTCTGCAATCGGGTACCAGGGCACGCTAGGAACCGTTTACACATATTCATCGTCCAGAAGTGCGTTGTGAGCGTTGTGTGACTTGGAAGGGAGCCTCCCAACCGAAGCAAGCCTCCTCACCCGTCCTTCCGTAGCGCCGCCTGCATCGAGAGCCAGCATGTCAGTTTACCCCGACGACGTCGTCATGCAAGTCATCAAGCGAGAGAACGTCGAGCCGGTCGAAGTCACCTTTGCCGACGAAGAGCAAATCAAGTCGGAGTGCGTCGACGACTCTTACCGCTCGATGGCGCCGTCGCCCGAGTCCATTCAGGCCCCCAGCGTCGTCGACGACGACCGCTTGAGCCGCTCGACGTCGCACAGGGTCGTCTCGCGTCGCTGCGAGCTCCCTCTCCTCCCCGTCTTCGCCGTTGACGGTCTCAACAGCGGAAACGGTGTGGCCGCCTCTCCTCTTGCCGCCCTCCTCAAGCACATCGAGCATGAAATCGGAAGGGCGAGCACCAGCATTGAGTACTGGCGTGGCGTGAGCGAGAAAGCCGCAGAGAAGGTCAATGAGGAGACGGTCAGGTTCAATGCCTTTGCTGCCCTCGTTAGGGCGGCTAGCGAGCAGCGTATCAAGCGAGAGAAAGAGTATAAGGAGGCCCTGAAGTATGTTGAGGCCCTCGTCGAGCACAGGAACCGCCAGGTTCGGGAAATGGACATTCTCGAGGACGTCCTCGCTCGTCGCCGGGAGGAAGCGGCGCACCGTGAGCTCATCCAGTTTCTCTGGCGTCATGCCATCAGTACTGATCAGTGTGAGCAAGCAGAGAGGTTGGCGAAGCTCGTGACAGGCGAGCCAGTCAAGCGCGAGGATCACGAGGAGCAGAAAGAGCGTGAGCTCACCGCCAAGCTCCTCGACCGCCTCGAGCGCAAACGCGCAATCTTCAAGATCACAAACCAGAGGATCATCAAGCAAGGCCTGCCCGACTACGAGCACGCTCTTTGCAACCTCTGGACCGAACTCAAAAACCAGGTCGCGCTCGCCCACTTGGGTTTGGAGGTCAAGCGGCGTCTCGCCAAGGTTGAACAGAACTATGGCATGGCCCGCGAACACCTCGCGGGCATGGTGCGCTTCAAGGAGGAGCAGCTCGAGAAGGCCAACGCCATCCGCAACTCGATGCGCCCCTTCAACGCCCACTACACCAGCACCTTCGTCCGCGTGCACCTCTAAACGTCGTTTCTCGACGTTTGTGAGGCGTACAAGCCCTCCGTACCCCCTCCCTCCCACTCTAGCCGGACTTTGTCCGAGGAAAAACAGTGTTTCCGCGATTTGAGCCCGTTTGTATAGTGCCCTGCGTCTTCCGAGCGTCCTGTACCATCTTGTACCATCTACTGATAGCCACCTGCGTTCCCTGAGCCTCTGTCTGGCAGCCAGCCGGACACAAGTCCGCAGAAAATATCCTCCCTTCTCCTCCTCTATCCTCCTCCTCATTTTGTGCGCTCCCTCCCCCCGTGTAGTAGCCCTGATGGACTCTGTGTGCAATCCTTCACCTTTCTTGTTCATAGTTGATTGCGGTATGCGTGTGAGGACGAGAGAAAGCGTGAGAAGGTCTAGTGAGAGAAAGCGAGAGAAAGCGTTTCAAAAGCGATAGAGAGAGCTGCTGTGTCCAGTCTGCCCCTCCGCTGCCAACTAACATGCTCCTTCCAAAATTCCATACCATGCGCTCTACGCCCTCTTCCTGCCAAACACGACCCCCATCTCCCACCCAACCTCCAACGCCCCCTCGTTCTCTTCCAACCGCTCCACCCCCTGCCTCCTCAGAGTCTCCAAGAAGACCTTGACACAATCGCGATAAGCCTGCCCAGTCCCTGCGTCCGGCGAGCCGGGCGAGGGACGGTGCGCTTCGTTGTATGCGTGCGCGGAAGACCAGGTCCGTAGGTAGGCTTCTAGTTCCTTGAGGGTCCACTTGCGCGTGAGAAGTACCTCGCGGGTAATGGAGATGCTCAGTGGCGCGTCGGTCGAAGCGGATGAAGCAGGTCGAAGCGAGTAAGTTGCTGAATCACCCGCGGCGGATGGATGCGGAGGGTCGAGTGCGGGAGGGAGGGAGAGGGGAGGTAGTGGGCCATTGGGGCGGAGGAAGAAGGAGCGGTGGAAGGATGTTTGGTCGAAGGAAGGTTCGGAAGAGGGGGAAGGGAAAGGGAAGGGTGTGAGGAGCGCTTCGACGATTGAGCGGCCAGGTTGTTGCCAGTATTTGCCTGCGTGGGAGCGAGTCAGCCTTGGCGGAAGAAAAAGGAGCGCAGGGAGAAGATGGGGAAGAGGCGCACGTACCGAGTGTCCCGCTCGAGTAGGTCGTGATGAGCGGGTTCAGCGACGGCTGCTTCTGGAAGAAGAATTCGCCGTAGCCCTGCATGCGTAACGAGGTCAGTCGGGTCCTGACGAACAAGCGAAAGACGCAGCTGGACTCACCCAGAACGCGAACGCCCCGCCCGGCTTCAACACCCGCGCCAGTTCTCGGTACGTCGCCTCGGCATTGAACCAATGCGCCGCTTGTCCCGCGACGGCCAAATCTACGCTCTCGTCCTCGACAATGCCCGCCAGCTTGTCCGACCCGCCCTTCTCGAAGCGCACCTCGACTCCGTCCTTGATCTCTCCCTTTGCGCGCTTCTCCTCCAGAATCCTGCGCGCAGCCGAGACCATGTTGTCTGACGGGTCGATGCCGACGATGCGTTCGAAGCGGTCGAGGTCGAGCCAGTCAAAGGTCGAGACGCCTGGCCCGCATCCGAGGTCAAGCAGGGTGCGCGGTCGTTGCCTCAAGGCGGGCGAAGAGGACTGATCGAGATAGGCGAGGACATGGTCGAAGAGCGCGCGCGGATACGAGCTGCGAAACGAAGAGCGAGTCCGAGGTGAGCGGGCGCAGCGCGGCGAGGGCGACGCGGCGGACGCACGGTCTTGCCTGCGCATACTTGGCTGCGTCGAACGAAGCCTTTGCGAAGGTGGCCATGGCAGCAGAGTGGTGTCAAGAGGAAGAGGTGTTGTCCTGAGGCTATCGATGATGGCATCCTCGCTCGCTCACACTGCGTCGTGGTGCAGTCGGAGCAGGTGTACCTGTACTATCAAAGTGTGACTAGAATTATGCAGTACTCGACTGGATTACCCGCGGTGACCGGCTACTCGACCTCCTCCGGACTGCTCGTCTTCACTCACTCTGCTCGCACTCGCACTCTCGCTGGAAACGATGCTGCGGACACTCGCACGCACTCACACACAACGCTCACTCGCACGCTGCTCGTCGTCGTCCGCACCGCGCACCGCACCCGTCCTCGCTCACCAACCCCCGCATGCTGCCGACCCGCTTCCCTCGCCCTCTCACGCGCCCGACCAAGCACAACTGAAGCCACAGCCATTCATCCTGCGACCACTGTCCCGAAGGTACCAGCTCGAGACGGTGTCGACCACCGCTCACGCTCCTTCGACATGCACAACCCTGCACTTCGTCTCGCCCCACGCGCCCTCTCAGCCTCGCACAGTCTCCCTCCCGAACCTCTTCCTCCGAGACGCCAGCATCCACCCGGACCACGTCCACCCCTCGTCGCAGCAAAAGCTCTTCCGCACGACCGACGTCCCGCTCGAGGGGAAACTCGTCGGATACGGCGTACACGATGTCCCAGGCCACGGCGAGTGTCTCGTCACGGAGTGGAGTACCCCTGTGCGCGGCGTGAGCGCCAAGAGCGCGAAGCTGAGCGTTGTGCCGATCGAGCTCCTTGCGGGAATCATGAAAGGTGATGCGGAACACTCGGAGCGGGATGGCGAGGTACCCGCTGCGCGACCGTGGGACAAGCAGCAGCTCGAGAAGACGATCCAGTGGACCGACTACGAGGCGTTCAAGAAGGACGACCAGGCGCTCCTCCAGACGCTCGACTCGCTCATCCGCGACGGGATCGTCTTCCTCCGCAACGTCCCGACAGATGCGAAGGAGGGGCACCATACTGAGCTGCGCAACCTTGTCGAGCGGATTGGGAGTTTGAGAAGGACGTGGTACGGCGACTTGTGGGACGTCAAGGCTGTCGAGGGAAGCCTCAACATCGCCTACACGAACCTCGACCTCGGCCTGCACATGGACCTCACGTGCGCCTGGGCCTTCTCCTCTTCATCAACCTCTCGCGCTGACGAGTCTTCACGCACAGCCACTTCGACAATCCCCCTCGCTACCAATTCCTCCACTCCCTTCAGAACACGCACATCCGCGGCGGCCTCTCCTACTTTGTCGACACCTACGCGCTCGCTTCTCACCTCTCCACCCACTCGCCCTCCTCCTTCCAAACCCTCTGCGCCGAACCAGTCCGATTCGAATACAAGAACGGTCCGCACCATACAAAGTTTGTCCGACCGACGTTCGAGTTGAGGCAGGGCTCGACGCATGCGTTGCATGCGGTCAACTATTCGCCGCCGTTCCAAGGGCCTCTGCCGCTCGAGCGCCTCGCGAACACGAAAGACGGATCGGGACGCGAATCAGACGACGCAGACCGACTGGCCGACTTGCATTCCGCGCTGTCGGAGTTTGCGAGCTTGTGCGACGATGCAGGAGGGAAGTGGAGGTTTGAACACCAGCTTGAGCCGGGCGAGTGTGTCGTGTTTGATAACAGGCGGGTGTTGCATGCTCGGACGGCGTTCGAGTTCCTTGAGGGCAAGGAAGGGGGAGAGGGAGGGAGGTGGTTGAAGGGCGCGTATATGGACGGGGACGAGGTGCTCAGTAAGTGGAGGGTGTTGAAGGCGAAGCAGCACGAGGATGTCGCGAAGAAGGGGAGGACGTTGTTCACCTGAGGGCGCGGGTCTCCTTCGTGCGTTGGTCGCATTGTTTCCATTGTTGTCCTTTTGTCTTCGTCGTCGTTTCTCGGGATGTGTCACTCCCCTAGCAAGTCCTGTCTCCCCTCGTCCTGCATTGATACCCAGGTCGCTCTTTTCTCCTCCTCACCAGTCGAGAGCGCATTATACCTAGCTAGCGATACATATACAAACACTCCTACTACAACACAACACGAGCACAAACGAACCCTCCCCACCGCCTCGCCGGCCTCAGCCAAGCAACTCACTAACGCTCATCTTGCCCACCATCTTGACACTCGTACTTCCCCTCCTTTCCCTGATCGCTGCCCTTCCTCGCGCCTTACCGACACCGGCTGAAGGAGCGGGCTGCGACGCTGCGAGTTGGAGGTGAGGAGGGAGCAGGGGGTCGTCGTCGGCCCATGTGACGGAGGTTGTTGGGGCTGCAACGGCGAGCGAGTGCGAGAGCGGTGCGTGCGAGTCGGAGGAGGAGACGACCACTCGAGGAGCAGGCGGAGCTGGGACGGCAGAGGAGGCGGAGACGGCGTCGGCCATCTGAGGTCGGCTCACGCGCGCCCGTTGCGGTGCGAGCCCAGATGAGGGGACGGCGGAGTCGGTCGATGCGGGACGGTACGTTTCGAGTTCGGTTTCGAGCGAGGCGACGCGTTGCTGGACTGAGGCGAGTTGCGAGAGAGTCGCGAGGTGTTTCTGTGACAACGACACCAGATGCGGAGCTGCTGAGCGCTATCTTCCGACAGAGGCAACGAATCGCGCCGCTCGAAGGTGTCAAACTCACCTTCCTACTCTCGACCAACTCCTCCCGCAACGCCGCAACATGCCGAATCTTCTGATCCTTGTTGCCGTGTCCGACGAGCTCCGAGTTCTGCGCGATGAGCTGCTGAGCCTCGGCCTCGTTCGCGGCGTTGAGTCGCGCGAGGTGGTCGATTGTTTGGCGGAGGGAGGTCGTTTCGGCGATGAGAGGGCGGAGGGAGGTCACGTCGGCGGACAGGCTATGCGTTCATCAGCATCTTCCACTGGAACAAAAGGTAACCGAGGAAGTCGTCGCCAACGCACATCTCGACCTCCTCCTTGAGCGCCGTCTCGCTCGCCCTCGTCTGCGCAAGCAACCCGACAACCCTCCGCTTCTCGGTCCGCTCCCTCTCAACCTCCTTCCTCGCGTCCGCGAGATGCCGCTTCTGCTCCTCGATCTCGCCTTCCAGCCGTTCAGTCTCGTCTGCGAGGCGTTGCTCGAGGTCGGCGAGGGCGGACGAGAGGTCCGAGACTTGTTCTTCGGCGGTCGAGAGGGAGGACTTGGTGTCGGCGAGAGCGTCTTCGGTGGATGAGAGCTGGGTTTCGAGGCGGGGGATGTCGGTGTTGACGGCGTGGTCGAGCCTGTAGAGGACGAAGTTACCTGCGTTAGCGCGCGCTGTCGCCATCGAGCCCGCTCCTCTCTCTTTTGACGAGTAAGAGCGGACGGGCACAGCGTGCAGCAGCGACTCACTCCTTCTCGAGGTCCGACAACTCCTTCTTGAGCGCCCGCTTCTCCTCGTCCCATCGCTTCTCCCGTCCCTTCATCCACAACCGCGCCTCCTCGTCCCATTCCACACGCCAATACTTCTCCTCCTCGGCCGATGCAATCTCATCCCGCAAGCCCGAGGCGTCCCTCAGATCCGCCCTCGCCCGCTGCCGCCACTCCTTCTCGTTCCGCTCGGGCCCGACCATCAACTCCCGCTCGTCGCGCCACAAGTCCCGAATCCTCCATCGCTGCCACTCTGCCTCCTCGCGCGACTCCTCAGCGACCTTGACGCGCTCTTCGAGACCCGCCGCATAAGCAGCAAGACTCTCGACCTGCGCAATCCGGTCCTCGACCTGTCTTCGAAGCTTGACCTCCCTCATACGCGCCTCGTACAGCTCGCCCTGTCGAGCAACGCGCGCTTCCACACGCGCAGAGAGGACTGCCTCGCCAGCCGCAGTCGCCTGCTCCGCCCGTCCCTGCTTCTCCCGCTCAAGAGCCGCGTCAACGGACCCCTTGTCCCGCTTCAGAACGGCGTATCGTCCGCGCTCGACGAAGAGGTTCTTCTCGACTTCTTCGAGACGACCGCGGAGGGTGGCGATTTCGCTGTCTTTGCGTTGGGAAGAGGCGGTGTGCTGGGCGGTGAGGGACTCGAGTTTTGATTGGAGCGAAGGGAGGGATTGTTGATGTTTCTCGAGGAGGGTAGTCGTCTTGGCGAGCTTTGAGGTGAGATGTCCTGCGGTAGAGCCTGTCAGCTTGCCCGGAGCGAAGGGGCGAAAGGAAAGCTGGACGCACGAACTTCGCTCTTCAGTCCGTCTTTCTCCTTGCCCAGCTCCTCCCGCTCTTTCTTCAGCTCCTCTGTCCTCTTCGTCAGCTTGTCGACCTTGGCCTGCGCTTTCGACACCTCCTTCTCATGCGAAGCGGATAACCGGGCCCGCAGGTCTTCGAGCTGTGGAAGCCTTCGGTCAGCTCAGCGCTCAGAGCGTTGCATCTCCATCGACCAGGACAACGTACCTCACGCTTGTGTCGTTCCCTCTCGGCGTGAAGAGCGGCAGAGCTGGTCGTGCCGGCTGCGCGAGACTTTGGTCGGGCATTCTCCTTGTCCCCCGCTGTGCCGTCCGGGTTGTACAGTCCGAAAGTGTCTGATCAAAGGACCAAGTGTCAGCCTCATTCGGCTTGTACGAGCGAGAGGATGAGACGAACCCGGTTTGTTGACATCCCGCTCGCCCATCGCAAAGCGGTCCCCCTTCTCGAGCATGCCCGCCTTCTTGTACGAAGGATCTGGGAGAGCAATGGGTACGTCGTATGCGCCCGGTGGAGGGATGGTGTCGGGTGCTGTTTGCGATGTTGAGCGACGGGGAGGACGTCAACGGGGTCAGTTTGTGCGCTCGCAGGGACGAGCCGGGTTGGACGTACGCTTGTCTACAAATCGCTTGGCTTTCGGAAACTGCATGTCTAGCGGAAAGCGTGGAAGCTGAGCGAGTCGTCGAGGACAACAACCGAGATGAAGAGGGTTGGGCTTCTGGACAAAGCTCACCTCGCTGGGCAGACCTGAACAGCTTGAGAGTTCGCTCCGATACTGCTTTGAATACGACTGGGCCCGCCGACGACACGCGCGAAGCCCTTCTCCCGCCTGCCCGCCGACTCTCGCCTCCTCATCTCCGCATGCCTACAACACTCGGCGCACTCACGCCATGGTTGCACCGAGAGTTCCTGTCGCAACGCAATGCATACGGTGACAGCTTGCCGACAACATCGGTCGAGGAAGGGAAGCGGGTGCAGCTCATCCGGGTGCGTTGGGCGTTCTGCCCTGTCGAAATCCCGCTTCAGAGCTGATGAGGGTTCGCCACTGGCTTATAGGCGACTGGCATGACTGAGGAGGATGGCGAGACCCTCGTCTGGGCCGAGATGAGCGACGGCGAGCTCTGGATCGACTGCTGCATCCCGCTCTCGCTCGCCGAGCAGTACAACAGGTGCGCGGCAGCCTTCCCCCTCAGCTTGTTCCTCAGTTACATCCAGACGCTCGCTGATACTTCGCGGCCCGCCGCTTACAGCAAATCGGCCAGAACCTTCGCCGCCTCTTCTCAGTCGAAATGCATCTTCCGCCTGCTCTCATGGTGTTTCGTGATCGCCTCGCCTCTCATTCCCTCACACGGTCAGCATTCTCCTCGCAAATCGTCCACTCTCGCGACTTCCTCGACCGCGACACCACGAACTCAAGCCCCGCGAGTCTGCCTCCGCATCGACAGCTTTAAACACTTCGGCATGGGCGAAGGCACGATGCAAGCCGATTGCAAACCGTTCAGGAACTTCACGCCTGATGTGGGGCGCGTGCGAGGGGAAGGAAAGGAGGATATCGCGAAGCGGGAGCGGGAGAAGCGGGAACAGGAGAGGGTTGCTTGGGTTCGCAGACTGGAAGAGCGGGCGCGAGGGTCGGGCGAGGGACAGCCGAAGGACGATGCGCTAGCTGTCCCGGCAGAGCAGGTAACCTTTGTGGACGATGTACGTCTGAACCGTCGTCCCCTCCGCCGCTTGAAGCTGACCCCTCCCGCCTCAGCTTCCTCGACCTTCGACAGCGGCGAGTGAACCTCGCAGAACCACTCAACAATCACCTGTCGCAGCTGTTCACCCGCATGCCGCTCCTCCTGCAGCGCCTGCCGCACGTCCCGGCTGGCCGGCCGACAAGGACGCACTGCTACCTCGAATCGATTTTGGCGAAGTCGAGGCGCTGCTGAACCGCTACAAGCGAAAGCAGGGAGCTCAGCATGAGGCGCCGGTCGCAAAGGACAAGGGGAAAGGAAAGGCGAAGGCGGTCGAGCCGGAGCCTGCACACGCTCACCCTGCGGCCCGGGCCATGCCTGCGGATCCGACCATTGGCGACGATGGCGGCTGGACCTCAGCTTCGGCTCTCCTAACGCGCAAGAGACCCAGGGCGTCGTCTGCTTCGATGTCTGCGGCGCCTCGACCACTCGCTCCATCTGCTGCTGCCACAGCGAATCCTCCTCGTCCATCGCCTCCCCAACCTGCTCCGCCTCTCTCGGCCAGTCCCTCGCGTCGACGAAGAGATGCAAGTCAGCCGGCCGCTGTGCGCTCGCCAGCTGCTGGCCGTCCTTCGCAGCCTTCCGATTCGCCTCGCTCGAAGAAGGATGACGTCACAGCACGACAGGAGAAGGAGCTCGTGGAGATGGCAATCGATACGGTGGAGGAGAAAGCGGTGATGGACGAGGATCTCGAGGAAGACGTTACCGGCGCTCAAGCGATCCCGAAGGTCGACAAGGGGAAGAAGCGGGCGTCGCCGTCGCCCTCGCCAGCTCCCTCTCCCTCACCTTCGCCCTCGCCACATTCAGTACGCCACGACGATGTTGTCGAGCTAGCAGCCCCTTCTCCCAAGCGACGGCGGTCCTCCCACTCCGACTCGAACCCTCCGCCTCGCTTCGTCCCCGTCATCCCCCTCGACATCTTGGACTACACGCTGTGGTGCAGCATGAGGGGACTCGTAGCGTGACCTTATTGACTTGCATTTCGTTCGAGCAGCGCCGCGCTTGACCACGCCTCTGCGGAGTGTCCGCGGATCAGCCGGCGCAGACTTGCTGGACGAGGGCTGCGCTTGGCTCTATCCTTCTCGCTTGTCCTGCGCTGCTCGCTATGCTTTCTGCGTTTCTACTGAGATCTTCATGACACCGCACGCCGGACCGAGGAGCTCGAGGCGACTTCGCGCTTTAGTCCAGTATCGTTCGCTGGACAAGCGACCAGGACGAGTGCGTCTTTCCTTTCCCCATCCAGCCCATGCTGACATTCAGTCAAGCTGCAGAGTCCTCCCAGCGACAGCGAGAGCGAGACAAGCGATTCTGGCGACGACATAGACGATCCACCACCTTCACCTCCCGCGACGAACGCCTGTTACCCTCTTCTCCTTCGTGCGTGTACTTCAGCTGCGTAGTCACTGGGAAAAGACGCTGACAACGTATGCAGTCATCGGTGTGCTGCTTGTCGCGCTTGCAGCAGGCGCTTTCGTCCTCTTTCTCTACAAGCGGGACAACAGTGCCGCTTCGAGCGTTCCCACCTCTCCTACGACCCTCACACAGACTACGACGACGCCGGCTTCGACTGTACTGGTCGCTGCGACACGTTCGCCCTTTACGCCCTCTGCTCTTTCCCCTTCTCCCTCTGCTCTTTCCCCTTCTCTCTCTGCCACGACTCCCTCCACCCCTCCCACTACTTCAACGCCTTCTGCGACAGCCGCCACCTCGGCCTCGACGTCGTCGAGCGTCGACCAGTCGAAGCTGAAGGCGCTCGGCATTTCGACTTTCCTGGGTAACCTCACGGGAGCAATTGCGAGTTGGTACCATACGGACTCGACGACAGACTCGACGAATGGTGAGCTTTCACACCTGACTTCCAGCGTTTTCTGCTGACCAGCAGAATGCTCAGGCCGGTCGTGGTGCGAGCTACCTTGTACGTCGTCCCTCTGCTTCGCTTCTTCCCTTCGCAATGCTCATCTGCTCCGCACAGACGACGACTCAGTACCTGGCTTCGCGCCCTCGCTCAAGACAATGCTCTCGTCGTTCAACGGCGACGCAACAGCGGCCAAGAAGGGCTTCTGTGGGCTGAAGGCGACCGTCTATTGCCCAAGACTGGGAGACTGATCCCGATGATCATCGCCGACGCCTTTGACGACAAGTGGGTGCGGACGCCGAATTCGATAGACGTGATCTATGGCTCGGTGCGTCCGCAGCTTTCGAAACTCGCTTCGTCCCCATGTCGCAATGCTGTCGCTGCTGACTCTCTTTCGCAGTTCGCCGAGCTCTTCGGAAGCGCAACAGACAACAAGGACGACGTGGTCAAGGACGTCTGGTGGATGCTGACTGGCGAGCGGGACGACAAGTTCGTTCTTCACCTCTTGCGGTCAACCATCTTCTCACGCTCTCGGATTCTGGCAGGTTCACCTACAAGGGCGTCGGTGTTGGATGACCTCATTGTAGCCTCTACTGCCACTGGTACCACCTCAACTTCGTCGCATCCTCGTGTCTCGTCACCCGCACACCCTGCATCCCAAGCGCAAGACATCGCGCCAGCGTCTCGAGCGTGTCTCCCTCCGACCTGTTGGTGCCGAAGACTGGTCGCCAGACGAGACCCCGCCCGCTGCCACGACAAGGCAGAAGCATGCGGACTTCTCGCAGCTTGAGGTCGACGCGCAAGTCGTCCGCCACGATCCCGCTCAGCCGTGCCGCCTCGCTCGTTTTATCCGACTGCGCTCCTGCGCTTGCCTGTACAATCCACCCTCTCCTCCTGCCCAGCTGGATGAGCAAATCCTCGACCCTCGCTCGCGGCTGCATCATCCCGAACAGATCCTGCCTCACATCGCTCGGTATCCGTAGCGCATCGTCTTCGTTCGTAAAGAGCAGAGTAGACGCTGAGAGTTTGTAGCTTGAACGGGCGAGGGCGACGATGAAGAGGTCGAAGACGGCGAGTTCGCGAGTGCGCGAGGAGAGGAGGGTGTCCGTCCCGCTTTGTCCCGGGTCTGGGTTGTACGAGGGTGGCGCTGTCTCGACGTCCTCTGCGTGACCAGCGCACTCCTCTGCCCGCCCGAGCGGATCGGTCGAAGGAGGCGGCGCCCCTCTCCTGCTCGACGCCATCCGCTGTACCTCCTCAACCCAAATCCCATACGCCTGCTCGCGCGCGAGACTCGTCGCATGCAAGAAGAGCGTTCGGGAGGCAGGTCGGAGCGCAAAGATGAGGTCGGAGAGGGAGAGGTCGCTGAGGATGCGGAGGAGGAGATGTGAGGGAAGCGACTCGAAGAGGGAGCGTGGGGCGCAGGCAGGAGGGAAAGCGGAGTATGCGGGTGGTGGGGCAGGTGTTTGCATGGCGCACGACGGCGGCGATGCGGGGTGAGCGGCAAGAGGCGAGGTCAAGAGGCGAAGGAGGGAGGACGGCTCTTGCAGGCTTGTGACGGGCTGCTTGCGGGTCCTTGTGCTTCGTATCGACGCAGAGACGCTCAATCGGCCCAGAGACAGGCAAAGACGGCGGAGAAACTGCTTTTCTTTGATTTCAACGGCACGAATTGATGGCACTCTTTCTTTTTCTCCTTGTCCGCTGCGTCTACTTGAGCGTGCAGACGACAGCCTCCTTCGAGAAGAGACCCGTAAGGAGGAGCTTGTTCTGGTACGGCGCGCAGGTGGTCGAGGCAGAGACTTTGCGGCCGTCGTCGGCGAAGATCAGTTCCGAGGTGTACTTCTTGCCGAGGCTGCATATCCAGCACAATCAGCAGCCGCACTTTGAGGGAAAGGAGAGCGGCGACGAACAACTGAGCGTCGCTCGTCTCATTCTTGATGCGGAAGCACTCGGTCGCGACCGTCTTGCCCGACAATCCCGCGTCCTTGCCGGCCTCGGTAAAGTCAAAGATCTTGGTCAGCGCCGTAGCGTACATCGCGCCGTCGTGGCCGACGTGGATGTTGTCGAAGTGGCGGTTGATCTGCGGGCGGGGAAGGTCAGAATGGAAGCTGAATTGCTGGCAGATGAACGCACCTTGATCACGTCAAGGGGAATGAGCGTGTGGTCGCTCTGGGCCTCCCAGACGCGCACAAGACCTTCGAGCGTCGATGCCTGGTAGAGGAGGTTTCCGGGTCCCTTGGCGATTCCTGCGGAGGGCACCTTCCTCAGCTTCGTCCGAGCGTCTCGAGCGACGCGCAACTTACCATTCGGGTAAGTAACCTTGTCAGCAGCGACAATGCAGTCGGGCGTGGCACGCGAGGCGTCGCAGTAGATGATGTCGCTCGCAACCGAGGCATACTTTTCGTACTTGCGGGTCTGCGAGTGCAAGAACGGTCAGAGAGAGCGGCTCGACTTTGTCGGATACGGAAGCTAGCGCACCCAGTGAGTCTTGTACCGGTGGTCGTTGCTCATGTAGAAAGTGCGCGGGCCGGTCGCAGCGACTGCGTTTTAGCGAGCGAGTCGTGTCAGTAATCGCTCCGAGAAGCCGAACTGTTGACGCACTATTGTTGGGCGTGCGAATGAGCTTGTGCTTGACCGTCTTGACATGGCGCGCCTCGTCCGTGCCGACAAGAGTCTCGAAGATTTCGATAACCGAGTCCGCGCCCTGCGTCGGCGCAAGCGAGCGGTCCTTCGGCGGGCGGTGCGAGTTGATAAAGATGGTGAGGTGGTTCGGGTCGGACGGGGAGCGCCAGATGTCGATTCCGTGAACCCAGATGCCGTTTGCCTCGGCGGGGAGACCGACGAGTTTGACGCGCTTGTGCGAGCGAGAGGCCAGGTCGAAGACGGCGATGTAGTCGGTGCTGACTTGCGGCAACTGGGTCGCATTCAGGTGGAGAGTAGCAGGGACCCAGTGAACGCGGACTTCGCGACTCGAGCAGACCCTGGGAAGCGAAGGGAGTCAGTCTGCGTCTCGTCGGCGGGACTTGCTTCGCACGGAGACTCTCGACTACGGCTCTTCGTCGTCTCGTTCTTCAAAGACGCGCTCGAGGGAGAATACGCACAAATACGCCGTCCCCGACTCCTGGTCAACCCAGGCCGCATCCTCGCACGCCTCGAGGCCTGCCGTCTTACAAAGTCAGCTCAATCCTCATCACTCGACTCGCAGCGCACGTACCTGGCACGGGGAAGCAGTTCTCGTTGTTGAAGCCCTTGACGGTGCGGGTCACGCCTGCTCGCTCGAGGCGGGGCTGGAGGAGGGATAAGAGGCCTGCGGCTGCGCCGAGGGTGAGCAGTCCGACACGGCGGAGTGTGAGCACTGGCATCGTCGTGTGTTTGGTGTACTGGGACGAGGAGAACAAGGGCGACGTCGACTTTGCGGGGACGAATGGCTGCGGCGGACAAGTGGGGGCGACGGCAACGAACCGGCCGGCGACCAAAGGATGCTGCGATGGCACAGGCAGATGCTGAGGGGCTATACGAACGCAGACGAGCGAGAACGGAGAGGGTATCGACGCGAGAGAGCGGGAGAGGAGGGACGACAAAAAAAGGGGTATCCAAGCGAATGAGAGTCTAGGTTGTTGTAGCTGTGGCAGAGTCCGAGAGATTGTCTGTGTGTGGTAACGCCGGTGTCGCTAGCGAGCAGCGCGGTCGGTGCCGAGGAGGAGCTGCTCGAACAGGCCTGTCGCAGACTGTTCCGTCCGGAGCTGCGCGCACGGACGAGCGTTAGAGAGAAATAACTTGATCAAGGATGAAGCGCGCGCACCTGCAACATGTAGATGATACCCGTGCGCTGGCCTTGGTCGCTCAGGTCGACCGCGACACCCGTCTTCCCAACCCGCTCCACCCCATCCGCCAACACAATCGTCGAGATGATCGTTTTCCCTCCGCCCTTGTCGCTGTCAACAACGAGCTGCTTCGTGTTGCTCGGCATCGACTGGAACAACTTGAGCTTGGCCGTCCCGAGACTCTTCCACTGCGCATGGTGTTGCTGCAAGAACACCTTGCACCGCATGGTCGCCACGACGCTCGTCTTGTCCGGTATGCGAGGCTCGACAGGACTCGTAGGCGGCGAGAAATCGTCTTGTGTCGAGCTGAGTTTGCTGGCAGACCGGGACGAACCGGGCGCCGACGTCGACCGCTCTTCGAGCAACGCCTGGGATGGAGCTCGGTAGTTCGGGCTCGGGTTCGTCGCTCCGCGCAAGGCCTCGCTGCGCAGTCCATCTGCAGAGCGCGAACGGTGCACGGGTCCTTGCGGCGCAGCGAGGTACCCGCCCTGACCCTGCCCAGGCTCGCCTCGCAAGCTCGTCGCATACAGCGGCCCACCGCGCCCGCTAAAGTCCATCCCGTTGAAGCTTCGCTCCTTCGGCATCGGAGGGGGCGGAGCACCCCACCGACCTGAGTTGTCCGTCCGCCCAGACGAGTACGACCCGTTCGACTGGCGCGAGTCCGGGCGGGCCATGGCGGGCGGCGCAGAGTCGCTTTGCGAGCGGGGCATGCTGTGCGGGTAGGTGGGGTAGGCGCCGTTCGCGAGCGGTGGGGCGTACTGCCCAAAGTCGGACTGGGGGAACGGTCCTTGCGGGCCGTACGGCGACTGACGGCCACCACTGCTGTTCGACCCGGGCTGGCGATAGTCGGGCTGGCCGTACGGGTCTCGAGGGTAGGGCGAGAGACTCTGCGGGCCGTTCGCATGGTGAAAGTCGGACGAAGCAGGCGACTGGACCACCTGTCCGTTCGCGTAAGTCGGCGAAGGAGCAGGGTATCCGTGTTGCGTCATGCTGGCGTTTCGTTCGGGTCGAGCGATGGACGGTGCAGGACCGGAGACGGCGCGCCGGGAGGGGTCGAAAGAAGGAGGGACGGGTTGGAGGTGAAGAGGCGGGCGACCAGAGCCAAGAGGGGGAGGGCCAGGGTGCGGGAAGGCAGAGCGTTCGTCGGAACGTGAGCTGGCTGAAAGAGGAGAAGGCGGGACAGGGCTTGCGGGATGTGCGCCGGGCGGGAGGGGCGAGAGAGGTGGTCCAGGCATTGCACCGAAGGACGACGAGAGAGCCGAATTGGGAACGGTCGGCGAGATGGGCGAGTGACCGGCACCGGACGACATCGTCGAGTCCTGGCGAGGCTGAGCAGCGCCGAACCGAGTCGCCTCCTCAATTTCCGCCTTCAGCTCCTTCGCACGCATCTCGTCTCCGCCTTCAACGAGGAACGTCAAGCGCTCCTTGTTCATGATCGTAACCTCGACCTCGCCACGAGTCGAGCCATCGGCGACGCGAAGGTGTTTGCCGGCGAGAGGCGGGTAAAGAAGCCAAAGGTCGGCGCCGCCAGCGAGATGCAGTTCCTCCGGCGCGACGTGCTCGCAGACGAGGAAGAGGTCGGTAAGGATGACGACGAAGGCGCGAGGAATGCGGACTTGGCGTTGCGCGGGATCGGAGGTCGGGACGAACGAGAGGACGGCGTCGTACGCCTTGCGGAGTTGGCGCTGGTAGGCGAGGTTGGGCGGCTGCATTTGGAGCTTGCATTTCTGCGAACATACGTGATCAGCGAGAAGTAGGAGCGAATGCGGAACGGGACGCACCCTCGGCTTCATCGTGAAGATATCCAGCGTGCGCTCCGTGTTGAGGCGGCGCTCGAGCTCGCTCACACGCAGAGGCGGCTCGCGCGAAGGGTTCGGCGAGGGAGCATGGACCGCAGAAGTGTTGGCTGTCGAGACGCCTGTCGCGCCGGACGACCGGAAGCTGCTGCTGTCGAAGCGAAGCAAGATCAGCCTCGTCGAATAGGCTGAATGCTGGAAATTCGAGCGCACCTGCTCGACGGACTCTCCATCCTCGGACTATCGACCGCACTTCGCGGCTGGTCCTCCTTCCGCAACCCATTCGCCGCCGCCGCCGCCAAATCAAGGTTCAGCCTCGGCGGTCCCGCTCGTGCAGGCTGCTCGACTTCGCGTCGCTCGATAGGCGGCGAGGCGAGTCGTTCGACGTCTTCTGCTGGTATCCGCTGCTCCGCTACCGACGGCTGAGCGGGCACTTGCTCCACTCGCGCTTGCTCCTGCTCCTGCGCTCGCTGCTGCCATTCCTCCTCCTCAGACCGCCGCCTCATCACCTCCTCCTTCCCACCAGGCCCAAGCACACTCCTCTTCCTTCCCTCCTCACACATCTCCTCCAACTTGGCCAACTTCTCGTTCGCGCTCACCAGAAGCGCATGGTCGCTTCGTCCTTCTTGCGTGCTGCGCAAAAGTTTGGCGTACAGGCGCTTGTAGTACCGCACGCGATAGTAAGGTAGCTCGAAGAGTCGGTCCATCGTGACGGCTGAAGGAGGAGGGGGGAGTGAAGGAGGCCAAGGGAGGGAAGCGAGGATAGGCGCGAGTTTGGGGTTGGACTGGACGGGGTCGTAGAAGTCAAAGTCGAGGGAGACGGTGGTGGCGTAGCGGGTGTAGGCGGGCTCAATGTCGGAGATCCAGCGCATGAGGAGGTCGCCGAGCGCTTTTGGCGAGGAGGGGTTCGGGCCGATTTCGTTCAGTTTCTGCGGCCGCGAAGAGTCAGCCTTAGACGAGAGAGAGCGCGCGACAAAGGACGAGACGCACCGCAAGGAGGGTCTTGTTGATGCGGTACACCGCCTCGATTGCTCGGAACATGGCGTCGAGCGCAGGAGGCGGGAAGTTGTTCCGCGACCATGCTGCTGCAACGCGCTGTTTTGGCGTCGAGTGTCAGCGCAGAAACGCGCGAAGAGTCCTAACGAACGGAACGCACCTTAATCACCGCGCCCAAGTCCTCGACGTAGGCCGTCTCCGTCGCGATCAGGTCCTCGAGCGGGTTCGCACGCTTCAAGCTGCTCGACGCCGCCAATGCAGCGTTCCCGCTCGCCGTAGACTCAGACGCGACAGCAGCATGTCCTGCCTGCGGAGCCGCTTGTGAAGGGCCGGCACTTGCTCCTGCTGCGATCGCCGCGCCGTTGAAGACTTGTTCGCCGCCTGAAGAGTCGCGCGGGCCAAGAGAGTCGGTGTGGAGTTGCGTCGAGGAGCTGGAGGCGGAAGGCGGAAGAGGAGGAAGGGGCGGTGCGGGACCAGACGAGGGCGCGCCGTGTCCCGGTATGGGTGGCAGGGAGCTTTTGCGAGGGATTCGCGGCGCGTTCGAGTCGTTTGCGCCGGGTTGAGGGAGAGGCGATGCGGATCTCGGTGGAAGGGCGCCGCCTGACGGACCAAGACCGGGCGACAACTGCGGTCGTGGGCGGTTCGCAGCCGAGTATCCGTTCGACATGCCCTGCGTCGGCTGGTAGGACGGGCCTGCCTGCGACGAGCCGGGCGGAGGGGACAAAGGAAGCGGTCCCCGGGCGGACGACGAGGACGCGGACGAATTGGGCGGGTGGAACGCATCGAACGAGTGTGAATCGCTCAAGTCGAGGCTGCCAAAGTGTCCTGCGAGTCCTGCAGGCCCGTACGGCCTCGTTGTCGCGTCCTGTGCGCCTGCTCGCTGTCCATCGCTCGCGAGTCCTGCGCCGTGCGAGTAGCCCGCCTGTGGTGGCCGTGCCGGTGCGAACGCCGAGTAGTCCATCCTGACTGCCGTGCTGACCCGCTGTGCTCCGTCTCAGCCTCCCTGGCGCGGTGCTCGAGCTGGATCGAGGCGAGCGTCTGTTTGCCGAGGAAGCGGAAGTGAGGGAGTGAACAAGCAGCGGTCGGGGCCGTTCGAGCGAGTCGTGCAGTGGCTGCCTGCAGTCTGTTCGCTCTGGCGTCCAGCAGCAAGCGCCAAGCAAGGGTCGAGCGAGCCGGTCGAGCGGTGCGTGCGTTCGACCTTCGCGTTCTCCTGCGACGCGTTCCCCTGTTCGCCTTTCTTCTCGGCGCAGGGACAACGTGCGCTTGCAGCAAACGACGCGCTGCACTCTAGCAGCCCGTCCAATTCGAACGGAACGCGAACGGAAAAGACGACAGCTCGCCTCTGGGCGAGCGAGACGCTCCAGAAAGCCGCGGACGGAGAGCAATGCAGGGATGGCAAAAGGCGTCGAACGAGTATGTGGGTGCGTACGTACAAAGGATGCGAAGATGAATAGAAACGAGCGTGTCCTCCTCCTCCCTCAGTCGACCGTCTTCCTCCGCTCGATCTTGTCGCCCTTCCCCTCTCCCTCGCCCTCATTGTCGCTCCCCTTCCGACTCCCGTCCCGACTGACATTCTTCGGCGTCCCGCCATTCGACGACGAGATCCCAAACACGACGTCCTCCTTCCTCCGTCGCAGGAGCTCCTTGGCGTCGATAAAGACGGTTCCCTGCGGGGCCGGGAGGGAGCCAGACGAGTTGGAGCGCGCGCCTTTGATGGCTGCTGGGGAGGGCGCAGGAGGCGGGGAGAGCGTGCGAGAGGCGGAGCGGACGGGTGCGGGAGACTGGATGGGTGCGGTGAAGAAGGACGAGGGGCGGCCGGCTGATGCCAGGCGAGCCGTACCGGGCGTGGCTGAGCGGGGAGTGGCTCCCGTTGTAGGCGCGGACAGCGAGGCAGGCGGGTTGTGCTTGACGAGCGGCGAGGCATGCAAGTCTTCCCTTAGCGCTCGCTCAACGGGCGTGACGAGGTGCGCGTCGTGCGAACCACTCTGGCTGCTCGTGCGGCGCGTGAACGTCGGGCTCGTCGGCGACGGCGGCGAGACCTTGTTCGGCACGACGGCAGGAGACGGGCTGCCTGTCCTGCTTGCGTTTGACGAGCCACGGCGGCGGCGAGGCGTGAATGTCAGGACGTCTTCCTCGCCTTCTGACGTCTGAGCCGGCGTCCTAAGGCCTTCGGGGTCGGGCGTCGCAGTGACGGAGGGAGGCGTAGGCGATCCGACTGCCTCGTCCAGCTCGACCTGCGGGACGACCGGCGTCGGCGGGACGATGTTGATCGGCTGTGCTGGAGTCCCCGCACGTCCCTTCGGTGTCGCAGCGTCCAGCGGCGAAGCAGCGATGGGCGACAACAACCTTCGCAAGCTGGGCTGGGCAGCTCCCGGCGTTGGCGTGACCTCCGCCTCCCCAGCGCGCTCGAAAGCCTCGACGATCCAGTCTGCATGCATGTCGATCACCTTCTCGGCGGCGGGCAGGAGGCTGACCATTTGGAGGTAGCCGTGGCTCCAGCCGGCGATGATGCTCGTCTGCACCCAGTCGTCCTCGTCTTGGTCGAGAATCGGGTCGCGCGCGGTCGTCGACGACGACATGCGCAAGCCGGCGCCGAAGCGAGATTCGCGCGAGAGAAGCTCGAGCTTGCGGCTCTCCTTCGCTTCGCGCAACTTGCCGGCGAAGAGGACAGTCTGCGCGGCGAAGGCGTCAGCTGCGATGCTGCCACAGGGCGAGTAGCCGGACTGACATCGTCCACGAACGGATCTCGCTCGCCGCAGGAGAGATAGACGGGCGGGAAATGCGCGAGGAGAGCGGGCGGAGTGAAGATGGGCGAGATGTGGTAGTCGGAGTGCAGGTCGGGCGCGTTGCGTGGCCCGATGTAGAGAAGAGCCATGGCGCGGCACTGCGAACGAAGGGTCAGACTCGTAAACGTAACGGAGAGCAGGAATGGCGGCGCACCATTGAGGGCGAGATGATGCGATCTGCGAAAGCCGTCGAAGTCAGCCACAAGCTATGAGAGCGAGGACCTGGACCTCACGCACCATTGAAGAACGCCGTCCGACTCGTCATAGCCAACCTCGTCTCGCTCAACACGCCCTCCTCCCCTCCATCAACCGCCGCAACCTGTTTCCCCTTCTCGCGCACCCCAACCCCCTTCTCCTCCTCCCTCACCTTCTCCCCCAACGCACGCTGCACCTGTTCTCCCCCTCCGAAAGCCTGGTCGTCCCACCAGACCACCCGCTCGCTGAGCGACTTCTCCGTCTCGTCCGTCACCGGTACTTCTTCCTCCTCGTCCCGCGCCGCTTGGTCAACTTGATCGCTCGACGCCGCCTTCTTCGAGCTCGTGAAGTATCCCTCCCTGATCGCCGCGAAACTCGCGCTCCCCGGTAAACCTCTCACCAACCCGCGTCCCCAACTTGTCGTCCTCCGCCGCCTCAACACTTTCGGCCTCCCCCTCTCGCTCCCACTACTCCGCTTCTCCACGTCCTCAACAACCGCAAGCGGAGAACGGTGGTCCAGGTGGTCCTTCTGACGGAGGAGTGAGGCGATGTCGGGATGAGAATCGGAGCGGAGGACGCGAAGGTCTGAGGAGGACATCCAGGAGGTGAAGTGGAAGGAGAGGGCGGCGTAGGCGAAAACGAGGGCAACGGGGAGGGGAGGGATCGGAGTGGTCGAGGAGGAGGATGGGCGAGAGGAGGAGGAGGCGAACTGGCGGTTCTCGAGGATGCGGAGGACGACGCCTGTCGCGATGTTGGCGCCGCTGCGGAGAACGCCATCAGCCTGGTGCTCATGCTTGCTCCACCGCCTTGCAAGGGGAAGCGCAAGCAAATCCAGGACAACGAGGGTCAAACTCACGCCGAATCGCCGGTCAACACGACCCTGAGCTCCTTCTCTCCGCTCGTGTTCATGCCGATGCAGCGACCCTTCGTCGCGTGCAAGAGCGAGTAGGCGTCGTACATCTCGTCGATCGCGTAGGGGAAGGGGTACTCGGGGGCCTGTTGGGACGGCGAGAGTTAGGGTCGGGCCACGCACCTATCTTCCGAGACGCTCGTGCACGCGGGTCAGAGGAAGGCGAGAGCAGCCCGCGACTCACCTTCCCATAATCGAAGCTAACGACCACCTTTCCCGTCTTCCTCGCCCACCTCAACAACCGTTCCTCGTGGTGCTCCGGGTTCATGCAGATGAATCCTCCGCCGGGGATGTCCATGACGAGTTCGTGGGCGGTGGAGAGTGAGGGGCCGTGGTAGTAGAGGTAGACGGTGAGGGGTTTGCTGCGAACGAGAAAGAGCGGGCGTAAGGTCTCACGTCACGCAAAGGCAGAACTCGCCACGACCGCACGGAGCCCCACCAGTGTGCAGTGAGAGAGCCAAAACGCACGTATACCGGCTCCCTTGCGGTCTCGGGAGGAAGAGCTTTCTCCGAACCGTGACAGGCGGGCGGTCCTTGCGCGTAAAGAACCGAATGTACGGGTTCGACGTCTTCTCCCACGTCACGCGGAGCATCTCGACTGTGCAAAAGGCGCGGAATTTGCGCAGCTGTGCAATCCGGCGGATTAACGAGAATCAGCATGCGCATCTCGAGGAGATGGATGGTGAAGTGGGAGGAACGCCGGACGCACCTTCTCGTCTGCTTCGTTGGCTAAGAGCAGGTAGTACGCCGAGAAGAGCAAAGAGGCGATGTCGCGCAGCCATTTCCAGCGGATGTTCATGGCCGTCGCGAAACCGGCGTCGAGAGCGGTGACGAACCAGGTGGCCCTGCGGGCGGGCGGGGAATGGGGTCAGCGCTAGCTGCAGGACCCAGGGAGAGCGCCGCGTGCAACATAGTGCGCCGCAAACTCCCTCATCGCTGTCCGCCGACCCGGCCAACTCGCTCGCTCGCTCGCGTTTGAACGCACCTGTAGTAATCCCTCGAGTACAGCCTCGCAAGCGGCTCAGGCGCCTGCAATCCCAGCAGTACATCGCCATGACGGACGGCGTAGAGGATGGTGAGTGTCGAGAGGATGATTTGCCAGGGAGTGAATCGGGCGAGGAGGCGGTTCAGGCGGCGGAGGTAGAGGACTCGCGGGCCTTTGGCGGGCGAGAGGAGGATGCGGGAGATCCAGAAGAGGAGGACGAGGCCGACCTGTGAGCCCCAAGAGGGTGTGAGCGCGCGGTCAGGCGATGTGGTGCCCGAGATGAGATGAGGAGGCCAGCGGACCTGGGAGCGGCGCCAGGACGGGCTTGGCTTGCCCGCCAGCTGGTCGAGCATGCGTCCGAGTGAGTGTTAGCCAGCGCGAGCAGCTGTGAAGTCTAGCAAGCGAGCAGGAGAGAGCGAGAGAGCGAGCGAGGACGAGGTCGGCGAGATGGACGTGAAAGGCCAACAGCCGGTCAATCTCCGAGCGAGCCAGCGACGAGGCGCCCATCTCGTCATTCGACTCGCTCGCGTGGCAGCGACGACCCGCGCATGCTTCATCGGGCCGAGCAACCGTCGGCAGGATACGCCCTCTCTTCGAGCAGGAGGAACAACTCGAACTGCGTTTGCACCGTACGATACCAACTTCGGTAGGGGAGCTACAATAGCGTAGAATGCTTGTCTGAAATACTTGGGCGCCTTCACAGGTCGATGCTGGGCTCGTCAGCCGCCTTGTGGTCCTCGTCCGCGCCCGGGATCGTGTCGAGCTGCGACCGACCAGACGTTCAACGAGTCAGCATCCAGCCTTGTACAGTGCAAGAGCTGACGAGCGATCCAGTGACGCGAACGCACCTCCTCGAGAACGGCGAGCGACTCCTTGATGCGCGCGAGGATCGTGTCGAGCTGCTCATCCGTGATGACGAGGGGCGGCGCGAGGCGGATGCTGTGGCGAGTGAGAGCGTCGGTCAGTGCGTTGGAGACTTGAAGAGAACGGGGAACGCACATGTTGACGTGGGTAGGCTTGGCGAGGACACCCTTCGACTTCATGACCTGCGAGTGTCGAGGTGGAGCAAAGTCAGTCAGCCTGCGCTCGAGCAACTCCTCCGCAAGACCAACAAGCCCAACCTCGCGCGCACTCACCAAGCACAAATCCCACGCCGACCTCCCCTTCTTGCTCTTCGCCTGATCAATCACAATCGCATTCAACAGTCCCTTTCCACGGACTTCCTTGATCCACCCGCCCTCCGGCCCAACGCCCATCAAGTCGCGCAACCCAGCACGCATCTTCTCGCCGAGCCGTTGGGCGCGAGCGCAGAGGTCTTCCGAGACGATCACTTCGAGGGCGGCTTTGGCGACCGCGCATGCGAGGGGGTTCTGTGCGGGCAATAACCTCACTAGAGATCAGCGCCTGTTCGATGAAGCTCGACCAGCGAGAGAGGGAGAGGAAGCGCAGACGCACACCACCGTACGTCGACCCATGCTCTCCCGGCTTGATCGTCAACAGCACTTCCTTGCGCGACAAGACCGCCGAGACGGGGTAGACACCACCCGAGAGCGCCTTGCCGAGGAGGACCATGTCGGGCTTGACGCGCGGGTTGTGCTGGAAGCAGAGGAGCTTGCCCGTTCGTGCGAGACCCTGCGTGCGTGGCGAGCGTTAGCGAGAGGAGAGAGAGGAGGGAGGGAGAGACGCACGGTTTGGACTTCGTCGCAGATCAGGAGGACGTTGTGCTTCTTGCACAGCGCCTGGACCTTCTCGAGGTAGTCGTCGTCCGGGACCACGATGCTGCGAGAAGCACGAGCGTATCAGCACTCGTTCAGTCGCATCGCGTGGCGAGCAGAACTTCGACTTCATCGCTCGGAGGAAACGAAGCTCTTCGCCGAGCACGAGCAGCTACCAAGACTCACCCGGCCTCTCCCTGAATCGGCTCAACCAAGAACGCCGCGACGTCCTTCCCATGCTTGTCCAACACCCTCTCGAGCGCCGCAACATCGTTGTAAGGGATGCGACCCTCGTCACCCTTGGTGTACGGGCAGTGCGGGCCGATCAGGGGAACGAACGGGCCAAAGTCGTTGGTTGCTTCCGGGTCGGTGGACATCGAGATGATGCCGATGCTGTGCGGTTGGACGACGCCGTACAGTCAGTCTTCATCTCCTATCGACAGGAAGAAACGACACGAAAGCGAAGCTCGAAACGCACGTCCGGCCGTGAAAGTTGTTCTCCGCCGAGAGGACGATCGCCTTGTCCTTCTCGACACCCTTGACCTTGTAGGCCCACTTGCGCGCGACCTTGATCGCCGTCTCGACGGCCTCGGCGCCCGTGTTCATCATGAGGGCCATCTCGAAGCCGGTGAGCTGCGACGAGCAGCGTCAGCACTCCCAGCATGGCTCAAAGCAGCGCTCATCCGTTCGGTGTCCGAAGCAGGAGAGCGCAGGAGGAGCGGCGAAGCGCTGAACGCACCTCGGTCAGGTACTTGGTGAAACGTCCAAGACTCGAAGTGTGGAACGCCCTTGAGCTGAGCGTGAGCTTCTGCGCCTGCTCCGTGAGTGCCTTGACGATGTGAGGGTGGCAGTGGCCTTGGTTGACGGCGCTGCGGGCGAGCAGGAGCGTTGGTGAGAACGGAAGCGGGAGGAGAGAAGGAGGGCACGCACGAGTAGGCGGAGAGGCAGTCGAGGTACTCATTGCCCTGTGCGATCACGCGCAACTACATCAGCGTACCATCCCCCTCAAGCAACAGTTCACCGAGCCAAGCGGATTGTCGAGACGCACCTCGGGATCCCAGACGAGAGCGCCCTCGGCGCGCTCGAAGACGACGGGCAAAGGGTGGTAGCTGCAGGGCGTGACCACAAGCATCAGTACGACAGTTCTGCGCCGCCAGCCAGTCCAACGATGCCCGTATCGCGCTTCCCTCCTTCGAACCCGGGACCCCGCTTGCACGAACCCTGAACCCCGCCTCGAGAGCCGTTGCGCCCGCTCGGATGCGCCTCAGAAGCCAGCAGCAGGGTGTAGCAGGCTGCTTGTGTGTCCCCAGCACTCCTCGCTTGTCGTCCACCCCGTCGCGCGACCTCGTGAGCACGAGCCGAAGCTCTCCGCCAAGTCCTTCACCTCGTCGTCGAGCGGCAGCGCAGGATGGGGCGCACAGTCGAGCAGCGCGAGCAGTGCGACGGGGACTCACTTGTGTGCGCTGTACTCGTGCTCGAGCGCGATGGCCTCTGCGCTCGACACCTTGACGGTCCCGTTGCTGGCGGGGGATGCCTTGGACGGCGTCGTGCCGTTGAGCCCGAGCGACTCGAATGCCTGGTTGATGGATGAGCGGACTGCAGAGGTGACGGTGGCCATGGCTGCGCTGCTTGGTGGTGGTGCTGGTGCTGGTCGAAGCCAATCCCGGACTTGGTCAACTCGCTCGCTTCTCCCCTTCGTCAAACTACTGGCACGATCCTGTCCACCGCTGTCTGCTGTTGACTACGTCCTACGACTGCCGACGCAACCGTTGCCGAACACACCCACGCTCACCCTGCCACCCTCGAGCGGATCCCGCCTGGATGTACGGATCTGGCTCGCCTCGCCCGCTTGATATCCTCGAGGCCAGTGGCAGAATGGAGGAACATGGTCCCCACAATAACCTGGAGCAGCGTGGGCATCGCTCACCTATCTGGCTTGACCGCTCACTTGACCCGCTCACTCGTCCTCGATGCCTCACGCCAAGCTTCCTACACCGTCTCAGGACGATTTGAACGCTGCTATTCGCGAAGCTATCGATACTGTCGATGCTGAGCTGCGCGAAGTCTCCCTCTCCATCCGTGCGGCCATCTCTCCTCGTCTTCCTCAATCTCGCTCACAAAGTCCCTCGCAACAGACTCGCATCCCGAGCTCGCCTGGAACGAACACCATGCACACGACGTCCTGACCGAGTACATGTCCCGCCAGCGCGGCTTCGTCGTCACCAAGCACGCCTACGACCTCCCGACAGCCTGGACCGCCGTCTTCACCTCGTCCGCACCTTCGAACGACGACAAGCTCCCCGTCGTGGGCTTCAACAGCGAGATGGACGCATTGAAAGGTATCGGCCACGCCTGCGGGCACAACTTGATCGCCATCGCAGGCTGCGCAGCCGCCATCGGTGTCGCCCGCACACTCGAGCGTTTCCAGCTACCCGGAAAAGTCGTCCTCCTCGGTACGCCTGCGGAAGAAGCAGGAGGAGGCAAGGCGGTTTTCATCCAGCGCGGAGCGTATGACGAGTTCGATGCGTGCTTGATGGTTCATCCTGGACCGGGCGGAGGAGGCAAACATGGAGCGGGGATCATGACCTCGTCCTGCGTCGCCGGATTGACGGTCACGTACCACGGTGCGTCGGCGCACGCAGGCGGAGCGCCGGAGAAGGGCAGGAACGCACTCGATGCCGCCGTCCTCGCGTATCAGAACGTCTCTGCCCTCCGCCAACAGCTCCCGAAGGACGCGAAGCTACACGGCATCATCTCCGGATGCGAGAACTGGTCGGCCAACGTCATCCCGGGCGAAGCGAAGCTCCTCTACGGGATTCGCTCCCCCTCCGCCTCCGACCTCGCACCGCTTATCCCCCGCGTCCTCCGCTGCTTTGCCGGCGCCGCACTCGCAGCAAACTGCACCTACACCCTCACGAGCGAAATCCTCTACCTTGACGTTAGGCCTTCACCTGGACTCGCGCAGGCGTTCAAGGACTTTGCGGAGAAGGAGTACGGAGAGGAGGGATACGAGGTGCCCGAAGATTGTCCGACGGGCGGCTCTACGGACTTTGGGAACGTCTCTTACCGCTGCCCGTCGTTGCACCCGATGTTCTACCTCCCCGACGCAGCGGGAGACGAACACCCTCGTGCGTTTCGTCCCTCCTCCTGCTTCCCGCCTCCCGCTAACCCTCGTCGTCCGTGCGCTTCAGACTCAGACTCCTACACAGCAGCAGTCGCGACTCCCTCAGCCCATACCGCGACCCTCCGCGCGGCCTCAGCACTCGCCTCCTCCGGCCTGCGAGTCCTCACCTCCCCCTCCTTCCGCGCCCAAATCCGCCGCGACTGGGAAGAGGACATGCATCTCGCGCAGGGCGAGAAGGCGGTGAGCGTTATTGAGAGGTTGGTGCCGAGTGTTGAGGTTGGGCCTGCGGGCAAGGAGGTGAGGGAGGGGAGGTTCTGCGATTATTGCGTTTGTGGGTGCGAGAAGTAGGCGGAGATATGTCGGCTGGGAATGTACAGGGAGTTTGTCGTCCTGAGGTAGTCCTTGTTGCGAGAAGCGAGTCGAGGAGGCCAGTTGCGAAGGACACTCAGCCGTCACCGCAATCTTCGAATTCCGACGTCTCGGTCTTGTCGCTGTGACTGCTGTATCATGATCTGGCTCGACAGTCACTCGGAGAAAACGACGAAAAAGCGGAGAAGCCCGAGAGGAAGCAAAGTCTTCAAGGTCTGCGCTCGTCCGAATCGCTTGCGAGTCGCCTCATACGCAAGTCTCCTGCTCGGAAGAGCAATAAGAATAGTCCGTGTTTCAACACCCGCCGACACCCGCAGTTCCGCGTCCCTTACATCGCAAAATGTGTCCACCTCCCTCCCAACATCGTCCCCTTGACCTGCATACTCCTCAACTCCTTCGCATTCGCCGTGAGCGGGTCCTTCGGCAGCACCACCAAGTCCGCACGGTCGCCCACCTCGAGTGAGATCTTGCCGTTCGACGTGACGGCGCGCCAGGCTTCCGACGGAGTGAGGCACTGTTCTGGGTGCCAGGCGGACGAGGGGAGGTCCTCCTCGCCAGCTGCGGTGCGGAAGATGGCCACGGCGAGGGCGTCCCAGCTGGAAAGGAAGGTCGTCAAGAACTGAAGAGGCTCGAGGAAGAAGCCGAGGAACACTCACGGATCTACCTTTGCGACAGGCGCGTCCGACCCGAGCTTGAGGGTGACGCCGGCGTCCGCGAGGGTCTTGAAGGCGTAAGCGCGGTGTTCGCGACCTGGCCAGAACTGGCTGCACAGTTCCCGGTCGTCGACCATGTGCGCCGGCTGGATCGACGCGACGAGGCCGAGTTCGGTGAACAGCGGGATGTCGGAGAAGGTGAGGAGTTGGGCGTGCTCGATGCTCGAGCCGGGCAGGGCGGGCTTCGAGAGCGAGGCGAAAGTCTGGAGGGTGAGCTGGTTCGCTTTGTCGCCGATCGCATGGACGGCGAGCGCGAAGCCCGCCTCGATGGCCTTCTCCATCATCGACTTGAGCGTCTTCGGCTCGTACTCGAAGTGACCAAAGTTCTCCGGCTCGTTGGGGTAAGGGTCGTGGCAGCAAGCCGTTCGCGAGCCGAGGGATCCGTCTGTGATGATCTTGTGAGGACCGACGGTGACCAGACCTTGCGTGTCGGAGATAACGTCGCCCGTCTTGTAGCCGGCGGCAATCGCGGAAGGGAGGTGCTGCTCGTAGAGGCCGCACCGCACGCGAAGGACATCGGTACCCTTCTGCACCCGCCGCGTCCAGTGGTCGATGTTGAAGTCCATCTCGAGGTCGAGGATCTCGGTGATGCCCATCGCAGCGGCGTTGCGAGCAGCGAGGTCCACGGCGACGTCGAGGACTGCAGGCGGAATCTCGCCGATCCGTGTCCATGCTCGGAAGCACTCCGCTTCCTCAAGAACGCCGCTGTGACCTTCCGGCTCGAAACCAATGCGCTTGAGGGCAGCAGAGTTGGCGCAGAGCGAGTGGAAGCCGGCGAAGAAGAGGACGAGCGGGCGAACGGGTTCGACGGAGTCGAGCGCGAGGCGGTTCATATCGGCAACGTCCGGCCACTCGCCAACGCGCATGCGCTGGCCGACGACGAAGAGTCCATCGTCTGGCTGCTCGGGAAGCCATGCGCGGACGCGGTCGAGGACTTCGGCGGCGGATTTGGCCGTGTACAGGTCGATCCGCTTCGACGCCATCGCCCATGTCGGGAAGTGCGTATGCGCATCGATGAGTGACGGAGCGAGGAAGGAGCCTGTTCCAAATCGTTCAGCGAGACCCTTACAGGCGAGAATGGGAGGACGCACCCGCCAGGTCGTGAACTTTCGCAGCTGAGTGAGGAGGAGGGGCAGAACCGGTTGCCTCAATTGAAGCGACCGCTCCGTCACGGACGAGCACCGAGTACGTCTCGTTTCGCAGACCAACCAAGCGAGCGTTCGTAAAGAGCGTAGTCATGGCGAGCGATGTTTCCCGGGACGAGGAGGTGCGCGCGAGGAGACGACACGACCAGCGTTCGTCGGTTTCGTTTCGGGCGCCAAGTTGTGCCGCAGTTCGGCTTTCGGGCGTGCCCTTCAGCCGCCCGAGCGAGTGCGGAAGAGGAACGGGACGGTGGACGGATGTAGGGCGGATGAGGGAGTGGAAGTGGCTGCTCACGCATACTCCACTCGCGCTGGCTGATCGTTCTGTGCTGCTATCGCTCCAGCGACCCCACACGGTCCCGCACGACCATGCCCCGCCCGTCCCTCCGCCGTCCTCGCTCTTCTCTCCTCCTCATCGCCTCACGCCCCTCGACCCGCTGATACTCCGCACACATGTCTTCCGAGCGCGGGTCCGACATCGAGAAGGACCAGGACGGGCAGAAGGACGTGATCATTACCTCGGTACAAGGAGTCGATGCAGCTGCCTTGGCGACAGCGGCCGTCGCAGGACAAGCTATCGACCCGGCAAAGGCTCGTCGCCTCGTTCGCAAGATTGGTGAGTTCCGGTCAATCTACCATCTGAAAAGGCGGCGATGGACGAAGTGAATGTCGGGACGGAGCAAATTGCGATGTCTCCGCCCCCTCCTTCTCCTCGCTGACCTGTCTCCTCCTCCGCTTCACAAGACCTGAACATCCTGCCACTCATGTGTCTGGTTTACCTAATCCAGTTCCTCGACAAGACGAGCTTGTCGTATGCGAGGTGAGCGATCCCCCCCTCTCGCGCAAGCGTTCGAGGCTGACTGGTCCCTTGTCCAGCATCATGGGCATTCGCAAGGACAACCACCTCACCCTCGGACAGTACTCGTGGTTGTCGAGTATCTTTAAGTGCGTGAGAGACCGCCTCGACCACCGCTGATCGCGAAACTGACGAGTTGCCGGCAGCCTCGCCTTCCTCGTCGGTGAATGGCCGACCAACTACGCTCTCCAGCGCCTTCCCCTCGCCAAGTGGACCTCAATCAACGTCATCCTGTGGGGTGCTGTCCTTGCTTGCACTGCTGCGACCAAGGACTTCTCCGGTTTGATGGCCGTTCGCTTGTGAGCCCTCCCTCTCCCGCTGCTGTCTTTCGCTGCTAAGTCTTTCGCACCCGCAGCTTCCTCGGCCTCCTCGAGTCGTGCGTTACGCCTGCATTCTCCTTGATCACCAGTCAATGGTACAAGAAGCACGAGCAAGGCACTCGAACGGGTGCGTCTCGCGAAGCTTCTCCTTCGATTCGTCGCTAAGTCTCGCTCTTGCAGGCATCTGGTTCAGCATGAACGCCCTCGCTCAAATTTTCGGCGCCGTCCTCGCTTGGGGCTTCGCTAAGCACGACATGGCGGGCGACTTCGGCATTCCCGGCTGGAAAGTCCTCTTCCTCTTCCTCGGCGGCATCACGATGGCCCTCGGCGTCCTCCTTCTCATCTTCCTCCCCGACTCGCCGCTCAACGCTCGCTTCCTCTCCAAGGAAGAGCGCGTCCTCGCCGTCGAACGCATCCGATCAAACAACAGCGGCATCGGTAACAAGAAGTACAAGTGGTACCAGGTCCGCGAGGCGCTCCTCGACCCGCTCACCTGGCTCTACTGCCTCTACGCCGGCGCAATCAACACTCTGAATGGCGGCATCACCTCGTGCGTCCTCGTCTCAGGCCGTTTCCGCCGTCCCGCCCTTCTTTGACCCCTTCCTCGGTCCCGCAGATTCTTCAGCATCCTCATTTCGAGCCTCGGCTTTAACGTGCTCGACTCTCTCCTGTACGGCGCTCCCGGCGGAGCGGTCGTCGTCATCGCCGTCCTCTTTTTCCTCTGGCTCGGCGACCGCATCAAGATGCGCTGCCTTTGCGGCATGATTCCCCTCACAATCGGGCTCGTCGGCGTTCTCCTCATCTGGCTGTTGCCCTTCCACTACAAGGTCGGACGACTGATCGGCTACTACATGTGAGCCTGGCCGGCTTTGAAGGGGGAGACCCGCCGCTGATCTCTTCGTCTCTCCGCAGCTCCGGCATCGCTTCGGTCGGATTCATCGTTGTGCTGTCGTTGATCGGCTCCAACATTGCTGGATCGACGAAGAGTACGCTGCTTATTCCTTCACAGCCCGCGCCCCGCGGCACGCCTCTCGCTAACCCTTCCTCCTCGCGCAGAGTCGACTGTGCTGGCGCTCTTCATGATTTTCTACAGTGTCGGCAACCTGTGCGGACCCCAGACTTGGAGGGCGAAGGACGCGCCGCGGTACGCTCCTGCACTCGCCACAGCCGCCGCCGTCATCTCGTTCGGAATCCTCGACCTCGGCCTCATCTGGTTCCTCAACGCGCGCGAGAACCGGCGGAGGGACAGGATCATGTCAGCGCCGGACTATGTCAAGCAGGAGAACATCGAGTTCCTCGACAAGACCGACAGGCGAGTTGCTCATCAACGCTCACCTCAATCCTCTCCGTGCATTCGCCCCGCCCCGCTCCTCTTCCTCCCTGCCACATACTCGCACGCTGACTGGCTTGCTTTGATTGTGCACAGGGAGAACGTCGCCTTCCGCTACGTCTGCTGAGCACCTCCGCCTTCCTCGCCGTCCTCCTCTCCCGGTCACCCTCCCGTCTGTACGCTATCGGGCTGTAATAAGCGCTGTGTTTCGCTGGGGCTCCATCCTGTCTCTGCGTGCTTGCACGCGCTCACACGACTGTGCGGCCCTTCTTTCACCCGCGACAAACCCTTCGTCCGCTCGACTTTGCCTTTTGAGCGCGACTCGCCCCGCTTCTCGACCTCCGCATTTGCCGGACCATCTCGACGCATCAACACACGCCTACTTAAAGCATACGCATCGCCTCGATACGCCGTGCAGGGGAGCAGCCTCGCTACGAAACCCCTCGTGCTCGTTGTGACCTTCTTAAGGAAGGGGTTCGCAGAGCGCAGGCGATGCGGACGATCAGCTTGCGGCGAAAAGAGTTGTGCCGACGTGCGGCCGAGCTGGCGGCCGTCACCGCGGGACGTTCAAGCGCCCGCGTCCCCCGCTTCTTCCTCTTCAGCTTGCCTTTACCTGACCGTCCCAGGCTTCGCTGTTTCTCCGGCAGTTCATCTATCCTCCACGCTCCCCGCTCGCTTCTATCTACGCGCAAATGGCAGTCCTCCCGCTCGCAAAGATTGCGCGTTGGCTGCTCCTCCTCCCCGCTTCGCTTTCCTTTCCCTCTCTCGTTCTCCACACCGCCGGCTTATCGCGCGCACGACATGGCACCTCAGCACGACGTCGACATCGAGAAGGACCAGGACGGCCAGAAGCACGTGGTGATCACGTCGGTTGAAGGCGTCGACGCCGCTGCGTTGGCAACGGCCGCCGTTGCTGGCAAGGAGCTCGATCCCGCCGAGGCTCGCCGCCTCGTGCGCAAGATAGGTGCGTCTCTTCAGCTGTGCACGCGTGCGTTTGCAGGCGGTCGGACAACGCACGAAGCCAAGCTCGTCTCGCTCTCCTCCCCGCTGACTCTCTTCTCCTTGCAGACCTGAATATCTTGCCGCTCATGTGCTTTGTCTACATGATACAATTCCTAGACAAGGTATCGCTGTCCTACGCGAGGTGAGCGAGCCTCCGACTCACCGCGAGCGTCCGAGGCTGACTTTGCCCGCGTTCAGCATCATGGGCATCCGCAAGGAGAACCATCTCACGCTCGGACAGTACTCGTGGCTGTCAAGTATCTTCTAGTGCGTACGAGGATGTCTTGAACGTCAGAGACAGCAAAACTGACAGCCTCCGTCGCAGCCTCGCCTTCCTCGTCGGCGAATGGCCGACGAACTACGCACTTCAGCGCCTCCCGCTCGCCAAATGGACGTCGATCAACGTCATTCTGTGGGGTGGTGTGCTTGCGTGCACTGCAGCAACGAAGAACTTCCAAGGACTCATGGCCGTTCGCTTGTCCGTCCCCTTCCCTCCTCTGTCGGATCCTCAGCTGCTTACCCTTTTGGATCTCCAGCTTCCTCGGCTTGCTCGAGTCGTGCGTTTCGCCGGCATTCAGTCTCGTCACGTCGCAGTGGTACAAGAAGAACGAGCAAGGGACGCGAACCGGTGCGTTCTCAGCGAGTCCTTCTTGCAACCGCCGCTGACTTCCCGCTTCTAGGAATCTGGTTCAGCTGCAACGCTCTTGCTCAGATTTTCGGCGCCTTGATCGCCTGGGGCTTCGCCAAGCACGATATGGCGGGCGACTTCAGCATCCCCGGCTGGAAAGTCCTCTTCCTCTTCCTCGGCGGCATCACGATGGCCCTCGGCGTCCTCCTTCTCATCTTCCTCCCCGACTCGCCTCTCAATGCACGCTTTCTCACCGAGCACGAACGCGTCCTCGCCATCGAGCGCATCCGGTCGAACAACAGCGGCATCGGCAACAAGAAGTACAAGTGGTATCAGGTCCGCGAGGCGCTCCTCGACCCGCTTACGTGGCTTTACTGCCTGTTTGCAGCCGCCAACATGGTCATTAATGGCGGCATCACTTCGTGAGCCTGAGTCGTCCTTCTCATCCTTTCTGCGCAATCACTGATTTCCATTCCCCACTCCTGCAGCTTCTTCAACATCCTTATCTCGAGCTTTGGTTTCAACACTCTCGACTCGCTCCTTTTTGGCGCGCCAGGCGGAGCGACCGTCGTCGTCGCCGTCCTGCTGTTCCTTTGGCTCGGCGATCGCTTCAAGAAGCGCTGCCTGTGCGGCATCTGCGCGCTTCTCGTCGGCATGCTCGGCATGCTGCTCATCTGGCAGCTGCCGACGCACTACAAAGTCGGTCGATTGATCGGGTACTACCTGTCAGTCCCGGTCCGTGCCCCTCTTCCCAAGCGGAGTCTAACGGCTTGTTGTCGCAGGTGCAACGTTTTCGTCGCCGGCTTCATCGTGGTATTCTCGCTTGTCGGAAGCAACGTTGCAGGATCCACAAAGAGTGCGTGGCTTGTCCTCGAGCGACGTTTGTCCAGGACCGCCTGACCTTTTTCGCTTCCGCAGAGTCTACCGTCCTCGCGGCGTTTTTCGTTGCATACGCCTGTGGCAATCTGATCGGACCGCAGACCTTTAGGTCGAAAGACGCGCCTCGGTACGCCCCCGCCCTCGCGACGTCGGTCGCCTTGATTTGCTTCTGCATCGTCGACCTCGCCCTCATCTGGTTCATCACGGCGCGGAGGAACCGTAAGCGCGACGAGATCATGTCGTCGCCGGACTATGTGGCTCGCGAGAACGTCGAATTCCTGGACGAGACGGACCTGTGCGTTCTTCTTCCTTCTCCTCCTTCCATGACTCCCGCTGCTGGCTCTTTCTCCATTCTCAGGGTTGCTGACGTTCCGAGAATTGCACTGACACTCTCAATTGCTCTGTACAGCGAGAACGTCGCGTTTCGCTATGTTTCCTGACCGCCCGCATCCTCGAAGTCGCCTCACCCCCGCTTTCTGTACTCTGCCTGTATATCGAGGTTGTCAGCGTCGGTTTTGAGCTGTCTAGTGGTTGTATCAATGCAAAGCGCTCACGCCCGCACTCATAACAAGTCTCTGGGGTACCCTTCTCCTCGCAAACCTGCTCTTTCTTCGTCTCCCATCCGCTACGCGCTGCTGGGACTCCGTCCGCTTCGCGCAGCGCATTCGACAGCTTCCTCGGCTCCCACCGGCATCGCAAAGCTCGCCCCACGCCGGCAGCGCTTCCGCCTCAGCTTCATCACTTTCTCGCTCGCAATCTGCTCAAACACAGGGCACAGCCATGCCGGCCAACCGCTCGCAGGCTAGCACGTCTGCTGCACCTGCAAAACGTATCTCGAAGGCATGCGAGTCGTGCAGGGTGCGCCGGACTCGCTGTAGCGGTGACGCGGACGGGTGTTCCGCTTGTCGGCTCGCAGGGCTCGCCGACTGTACGTACAGAAGCAAAGCGAGGCCGTCGCGACAACCTCGAACGCATCGACCACTCCCGGGCGTGTCGAATGCGGCGGCTGACGAGTTGAGGACAGTCGGGATGCGGTCGATTGAGGAGGATCTCGAGGCGCGGTACAGGGAGGCTACAGGCAGTAAGTGCTTTCAGACGCTCCGGTGTACTTTTACTGACGATCCGAGCACAGCCTCGATCTCTCTTGCACTCCCGGACGTCGAGACACATCCTGCCCTCTCGCTCGACTCGCCTATGCCAGCCTTTCTGCCCCTTACGAACGACGAGATCGACTCTCTTTGCGACACTTTCTTCCGCGACATTCTCATCTTCTTCGGCTTCCTCTCTCCCACTCGCCTCAACGAGCTCATCCGTCGACATAGAACTCTGCCCGCAACCCTCACGCCAGACCAGCTCGCCTTGCTCTACGCCATCTTCGCCCTCGGCTTCTTCCGTCAAGCGACCTATGCACAACAGCCTGCTGCGCCCAAGGACGGCCCAGTCCCCTTTGCTCCGGGCGCAAACCGCCTCGACATTGTTTTCTACCGCCACGGAATGGCTTTGCTGGAGGTGCCGACGACGCTTACGGCGCTACAAGCACTGGTCGTACTACAGCTGTACGCCATGTCCTCGACGACGGTCAGCGCAACGCGACATCTCATCTCGAAGATGGTCTACTGCGCAGGCGAGCTGGGCTTACACTCGACGGCAGCGGCTTCGGCATATCCACCCGAGACGCATGCGACATCCCTCTCATTCTACGTCCTCTTCACCGACACCTTCTACGCCGGCTTGACGGGCGAGAAGCCCTTCCTTCGCATCTTCGACCGCGAGATCTTCACCTCCGTCCTCCGCTCCGAAGGCATCTTCACGCCGGCGATGGTCCGCCTTGTCTGCCTCGAGCACGACTACCTCAAGGACGCGCACGCTCACCGGACAAAGCTGTGCGACCCGACCTTCGTTCTCGGTCACGAAGCGCACCTCTTCGCCTTCCTCCGCGACTTTGGCACGCAAACCGGCGACAGCACGAACATGTCGTCATCATTCGCTACCACGCAGTATGCGCACTTGGCTTTGCTTCCCGAGCATCGCGCTGATCTTCCTCGTCGCGCAGTTATCAATTCCAGCGACTCCTCCTTCGAGCCCCTTGTGCCAGCGATCCTCTCCTCGGCCACTCCTCCCTTCCTCTCCTTTCACGCGCCGCGGTCACCCTTATCCGACACTATCAGCACATCTTCGAAACTACGCGTTACATCAACTGTGCTTGGCCGGTTCTCGCTCGCGTCGTCGCGGCAGGCAACGTCGTCCTACAGTCGCATTGGCGTGGCGAGATGGTGCGGCAGGAGACGGAGGACGCCTTGAGCATCTTGATGTGGCTCCTCGGCAAGCTCGAGACGAGATGGACAGCGGCGACAGCCGCACGGGCGAATTTTGAGCTGATCATGCGGGTACTCGGTGAGCAGTCGAGTGTCTCCCGTATCCTCTTCTATGTTTGAAAGCTCACTCTCGCTCCCTCGCAGACCTAAGCCCTCCCGACCTGCCGTCGCCAGCTTACCTCGACTCGACCCTCAGCGCAACGCCTTCCTCCGCCCCGCTCCTCCCGGCTACCCTCCCTCCTCCTCCTCCTTCAGCAAACCCGCCGTCGCTACCCAACACTTCCGCCTCTTTTGACACTCCGCACCTTCCGGCGCCCGCAACGTCCTCCGCCGCCGACTACTCCATCTTCTTCGCCGGCGCAGATACCGCCTTCGCCGCAGACGGACCTCAGCAGGGCGAGTGGCAGTACATGCTGAACGAGATGCACGAGCTGTGGGGCCACCCGGGGTACTTGCAGGGAACAGGGCAGTAGAAGCGGTCGTTTGTATCGCAGGTCCTCTCTCTTGCAGCTGTTCCGCGCGATCGCCGACTGGCTCGTAGAACGCCTTTGTAGATCCGCCTTGAGCTACATCGCCTAATGACCGCATGCACACTTGTCAAAAGCGCAGAAGCTCCCTGGCTTCCCTCCCTCGCCCTCCTTCGACGCAGGCAAGACCTTGTCAAGCACAGCGAGCGCCTTGTCCCCCTGCGCGACTTTCATGTCCTCCTCCCACTCTGCCCACATCCGCTTGCGGAGCGAGGGGTCGAGGAGGACTTGCAGGCCGGCGTAGGAGAGAGCCGAGGCGGCGCGGATGGCGGCTTCGTGGGCGGACTCTTCTGCTGCTGCCTTCGTGTACGAAGCCGAGTCTGCGAACGCGACTAGATGAGCCGGAAGCAAGGCGAAGAAGCGATTGAGAGAACTCACGAGGGTGTTCTTCGGGCGTTGCGTCGGGAAGGAAGAACATCGGGTGCAGCGAAGGGCACTTGAAGCAGACGTTGCCAAAGTCGGTCGATGCGCCCGTCTCCACACGCTCGAGGAAGCGGTAGTCGTCGCCATACTCCGCCTCGACAAAGTCCTTGAAAGCGTCCGACAAGCCTTTCGCGGGGCGGACTTCGTGATAGAGATGGCCGCGCTTGATCGAGTAAGAGGTGTTGGAGGAGAGGGCGCCGCCTGCAAAGCAGCGGAGCACGCGAGGGACGACTTCGGCGAGCGAGGTGAGGGTCGTCGAGCGGACTCCGTACAGGAGCTTGGCCTCGTCCGGGATGACTGCGATCTTGCGATATCAGCGAGAGTGGTGAGGCGGTAGATAAAATGCGAACGCACCGTTGGGCGACCACTTGTCCTCGCCGGAGAAGACGCCGTGAACCTTGGCGTCCTTCGGAAGCTGCTGCCGCAAGACGCTGATACCCTGGTACGCCAGCACCGCCGCATCGAGTGCGTTCCTCCCCTTCTCAGGTGCCCCTCCCGCATGAGCCGGCGCACCATTGTACGTGACCTCCATCGCGATCAACGCAGCGGAGGTCATGTTCCCTGCGCCGTGCTTGCCTCCGCCGCTCGTTCCGGGGTGAAGCATCAAGCACGCTTCGAACTCGTCGTACGCTCCTCGGTCGAGCAAGGCCGCCTTTCCTCCGCCTTGTTCCTCCGCTGGCGTGCCAATGAGGACGACCTTGCCGGGAAGCTGGAAGTGCTCGAGTGTGCGAGCGACACCGATGGCGGCTGCGCAGCCTGCGATGGCAATGAGGTTGTGTCCGCATGCATGGCCGATACCTTTCAAGGCGTCCATCTCGCTGTTGAAACCGACGACGGGCACCTTTTCGCCCTCCTTGCTCGAGGCGGAGGAGGTGAAGACGGCGGTCCAGGCTGTCGGGAGGTCGTAGGCGTGCTTGGTGACGACAAAGCCGCTCTGGCGCTCCATGTACTCGGTCAGGACGTCGTGCGCATGGTGTTCGTCCCAAGCGAGTTCCGGCTTCTCATCTACGAGGACGCAAGTCAGCCTCCGCCTGGTTCGAGATGCGCAGCACGCACGGATAGACAGGGAGACTTTGCGCAAGTCGTCGCGGGCGGCTTGGATAGCTTCGTTGATCGCTTTGCGCAGGTCGGCGGGTGTGGGGGCCATCTTGAGGAGCGGGGACAAGTGAAGGGAGGTGGGCGTCGCAGGGGTTGCGGGTGGACGTGCGAGCAGCAGAGAGTCGACTTAGAGCGAGTGAGACGGGCAGCAAAGACTCGGCGTGAGCGGCAGGTCGGCGAAGTGACGAAGTGCGGAGGAGGCGGAAGTGCGGCGGAAAGTGGTTCTTCCGGCAGCGCAGCTTGCGAGGCGAGCGAAAGGCAAGCCAAGTCGGTCAGACGGACGGACGGAGCAGTCGGCCGAACCCCATGAGAGAGCAAGGAGAGGGAGGGAGGGAAAGGCAAGAGCACGACGAGGAGAGGCAAAGGCAAGTCCCGCCGCTCGCCAGAGGTGATTGTTCTCCCGCAGAGACGACCGAGTGGAGACTGGCAAATCCATGTTTGCAGTGCCAAGCCCGTGTGCAAGTGTATATGTGATGTGCGGGGAAGAAAAGAGGGAAACAATGCGAAGAGGGAGAACGGATGAAGAAGGACAAACCGCTGAGGAACCCGCCTGGAACGAAACCGGAATGCAAAGAGTGTCGGAGAGATGTGCAGGTAGTCGAGACGATGATGTCGAGCGAGGAGGAAGGCGATGGTCGAGGAGGCGAGCGGGGCTGATCACGCGAGCGCCGGCGCCTGGATCTTTGGGTGCGTCTTGCGGTACTCGTGCGCGCGCGCGACCCAGCCAGCAACGTCGACATCCTTGTCCTTGACCGACTCGAGCCAGGGGTGGGCCTGTCCGCACACATTCACAACTCGTCAGCTTCCCGCTCGAATCGTGACTGAAAGGGAAGCGAAACGCACGAGCAACTGTTTGTAATTCGGCCTCGTATGCGCCTGTTTCCTCAAACACTCTGCCACAAAGTCCTTTGCCAAGTCGGAATACTGGTCCGGCAACGTCGGCGGATCTCCATGCACGATCGCCGTCAGTTGCGCAAACACGTTCGAGTACGTCTCGGGCGGGTAGGGGTAGTGGCCCATTGCGGTCTCGATGATGCTGAGGCCGAGGGACCAGACGTCGGACGAGGCGGTGTACGAGGTCGTCGCGCCTTGACTCTCGCCTTTGATTCGTTCGGGCTGCGGGGCGGGGCGGCTCACAGTAGCATCAGCTAAATCCTATGTCACGAGAAAACGGGTAAAGGGAGCGCGACGCACGGCCATGTACGACTGGCAGCCGATGTTGGTCTTGGCGAGACTGCGGTCGAGTTGGCCCGAGACGCCAAAGTCGCACAGCTTGACGTAGCCCTTCATGTTGAGCAAGACGTTCGTCGGCTTGACGTCTGCGCGAGCATGCCCCATCAGCGCGAGCTCAGAGGAAGCGGAAAAGGAAGCGCCCGCACCTCGATGCATGATCTTCAGCTCGTCCTTGAGGAACTTGAGTCCCTCAACCATACACCTCGTGACCTTGGCCAACACATCCTCGGGGATATCCGTCCCAGCAAGGTAGTCGAGCGACCCGCCGTCCATGAACTCCATGCAGTAGTACACGCAGGACTCGATGAAGAAGGCGCCGTAGAAATCGATGATGTAGGGCGAGGTCGCGCGGTGGAGGATGTCGAGCTCGGTGATGATCGTCTTGAGCTTCGAGTCGTCCAACTCGAGGCGGATCTCCTGCGAGTGGTCGTACACCAAGTGGATCAGCCCCGCGCCTTCTCGGCGGAGACGCAGTCAACCAAAACGTTCGTTCGACAACGCACCTTGAGCGCCATCGTCACCCCCGTCGGCTTATGCACGACCTTCTGCACGGTCCCGTAATTCCCCTTGCCCAACTCCTCGAACAACTCGAAGTCGTCCATCTTGACTTTGAACGAGGCGCCAGAGGAAAAGTCGACGCCGTCGGCATGCAGGATCGCTTTCGAGGCAAAGTTGAGGCGGCCAGAGGGGTCGCTGCGCGTGAGAAAGGGCGAGAGAGAGTCAGCGACGGTGCGGCAAGGTCCGGTCAACTGGGCCAGTAATTAGCCGACAAGCAGAAGCGCCATGCACGTCCGCTCGCTCAGCACAACCCCGCCCAGCCCAACCGAGAGAGTGAACGAGAAGACGCTCGCACGCACACAATCTTCCTAAAGTTGGAAAACGGCGTCCCTCCCATCGCTTCTCCTCCCGCCTGTCCCATTCGGCTCTGAGACGGACTACCCGGTTTCCTCTGCGCCTCTCCATCGTCCCCCGATCCAGGCGGCAACCTCATCGCGACTCCTCCCTTCCCCGCTCCACCTCCTCCTCCTCCTGCCGCATTCGCGCTGAGACCCATCTGACTGAGCGTCAATCCCGCTCCAGGTCCTTTCCGTCTCGCCGCCATTCCTCCGACGGGCCTCACCCCTCCACCTGCGAGTGGGCCCGCAGCGCCTATACGCCCTGCGGGCGCTGAGGGGGCGTGGGTGGCTGGAGGACGGGGAGGGGGACGCGGAGCGAGAGCGGGAGAGGGGGTGGAGCCTGAGGGAGTGCGGAGGGGGTGTTGGGAGGACGAGGTGGGGGAGGGGGTGCCGGCGGGTGAGGAGGAGGGAGTCGAGGAGCGGGAGGTCATCTGCGCCGAAAGATCCGTTTTCCACAGAAGTCAGCTCTTCTCTCCAAGCGAGCGAGAGAGGAGAAAAGCGGGCGAAACGCACTGCAGCCATCTTTGCGGCGAGACTGGGCGGCATCCGCAACGGACCGCCTTGTCTGCCCGGCGCTCCTCCTACTTTCCGCACACCGCCTGCGTTGGCGGCTGGAGGAGGACTGGTCGGACCTGCGATTGCTGGTGCGGAAGCGCGCGGGTGCAACGGGGGTGGAGAGCGGGTTGTGGTGGTCGAGGGACCTGGCGCGGGAGTCGGCGAGAGCGACGAGGTGGAGCTCGTAGATCCGAGCGACGAGAGGGTCGAGATGGTCGACCCGTCTGTCGAAGTCGAACCACCCTTTGCTCCGTCGTCGCTCGTCCCGCCGTTGATGGGCGAGCGAGACGAGAGCTTGCCGACTGCCTCCTCGGTCAACACCGCCGTGGGCTGGTCGACCCCTGCCTGTCCTTCTGCCGTTCCAACAGCTCCTCCATTGGCAGGAGGCTCTGTCAAGGGCGCCCCTCCCCGCCCGCTCGGGTCGAGACGAGGTGACGCATCCTCATCACCCGTTCCTCGCTCCCCAGTTCCCGCTGGTCGCCGCTGCTGCTGGTCGAGCGAGAGTTGCTGAAAGTCGCGCTCGACGGGTGCTGTGCCCTCGTTAGCGGCCATACTTGTGCGTGTGCCGAGTGGTGAGGCGTCGACTTCGAGGGGGTTCTCCGCCGGAGCCGCAGCCGGGGTGCGAGTGCTCGTGAGTTTGGGTGGGTGCGAGTGCGAGGATGCGGGTGTGCTCGGTGTTGACGAGTGGGCGGACGAGAGTGAGAGCGAGAGCGAGGACGACGACGAGGGAGAGGAAAGAGCGCAACGACGACGATGACATGCGACGGGGGCGAGCGTCTTGTCGTCGGCTCTCTCGCTGGCCGTCAGTGCGCGTCGAGTGTACGATGGCAAGAAGCTCCCGTGTGCTCGCCGTCGTCTGCTCCCGAGCTTGTCTGTCGCTCTGTGCCTTCGATGCCGCGTCGACCAGCGCCCGCCGACGATGAACTGGACCAATCTCGCTCGAATCGCTCACATCGCTGACAAAGCACCGAGGACTTGCCTGCGACGGAAGGACTGAACGAGCCCCACCTCCTCGCCCTGCACTTCCTCGTCGTTCGCTCGCTCCTGCTGGACTGAGAGGACGTGCAGAGCACGGCTAGCGTCGACGATGAGCTGCTGGCCCGACCAGCACGCCGCCCCATCGCTTTGCGACCGCGCAACCGCCCCCCGACAACTCGCTTATCTCGCTCCGTCGCTCGACTTCGCCTCATCCGCTCGTTGCGCGCACGGCGTCGTCGTGCAGAGGCTGCGATAGATGCAACGTGGTCAACGGACACAGCCAGGCGTCCACTGGTGGACGTTGCGAAACTCGAACCTCCTCGTCACCCGGACTCGCTCGCTCACTCGCTCTTACGCGTGCACGCCGCCTTGTTGCAGCTCAACAGCATCGTCAAAAGCGACTCTCACAACCTCAGCACACCGAGTGATCCAAGCTTACCCCCTAGGCCCAACTTACCCGCGCCTCTCTTCGCTCCACGTCGGTCCCCCTCTCCAAGCTTTTCCTCGATCCCGCCCCTGCCCTCAGCCCAGCTCGCAATACGCCCGCGCCCACCCTCGCTAGAGCCGGCTGGCCGTCCTTCGAGCGCTCGTGGGACTGCAGAGGCGACTTGGCTTGATGCGGTCCGTCGGCGAGTCTTCGCGCGCCAAGGGGAACGAGAGGTCCTGGGTGGAACGGCACCCCGTCGAGGTGGTCCTCCGCACAACGGATCATCCTGCTCGTGCGGGGCTGCAGGCGGGGATGGGATGCGAGGGAGCGGGGTCGGGCTGATGACTTTGCTCGCCCAGCCAGCAGCCAACGGAGCTCGTTTTCTTTTGCGTCCTCGCGCTCGCTCGGGTCGACGCTTGCTGGTCTCGAGGGACTGATCCTACTGCTTGAGCTTGCTGCGTTGGCTTCGGATCCGGGACCGAGCTTGTCGCCCGTCGCCATCGCCTCCTCCGCCCAGCCAGCAACGAACCCGACGACCTACCTCATCGCCTCACCTCCCTCTCACCTCCGCACCGCCTCTCCTTTCGCCTCTCGCACCAACACACACTCGAGCACGCCCACGAACAAAGATGGACGCTCCCAAATCCCCAACAGTGGAGATCCACCCCTCGCTCTCTCCCTCCCTCGCAGCCTCGAACGCTCCTCGTCCCTCTTCCGCCTCTCCCAGCGAGAAACCCCAAGGAGGAGGAGGAGGAGACGAACCACCACAGGAGCAGGAATGGTATGACCCGAGCAAGGAGAGTTGGGCTACTCGACTTGGTGTGAATTGGGAGAGCTTCAAGAGGGCGCCGGGGGCTACTGCGTGCGTAACCTTTCTCCCCTCTCCTCTATTCGAGGAGGGAGCTGATGCGTGTGTGTGGATAGGGGACTGGAAGCGGTTGGAGGACATGTCGACCCGCTGAAGCCCGTGGAGAACCCGATGCTGTCCGTCTCGCTCTTCCCTTTCTTCTCCTCTCCTCTCCTCGCGACGAAGCTAACGATGCGGAACTGGTACTCGTCGCGTCGAACAGCCAGCAGCGAATGAAACCGCGACACCTTGTCCGTCCCGTCCTCCGTTCCTCCGTCTCCGCTCCTTCGAGCTGACCTCTTCCGGCGTGCAGCAAATGATCGCGGTCGGGGGCTCAATCGGAACGGGGTTGTTCATTGCGTCGGGCCAAGGTGCGTCCTCTACATCTCGGCGGAGGATGGAAGAGGAGGACGAGAGGCTGACGGAGGAGTTCTCGTGGTTTGTAGCGCTCAAGCAGGCTGGACCGCTTGGTGTTCTAATCGCGTGGGTCATCGTAGGAGTAATGCTGCTCAAGTGCGTCGCTTCGTACACCTCAAACCGCCGAGACCGCTCATCCTCTCCTCGGGCGCGCAGCATCACCCAAGCCCTCGGCGAACTCGCCATCGTCTTCCCCGTCTCTGGAGGCTGGAGCGTCCTCGCCGTGCGCTTCGTCGACCGCTCCTTCGGCGCCGCAGTCTCCTACAACTACGCAGCGCTGTGGTGCGTCGTCCTCCCGCTCGAACTCACGGCCGCTGCGATCGCCGTGCAGTATTGGGAGGCCGCGGCAAAGGTACCCGTGGCGGTGTGGATCACGGTCTTCTATGTCGCGATTATCATTTTGAACGTGTTTGGGACGCTTGGGTACGCCGAGGAAGAGTTTGTGAGTCTCCCTCCTCGCCTTCCTGCCCTTCCTCGAGTCTTTCGTTGACGCTCTTCGCTCGCTCTTGCGCAGTGGGCCTCTCTCCTCAAGCTCGGCGTCGTCGTTGTCTTCATCGTGATCGGCATCGGTGCGCTCCTTTCCTCCTCCCCTCCTTCTCTTTTCTCCAATTCACACTTCTCCCCTCACACAGTCCTCAACTGCGGCGGCGGCAAGAACGAGTACTCGACCTACGTCGGTGGACGGTACTGGCGCGACCCTGGACCGCTCGCGGACGGGTTTCATGGAGTTGCGGCGGTGTTCGTTACGGCTGCTTTCTCGTTCGGTGCGTCCCTGCTCCCTCCTCATCGCGATGAGAAAGCATTGACGGTGTGGGCTCGGCAGCCGGCACGGAACTCGTTGGACTCGCCGCGACCGAGACGAAAGACCCGCGCCGCTCCCTCCCCAGCGCGATAAAGTCGACCTTTTGGCGAGTCACCGTCATCTACGTCTGCACCCTCTTGATCATCGGCCTCAACCTGCCTTACGACAACCCTCGTCTCCTCGGAGGAGGAAGCGACGCCGGCGCTTCGCCTTTCGTCATCATGGTCGAGCGAGCGGGATTGCACGGACTCGACCACCTCATCAACGTCACGATCTGCATCTCGGTCATGAGCGTCGGATTGGCGTCGTGTTACGCTGGGTCGAGGATCATCTGCGCGCTCGCCGAGACCGGGTTCTTGCCGCGCCAACTTGCGTACGTCGACAAGTCTGGACGACCGCTCTACGCGACTCTCTTCGTCCTCGCTTGCGGTCCGATCGCCTACGTCAACTGCAGCTCGAGCGGCGAGACGGTCTTCAACGTGCGTCCTTTCCCTCTTCCCCTTTCGAAGCGAGACTCACGCCCCTCTTTCGCGCGCAGTGGCTCAAAGCCCTTACCGGCCTCTCAACCCTCTTCGGCTGGGGCGCAATCTGCATCTGCCACATCCGTTTCCGGAGGGCATGGAAAGTCCAGGGTCACCATGTCGACGAACTCCCCTTCCGGGCGGCGGCGGGAGAGTACGGCTCGTACTTTGGTTTGCTGGTGATCGTGTTGGTGTTTGTTGCGCAGTTCTACATTGTACGCTCCCGCCCGCTCTTGAGATGGTGGGCTGCAGCTGACGAAGAACGACGAAACAGGCCCTCTGGCCGCTCGGCGGACCCGCCTCGAACCCCGCCGACCGCGTCCAAGACTTCTTCCTCTCCTACCTCGCCGCCCCAGTCTTTCTCTTCTTCCTCATCACCGGCTACGCAATCAACCGGACTTGGCCCCTCCGAGCAAGCGAGATAGACATTGACGTGCGTTTCCCCTCCCTCCCTTCTTCCCCCCTTCCCTTCCTTTGTGGTGCGCTGATGATGGCTGTGCGTGGAGGCAGACCGGTCGCAAGACTTTCTACACGGCGGAGGAGATGAATGCGTGGAGGAGGGAGAGGAAGAACGCGCCTTGGCACATCCGGTTGTTCCGGATGTTGTTCACGTACTGAGCGTGGCGGGGTAGACGGGCGATAGACTCTAAGAACGGAGTACGAGCTGTTAAAGACTCGAGGTAGCGCTCGTCGCCGCTCGAGAGAGCGAAGGAAAGCGTCGCGCGAGTGGCTGGTCTCTCCAGAGCGGTCGTGCGCAAACCGGATATATTCACTCCTCCTAGGTATTCGTTTCGCACGTCTACAACCCGCTGATGTACCACCCGAGCACTCCGAACGCGACTCCCGTCAACTTCTCCGTGCTCGAGTGGAAGAAAAGGCTCGTCATGAGGAGCATCCACCAGCACAGCGCGATCATCCCGACCGCGACGTAGCCGAGGACCATGACGACGGGGTGGAGGCGTTTCGGCGCGGCGGGCGGTCGGCTGCTGGCGTACTGGAAGAGCGAGGGGAAGAGGGCGGGCAAGAGCGGGTAGACGAGTTCGAAGAGGAACATCCCGCAATGAATCATCATGAATGCGTGGCCGCTCACGTCGTGTCCGCCGCGCCAGTACTCGCCTTTCGAGCCCGTGCAGACGAGAGGAGGCGCCGCTGCGTCGTGCGGTCCGTCTGCGTGCAGTCCGCCTTGTCCCGCCTGCGCGATCGCTTCGCTCGAGAGGGCGCTCGGCACACACACGGCGCCGGAGGAGCGGAGGATGCGGAAGGTGATGGACGGGCCGAGCGAGCGGCCGAACCAGGTCGCCTGGGTCAGATAGAACCAGTACAGGGTCGCGAGGAGGTATCGTCGGATGGAGGCGGCGATATGGGCGGTCGAGACGGCTTGGACGCGGGTATGAGGGGTCGTGCGAGTCGAGGAAGATGCGGTTTGGGCGGGGAGATGCGAGGGGAAGAGGAAGACGGCGGCGAGGAAGGCGAGGAAGAGGGCCGTGATCCAGGCCCACGCCCGCTTGACGAAGAGCTGATTGATCGGATTCCGCTGCAAGGAGAACGAGCTCGTTAGCTCAAGTACGAGAGGAGCTGTGAGGTCGAGAAGCGAGAACACACCTTGTCGGCGAAGAAGGGCAGCGAGAACTGGACGGGGAAGGCGGACTCGCTCTCGGTGATCTTTGTGAGCGTGTGTGCTGGCAGGCGTGACCGGAACGCGGTCGCAGCGGACGACACGTTGAGGACCGAGTAGACAGTCCCGGCGAGGGCGGTGAGGGTGAAGAGGAGGAGGACGCGCTGGCGGGGCGAGTACGCTTGTCGAGCGTGCGCTCTTGCGCGTGTGGCAGTAGCCGTGCTCATCGTGAGCGAGAGTGCGCGTGGAAGGAAGCGAAGCCAAAGTGATGACGCTGACCTTGCGCGGCCAAGTTCGCCAGTCCCACGACGAATCTCGAGAGGAAGAGCGTTGCAAGCGAGGGGTAAACTGACAAGCGACACAAGAGAGCCCTACCGCGACGTCCTCCTCGTGCGGCTACTGACCCCGGCGCCCTCCTTTTCCTCGAGTGCAAGCTCCCTCGTCCACCTGATCGCGTCTGCAAACTGTCGCAATTTGTCGCCCAGGTCCCAGTCCATCTCGTCCGCGCGCTGCTCGTACAGCTTGATCTGCTCGGGCGTAGGAAGAGGCGCCGGCCGGCCCTGCACCTTGGTCTTCGGGTGCTCGAGCTGGAAGTGCGCAAAGTCGACGTTGAATTTGGCGTGTCGCACGGCGAGGTTGACCCAGTCGACGAGCGTGTCGAGGTCGTCGATGCCGCGGACGACGTACCAGTCGTCGGTCGCAGGCGCAGCGTCGGGAGCGTCGGCCTTAGGGTTCTCCTCCTCATCGTCGCCATCCTCCGCCTTGGCCTTGCCCTTGATGTCCTTGCGCTCCGACTGGCCGACAGGGCGCAGGCCATGTACGACGACGCAGTAGCTGAGCGGGTAGTCGCGCTTGCCGTCGTCCTCGGGCTTGCGGTTGAGCGGGAAGGCAGAAGACGCGGCCGCCGAGACGTTCTTGAAGAGCGACGACGGCGGAGGCGTCACGAAAGAGTACTCGTTGCCGAACGCGTCCTTGCCGATGCTCTGGAAGCGGATGCGGTTGCCCATGTCGTTGCGGAAGAACTCGTACTCTGCGAGGGCGAAGAAGGTGAGCGGGAGACTGCGTTCAGCTTACAAGCCAACTCACGGATGCGCCATCCCTCCTTCATTCCGTTGACCTCGGCCTCCTTGATCTCGGCCTCAACCTTGTCCACCTCCTCTTGCCACTCCTGGACCTTGAGAGACGCGTTGTTACCGGGCGGCTTCTCGAGCGCGTCCTTCTTCTCCTTCAATCCGCGCACCTCGTCCGCCATCTCGCGCGTCACGCTCGTCCGGTCCTTCTTGATGTCGATGTTGACGCGGTAGTGCGAGTCGAGCCCGTTCTGGATGTCGTTCCGCACGGGCTCGGTCTGGCACGCCAGCTCGATCAGGCCGCACATGAGCGCGAGGCGCTCCTCGGCAGGCGTCTCGCGGGTGCCCTTGCGCTTCCGCCGCTTCTTCATCCTCAAGGGCGAAGGCGCGCGAGGAGGCTCCTCGTAGTCCGACGCGAGCATGTCGATCTCTTCGCCGTCGTCGATCACCATCCGGCGCTTGCTGGTCGAAGTCGTCGCGGTCGTCGCCGTCGACGCGCCGTCGTCGTACGCGTCCCCGTCCTCCTCCTCGTCGCTCTCCGACCCACTCAAGCTGCTCAACTCGCTGTCCTCGTCCCCGTCAACCTTCATCTTCTCCTTCTGCTTCTCCTTCATCACGCGCTCCACCTCCTCCCTCCTCCCCTTCGCATCCTTCTCCCACTCGAGCCCTTGACCCACCCAAGGCTTCCCAACACCTTTCTCAAGTGCCCTCCCCGCCGTCCTCCAAGGCCGATCATAAACCTCCTGCTGCCTCTGCACTCCAGCAATCGCAACCTTCACTTCCTCATTCAGGTCGACCAGCTCCTCGCGCTGGAGTTTCGGGATCGCCCAGGAGCGATCGCGAAGGAGGAGTTCGACGAGGCCGGCGAGGAGGCGGAGTTGGGCGACTTCGGCGGCGGAATCGTGGTCCGTCCAGAGCCAGAGGATGTCGTCTGAGAGAGCGGACATGACGCGCGCGACGTACGGTGAAGGCGACTTGCTGGAGGAGGAGGAGGGCAGAGCGAGAGAGGGCATGAGGTGGAGGAAGCGGAGGAAGAATTCGCGCAGGTGCAGGCGGCAGAGGATGGAGTCGGCGCAGGGGAGAGTCGGGTACGGGTAGTAGACGGACGAGAGAGGGTGTGTCTGAGGCGGCGAGATGAGCGGCGGAGGTATCTTGGGCGGCATCGCGCGTTTCGGGCCAGCTCCCGCCGCCATGGACCCGCTCCCCGACCCAGTCTTGCTCATCCCGACAGATCGCTTCCCGCCCTTCTTCTTCTTCTTGCTCGACGACTCGGCATCCGACTCAGTCAAGTCCGACAAGCCCGAGTCGGACAAGCCAGCCGCATCGACGTTCGCGCTCTCCTCCATCTTGCCCTTGCCCTTGCTCGCGCTCGTGCTCAGGGGCGAGCTCTCGCGTGGCTTCTTGAGCTTCTTGAGCTTCTTGGGTGCGGAAGTAGACGTCGACGGCGACGAGTGATCGTTTGTGAGCGATTGGGCGGCAGGCATGCCCGACTCGGTGAACGTCGCGGACAGGCGAGACCTTGCGAGTTTCTGTGACGAGCGTGCATCGAGGCGTATTAGGCTGGCGACTCACGAGAGGAAAGAAAGACGAGATGTGGAACTCACAGCAGCCGACCTCCCGCCTGACGGCACCATCTCCCCCAGCATCCCGACCCCGTTCTCCTTCGGTTTCTCGACGACCTTCTCGGGCTTCGGCTCGCGCTTGTTGCGGCAGGCGGCGCAGGTGCACAACCCGCGGCAGGAGGGGCAGGTCCAGGTTTTGGAGGCGCCAGAGGAGAGGAGTTCTTGCATGTTCTCGTTGTACCTGTGCGAAGCCCGATCGCAAAGATCTAGCGTCAGTGGCGTTCTGGTTGGAGAACGCCGTACGAAGCAGAGGATCCCTCGGAACGCACCGATTCAACAGACACCGCTCGCAGTAGCTCGCCGAGCACTGCTTCATCGGGGTCTCGCCCTCCGGCGTCGCCTTCGTCTTGGGCGCAGGCTTCATCGCGGTACAGCGGAGCACTTTCCTGAGCTCGTGCGCCGAGTGGTCTGCCAGGCGAAGCGAACCTGAACTCAACGACGGTGTCGAGCAGAAGGAGCGGAGAAACGGAGGACGCACCCTGATGGCAGTAGACCTTCGGCACGGCAGGCTTGCGCTTCTTCTTCGGCGGCACGGCATCCGCCTTGTCCGCTCCGCCGTTCGCGACGGGAGCGACTGACGACGAAGGGTCGGCGGTAGTCTGCTCGGTCGGAATCCTCGCGCGCTTGCCGTCCGCCCCACCGACTCCGTTGCTCGTCGACTGAGCGGTTCCAGGCAGCGTGAACGGTCCGACGACGGCCGTCTCGCGAGGAGGAAGCGTTCCCATCTTGACATCCGCCTTGCTCGCCACCGACGCGCTCAGCTGCCCGTTCGCGGCGCCATATTGCTCGATGCTCATCGCTGCTCCGACTGACGCGCTTGACTTGACCGCTGCGGCTGTTGTCGAGGCAGAAGCGGGCGACGATGAGGGAGTGGACGCGACGAGCGGTGACTCTGGGTCGCTCGGCAGCGGAGTCGCGGTAGCGGGTGTCGAGTTGGCCGTGCGCGCGTCTGCAGCGAACACTGGCGGACCAGCAGTAGCCATTGTTGCCGAGCGAGAGAAAGTCAATGACCTTGAGCGCGTCAACTCGAGGCGGGTTGTTTTGACCCGCAGACAAAACTGACGTGGCATCGACGCGCCTTTCGCCCGACTGAGTTTCGCCCGCCCTTCATCAAGTTCGCTTCCTGCACTTCGCCGATGCTGACGCGCACGCTGGCTCGTCTGGATGCTCTCGTACGAAGAGCAAGAGTTGTATGGGGCACGGCAGCGCAGCCGGGAGCCACCCGCTCGAATCCACCTCGTAGCTCGCCTCGTCGCCTTCCTCGTGCGGCGTCGCGAACCACCCACCCTTCCCCATCGAGCAGCGCTTCATATCGCATCTCCGCGCCGTTCCTGCTGCTCGACGAACCTTGCACTACCGCTCGAAATCGCCAACAGGAAGGCGCCCGGCTAACCCGCTCGCCTTCCTCAGCTTGCTGGAGCCCGCACAGACGTCTGAGCTGCGTGCGCACTAGCGAATGCAGGGCAGGTAGGACTCTAGCTAGCAAGGCATCATCGCTGCCGCTCGTTCTCCGGCGAAGCCACCCGACCCGAGGCAGGTTCCTCTGGTCCCCGTCCATCGCTCGCCCTCTCCTCCGTCGCTCTTTCGACCTCCCTTGGCCCTGCCGCTCTTCTCCAAGCCCGACGCAACTCGGCGACGTTGCTCGTTCGGCCTCCTCTCCTCCTCCTCGCACTCGCCCAACAGACGCTTTCATACCGCCTTCACGCTCTTTACCCGCCGTCTCTCGCCTCGCCGCCTTTCAGCCCGCCGTCCCAGCAGTGCCCTACGATGTACAGTGCCGTCCACCCCACGCAGGTTCAACAGCCGCCTTACCCTCCCTCCTCCGCCGGACAACCATCAATGCCCCACATCGACGACTCGTCCTCGCCCTTCCTCGCCTCGTCGTACCAATCTGCCCGAGGGACGCCCTACCACGACGCCTCGTCCTCTTTCTTCGACCCCTCGAACGACCCAGCCTGGTTCACCCCTCACCTCCACCCCTCGTCTTCCACTTCCTCCCTCTCGAGCCAAGCGCCGATGCAGACGGGATTCGTACATTACCCGGAGGACGAGATGGTGCATGATGAGGCCATGCTCGAGGACGGGTTTTTGGAGGTCCTCAACGATGGGATGGGGTATGAGGTGCCCGTTGAGGGGGGGTATCAGCCGTTCAGGCGGTACAGCGAGGGAGACCAACCGACTGCGATGAGCGGCACGAGTGACAGGCAGCACTTTGCGCAGGTGCGGCGCGTTTCCTTTCCATCCGGCCTGTCGAACACAGACTGACCGCTCGAACGCTCTCGCAGCCCCACTCGTACAGCAGCTCGCCTGCAGACAGCGGCCTCTTCCAGTCCGGCTATACGCTTGCGCCTCCTCCGCCCGACCAGTCCGCCTCGTACAGCTCCTCGCAGCTCGGCAACGCCTCCTACGCTCTCATCTCCTCGAGCGACGTCTCGCCCGGCATGCCTCTCTATGCTTCAGATCCTTCGCAAGCCGCCTATGTCCCACAACAACCTCGAACGGTCTATGGCCAGTACAGCGCCGACGAGATCGAAGTCTTGCAGTCGGAGCACTCGGTCGACCCGACTCTCTATCGCAGCCGTAGCGCTTCGTCCGACTCGAGCTATGCCCCGCAGTCGCACTACTCGACTTCGCTCGCGCCGTCGCCCTACATTGACGGAGCAGGACAGTCCGAGACGTCCAAGCAGCCGCAGCGGATGGGTCGTCACTCGACGTCGGCGTCACCGTTGCCTACTCCCGCGCACTCGGCTCCTTCGTCAAGGCGTCCTTCGCTCGCGCATGCTAATACTCAGGCAGCGCCAGAGTACGCCGGACGAGATGTCTACGCCGCCGCAGGTCCTGTCGAAGCGAGTCCGGCAGTTCGACATCACTCGTTCTCCGGCCCTATCTCAAGCGTGCCGACTACGCCTCAGCAGCAGCAGCCATCGCGAAAGCGCTCAATCGATGCAGGAGATGCCGACTACCACCACGAGCCTCGGCGTCACTCGTTGCAAGCGCAGGCTCAGTCGCTCTACGCCGTCGGTCAAGCGGTCTCGCCGTCATCCGCTCGTCCGGCAAGGAGGTCGTCTCAACCCGCTTCGATGCCTGTCACGCCCACTCGCCCGCACAGCATCTCGAGACGCAGGTCGTCGCTCACGCCTGGCGGGAACGGGCCGGCGTACGGTTCTTCGCCTGTACCGCCTTCGCCGTTCGCGCCGTCTCCTTCGCCTTCGCAGCCTCGCACGCCGACGTCGAGGCGGCCTTCCGCTCAGGCTGAGGCGGCGTACTCCCCGCTCGTCTCGACTACCTCGCCGTCGTTCTCCTCCTCTTCGCGCCGGTACCACCCCAACCTCACGATCGCCGTGCCGCGGAGTCAGTCCGAGACCCAGACTCATTCCGCTGGGACGAGCCTCCCTCCCCAGTCCGCCGCCTCGTCCGCCACCTCATCCTTCACGAACTACCGTTCGCCCCGCTACTCGCCCTACCCCAACTCACCTTTCTTCTCGCCCTACGCCGGTCAGTCACCCTACGGTACGCCCGCAACTGAAGCGACAGGCTTCTCGGCGGCTTTCAACGGTATCGATCCGGATTGCTTGAGCCCGCTCGGGGCGGCTGGAGCGGCTGCGAAGGCGAGGAGGCGTTACTCGGCCGATCAGTATCCCGCTTCGTCGCCTTCTGTCCAGGGTACTCGGGCGGCGACGTATGCCGAGGAACGCAGGCGTGCGAGCGCGACGGCGACCTTCGCTGGGTCAGGCGCGCCGAGGACGGTTTTGAGGAGGGCGAGCGGGGCGGTCTCGTCCGGCCTTGCGAGTACGGCGGAGGAGGAGTTGCACCGTACGCTGGCGGCGGCGACGTCGTGGGACGTTGAGGAGCCGTTCGAGACGGTCGGTCTTGGGCTCGAGATGGGCGTTGAGGAGATGCACCTCGCGCCGCCTCCTCCGCCTCAGCTGCAGATCCCTTCGCCTATCACGCCCGTCACGCCCGCCAACTTTGCGCACCAGCCGTACTCGTCGTCGTCGATTCCTGTCTCGGTCGACCCGGGCGAAGTCCTCTACGCCCCGCCTAGCGCGTTCTCCACCACAAGCGCAGACGTCGGGATCCTCGAACAACAGCAACAAGCAGCGTACGACGAGCTCTTCCGTCGCCAGCAGCAAGCCGACTTTGCGGTGTCGAGGCAGCAGTACGGGGTCGAGTCGCAGCAGGTCCGCCTCGAGAAGGAGGTCCAGGAGTATGTGCATGCGGAGGACAGGATGGCCCTCGGCGAGAAGACGGTCGTTATCCTCAACCCGAAGATTGCGCAGCGCAGCTACGGCAACGAGAAGCGGTGCGTTCGCGCGTCGTCCATTTTCTCTTCCTTGACTTACCTACTCACGCTTCTCCGTGCGCACAGACTGCTCGCCCCGCCTCCGATGGCGCTCTTGCTCGGCACGTCCTGGTGGCAGAGCTACGACGTCGACCCGACAACCTCGCCCGACTCGACCACCTCATCGAGCAAGTTCTCCGCCTTCAAACCCTACACCGGCTCGCTCCCTACACCCCCTTCGCCGCCTCACCGCGCTCAACTCGCACCAGAAGTCTACATCAGTATCTCGACGGACCGTGTCTTCCCGAAGCAGCCAGCTACGACTTCGTGGATCTCGAACGAAGGGACGGCCGTCATCGAGCGTCAAGAGGAGGACGCGCCGCCTATCGCCGGTCGGGCGGTGAGCAAAGGTCTCGCAGTCAGCGTGCCCGGCGAGCTGAACAAGGATGTCAGCACGACGGTGAATGCGGTCGTGACGATTTGCGAACCTGGGACGGGCGATGTCGAGTCGAGGGTTTGGGCGAGGTTGATGGGCAAGCCGATCACGGTCATCTCGAAGCCGTCGAAGAAGCGGTCCGTCACCGTGGGAGGAGGTGCGTCGTCGTCTCACTCGTATCACCCTCGCCGGTAAGCTGACTCTGCGCGCACAGTCTCGGGCCTGCACCACGGCTCGCTCGTCTCTCTCTACAACCGCACCAAAACCTACACGGGCTCGACGCGCTATCTCTGCACCTCCGGCGTCCAATCCATCTTCCCTCTGCACGACTGGCACTCGATGACTTCCGGCCTTCGTTCGCGCTCGTTCGCACCGACCGACGCGCGCGAAACCCGCTTCGTAGCCAAGACAGCGGCGTGGGACGCGTTTGTCGTGTATGCGGTCGATACAGAGATCGAGCCGAGGCAGCAGGAACCCCCGAATCCGACGTACCCGAAACCGCCGCTCAATGCGGTTCAGTTTGGGGAGGAACCCAAGCCGCTGTGTTATAATCAGACGGTCGTCTTGCAGGACTTGGCCACAGGTGTCGTCTCGGTGCGTACGGTCATCCTCCTCCCTCCCTCTTACTTTCACAACCTAACCTTCCCTCGCTCCGCTTGGCAGCCCGTCCTCATCCTCCGCCGAATCGACACCCCCTCCCTCTGCACCGGCGGCGGTCCTTCACCCTCCTCCACCACCAGCACCACCAGCACCTCCTCACCGTCCCCGTCACGCGCCGCCCACCCCGTCCCGCGGGACGAACAACCCGGCGAACCCGTCTCTCAATACCGACCTATCGCTTTGCAAGTCTTTTCATCCGCTGCCGAAGGGAAGGGGGAGAGGGAAAGTTTCTTGGGAGTTGTGGAGGAGGAAGTTGGTGTTCATCAGGCGCTGGAGGGGAGGACGTATGTTGGAGGGGGAGGGAAAGGAGGGGGGAGCGCACCGAGGACGCCTACTACGCCGATTTCGTTTGCTGCTCAGCAGCAAGAAGAAGAGGAGGGGAGGGGCAAGAAGGGCGGGAGGAAGAAGGCGAAGGAGGGGGAGGGAGTGGAGAGGGGGAGGGTTTGGACTATGCCGCTCGGGGGTGCGTCTCGCCCCATCTCTCCTCTCGCTTACTCGCCGGCGCAGAGAGATGTTGACGACTCCCCACGTCTCGCAGAACACTGTATCTGGTCGATCGCGCAGATCGAACTCGAGCGGTATTCGTTCTTCGTCCCTCCCTCCCTCACAGGCGGCCAACCTCGTTCTCTCAACCCGTGCGCTCCTCCACTCTCCTACCCTTCGCTCTCTTCGCCCGCTGACACGATGGAAGAGACAGCCCTCCCACGCTGAACCCGATGTACAACTCCCCTCGCCCGTCAAAGACGATCGACACGGACTTGCCGGTCGTACGATATATCGAAATCCTGCGCGAGAGGGGCGGGAACAAGCACTTTGGAGGCGCGGCGCGGACAGAAGAGGGGACTATCCGTACGCCCCCTCTCCTTCCTCTCCTCATCCAGTCTCTCCTAAGCTGACGCTCGCTCCGCCCGCTCGCTCTACGCAGTCATACACGGCTCGCACCTCTCCCCCTCGCTCTCCCTGACACTCTCAACTCACCCGCTCCCTCCCTCGTCAATCACGTACAAGTCGACCTCCCTCGCTTTGGTCCAACTCCCGAGGGGCGTCAGGGTGCAGAGGGGTGAGAAGGTGAGTGTGGTGGGGAGGAGGGGCGATGGGGTTTGTGTGAGGTGGGAGGTGGCTGTCAAATAGAGGGGCGAGGGAGGGGAGGGGAGGGGAGGGGAGTGATTTGTCCGGGTGGCGTCGGAGGGTTCGGGTGTAAGAGGGTTGTATCATTTACTCTTGTAGCCTCTCTCTTCTTCTGTGCACTAAGCCTGTAGCGATATCCTCTTCTCCGTTGCGCAAGCCAGTCTGCATCCTCGCCTGCCGTCTCGGGTTGCGCAACTTGTTCCTGACGGCTCGCTCTTCTTTCGCGCGGACTGCCGTCCCAAGAAGAAGAAGAAGCCCTCGAACGCAGCGAGAATAGCTCGGCGAAGGAAGGAAGCGAAGGAGAAGAGCGAGCGCAGCACCCTCGTCGGTTGAGAAGGTCCTCCCTCTTTCGCTTCGCGCTCAGTCCTCCTCCGCGCGCGCACGCTCGCTTTCGTGCGCTCCTTGTCGATGATGCCCAGTGTCACACCCTGGTATGCTCGGTACAGATGCTTGGCTCGTCTCGAAGGAGAAAGGGTTGTTGTGTTGTTTGTTGAGCGATGCGCGAGGAGGCGCGTGTGTGCGAAGGGCGAGGATTGAGGGTGGTGAGGCGGCCGCGGGTGGTGACTGGCTATGTGAGTAGCGGTGTGTAGGAGAGTGTACCATGCGCTGTACGAGGCTGTCAGCGAGTTCAAAGGAGAGGAGGGGGACGAACGTTTTGAACTCGACTGTCAGTTGGAGGCGTGTGCATTCCTCGCCTTGTCTTCCCTCTTCTCTTCTCTCCGTCTCTCGCTCCGTTGCTCAGCTTTGTGTGTTCTGCGTGTGTCTGCTACATCGACAACCTCGACAGCCGACTCAACCACCGCCAACACAGCAAACCCCCCGACCCTCCTCGTCGCACACGCTCACTCAACAACCCTCGAGTCGCGTCACACTCTCTCTCTTCGTCCGACACTCGTTGCAGGCCAACGACAACGACGACACGATCCACACGTCCGTACACTCTTACGAACCCCCTCACATTCTTTTCAGTGCGTCGTCGCATCTCGCTCGGAATGTCCGCACGCTCCCTCAACCCCTCGTTCGTGCCGCACACCGAGGGCGCGCGTGCGAGTGGCAAACGACGCTCGCTGTACTAACCACGACCTTACACCGCGCAGAATCACGAACGATGCTCACTCACTCGCTCACTCTCCCCCTCGCGGTCGCCGCCTCGCTCCTCGCCTCGTCCGCCTCGGCCCACCCGAACCACGGACACCACAACCAGGTCCGCCACCACCACGCTCACGCCCATGCCAAGCGCGCGTTCGTCCCCGTCAGGGAGGCGTTGAATGCGAGGGCGGTCAAGGGAACTGGGAGGATGCAGAGGAAGGTTAGGCGCGGCGCTCAGGGTCAGTTCTGGCGCCCTCTCCTCTTGCCTCTGGGCGTGTGGAGACGGTGTGCGACTTTCGGTGCGCGAAAACTGACGCCGTTCGCGGTTGTTTGCCCTCGCCGGAAACAGGCGCCGTCCTCCTCGCCACCGACTCGAACTCGACCTCGACCTCGTCGTCGTCCGACTCGACCGCCAAGTACTCGTCGACTGCCATCTGGTGGAAGGAGGCGGGATGGGTCGGCTCGTGCGGCGTCACCATCAAGTGCGTCCCGCTTCTCCGAATCCTCGCTGACACTCCCGGACTCGCTGACCCTCGTCCGCTCCCTTGCACGCAGCGAGAACGACATGGTCGTCGCGCTCCCCCTCTCGGTCTACCCGGACGTCTCCACCGCCTCTCCCCTGTGCGGCTCGTCCGTGAGCGTCACCTCCCCCTCGACCGGCAAATCCGTCGTCGCGACCGTCGTCGGCGCCTCGGACCGCCAGGACTACACGACCTTCTCCAAGGCGGCTTTTGTCGCGCTCGAGGGGAACTTGGATGTTGGAGAGTTGCCGATTGAGTTCACGGTCGACTCGTCAAAGGTCCCTGCTTCGTCGGCCGCGACCGCCGAGACGACCGCGAAGAACGCCAAGATTGCCAACGTCAACGTCCAGCAGACCACGTCCGACTCTGCCCAGGCTCCTCCCTCGACCACCGCGCCCCCCAAGGCTCAGGCAGTCAAGACCACCGCCGCCCCGCCCGCTCCCTCCTCCTCCGCCGCCTCGTCCTCGGCTCAGGAGAGCGGCGACGACTGGGTCTGCGACTCGACCGAGACTGCACAGTCGGTCACGAGCAAGCCTGCTGCGCCT